AGAGGGTTTGTTCTTATTTTTTGTTTAAAGTTTCTAGGAATGTTCCTATTATTATTTTGAGAAAATTTTCTTTTGATTATTTGTTTTTTCTTATTTTTTCTAAAAGGAGGATCTAATTTTTCATACCCATATTGCATGCAAAAATCTCCTAATTCTTTTGTACCGCTTTCTTGTTGTCTTTTAATCTGTTTTTCTAACTTTAGATTATTACATATTTCTAAGGCAGTGTTTTTAATAGTTGAAATTATTTTTCCATATGTTATGTCTTGCAAAGGTTCAGGGTATTTTTTCATGACTTGATTGTAGTTCTATTTCTTTGTCTACTGTTTTTACTATATATTCAGATTTAAACATATCTTTCCAATTTGTTTTATAAATAGTTGATATTTCGAGTTTTGGAAGGGTTCATTTATTAAGTTATTTTCTATTTCGGGAATAATTAGTTCATGGTGTACTATGTTCATGTTACTAGTTTCTTCTTCTGTATTCTTATTTTCTTCAAACTTTTCTTTTCCTTTAGATAAAATTTTTATTAATTTCGTTATCCTAAGGTAAAGGTCTAAGATGCTCGGGAACACCACAGGTTTTATTGTCACTTACATGTCTTACCACCTAAACCGGCTTACCAACGCTCATCTACCCTCAAAGACTCTTTAGGCAAGGTTTAATTAATAAAAAAATTCTATCAAAAAAGTTTAGTTTTCAGAAAATATGAATTCAGAAAGAATAAACAGTTATACAAACAAAATACGTGATTTTGTTATTTCACACTAAATCATCAGGATTCGAACCTGACAAAGGTGATCTGGACTAGCATATTATGCTTCAAGTAACCTAATCGAGAAGATTTAACTATCCAGTTTTCCAACCAATACATCTTTAATATTTAAACAATTATTGTGATGTGAGGATCGGCGTAGACCGCAACCACAATACATACTTATTCGCAGTATATATATATATATATATATATATATATATATATATATATATATATATATATATATATATATATATAAACATATATCCATATTTTTATAATATTAATTTAAAAAAAAAACATGTTTATTTTTTACATGTATTTGTGTTTTTTTTTCATTTATTACGTCTTCTCATTTTTATTTTTCTCTCGGTTAATTTTTTAAATATAAAAGTTACAATAATTATTTTTTAATATTATCTCCTTTATTTATAAATACCTTATATATATGACAAATTTTTTTCTTTATCCAATGATTAATTAAAAAAAAAACTCTTATATATAATATAAATTATTATTATTATAATAATATTTAATATATATTTAAAAATAAACAATAATATGTGTACATTTTTTTTCAAGTATAACTTTATCTGTCGTATCTAATTTTTTGCTTTATTTTTTAAATAAAATGAAAAACAAATTCTCTATTTCATGTCATATGTCCTAAGTCTTATATTCTATGTCCAATGTCATAAATATTAAGTCTTATGTTTTATCCTATGTTGTATTTTTTATCTTAAAGTCGTATAAAGATTTATACTTAAGATTTAAAACTCTACTGTATGTCCTGAGACGTATGTAATGTGTCTTATGTCATGTTATATGTAGTAAGTCCTAAATCATAAATTCTGAGTATTAAATCTTAAACCATAAGTCTTATATCTTAAATTTATATTATTTTATATTTTAAAAAATATATATTGTCATAAAATTATTATACTTGAAAAAAAAAAAAATATATATATATATATATATATATAATCATGATATATAATAAAAGTATTTTTTATTATATTATTTTGCTAAAAATATTAATTAATTATTATTTTATTAAAAAATAAAAAAAAATTAAACTTATTATTAATACCTTTTTATTTATTGTGAGTTAGGTTGTGAATATGGTTGATGTATATTTTAGAGTTATAATTAGTTAGTTTGATATATTTAATATAAATATTAAATAGGATTTAGCTTGATTAGTAAAATTTAAATGAATATTTTTCTATTTCCTTTTGATCGTTTTTAACTTATTTTAAAATGTCGCATTTAAAAAAAATTATTTTGTTATGAAAAACAACTAATAAAAAATATATTTTAATAATTATTTGTATTTACATAATTTTATTTTATTCATAAATAAATTAAATAATCTTATAATTGAAAACTATAATATAACTTTATAATAATATATTATAATTACAATATATTCAAACTATATAATATTTTTAAAATATAATATTATACTTAAATATAATAATATAATTTGATTTGTTTTAATTCTTATTTTTTAATATAAAACCAAAATTACGTTTGTTTAATTTAAAAGGAAAAATCATCTAAATTTTTTATTTTTTTATATATTTTTATATTGTTTTTTAAATTTATTGAATATTTTATAGCAGCAAAGTTCATTTACAAACTGAATTTTTTAAGAGTGTCCGATGTAGATTATAAATACGGATGTCTCGGTCTACGTTGAATTACTCACCGGGTTTAAGAAAAATAAAAAAATAATAAAAAAATTTTAATTAAATATTTAAATGAAAGATAATTATTATTTTAACTTGATTATATGAAAATTAATGAGTTAATGAATTAATTTTGATAGGATTGAAAATTAAAAAAGAAAAAGCTATACTAAAATAATTAATTAAAAAAATATTTAAATAAAAATTAAAAAATAAAATATTTAGTTCATATTAATAAAATTATTTAATTTTATAATAAGTTAAAATTTATTTATAATTATCATTATTTATTCTTTTAATAATTTAAAATAATAATTTTATATTTATCTTTATAATAAGTCAATGTTTTATTAATTGAGACAACAGTGCAGTAAGAATTGGTCTTCAAATAAATGTTATTAAACTGTTCATTATTCTTCCATACACTTCAGTTTCCTTCAGGCATGCAAGCTAAGATATTCATAAAGCCAATATGGATGATGAATGCTCTCGAAGTCTTCACTGTCTGTTGCTTACCAGTGTGCTGTTGAGCAGGTAGAACTGGCCCTGTATTGAAAGTACTTGCATAAATGAATCACTTCAGAACACTAACTCGGTATGTTGTTTATCACGAGTTCATCCTGAGAGTACATGCAGTGGAGTCCATTGGCTGGCTGAGTTGTGACGCATTACTAGAGCATAAGAAGAGACAGAAACAAGAGAGAACAGCCATGGACGAGTCATGGAGGAGATGCAGTACATATGAAAGACGATGAAATTACTGGAGATTTGCAATATTTTGGCAATGATGCATTTGGGAATGAGCTTGATAGACGTATTGATCACTCTTTCTTTGGACCACCGCTTAGTAGCATGTCATTAGAATTTGGAGGACTTAACAGTCCATTCCATTTAGATCATTTCTTGGGTGATGATGAAATGATAGTACTTTGGAGCATAATTTATTGAAACTGCTGGCTTAGCAGAGACAGTAAGTGCTGTTATACAGTAAAAAATATGAAAGGATTAGGATCTCATACAGTGAATTTTAGGATCTATTCCCATTCGGCTAATATGTGGGGTTTTCCAACAAATAAACAATTATGCAGTTGTCCATAATCGAATTTAAAATATGGGTATCATCATTACTGCATTATAAAATGAAAAGGTCATAAACATAGTCATAAGTGTCACATGACCTAGTGCTCAATTACAAACTATAAAATCAATTAATGGGCTCAACGTGTCTGACAACATAAAGAATCATTTTTATCTTCGTTTCTTAATGTCATTTTCACGTGAAGTTGATGAATTAGGATGCTTCCTTCTTCTTTTTTCTATCTTCTAGATCCCTTCCTTGGTAAAGGTTTTTCTTACATTTACAAAACTATTAAGAGAATAAAATTTAATTCTTTTAAATTTAAAGAATAATTAATATCACAATCAAGTTTTACGAGAGATAGACATATTTAACTTTCTTTTTACTCATGCTTCATCCCTATTTTTTTAAAAAGAAAAAGAAAAAAGTAATTGCCATGAAACGAGGAAAATTACTACTAATACCCTCGAAATGTATCCCACTATAATCTGTTTCTATAATTCACGAATATAAACGAAATTTGCTCGTTTGAACTAAAAAAATGATGATCGCTGTTTTACATGCAGGCCTGCCTAATTTGTCTCGTTTTATTTCTTTCGTTTGTTCAGAAAATATTTAACATGATATTTAATACCCAAAGTCCATCATAACAGGATACAATAACCAAAAAGAAATATAAAGTAAAAAACAAATAGCGGATTCACCCAGCCAAAACATCACTTTCACCTCCTTTTCCTTTTTACAAAACAACGACGGCGATACAAAAATAAAATTAATTGTTATATATATTCTGCATTTAAAATTGGGAAAACAAAGAGTCATAAAACTCAATTTTCATTGTTGCACGTAAAACAATATGCTTAGGAGTTGTGCACAAGAGCTTACAGTGACTAAAATACAATGAATGGGGGAAGATGACGCTGTCAATAGTAGACATGTTCACGCAACTTCGGAGTTAGAAATACATCAGTACATAACGAGTTGTTTCATGTAGACAGTTTCTGCCTTTTGCAGTTATGAACCCTACATACTTGGCATGGGATGTGACAATGTTCCAAGAGCGCAGTTCTATTACCAAAAATAATACCAGTCTCTCAACTATTGATTTCCATATCGTAGATACAGTGTGTCCTGGCAGTCCTGCCACATAAGGCCTTAGAGATAGTCCTCAACTGAAAACAAAACAGGCAATGGTATAGAAACCGTCTAGCTTTTCAATCATGGCTAAATATATTATTTTTACACAACACGATATGCAGGATGTAAGAAGGAAATCATTTAATCATCAGCATATAAAATATTTTAGGTATTGGATTCTCCAATCATAGTTTAAGACAGTGAAGTACCTGCCGCCATCCAATAAATCTGCAGCCTTCTCTTAGGCAGTCGAAATTTGTTTCATATTCTTGATACATTCAGACTTCAGCCTTCTCTTTCTCAGTCTGCTGTATTTCACTATTATCAACATAATTTACAAACCAAACTTTTTTGGTCTCAGGAATGTGGAAGAACCCTTTCGTAAACCTGGCATGGAGATTTGCTGTTGATGCTTAGCCATCTTTTCCTTCTCCTTCTTTTTCCTTTCTCTCTCAACCTCTGCTTGTACCTTCTTCAAGTTTTCCATCTCCTCCTCCATGGCTGTTTTCTCTTGTTTCTGTCTCTTCTTATGCTCTAGTAACGATGTATCAGACTCCTTAACAGAGAAAAACATGGGTCCCAACTCAGCCAACCACTGGGGCTCCACTGCCGTGGCACACTGCATGTACTCCTTTGTGGTCAGGATTAACTCATGATAAACAACATACTCAGGAGTGCAGCCCATACCATAGAGAGCACTACTGGGATGAAGATGACACGGCATCCCATTCCGGCAGTTAACATACTCCCCCACACCCTTTAATCTTGCTGCATTATGGAAATATGCAGAACAAATTGCTTTTCTGACAATGTCCGTATCAGGCCAACATGAACTTAAGGGGATCTTTAAAGTCTTGAGAATGTCAAGCAACTGGGATCTCACCTCTCTGGCCTTTCTTAGACCTTTGACATGCAAAAAATGATCATTGCACCAATCACCTCTGTAATCATGTTGTTTCCACTGCTGATAAACATTGTACAGGGTTAAATGATCAGACTCTGGCACAAAAAATCTTTCCCGTGCAGCATCACTCTCCTCTGCCCGGTCCTTGGGTCTAAAGAAAACAGATGGCACTGAAAGCATGGAAACAATTGTCAAAACCTCCTCAAGACATCCTAACAGTTCACCAATCAAAAGCATCTTGGCAAGTGGAGGGTCCAGTGGGAATTCAACCATTTTCCACCCAAGATCAGTTAACCCCCCCACATTGTTAAGGGCACCCAGCACCCACAACTGGTACATAGAATTGAGAATATTGTCTTGCGGAGGTGGATCCATGAAATCAAAATCAAGTAAATTTTCAACTTTCAGAGACTTCAGCAACAAGACCACATTACCAAGGTTAGTCCTCTGAATCTCTGGAACAGGACTGGACAACATTTCATTTAAGTAAGCACTCTCAGTATACAACCTATAGCATGTACCGGGGCCAGTTCTACCAGCTCGACCAGCACGCTGGTCAGCAGCAGCACGGCTGACTGGGAAGACTTGGAGAGCATCCATGCCCATCCTAGGATTATACACCTTCATTTTACCATAGCCTGAGTCTATCACATAGAAAATACCATCAACCGTTAATGATGTTTCAGCAATATTAGTGGCTATAATGCATTTTCGGGCTCCATCCTCGGCTTTCTGGAAAATCTTAGCTTGTAGGTCTGCAGGAAGCTGAGAGTATATGGGAAGAATCAAGAGTTTAGGGACAACTTTATTTGAAGACGACACCATCTGTTCCATTCTTTCGGCAAGGGCATAGCAAGCTGCCTCAATCTCATCTTGGCCAGTCATGAAGATAAGGATGTCACCAGGAGGACTGGTTATATGAATAGTCATAGCCTGCTTCACCGCACCTTCAACATAATCTTCAACAGGAGTTTTACTCCATAATATATTCACAGGAAATGTTCGCCCAGGAATGTGAAAAATTGGTACACTGCAAGAATGCCACAGTTAGGTTAAATCTAACAAAAGCCAATAATAAGAAACAATGCAAGATGGCAAAGAGAGTTTACCTTCCAAAGAAATTTGAAAATTTTTGTGCATTCAGAGTTGCTGATGTGACAATCAGCTTGAAATCACGGCGTTGGGCTACAACTTTCTTCAATATTCCAAAAAGAACATCAGTATTTAATGATCTTTCGTGGGCTTCATCCATGACAATGACCCTGAAACAGTTTCAAACCAGATGGTTGGTAACACTGTTTTTTATTGCAAACAAACAATAAGGTGGGGTTGCAAAATTTGTTAATATTTTCATACCGGTACTTGTCTAAATCAGAGTCTTTGAGTGTTTCACGTAGAAGTACACCATCTGTCATGTACTGTAAAATTTAACAACTGATGGTTAGAGCATATCACACGATGTTTATGAATAATGTGTCCACAATCCACATAATCACATCATATGCCCACATGATGTGTGCAGAATATAGGCACCCTGTGTCAATTAAAGAATACATACAATGCAAAGAATCCACACTGCAGCTAACAAAAAGCACAATAATTATTTCTAATAAAGACAAGTTAGGTTCACCTTTATAATGGTACTTGGTCCAGTCACATCCTCGAAACGTATAGCATAGCCAACTTTATCACCCAACTCTGTATCCATCTCTTCGCTAACTCTCTTGGCAACACTCATAGCTGCCACACGTCTTGGTTGGGTGCAGCCCACTATACCACCTATAGTATAGCCATCCTCATGCAGATACTGTTCAGAAAAATCTAATGTTAATAAGATGTCTATCTGGGATTTTGTTCTTGATTGGATAAACATTAATTAACAAATACAATATAGTGGCAAGGAAAATCAAGAGAATAAAACCTGTGTCAATTGTGTTGTCTTTCCCGAACCAGTTTCTCCAACCACCACTACCACCTGATTTTCACGAACCACCTACACATTGTAGGTCAACAAAAATATTAGAATAACATTTATGATAAATATTGAGGGAGGAAGGAAAATGGACTTGATTATGCTATATCAAAATCATATAATGATAAATATTGAGTTGACATGCCCAATCCTAGTCCTCTTCCACATGATATTAAGACTATAATAACTAAGATACTCATGTCCTAATTATGAAAATTTAGACTGATTGATTGTGTTGTGATCATTAATTGCACAACCAAAAATATTGAAGAATTCCCATGGAGTCCTTACATTTTGACCAAAAACGAAACCTATCAATAATTGTCATATGTATACCCAATAAAAAAAAAAATCAACCTGTAATAAGTCTTCTCTCACTGAAAAAATAGGCAGATATTGTCTTTGCTCTGCAATGGTTTTTGACTTAGCGAAGTCACTCACGGCTTCTCCCTTTTTCAAGTGCTGTGAAAACTTAGCTTCTTCTTTAAAATCAATTTCACCATCTTCACCCACTTTAGCAGTGTCTGCATCAATCTATCGTTTGCAAAATTTTAAATAAGATGAAGTCTTAGACATGAAAAGAGAAAGCAAAGGATATAATTACTCCAGATTTCCAGAAGAATACCTGCTCTGCTGTTTTTTCAACACCCAAGATATCACCAAGCTTTGACCCTGCAAGTTCCCAGAAACGTTGGCGAGATTTGTTCATACTCTGCTTCTCATGGATTTCCCTAACCAGAGTAGATCCTTTACGAGATATTATAGCCATGTCAGATGTTGGATCTTTCAATGGCATGATTGGCTCTGCCTGCTTAGTAAAAACAACTCTGCCATCAAGGAAAGGAGGCTTTGTATCTGTGGCCAAAAGGGAAAAAGAAATTGGTAAAAATTGAAGAGTAATACAATGCGAACTACATTACAATGTCAAAGTTGGCAAGATGAATAATTACCATGAACAAGAAGAATAACTTTGTGCTCTTCCTCATCATCAAATTCAGTCTGAACCTCTGTACCTCTAACAGCTCCAGATCTTAGCAGTTGTCGATCCTCCCATTGAGCATTATCAGCTGTGAGCTGGGACAACTTCTTGCTCTGTGCAAGGGACATCTTGGTCCCATCTCTTCGAACCTGCATTATTGACAAAAATTGTAAGATAATAAAACTCATACCAACTTGCTCTAACGGCATGAGATATTAAACACTTCACAAATAAGCAAAATTATGAATACTGCATATACAACAATAAGAAAAAATGTGGATAGTACATACATACACCACATTGCAAAAGCTGGCCCTAGAAAACTGGGATGACAGATATTGTCTGAATAGCTATTTTCTATGAGGCACAAATACAATACAAGTACTATATACAATTCAAGTATGAAATACATTACATACGTATTTGATACGGCAACATGTAAATTTTAAATATAGGGATCAGTATGCTTAAGATAAACGTTAAAATCAATCAAATTCCTCTATATATATAGATTACAATAACTATCTTGAACAAGAGTGTATACCCAAATGTCAATCAACCAAAAGCCCCCAAAGGTTGCAACACAATTTATATCCATCTAGCTTACCAAACCACAACAAAGCATGTGAACATAGACAACATAGCTGATCCACAACTAAAGCATATCATTCATAAGAATAGTCAATAAATTTCAATCTATAGCTAGACGACATTAAGTAAACCTAACTATATTAAAGAGTCACAATGAAGAAAAATTTTCAGCCAACCATCTGTAAACTACAATATGGAAAACATAGATGTAAAATTTTTTCTCATGCAAGCTTTTCCATTTTATCAGATGTTCTCAATGGCCAGTAACTGTAGTTTATCTACTTACATTTGAATTAGTAGCAGGAAGATAAATGGATAACGTTGTGCAAATACAAACAAGGAAAAGTTAGTTTAAACATGTTAAGAAATTCTAAAAGTTACCAGTCTCTTGGCCAACTCAGCCTCTTTTTTCTGAAAGGAAGCTTCATCTCCAAGAAAAAGTGATGAGTTATCACCATCACACAATGTGCTACCTTCCTCTCTATCATACCTTCATGGCATAATTATAATTAGACTAAACTATAAAAGTGAAAAAAACAGATTTTGCAAATTATAAAATATACTGCTATGTGCAAAAGAATCATACAACTTCAGATGTATCGCCACTAAGGTAAAACTTGCATGATGAGTCAATTTTTAAATCTATATATCATAGCAGAAAAATATCAAGCAATTTAATTCATTAATTTTAAAAGACAAGCACAATAAAGGAACCAGCATATCATTCCAATGTATCATTATTATGCACTCTGATCTCACTTCCCAATAGATTCATCTGTGATAGCACTCTATTTTTTAAATTCAGTGACTTAAACAATATTAATGAAAAATACTTTTCCAACTAGATTTAGATACCATGCTCGGTCAGCATCATATTCCATCTCCAAACGCATGCTTTCAGTAATCTCATACGTGTGCTCTTCACCCAGTTCAGACTTATCAGCCATTTCATCCTGGCACATGAAAATTACAATTTACACGATGATGACATAGCATGCATATTAAATCTCAAAAATAATCCATAATAATTGGTGAGAGAAGAAAAGCAGAATACAATCAGAAATTGGCTTTTTCCTATATGCTAAAAACCATTTATTTTTATTGTTCAGCATAATCTATAATGATTCATGTTGAAAGTCCCACATCGCCTACCTCATATCATTTGGTATGGTTTAAATACATGTTAGGCTACTCCACATATAGTCAATTGGTTTTATGTTGGAATCTTAACATGGTATCAGAGCCAAAGCCTAACATCTTTCCGGTTATTGTCATGGGCCAAAAATTGCCCTTTAGTTGGGTCAAAAGTACCCTTTGTCTGGTCCGGCAGGCTTCGTTGGAGGGGGTGTGTTGAAAGTCCCACATCGCCTACCTCATATCATTTGGTATTGTTTAAATACATGTTAGGCTATTCCACATATAGCCAATTGGTTTTATGTTGGAATCTTAACAATTCACAAGGGAACCATCAGAAATTAGATGCAAAATATACCTCATACGTGTTTGAAGTTTCAGATGAAAATCTAAGCCGATGTAACCTTCCATCGTGTCTAGAAACAGAAGATTTGGCTGAAGATCCAGAAGCACGTATTGGGATAGGAGACGGAGAAACATGGTCCCAGGGGGAAGATGAAGTAACTACATTCAATTCAACAAAATAAAAACAAATATTATTTCACAGACAGCCATAGTCCAAATTCAATTATTTTGGGATCAAAAACATTAAAATTTTGAATAACATCATTTGGAATACCGTACAGGATGAATGAGGTGTGTTGCCTCCCAACCATGGCGAAACTAATCGTGCATCCGGTGAGGCACCTAGAAACATTGGGGATGGTGAAGGTTGATGACGTCTAGAACTAGAGGTACCGTCCCTTCTAGGAGTATCACCCCATTCCCATCTGCTGTCATCCCATTCAGACCTGCCTGCAAGTGCAAAATAGATAATGCCTAGGTCATAAAGAATAGCTAGTTCTCCCAATGCACTAAGGCTAATTGTAAAATAAAAGTATCTTATATGTCAATTTAATATAATTGGAAGCAAAAAGATTTTAGTATTCCAGGCGTTCTCCTCAGAAGAAACAGAAAAAGAACAAATACATACCAGGTGTTCTCCTGGAATCTTCATATCTGCTTCGCTTTCTACTATAATCACGGCCATATCTACTATGTGAATCCCTTTCTGAATAAGATCCTCCCTTACTGTCATAGTAGGTGCGATGCCGATCTCTTCCACTACCACTTCTTGAATCATCCCTGGAATGCCTCCTCTCACTCCTATGATCCTCCCTGTCATATCCAGAAGGCGATGGAGGAACCTTCAAAATTGATAGAGCAAAATTAGAGATATACAACAAAGTTTCAAAATAATGAGAATTTTATTGAATAAAAATTGCTAATTGTGAAAGGGAAATGCAATATTGAGCAATGAAAATGTTGATTTTTTTATCATATTGACCAAGAAAAGGAATTTTTCTATACTTCTATAAAAACTAACACTCATCTCATCTTCAAAGCATTTCAGGAAAACTAACAGGCAAAAGCCTCTTAAAACTTAAAAGACAGTAATCTACAGCAACAAAAATTCTCACTCTTCCTTTTTCTTTCCTTATCTTCCCAATCCCTTCAGCAGGTAACAAGTTTGAATATTATTTCACAAATAAAGTATTTCTTGGGATAGCATCATGACAATTTAAATGCTGTTCTAAAACAATTAAAATAAGACCATTAAATATGAAAATAAAGGTGCAGAAATAATCTTACATTTGAGGCTGCTTGCTCAGTTGAATTAGTCCTGTTGGTATCACCATAGTGATCTTCACTCACTGAACTTTCTGTGTAGACAAAGCCACAGAACCTTAGGTTATTATTTGCATTGCTTGAGGAAAAATTAATAACTAAATCCCATCATACAATAAAATAAAAAATACACGGACTTCAAAAACAACTTTAAATTATCATTTTAGGCAGATTAAGCATGTTGAGGTAAAGAAATTTCCTTTACAACTACCATTTGTACTACAATCTTGCAACTTTACATATCCAAAAAGGTTTAAATTACAATTTTGTCCAGTTCTTTCTCATCAATAACTCCAGATGAATTTAAATATATAAGGAAATGAAGAAAAGAGTAAACATAACCTCCTTAATGGAAATCAACTGGTGACAACAATTATATAAAGGGAAATTAATTATATAATTAAAAAACTACCTGCATGTGATGTTTTACTGGTAGTTTCGCGGTATCTCCTATTAGTGTGTCTGTGTTTGCTGACAATCCCATCTTGTCCACTTTCTTCGACAGTAGACAACTCAGACTTATCTTCATCTTCTGCAGATGCTGCAATGGAGGTGGTTCTTTCTTTTGGCAACTTGAATCCCCCATCATACTGAGACCCTCCCCGTTTTGCGCTGGCAAGGGCATCAAGTCCTATTAAATCATTAATTAAGATAAACATTGAACAGCCTCAGTATTCAGCACCCAAAAAATGTAAAAGATAAGACATAAGAAACATAGAACACTAAACGTGATTAAAAACGCATATTAAAACAAAACAATACCTAAACGTGATTTTCTCTCCTGAGGCACGTAAGCCACTCTATCCTTCCCAGGAACATAGAGTCCACCACTGGTAGGTTTTTCTGGTTCCAATGTCATAGTAGTCTTGTCTATGTCAATGACTTCAGAACCAGCTCCATCTTTCTATTCATCACCACCACCAACAACAACAAGAGCAGATTAAACCAAAATTCGAAACAGTTTAGCATGATGAGAGCAATGAAACGAATTCGACACTAACCTCCATGATGTAATAAAATGGGGTGAAATTAAGCAACTCCCAAAACCCTAGTCCGTAATCCCTGATCGAAAGACCCAACCAAGAAAACCCAAATTGAGTGAGTGCTACCACCACAGAGAGTGACGGAGACTCACCGCAGAGAAAGTGATGGCAGGGCTTCTTTTGGCTGGAGTTCAAACTGCAAAACCCGTTCGGGGTAAGATCTTCGGAGTTGTTAAAGACAACCAAGAACGCGGTTGAAAGTGTTAATGTAACAAAATCTCAATAGTATGTTGTGGCGCGCCCATTAACCCTTTGATAAAATAAATTATAATTAATTAAGGGCAGAGCAACTCTCATTAACTATTTAATATAAAATAAGAATTTATATTTTTAATAAATGTATTTTATCTCATATCTTTTTCATTTATTTTAATTTATTTAACTTTATAAATGATTTAAAAAATTAATTATAAAAAAGTTTAAGTTTATATCATACTACATAATTTTTTTAAAGAAAAATTATTTAAACAATTAATATTTTATTTAATTATTTTTTTAACGAAAAATTATTTAAATTATTTTATGAGATGATCTAAAAGATGGAACCTTATGTCATTTTATATTTAGTATTTTAATTTTTTTTATCCATATTATTTCAGTATTTAACATATTTATCATTTATCAAACCAAATATTAAATACATTGGGTCCTAGATAAATATTTAATATTTTTTTTCATTTATATTATTTCAGTATTTAACATATTTTAAAATGAAATTCTAGCAAAACTTGGGTGTTATTGTAACGATCCTATAAATCGTTATTATGGTGTTTTCACCAAATAGTAAACAAGTAAATAACATTTATATTATATTATATTACTGTAATTGTAATATAGACTGGAATCTCGATTCATTAATGGAACCTCGAAATATAGTAACATAATTTATTTATATAGATTAATGCAAAAGTAGCTCCCATAAAATCATCTTACTGAACTATTCTTGTTGTCCTGTAGTCGCATATTCACCTCTCAACTCCTGTTTTGCTCCTACATAAAAGTGATCATCGTAGTCCCATCTACATGGAAAATATAGGGGTAAGTATTAAATCATTCGATATAATAAAGCATATATATAATTAATAATTACATATTATCATTAATTACAAATCATCAATACACTAAGACGCCTTCTGAAAGTCTACCCTAACTATGCTCGAGCACAGAGGTTATCATCTGTGGGCGAATTGTGATCGGCACTCGTAGTACCATTTTGATCACTCTCCACACAGAGTATGATTACTGGCGCCCTTCATCACTCATACTGGAGTACCCCTCCGAGCGCGACACCAGTCATCCCTCATCGACTTTTTACCACTTGATCTCGTAGTCTACCTGACCCGACCAATCAGTGAAGTTTGAGACTTCATTCAGAATCCTCCAACATAGTTATTACATTAATGTACTTTGTACCACTCCGGTACCATTCAAACACAATAAAAATCATTCACATCTGCCAGATTCTGGACCATCTGTCCTCACGGCTCATTCGGGTCAATAAATAATAGTATTTGACTGATTCTAGACACCAACCCTTCGGCTCAGTCTAGCCAATACATAACATCTCATGACTTATTCTAGGCATCAACCATCAGGCTCAGCTTGACCCACACACGTCACAATACACAATTGAATCTTTAACATTTCTAATTTCATTCTATATTTTAATTATTTTTCCTAACATACCTTTATTTCTAAAATTCCAATTATACCTTTAAATATTTTCTATTATTCCTTTTTCATCATGAAATCATTAAATTACTATTTTGCCCTTAATATTTTCTTAAAATTCCATATATGTCCCTAAATGACTATTTTATCCTTGGACATTTTCGAAAATTCCTTCCATGTCCCAAAAATGACTATTTTACTCTTGGACATTTTCAAAAATTCCTTCCATGTCTCGAAAATGACTATTTTACCCTTAGACATTTTCAAAAATTCCTTTCATGTCCCGAAAATAACTATTTTACCCTTGGATATTTTCGAAAATTCCTTCTATATCTCAAAAATGACTATTTTACCCTTTATCTTTTTCAAAAATTTCCACCATATCCCTTTATTCTTCCTCCGCCCAATAGCCATGCCAGATTTTTTCAGATTTCTAATTTCCAAGTTTCAGGCAACCAAACTAGTTCCAAATCGAAATAAAACATAAAATATGATCAATTAAAGTTAAAAACAACAATTTTATCATATAATTCATCTTAATTTCAAGAATTTCAAACCAGGAACAATCATCAAAATCAGAAATTCTTCAAAATCAGAAATTATTCAAAATCACACATTCAAATAATTCATATTTCTACTCATATTTCTTATTCATAGAATATCCAACAATTCAGTTTCATATATTAAATGAATTAAATTTCCTCATACCTTATGTGATATTTCTACCGAAATTTTCCTACTTAATCCAAATTTTCTTTCGTTTCACCATATCCTGAATGAGTAAAATTTCATTACTTAAAATTTAAACAAAAGAAGAAGAAAGATAGAAGAGAACTATTTGCTAAAATGTAATGTATCTTCCCCATTTTCATATATAAAAAAAATTAGGATACATGAAGAAAACTTCATTATAAACTTTTCTTTCATAATAATTTTATTATAATATATAATAATAAAACATCACCTCTTTCATACAATTTTTCCTTTATTCTCTTTCTCAACTTATAATTTATTATTACATCTCATTATTTTATCTTTTCTTTTTCTATTTTTTCTTCATTCAAGAAAGACAAACTTTCGCAAAATATACATCATCATTTTCTATTATTTGTTAAGTTTTTATCAATTTGTTTCTTCAATATTTATTAAATAAAAAATATTATGTTTTAATTTTACGATAATCAGATTATATTGTAAACACACGACATTCCGACAAAACTAAACTTTACCCTTACAAAATATTACGTGTTCTTCCTAAGATTGAAACAAAAAAACAAATAAATAAAGTGAAGGAGGCAATAATTATCTATATTATTGCAATTTGGTTGGCTTTCTTTGATTGAAATGCCAAAAATAGAATAAACTAATTTTATTACCCATGCAAACGGGATTACGATCTTTATGGAAAGATTAACTATTATTTTAAAAATAATAAATATGTAGATTATAATAGATAGAATAATAATTTATTATAATATTCTTAAAAATATATTTAACAGAGAATAATTAATATATTATTATATTTTTTTTTCAAAACATGTATTTTGATAAAACTAAACTTAAAATTAGTAATCAATATTATTTTTCTTCATCAAATATTAGAGAAAAAATAAATTCTTTCATCTGCTCTCCATATTCAATGTATATACGGAAGAGTTGAACAAAGTAATTCAAATTATGGTTTTTTTTTTATTCATTGAAATGCCAAAAATAGAATAATGGACGGTCTGAATGTTAGGACAGTGCAGAGGACAAGAAATCATCCATGGCCCTAACAGAAGACCCCTTGAACCCATCTTCGTCTTTCATAGAAACCCTAATCCTATCCCTAACGTAACCACTTTTTTTCCTCATCGTGATACCTTTCTCTGTCTCCTCCATCACCAACTCAATTTTCTTCGCAATATCCTCACACTTCACTTCCCAACTCTTCCCTCTCGCAACCTCCACGCAAACCCCAACCTCTTCCTCCAAGAACTTGCAGTTGAAAAACTGCTCCGCCGCCATCGGCCACCCCAGAATCGGCACCCCTTCACTCAGCGATTCCACCACCGAGTTCCACCCGCAGTGACTCAGAAACACCGAAACCGCCGGATGCGACAGAATCTCCACCTGAGGCGCCCAATCGTGAACCACCAAACCCTTCCCCGATTCCCGAACCCTCTCGACAAAGCCCTCGGGTAACCACTCCTCTTCCCTGAACTCCGAATTTATGTCAAACCCGATCGGTGGTCTCACAACCCAAACGAAACTCTTCCCACTCCGCTCCAATGCTTTCGCCAACTCCATCATCTGCGAAGCGGAGATCGTGTTCATCGACCCGAAGCAAACGAATAGAACAGATTTCGAGGGTTTTGAGTCGAGCCATTCGATGCAGAGTTTCGTGTCGATTCCGCCACCTTTCCCGCGCGATCCGGACCCGGTGAAAAGAATCGGGCCGATTGCCCAAACGGGCCGGCCCAGTTTTCTTTTGAAGTAGCCCAGCCCAACGGAGTCAAACTCATGCACCGTGTTGAATAAAACCCCGTCGGAGTTGACCCACTCCCGGAGATTCTGTTGTTGAAACAACGACCACGCGTCTGAGCCATCGGCTTCTGCAATGTTATTGGGTAACTGCGTGCGGTGAATGTCACGTGCTTCGGGGAAGTCCGGTAAGGTGAAAAGTTCTTGCGTGGGGTCCACGCGGCGGTGGGGGAGGTTGAGCCAGAGGGAGTAATAACAGGCGAGGCCGTAGCCGCTACAGCCGCTGAAGACGACGTGGAAGGCGCCGAGTTCTTTGGCAACGGCGGCGGTCCAGCCGAAGAAAATATCGGCGACGACGAGGAGTTTCTGGTTTTTGTTTTGCACGATGAGGTTGTGTACGAGGTTTTTGAAGGCGGGTTTGAGAGTGGTGGAGGCTTGGATGAGTCGAATGACGAGGTTGTAGGGGATGGTATCGGTGTTCTCTGTGTTGGGAGGGAGGCCGTGGTGGGAGGGAGTAAAAGGGATTTGGAGAAGCGTGATTGAAGAGTTTGGTGGAAGAGAAGATCGTAACTTTTTTATGTTTTGTGAGGTGTTGACAATGGTGATGTTGTATTTGTGTCTTTTCTCTATCTGCAGGGCCAATGCAAGGAAGGGGATGATGTGCCCTTGGGCCATGAACGGGAACAGCACCACTTGGCGATTTTCTTCTTCCATTTCTTTCTTTCTGTCAAAGATGATGCAGAGATTGTCTGGTGCTGCTTTTTGAAAAACCACTTCTGCATTTCTTCCACATATGTCAGAATCTGGCCAACAATTTTTGACCATTGAAGTAGAAACGAAATAAATGTGAATATTTTTTATAAATCTCTAATATTAAAAATGTAGAAGTGAGAAGTAAAATTAAAAAAAAAATGTTTTGTATAAAATTTTAAAATCAAAATGAAAAAATTATAATAAAATATTTAATTTCATTTCTACGTCACTTTTATTAAAAATTCGTATGAAGATGCGTGGATTGGTCTCACATACCTAAACATGACCGGTAAACTTTGATTTTCGCAAGCAAATGGTGCAATCTTTATTATAATAATATGTTCTGAGGGTTGTTTGTGTTTGGAGTCGTAAAAATATCATTTTTGTTTCAAAAGGTTCATTTGGGACGGACGACTTTAATATCTTAACACATTTTAAATATATATTTTTTTAGTTTAAGAAGTATTACATACCACTAAGTACGACTTTTATTATTATATTCAAATAATTATTATTATAATTATAATAATATTTTTATTACATTAATAAAATAAATCACAATAATAAAATTATATTATTATTAAAATTAATAATTATTATTATTGTACTATTAATAATTATTATCATTAATAGAATACTATTTATCATTATTTATTTTATTATTAATTATAATTAAAATAATATAAATAAAATAACCTAGTATGGTAATATTTTTTTAGAGTTAATTTTGAGTTTTTAGAAATAGATATACCTTCCCAGAGTTTTTATTTATTCCAAAAATTTATGATATAGATTTTAGTTTTTTATGTATTTGTATAAAAAAACTTAGTATTCGATTGTTACATGTAATTTTATTAAAAAATATATAAATAAAATAAAAAATAATTAAATATAGTAAAATTATTATTAGAAGTTATAATATTAATTTTTATAATATAATTATAATAATTATTAAAATATAATAATTAAATTAATAAATTTATTATTTAATTATTATAAATAATAATAATAACAAAATTTTATTATATAATTTGATTATTATTACAATTAAAAATAAAATAAAATAATAATATTTATATTATTAATATAATAATATAATTAATAAATATAATTGTATTATTTTATTATTAATAATATTAAAAAAAATATATAATTGTAATATTGTTTATATAAACTCCTACTATCTAATATGACTTCTTAAATTTAAATAAAAAAAATTAAAATCGTATTATAAAACAAATTTTTCATATTAAAGTCGTGAGTTATCTAAATGTATAACTTTTTTTAAATATTTATTTTATATTAATAAATTTAAAAAATTGCACCATTCACGTGAAAAACCAGTCAACTTTATTATAATCAAAATAAGTTTTTAAAATCTTAATCTTATAATTTTTATTACATTTAAATGAATTGTCAATGGATATTTGATTTAAAAGGAAAATGATTATATAACTTTTCAAATCTTAAGCTTAATCGATCAGATAAGAGTCCATAAGTAAACATAACTAGTATGAAAAATAAAATAAAGTACACTTGTTTCACTAAAAAGAAAAAAACAGAAAGTTATAATTTTAAAAAAATATAAATAAAAAGTTAGAAGTAAATAAGTATATCATTATAAAATTATTATATATTTATTTAGAAAAATAAATTAATAATTAGAATTTGTACCCTTCCAAGATAGTTTCTCAATGATGGTACTAACACCCAAATAAGGCCTTCTTTATCTGCTGGTAGGAAAAGCCCAAACCCAATCCAAAAAATAAAGAAGTTTTGTTATCTCACACCCGTAAGTAGATATACTTAAAAATATATGTTTTTTATTAGATTATTTGTTATCGAATAAAAGAAATTAATTAATTACTATATTGTTTTAAAAAATAAAAAAATCAAACATATTCTTAGTATCTCTTTATTTATGGTGAGTTATCATATTAATATGGTTGGATGTATATTGTAGGAGTTTTCGTGGATAACTTTTTATTAAGTACTCCTCTAAATCAAATTTTAATATTAAATATGATTTAGTGTGATTCATAAAATTTAAATTAATATTTTTCTATTTTGCTTATATCAATTTTAACCTATTTTTAAATCGTCACTTTTTTAAAAAAATGAAATGTTTTTTATAAAAAATATTCAATAAAAGCATATATTTTCAATAATTATTTCATTTACATAATTTCAACTTTGAAATTCATAAATAATATAGTTTTAAAAGTAAAAACTACAGTATAACTTTACAAAAATGTATTATAATTACAATATATTAGATCAATAAAAACAATTAATATATATACATATATATAATTATTACTTGTTAATCAATTTTAAAAATATAATATATAATTTGATTTATTTAATTCTTAATTTTAATTTAAAATCTACCTTAAAATTAGTTAACTTAGATTAAAATATATCTAAAATTTTAATCTTGTATATCCATTTATATTAATTTTTTGAATTGGTTGGATTTTTTTAACACTGCGTTACTAATGGGCTTACACGAGGAATTGTAGGTACAACCTAGGCATGGCAACGGCGCCCGCCCGACTTTTTAACCATCCCCGTCCCGCTCCGATCCCGTCAGTGTTAGAATTAAGTCCTCATCCCCGTCCCTGCGGTTTCGGTTCCCGCCCCGCCCATCCCCAATTTATATTATTTTTAAAAAGATAATTATATTTATAATAAATTAATTTTACTATGTATTTTTATATATAAATAAATATTTATAATTTATAGTTATTATTAATTAAATATACATTTTAATTTATTATATTTATATTAAAATATATATGTAAAAAAAATATTTAATTATTTTTTATTTTTATATATATAATATTTATAACATTATTATTATTATTATTATTATTATTATTATTATAACATCTGTATTCAAATATTTGAATATTTATAACATTATTATTATAATACTTGTATTCAAATATTTAATTATACATATAAGTTAATTCATTTTTAAGTTGTCAATATATAGTTTATAAGAAAATATTTAATAAGTTAATTCTTATTTAATTAGTTTGAAGTAATAAAAGTTTAAATTATTAATTTCTTTTAATCCTTTAAAATGCAATTATTTTATTAAGATAAAATTTGATATATGATAAATAAGCATAATAAGATAAAAAAATATGGCATAATAAATATAAATTATAAATAAACTAATATTAGTTACTACTAAGATTGATGTAAAATATTTAGAAAAAGATAAAGAAAAAAGATTAACTTTGTGTTCATCAAATTGATTGAAAAGATTGAAAAAAAAAAACAAATTGATGGAAGAGACTAAGAAAATGTGAAAAACTGAAAGATAAGGAGAGAATAATATAATAAATTAATTGATATAAAAGATTGAGAAAGATAAAAAAAATTAAAAAGTGGGTAGAAGAAAGATAAAAATTGGTGAAATATAAAAAAATAGCATTATATGTAATAGAAAAAGAAAATGAAATACTTTTAAAATATTAATATTTTAAAATTTAAATTTAAATATAAAGTCGGGGACGGGGCAGGGTGGGGATTGCATTACCCATCCCCGCCCCGCTCCCGACTTTTTAAAGCGGAAAACCCGAACCCGACCCCGCCTCCGGTCAACTCGGGGTTTCCGTCAAACTCGGCGGGAACGGGTCGGTCCTCACGGTACGGGTTTAATTGCGATCCCTAGTACAACCTCTTTTCTCTTCTTTTCTTTCTGAACGTCATTAATTAAAGTCTCAATGCGATGGGTATAATATAAGAATAAGAATAAGAATAATATAACTTCACCACAAATTCATGCCATAACGTGACAATTACTTATATTAATATAATAATATATTAGATTGTTAATGGGTTATGATAGTTGTGAAAGCTTCTAACTTGAACATGATATCTTCAAAAAAATGATATTTTTTAAATATTGGAAGCACAAATATTGATTATTCTTGGGAAGAGTGGACAAATGAAGAACTGATTCATGGTCCTTAAGAAAGAATCTTTCAACCCTTTACCATGTTCCTTATCATATCAGAGATGTGAGCAGCTTTTTCCTTAATCTGTCATCACCATCCCTTTCTTGGTCTGCTCTTCATTGCAGCTCTTTCTTCTTTCTTCTGACAACCTCCACGTCAAGAATATTTTGTGTAGTTAATTCACAATTACAGAAAACTCAAGTCTGTTTCAGTCATTTAACTTGTATATATTCAGAATGTTATTTGTTTGCTACTATCATTCTCTCTTGTTACCAGAACCAGAATTTTGAACTCAATTCAGAATACAAACATCACATGAATAACCAAAAACCTCTCTCAAAGTAACCAACATAATACATTTGGCCATTGATTTTTGTAGAGCACGGTTCATTGGTTTTCTCTGCATACATTGACTACCATATCCCTATATGCAACTTGGTTATTTTAAATTATTAATCACACTAACATAGGTTATTCTTGGACCTTATCTTTTTATAATAAAATAATTTGTTGTATAAGATAATAATCCATTATAAAAATGATAATTATGAGTAACTAGGATCCAAAATTATAAATACACAATGAACCTGATCATTATAAAGCATCCAAAATCTAGTTAGCAACAGGTGTAATAATTTTGAACGATTATTCGTTATTAGTGCATATATTTGGATAGTTACAAACTTACTTAAAGAAGGGAGAATATAAATTTAATGGACAGTGAAATGAAACTAATTTCCAAGTTACATTTTACTTTTAAGGTCCAGATTTGTGCCTGCAAATAACTCTACACCTCAAGATCCTATCCTGAACGTAGAACCCTGGCACCACCATGATCTTAACCCGGCTTGGACCTTGTGATCTCTGTCTATCAGCAACCAGATCTTCCATAAAGTGAGGATCAAATGTTCTATTCTCTTCAACCCTTAAAATTCCAAGTGGGGGGTTGAAAGAAAAGGCCAGCAAATGTAGTAACCATATGCACTTTGCTGCCACAAAGAAAGACTGAAGGAGTTGCTCAGGCCAAGGCCTCATCCAATTCAGTGTAGTGATGATGCAACTCATTTTCTGGTCGCAGAACTTGCTAAATTCTTCACTGTAATACTTGGTGCCCTTTCTGAGCACCTCGTTCCAGCTCAAATTCCTAAGTGCAACAAACGATGAGAATTGTGCTTGACGATCCTGGCGAGGGTCTAAGAATTTTGTGCAGCCATTCTTTTGAAACACACTGTTCTCAAAGTCTTGGTAGAAGGAGTGGTTTATGAAGGCTTCAAAATGGTATAGAACTGCCTTTGAGTATTTGGAATTCAAGGAGAGTTTATATGGTTGGAGGAGCAAGTTCAAGTTGTCCATCAAAGAATGATCGGTTTCTTCAATCTGGCATATAAGGGTCTTGCAGAATTGCTTCACTGATAACCTTGATTCTGACACTATCTGCAAGAAACCCTCTATCATTACATCCTCACCCACAGGCATCAAATTTTCCCCATTCCCATCAAAAGGTGTTCCTTTGTGGGGAGGGTTATTAAACTTTTCAGAAAGTGTGGTTTCTTTGGTGAGAATCGCTTGCCTCAAAGCTTTCTTCAACTCTTCACAGTAACTCTCCAAATACTCAAGCTTTTGTTTCAGGTCTCCCAGAGAAGATCTCATCTCAGAAACTTCGATCAACGCAGCATCTCTTCTCTCATTCGCCTCCATCAGTTCTCTCTTCAGTGCCTCAACTGACATTATTCCCATGCCCTTGAGAACCTGAGAGACTTCCTCAGATTCTGTTCTGGCTGGGGAACTCACATTCTTATGCTTCTTCTTGAACTTAGGGAACAACCAGGAAATCACCCCTTTACTTTTCGGTTGGGTTTGAAAAGAAGCATGCGAATCTGTGAGGGGAACAACAATGTTGGAGCTCCTACTGTTCCTTGAGTTCTCATATTCAGTAGTTATGACAGCAGGATTGCACCTATTGCAGGAAGATAAGGGCCTCAAGTCCCCCGAACTGTTTCTCCTCCTGGATTTGAAGTAGTCATTTGCAGGCGATGTTTGGAGAACAGTAATATGATTTGCACAAGAACCACTCACAGATTTGCTATCATCAGCAGGACACATGTGAGAGTCATGGTTTCCAAATCCATAAGGTAGTCCCTTTCTTGAACTTGATTTCTCCTTGTAATCTGAGGGGGTCATGCTGTTGCCTCCTTCTATGCCATTTTCATCCCAACTTTCTGATATTGTTCTGCTCCTTGTTGGGTTCTGATGCGCCTCATCTTCATAGCTCTGTCAATGATTCTTTCGTTCAGAGACTAATTGTTCAACATAAAAGCACACATAATCCATGCTTCCAAATGAAAAAAACAATATAGAGCAAAAGTCTTAAAAAGTTGAGTACTTGAGGCACAATTTTTAATGTTCCATGAGAAACAAAAGTCCTAAAAGAAAAAGGTCAAACTCAATTCTCGCTTTATGTTTTACATTTCAATATTTCATGCATAGTCTACAAAGTTGATTTCAAAAATAATGAAGTAAATTACATATTCTTACTGGTGTGAAAACGGGGTAATCTTGGGCAGAGAAGTGAGAAGCAGGGGAAGGTGATGGGAATCTAACATTGGTTGTGCCTGGGCTACTTCCTTGTGTTAATGCAGCATGAAGGGCCCTTAGTTCCACTGCTTTGGCTATGGCGGTTTGGATTTCTTCCCTTGTTATTTCAGGGTTGTTGCCATTGTTGCTTTGGTTGTTATGGTTTTGGAAAGTTTTTGCGGTTGCAGTTGCAGCCATGAGGCACAACAGAGGAAAGAACAAAGTGGAGCATGTAGTGTAAACCGAGAAGATAATATATGCTCTAGAATACTGATATGCTTAGAAAATTTTATTGACAATCGAAAAAGAACAAAACAGGTTTTCAAGTGGTGACATCCAACGGCTGGATTTGGTTTGATGGCTATTATAAAATCTATGGTAAGAATGGGATCTTGTTGGAGAACCAGAAAATGGAATGAGGGATATAAAGGGTCACGTCTCAAACCCAATGAAGTGAGCCTTGTCTCTGTTCTCATAGGAAAACTAATGGATTGAGCACATGTGAAGAGGGGAGAGATAGGAGTAATTTTCCTTTTTGGTAAATGAGTTTGAGATTAGTAGCTTTTAACCAAAATAATCCTTTTTTCCCTATGGTTATATACAACAGTTATACATAGTGTGTGTTTGGTTAAACATCTTGAAACATTGGATCCATGTTAAGCCACAAGTTACCATTTGTATTTTTTGCATTCTTCTTTGGTTTGACATCATAAAATGAGAATACGTAACTTACAAAGGTCAATCTAAACTCATTGATAAATTTCATTATTTGATTTCAGTCATTGAGTTGGAAAGTGATTTACTTGACATTGGTCTACACCAAGGATTATACTTTTTTGACTCTGGGTGCATCAGTGAACCCAGTTTACCAAAATACCCATACATCAGGAAAATTACCAGAAGTTGGCATTGCTTTATAAGCAACATGGGAAGTTCCATTTCATCCACTATATATGTTCCTCATCATACCTAAAGTGAAGTAATATTCAGCTTTCGATTTGAGGACATTGTCAACCAAATGTTGCTTTAGTACTCATTTACATTTCGTTTGTAATCATGACTTGAGTATGTTGCCTACTAGAACTGTTCAAAAAGCCATCAAACACTTCCCTAACCCTGATATGGTGGTGATGGGGAGTAGGTGAATGGACTAATTAAAGTAAATGTCTTTACCCTTGAAGAATATTCTTCTGTAGATTAAATGTCTAATAATGCACAGATTATATAGCACAAGCCATGCTATTTATTTATATATTCCATGCAATCTTGGTGACCCTTCATAAAAAATTAAGATGGTAAACCTGTAACCTGTCCAGAGAACCAAAGGTTACTGATAATTTTCAAAAATGGAAAACTAATTATCTAAATTATGTGTTGACCTCAAATTTGACAAGTTAGAAGTGTTTAACATGCATAAACAGGGGCAGTAATGTTACATGAGAAGGATCTGGCTGAAGTCTTGATGTTACATGTTTTCTTTCACAAGTTCATCACCAATTGCAGAGTTAAAGTGGGTGAGGTTAATATTGTCCTGCTACAGCATGTAAAAACAAACAATATTGTGCCGTGCAAGGGTTCAGTTTTTTGGGCCGAAAGGAGAATGAAAATAACCAAAAGGTCCAAAACAATCCAAAAACTTACAGACAAGGAATCCTACAAGACAGAATGCCACAGTGGGGACCAAGTGGTTAGCATCTTTTAAAAACTAAAATTACATAATGCCCTGGTGATGCCACATATAAGTACAAGTCCTCATAGGGTATTTTTGAAATTGGAGAACGTTTTCTTGCTTGGAGCATGGAATCCTTTTATATAATTGGAAATGGAATTCCATGTAGGACAACAGAATTGTTTAATGAGGAGGAGTTCGTTGAGACTGTGACCTCCCCTTTTTCTAGCAAATGCCACTATTTTATGGAAATTATGATCCATAACCCTTACCAGCGAGGGAAGTTAGTAAGATTTGTTAAACAAACACATGCAAAAAGTGTCTTTTTCTTGCTTAATTGATAGCAATAGCGTAGATGTCTGAATCAAATTCTGGTATTTTCTTTGATCAAGGAATACGACACAAGCATTTCACAACCACTAAAGATAACTCAGAGTAGGTAGTTTAGCTATCCTTTTGAAGACAGACGTATTTGGTTTTGACTAAAGAAAACTTTAGTCTTCTCCTAACCACCCCATATAATTTTTGTTCCCACCAAACGAATCATAGAATACTTTGACAACATTCAATAAATACGCGTGTTATGAATTAAAGGATATATGTTTATTGATACTTAAAACTGGTTGGGTGAATAAGTATTAAATGGTATAGGTTTAGCAGAATGAAGTTAGTCAATACAGTGGCAGAGACAGCCTTTTAAGGGGTCATGATCAAATATCTCTTGATGTTTTTTTGTGAAGATATCATAATAGATAATTAAGGAGGCTACAAAATTTGAGGTTTAATCACAATTGACTAAACTTCTACTCAATTATTTTTGGTGCATCAGTGTTGTTGATCACTTTTAATATTACTGTTCAATTATAATACTCTAGCACTTTGTTTTTAGTAATAAAAGTGCAGCTGGAGGACATTCATTTGCAACCACAATCTAATTCATACTTGGTAAATTATGGGCCATTAGATTCATTCATCGGTTTAGAATGATTCCTTGACTAATTTAGCTTGTTTCCTGCCATGTAAGGATTGAATGACATCTTAATGACAAAAAGTTCTGCATATACATTGTTTCTATTCAAAAGGTTGGGTGTGACTAAGCACTCTTTCTTGATCTTACTTTGTGTGTTTCTGCTCTTGCCAATCATTTCGTTGATCACATTATATAATATGCTTTTCAATAACTTAACCAGATTTTCATGGCCAATAGAGAGTCTCACCAAAATATTGATTATTGGTGAGTTATTTCACTTGAAGGACCAATTTGTACTTTTAGAGTAAAAATCACTGCCCCTTTGTTTCATCTTTTGAAATTTTAAGAGGAAGAAGATATTGATCTCATGTGTCACAATTTTGAGCTGGCCAATTCTTGGTTGATGCAACAGATTGTATGAAGTAGAAACAAAGTCTTCTGCAGTGAGATATTCCAAAGATAGCATCATTGTTGGGGCTTAAATATGTGGGGAATATAGGTTGCACGTGATCTATTTTACATAGTTGGTGCTTCAAATTGACAGTTTAATAGTTTACCATGCCTAGAATAAACTACAAGGAGCTTAAAGGAACTATTTTAGTGCCTTCTCCTGTCTAACATTCTAATGCCAAATCTAATTTGTTTAGAGGTTTAATGACATATTTTATCACTAAAACTTTTACATTTTGTTAATGTTATTATTTGAAATTCAAAATTATATACATTTTATCTTTCTATCAATTAGTTGTTAAATTACTAATATTGTGGTAATATGTGACTTCCACTTTAGAGTGAAATATGAATTATATGTTACATTTGTAAAATGTAAAATTTAATAGTAACATTTGTAAAAGTATAAAATTTCACTGGTTAAATATTTTATTATTGTTTTTTTTTTTTCGGTACACTCACGAGTTCAACGTTAATTAGAAATTGAAGTCAATAGTTTATATACGATCCACTCCACTCGTACTTTTCTCTTCCTTTCTTACAAGAACAACACCGTAAAAAACAAAAATAGATTCAAACCGTGAATAATTCATCGGACATAATGTGGTTAAGATTATAAAATAAAATTAATGGACACTCAACTACTAAACCAACATTCTTCTTATATAACTTAATAAAAAACAAATAAAAGGTAAAAAAAAAAAAGATTAAAGTGTCGAGTGAGTGTTGTCGAGGAGTTAGATAAAATGAGTGGCATGTGCTCATCCCTGTAGTTGAGTTGAGTATATCATAGATAAAGATTATTACTTTCCTTCTCAAACATTGTCCTTGAATAATGGCTGTGAAATGGGACCAAATATATATGAAAGCAAATAGAGGGTGGATGAAGAATGGTGTAAGGTTTACTCATGCAGCAAAGCAGGTACCTTTCAGTCTATTCTTCAATAATTGGCTTCATCAGCAACCATGGGAAATCAAGAGTTTCACAATGGATGCCAAGAGGGAAGAAGCTTGGGATGTAAAAAAGGAAACCTCTCTCAACTTTCAAACAAAAAACCACGGAATCATGGGACCCTGGCTAAGGTACTATGTATTTGCCTGTCTGTCACAGACCCACCCATATATATTGAACAAACTTCTTAACTTCACTTCAAAGTTATAATGGTTTCGTAGCAGTAAAAACCTCACCATAACAAAATTCCCATTTGCAAATTATTCTTTGTTCCATGTGTGTGCATGAACGAAACAAATGATTCAAATTTGCTTGTCTCTTTCTGAGTAAAAAACCGAGGAATTAAGAGTAAACGAAACCCAAGTACTGCTACGAGCTAGCATTGCATGGTTCTTTTTGTCTACTATAAATTGACAACGTTAAGCATTTATCCTTTTATATGTACCCTCTTCGAATTTTCGCAGTAAACGTATTGCAAACTGAAGTAGTAGTTATACCAAGTTACATCATATACTATAATACTCCTCTTGTCCTCCTCGTTAAATCATTCCATTTTGTCTTGTATATTGGGAGGTTTCATTTCAGATTCAGAGTACCCATTACCACTGTTTCGCTTTCACTGTTATCATCTTTCTGCATTATTCTCTCTCTCTCTCTCTCTCTCTCTCTCTCATATATATATATATATATATATATATATATATATATATATATATATATATATATATATGTTGCTTAGTTACTACACGATCGCGTTGTTTTCAAACACTGTGCATTTTACTGTTTCTTTTACTCATGTTAGCTATATATATGTTGTTATAGCTTGAGTACCATGGTCTTTAGGTTTCTGGAGAAAGATGTATCATTGTGGATGAATGATAGAATGTAACAAATATGAAAAAACAAAAACATACTGGTAAGATTCTTGGAACAACTTCACCTTCACATGGGTTAGTTGAAATTGAGTGTCAGAACTAGGAACAAGACTGTATAAGATGGAATTTTCCTGGTTTTATTTTAAGTAATTATGTTTGAATTCGGAAGATTTATCAAAATTAAAGTAATTTTTAATCAGGATTGATTAAATGTTAATATAATTAGTTTTCATTCAGTTAATTTATTAATAAACAATGTGTATACAATTTTTCTTTACATTCATATAATTATATTTTTAAATAATGTAGTAGACATGTTTGATATACCTAAAATATAATTTGATATGCCTTCGTTCCATATATATATTGGTTTGAATTAATTCAGACTTGTATAAAGTAAATTGAAATTCAAATATTTTTGGTAGACAAAACATGAACCTTCATTGTTCATCTTCTACATTTTCATTGTACTATTACATCTATTTAAATTCTTGTGAGTAATGATTAATATTATGTATTAAATGTAGATTTAGAATAATTTTAAAAAATCATATTGAGTTATAAAATATCCAATATAAAATACATCATTTTTTTGAAAATATATTCTGAAACACTTATTTTATAATTTATTTTCAAAAAAGTCAATATAAAAATGTATTTTAGATTGAATATTTCAAAATGTTTCTAAAAAAGTCAATCTAATATATATATATATATATATATATATATATATATATATATTTTTTTTTCAAAAGCATGCCTTTTGGAATACACTCCTAGAATTTACTTTCCAAAACATGTTTATGGAATTTTTTGTCCAAAACATGTTTTTTGGAAAAAAAATTCTGAAACTGTCCCAATCCCCAAAATGAGATTATAGCCAAAAATCTTGTTGTGTAAATTGTGTAAACTTAAAAAAATTGATACAAATTAAAAATAATTAGAGATTCTTATCTATTTCTTATAATTTTTGGAATAATAGGAGAAAAAATAATCTCAGAATGCTTTAGTAAAATTTAAAAATCAGACATTCAATATGATTTAATTTAATTATGGAGAGGAGATAGATATAAGGAAAAAATATGATTTAATTTAATTATGGGGAAGAGGAAGAAACTACAGAGGTGTGCCTAGCAAAATAATATTTGAAGAGCCCGTGTATTCAAGGTTGAGTCCATTATATTAACAAAAAATATACGAATTAATGGGCCTAAAAATAAAATTAAACTTGAAAAAAAATGGAGCCCAAATTGAACGAACCGCGCCCGGTCTTTTTTTTCGGATGAAATGAAACAACGAAAATTAAAGTTGGCGCTTCAACAATTGAATGCCATTGGAGCATTCACGTAGACACGGATCGCAATCGTAACCGTAGATTAATTAGAAATCGAAGGCTCATATTTATCCTATATTCTTCTTGTTCAAGGTGTATTGTTTTTTGGCAAGTGTATAAATCTTCACCTGAATGATAGCTTAACACAATAAACACTCAATTCTGAATCTCGTAGAAATTTTGCAGCGAGAAATCACCATTTTTTTCTGAACAATGGCTCGAACCAAGCAAACCGCACGCAAATCCACCGGAGGAAAGGCTCCGAGGAAGCAACTGGCAACCAAAGCCGCCAGAAAGTCCGCTCCTGCCACAGGCGGCGTGAAGAAGCCTCATCGCTTCAGGCCGGGAACGGTGGCGCTCAGAGAAATCAGAAAGTACCAGAAAAGCACCGAATTGCTCATACGAAAGCTTCCGTTTCAGCGTTTGGTGCGAGAAATCGCTCAGGATTTCAAAACGGATCTTCGGTTTCAGAGCAGCGCTGTTTCTGCTTTGCAGGAAGCCGCAGAGGCTTACCTGGTTGGACTCTTCGAAGACACAAACCTCTGCGCCATTCACGCCAAACGCGTCACCATCATGCCGAAGGATATTCAGCTCGCTCGCAGAATCAGGGGGGAGAGGGCTTAAGTTTTCACAGCTTTCCGTCGCGTCTAGCATAGGATAATTTAGATGGTCTTCACGTATGTTTCGCTACACGATAAAATAGTGGAATCATATTCCTGTTTTGTATCCTAAGTTTTCAAAAGCTTAGGAAAAGTTACAAGAAGTGGAATTGTACCAATTGATATGCTGTGACCGTATTTCTGAAAATAGTTATCTATGTTTCCTTTTCTTTCTTTTAATGTGCATTTTCTAGTATTCCATCTTGCTATGTTATAATTTTCTGTAAATTGATCAATTCTCACGATTAATAACTTTGTTAACTTTTTTTTTTTTTTTAATTCTAATTTAAGTAAAGAAAAAAAGAAAGAAAAGTTACCCACCCATGTTTATTTTCTTGACATAATGTAAAAGAAAACGTCGCTTCTTCCTCTTATTGGATGAAGCTGTCTCTCCAGACAATTAAAAGAAGCTAATTCAAAGAGGATGAAATTTTTGGACGATTAAAATAGCAAAATATTTCACCAATAAGAATAATAAATAAAGAGGCTTTTTTATTTTTTATTTGTAACATCATTAACTTTAGGTGAATGCAATTCTCCATTGCTATTCCGTAGAGTGATTTTAGATATTAGTTTTTAATAATTTTAAAATATGTACAATAATTAGAATGAGCTATTATGTTTGATTATTAAATTAAAAAAAAAAACAATATATGAAAACAAGATTACTTTTATATTTAGTATACAGAAAAATAAACACCGCACTTAGTTATTGAGAACTAGTGCTAGGTGAATTAGTCTTGTTGAGGCTAGGAGAATTATAAAAGAATATTTTATAGGTAAGGTTCAAGCTGGAAATTCAAATTAGTGAAAAGGTACGATGAAATGGTTTTTAGGCAGAAAACCGATTTAGAAATATTTCAACAAACTAGACGCACTTACCCTTGAACGTTTCCTAAAATGGTTTCATTATGTCATCTATTGTCAAATCTATAACAGTGGCCTTTCTTTTGACGTTTTTTAGTTTTTACATTTTCATAGCATTAAAGGAAAAAAAAATAGATTGACAATCGATTAACACATGTGATTCAACAACTTCATTTATTAATAAAATAATAATTTTTAATTAATTTTATTTAAATCAATCACTTTATAAATATAATATTAATAAATAAAATTGTATAAGGAATGTTTTTATCCTTTTTATCGTAAAAACATCAGCACTAAGATATAGTATTGCTCACAGGAAAGCTAAGGATGTGGAGACAAGGGGAGATATTGGTAATTTGGAGGCGTCTAGATTCAATTAAGGGAAACTGATTCCCAAAAATATTCTTGCTAATTAGTTCCATTACTAAGATTATGCAGAAGAGAAACCAGAGTGAAAGGCAATAAAGGTCATGGTAGATCATATGGAAGCAAAAGCTAATGAAGCAAAACAAAACCTGGAAGGCTCGCTGAAAAGCATTTTATATTATATGCACAATAGTAAACTACAATAGCATGACATGATCATTTGATATACAACTACGTTTTATATCAATATCATACCCAGTTACTAGACAAAGAAAAATCGTGGAATCTAAAAGAGAATTCCCCAGCTGTGTCTCTCTGAAGCCTGGATTGGGAAATTTCACTTGTAATATCACTTGGTTCAGATGGTGGAGGGGGCAATGGCAGTACATGAGTTTCGTTTTGAATGGCTAGCTGAACTTCAGATGCATGTGATGACAACACAGAAGAAGACAGGGCCCTAAATCTAGTGCTTCCTCCACTTGAAGAAGCCAAAGCCCTGTCCCAAAGGAAGACGTGCAGGAGAATGGGAACTCTTGTGTGTCGGTGTAAGGACAGCTTCTGGCTGAGTGAAACAGTGTCATAACACCGAATAGCTCCTGTTGAAGAAACCATCCATGGAAGGACTTTTTGATTTGACACTCTTGAAACCACTAACATCCTACTAGTATCAGTTGCCAGTTTATACAGATTGCTCAGCCCTGATCGTGTTGCAGGTACATTTTCTTGATTAATGACCGATGAGATGAAAATAAATCCCTGTGGATTGGGAAAAAAAGAAGGTTATTGGCTAAAATATGTGTTTTAATGTAAGTGGTTACATTATACAATATATGATGTTATACTTAATTTATATTACTACGTGAGTATAAATTCAAGATATATATATATATATATATATATATATAGTTTCTAGATTTTGTTTATACTATCTTTTAATTCAATTTGAGTTTCACCTCAGTAATTCAAGAAACAAAAGTTTTCAACTCTGCATTAAACGATTATACAAAATAGTGAGGTGAAACTCTAACTATAATTAGTGGATGCTACAAAAAAAATCTAAATAAACTGTATCTAATTCTTTTTTTATGAAAGTATATGGATATACATGATCAAGATAGGAACCTCTTCAGTACGACTAATGGCAAAGCCAAGCTTTGAATCTTCTTCTTTTAGTTTGATCTCAATAGATAACTCTCCGGCAACCGGAGCATACCATAGGCGAACTGCTCGAACAACACCAATGTCTATTCCATGGTAATCCTCAAACCCGTAAAGGCTTGCATTTGCTAAGTTAGCTAAGTCGGATAATGACCCTGCATTCACAGTGGAAGAAGCTGTCTCTCCAGATATCTGTCGCACAAACAAAAGAGAAACTCCATGTCATGTTGTACAAAAAAATACCTGTAAAATCTTAAATAGTGTCTTACTGTCTCTTATGATCAACTGCGATATATATTGCAAAAGGTTACAAAAGTAATAAACAAACCAATTTTCTATAAGGTTAAGCTCTCAATTAAAAGTTCAAGAAAGCCACAATAAGGAGTGACCAATTTACCTTAGTAAGTAGGGACTCAGTTTGGATGTTCATGAAGACAATAGGGACCCCCGACGCTTGACCTGCATTGAGCCACGCATTTGTCCTAGCTAGGGTGTCCTCCAGATCATTGTAGCGAGAAGCTACCCGATCTGAAGCTTTGGGAAGGAATAATATGGAAAGAAAGTTGCTAGAATTGGGAACTAATAGCATTTCTTGCATCCTCCTCTCCCATGAATACGAAACATATCCATCCTGTAACTTGGTCCTGGTTAACGCATTTACCATCCTAGAGCTCCTTGAAGCTGCAAATTGTAGTTAATGCAAACAGATATTAGATATGATACTCGAAAGAGAAAGAGTGAAGAATGCCATTGGCATTGATGACAATCACCCAATACAGAAATAGAGGTTTAAAACAAGACGTGGAACAACTTTCGCTGGATAATATATGGCCATTGCAATAGATGTATTCTTTTTCTGTTTTTTATTTTTATTTTTTTATATATAAAGGCTTTAAGTTGGTATAACCTTTCAAGTTACAGAACAAACCATCGGCAGATATTTGGAATACTTGGTTGCAATTCATCCATGTTACTCATAAAAAAACATAGAATTCAAAAGTATACAATTTTAACTTGTATATTTGACAAGAAACATTGGTTGCTTTATGTTCATATTGGCATTTTGCAATAGAACGGCGAAAGTTCAAAAATTGCTAGCACCAACTTAATTGTAGTCGAACATTTTGAATAAAGTGTAGAGAGAACCCTCCAACTAGAAACAAACAATGTAAGACATCTATCCAAGCTAAGTTTCAGTATTTCCGCTTACATAGGTATTGAGCTTTATTATGACAAATAAAGTAATAGGCTGAATCTATATTCTCAAAAAAAAACCGAAAACTAGGTTCAGGGTAAATAATGAGAATCTATTACGACTGATTACCTTCGTGCCAAATAGATGTTTAAATTACCTCACTCCTTACATTTTAAATATAATCGGTTCCTATTGCTGAAGAGGCTAACGGAGCCGCAAAGGTTATATATTCAAGGAATCTTTACCGATACGAAAGAAACTAAGTAATATTTTTTTAAACTTCTTATGTAAATATGTGTAGACAGGGAAAAGTTTGTATTTTCTATTTGCTCCTTGTTTGTTCTGTCTGGCGGTGGATACGGGTGCTTTTGACTTTGTTTTGGCACCTCATGTGCAACAGCTAAGTATTTTAATAAAAGTTAGATCCTTAGCATTAAAAAAAAAAAAAAAAAAAAAAAAAACCGGAAAGGTAACTTCACAGGCACAAGTCACAAGTTTCAAATGAATATAACAACGTGTGCAACTTTCATATGAGAAGCTCACGCTTCCAATAAAGGGAATTCAGTCCCACAAAATGAGATGTCGCTTCATCAGTAAAGTAAAAAATCAGTTCACACAAAGCAAATCAAATATTTGGATGAAGCATCACAAACTTTTGGGAAGGATCTTGCGATGAATTAGTTCCCGCAAGCATATGGAAATTGAATCACATAAAGAAATGGAACGGGCTCAATCACAAAGGAATGTCAACTCATTGCCAGCCCTACGCATGGGCATGTTACGTATGATCTAATAAGGCAGGACAAAAAAAGAATCTATTATATCATAACCTACTATTTTCCTATTTTAACAAAAGAGAAACTAAGTATTTTAACACATGAACCAATTGTGAAGGGTTAATGTGTCATTTTATATAATTAGAATGTACAAAAATTATATAAAAAGATGTCAAATTCAGATATTGACATTCCAAATTATTTATTCTAATTTATAATATAACAACTTCTTTAAACGCACCTTCCTTTGTCATTATTTCTAAATCAATTTTCAATAAATTTATTAAAAGAAATTGTCAATGATTAAAATTAAATTTACAACATTATAGCTAAATTAATTTCATTCCCTCAATTTTTCCGTTATCAATTTTTATTATTATTATTATCTACCTTCAAATAAATACTATTAACTAACCTTCAAGTAATATAAAATTTGTTTTCTCACAGGGAGGGAGAGTATTTACTACTTTCATAATTGTTTTCTTATCTCCAACCGGAATTACTACGAAGTGTGGTTTTGAAATAAAAAAAATATTTTATTATGAATTTTATATTTAAATTATTTAAATAATTAAATTATGAAATTTATAATTAAATATTTAATTTTATTTTTAAACAATTTTATTAAAATTTGAACAAATTTTAAATAATTTAATTATAAAATTTATAATAAAATATTTAATTTTATTCTTAAACCACTGTTAACAAATGTCCGCGGTTAATCTCCAACTAAATTAACTCTTCCCAATACACTAAAACAATTAATTATTTATTAATTATTACAACACACGGAAGCTTTAAAGTCAAAAACAAACCGGAGAAAGTTGGCCTAAGACGGCGAACCGTACCTTGAAGCTCGAAGCATTCTGCTTCGGTCCGATCCAAGAACCCGACCACGTAATTCGGGTCATCAATTGAGCGAAGAACCAAACTCTTCTTCGACGCGAATTCGTTCGGCACGATGCACGCCTGCAACTCCGCCAACTCCTCCGGTCCTCGCCGCACCCGTACCACAATCGACGTCTCCTTCTTCTTAAACGCCTCCTGAAGGATCTTCTGCACGCCGCTCCTCCCGCCCTTGAACGGCGACTGGTACCGGATCTGCGATTTCGCCGACGAACCGATTCGAAGCTCCTCCACGATGTCGCCGCTTTGGAGCATGTCGGCCGTCCACTCGTCGGCTTTCGAGCTTCCTCTCAGACATTCAATGGAAAGCACTTTCGGATCTCGCGTCGGTGAATCGGAGCTGCTCTGCGATGATCTATCCATGATCATGATAACCTTACGCAACCGTGTGTCGTCGTTTCAATTACACCGCCTTCACACACACAAAAAAAGCAGCGAAATCAACGGATTGAGAAAAATAAAAGGTTACGGAACGAGTGAAACTGTAATCCAAACGCGCCTTAACTGAAACTCATAACAATGTTAAGGTGAAGAAAATTTGTTAAATGGTTGTTATATGAACTAAAATGAATCAGGAATGAGAAGTCAAAGAAGGTTAATGGTGTGAACAATTTATGGTTCGTGGAAAAGTATATGATCCATGCTCCCATGGAGATGCAGACTTTGACCATTTTCTTTCTGATGCTTCTTCCTCCAATTAAATCTTCTCCAAACATTACTATCTTTTAATATCTATTTTCTAGATAATGCCTGCGAGGATTATTATTATTATTATTATTATTATTATTATTATTATTATTATTATTATTATTATTTTAATATTCGATTATTTCCTCATTTAATTATCTAGTATTTTTAAAATATTAATAAACAATTTAACCTTTAAAAAACAAAAATAATTCAAAATTAACTAAAAATAATCATATATAAATATAAATTCATTTAAAAATAAAATCTCATTTTTTATACTTTATAGTATTCATTAATTAATTTTGAATTATATTAAATGCTTTGAACATAGAAAATAATTTACTTTTTTTAACTTATAAAAGTTGTTTTTTAATAATATATAATAGTTAGTTTTTGTCAAATATAACCTGGGAAATCCTGCTTCCGGACTTTCAATTTGATAGTTTCTTGATTGAAAATTGACATAACTTGTTTTTTATAATGATTTAAACTTTTGGAAGGTAATGGGTCAAGTTGCACTCAACATTTAAAACAATATCCAAATTATTGTAATGTTCTGTCATAAAGTATGACAAAGAAAATTAACTTCAGTTTTTTTTTTTCACAGAAACTTCAGTTAATTTTGTATTCGGACATGGGCATTCAAATATTGCTTTTGAAAATATTTCATTTTCTTGAACACTACTGATATTTTAACAATCAGAAATCATACAACTCTTCAAACAACTCACTTTTATTAATATAATAATCTATAGACTGATTTAATAAAAATAAAAATAAAATAAAATTATTATTATAATATTAAAACATAGTTATTTATGAATTTAGGTTGTCAAATATCATTTTTCTTTCTTGAAATATTACTTTCTTTTGTTATCTTTTTCACACAAGGATAAAATCAGGCTGTTGAATTAAATCGTCTCAGTTGGTCGGAACCAGTCACGATCTAAATAATCATTTTTATGTACTATATAATTAACATTTAATTTAATTTTAATTAGAATTCGATATTAATTCTTATTAAATCGACGACGTGAGAAATTTCTTTGAGGAAATGATGCGGGTTGAATGTAGGTAGAAAGTGCGCAATGAGGAGGCGTGTACGAAGGTGGCTGAGTGAGTGTGACAGTGACGGGATTCTCAAAAGATTGCTTTGACCAAACCGCAGCCGTGGCATGACGGTACTCAAGGTAATGCCCCGATCTTTTTCCAGACATGTGCATTATTTATCACAACTCATTCATGTAATCTTATTTTATCTTTCACTCATTTACTTATTCAAATAATTTTATTTATTTATTATTATATTATTTATTATTTTAAAAAATCTTCTTATTTTTATTTTACTTGATCCCATCATAGTCTATCTATGCTTGAGAATATTTAGTTTAATTCATTTAAAAATAGACAGAAAGAAAAATAAAGTTTTTATGTATATTATTATTGGCTCTTATTAAATTTGTGACGATATTTCTCATGTCTTTGTTGCTGTTGACATCTGTGGATTTAACTGAAAAAAGTTGCAAATTAATATAATAGTAAAATGATGTAACAAGAAGAAATGTTTATTTGTATTTAAACTTGGAATATGCGTGAATAATTGTTTTGTTGGATCAATAACACTAAAAGATTTGATTTCTCCTTGATTTGATGAAAAAAATTCTTATAAAAAACTTACATTAGATTTGATATCTCTATAATGAGAGATTATTACATGCCCATATCAATAAGTTATGGCTTCACTAATTTTTATATCATATATAATTGATTTTTATTAAAGGGTCAATATGCATCCAAATACTCCGTAAATAATTGAACTCTTAAATGTCAGCGCAATTAATAATTAATTTTAAGCAAATCTACAGTATCATGAAATTCAAGTTTATAGACAACAAATCTGTTGAACCTGTTATTATTTTCTTCAAAACTGTGTAAATTTAAGCTAAAAAACAGACCCAATTCGAGCATAATGGACCAGGCTAATTCCCCGAAAATATGTAACAAATTAGAAATTCCGGTCAGATCAGCTTGAACCGCTTTTTACAGATTGGACCGAACGGTTCGTTTTGTCACCCTCCCCTGTTAGTTTCTTTTATTTTAAGTCTACTATGAATATTCTTTTGGACAAAAAATAAAAACATAGGTTGAGGGAAAAAGTATTGTAAAAGTTTGTCAAAAGCCTAAAGATGAGAATATGTAATATGCTGCTGACATATATATTTTTTAAGTTTTAAATTACTTAAACATCAAACAGAAATCGTAGAGAAATAAATTGTGGTTTCATTGGTTTCTGCATCATCAATCACTTGAGAAAGATAGCATGGATCAATCGACATAATGAGTAAAAATCCATGAAGTGAATGATAAAATAAGCCGACTGTTAGACAGCACTAACAGATTTGAATAAAATCCCTGCTTCTGCGATCAAGTTTAGCATGATAATGTGCCATAACTAAAGTATTTAACTAGTAGATAAGCCAATGAAGTATTTACCATCTTCTGTTTGACATTTTGTTCCCCTTGGATCATTGCGAAGCAGAGGGCAAACTGTACCATCGACATACATTCCAGAGGAGCCTACAAGGAGAAACGAACAGATATAGGTGAATGTCACCTCTTAATATAAATAAATATATATATATATATATATATATATATATATATATATATATATATATATATAACACGAATACAAAATATAATGAGAAAGAAAACGAAATTTATTCGTGGCAATAGTTAGTGCAAGGTGTAATTTTATTTTTTTAAACATGTGAAGAAATTTGTTGACGTATACAAAATGTTCAAAACTTTCATGCAAGATTATTGGCTCTTAACTGTAACGGTGAATAAATCTCAAAAACAATAAAACAAAAGTCGTAACAGAAGTAAATAATACTTGTGAATTTTTTCTATAACATTGATATGATTCTAGATACTTACTCGTTATTATACCCATCTCTTGTTAGCAGTCGTACTCTTGTCTCCATTAAGAGATCGTCTTCTACTCTTTTTCAAGTCTCCACGAGCTGACAATTGCTTTTGGACTGAAGAAGAAGCTGCATTGGATTTTCGGCTACTTGAAACTTCTTTACAAGGACTAATGGATCGAGACTTTGAGTGGCGTTCAAAAACTCTCCCTGATGAATTAGATACTTTTGCTGATGTAGGTTTCTGATCAATTTTGGAGGCAGAATCCTTTTCAAGGACAACATCAGCTGGAAGATCTGGTGTTTTTATGACAGAAGAACTATCTGAATCAGAAGCGGAGGGGCTAGTGGTGCTATCCATGTCGTAAAGAAGGTTATCTATCATAATATGCGGGAGCTGACTGTCATTTGACCCACTGGCAGAGAAAGAGGGTCGACGAAGCCTTGTAAGCTGCACAACCTGCAGTGAATTGTGAAAGGGACCTTTATATATGAAGCATTTGAGAATCGTAGATACGAAATCCTTCTTGTTTTGCATTCCTCTGAGAGCTTACAAGTAATGTGACGTATATTTATTCATATATATTCAACGATAATTCAAATCCATGGGCTAGGCTCCCGGTTTTTTAAATATACCTTACTATATGCGTTCATGTTACCTTTTGTTCTAGAACCGACATGTCTTTCTTTAATTTTGAAATTGTTGTATTCTTCCTCCGTATAATGTCTTCTAATTCAGCAATCCTCTGTTTTAAGTAGCAGCAGTAGAAGTAATGAGTAAATTACAACAACAAAAAAGGTGCAAATTCTAATCTTGAAATGTAAATGTTACCTTGCAATTGGCAACCTCGTTAGAGTTCAACAGGGTCGTTAGCTCCTTTATTGTGGTATCCTTCTCTTCACAGTCCCTCCTAAGATTAAAAATATCTTGTTCTACAGCCAAGTTGTTTAACTGAGGATGACAAAAGGTGTGAAAAAGGTACCCAAAACCATACGAAAAAAAAAGTGTATTTGCAAAAAATATTCAGAGGATGGTGGAACAAATAAAAAATGGAAAACAAGGTAGCCAGAAAGTAGAAAAACGTAACAATTACAACTAACCATCTCCAATGAAATATAGTCAAACAATTTCTATCAATTATCCTGATTCCAGTTAAAATCAAGGTCGGGGAACGCAAACAACCAAAATGTCTGATGAGTCACCATTTGCTCAAGTTACAGATCTTGTGTCAAGGTATCCGATACCAAGATTTATGACCCACTTAAGATAGAAAAATCGTGATCAAAATTGCATAGCCTTAGAAAAACATCCCAATAATTTGTTCAATCGAACATTAAAAAGGTAAAACATTTATAAAATTAAACATTTTATGCAAAGACACTCAAACTTGAGGCATTCAAAATACATTAAACCTATTTAAAATTAAAAATCCAATCAAACTGATAGTAAATAAAAAAAGAAAAAAAAAAGTGGTTTTGTTGGTTATCAATTACTATTATTAAAATTCAACCAAACCAAACCACATATTTACTACATTTATATTAATATGAAGCATTATGTAATAGCATTTTGAATATTTGATATCAATACCACGTGATTCTTGGTGTTTTAGACATTTTGTTATGTTAAAGTCACGTTCACAATATATAACTAATTCACTATGAATGATCTATGTTAAAAAAATTAGAAGAGGTTTGTGATACAATTATTATCACATGTGTCACGTGTGGTCTTTCAGTGTTTATTTCTTATAGTTGTATGGATATCATTTTCAAGGCGGGGTCATCACTCATTTGGAATTAAATTTTGTAGTTTAATTAGTTGTCCAATTCAAAACAATGTTGAAAGCCATATATAAATTTGAAATTTGAAAAATCCACTAAATCAAGTGACAAAAGACCAATTACTTCAATTCAAAATTAACATTGCACTCAAACCAACGGTATATTGTCTAGTGTTTGATTCATATGACTTTATCTACAACCAAATCAAACCACAAACACCCCCAATCTAGGGTGATTAGATTAAACATTGGACCCTTTACTCTTGCGGGACCCTAACAAAGATGAGTCGGAAGAAAACAGTACCTGGATATCAGCGGAAGATGTGACACTTGAAGCCCAATCTGACATGTCAGACATTCTTCGCTCCTCTTGATCTTCATTAGGGAAGGGCGTCTTGAATAGCAGCACCTCATTAGCACCGGAATTTCTAGCAACAGAGGCACCCTGAAGACAAAGTCAATATGTAATGAAAGCCAATTAAACACATTATGATCACGCATAATTATAATTGCACAACAGTGACAGAAGGAAACAATCAAAATTCTCACCGTTAATTCGTTAAAGAAAGAAGAGTGTTGTTCACATTGCCAACAACCGCATTCAACAAGCTTATCTTTCTCAGTTCCAAAAGCCTCATTCAATTTATATTCCCCATCCTTGTCACACGACTTTTTCATGGCAGTAGTTGAATATTCTTTAGAATTGTTAACCAACTCGCAAAGAGTGTCAAGCTTCTGCTGCATGCTCGACAGCACCTGGTCCTGGCCAATTGAAATAAAATCACAAAAAAAAATCGTTACAAAAAAAATCATAAAGCAAAATTACACTCTTTCATATATACACAAGCAAAGAATAAAGAGATTTATGTCACCAAATACATTAAAAGAAAGTGGATAATATATTACACATTTACACATCACATACATTAAATTTGAATATTAATTTTGAAAACGAAAACGGTTACGGATATGAACAGGTACTGTAGAGAAAAGCGCGTTACGAACGATACCCTCAGTTCAACGGATTTTTTTAGGTGGCAGATGCGAAGGTCCTTTCGGGAGCGTGCAACGGCGGTGCCAATGACAGCGACTACGAGGAACCTACAGATTGGAGGGAAGAGGTTCCAAGCGAGGGCTTGTTCGGCGCTTAAGCCGCCGCCGATGGTTCGCGCGGAGCTGGCTTCATCGGCGTTGAGGAGCCGCCCCTGGAGCGATATCCATGCCGTCGGCTTCTCCGACGATATAGGGCGACTCCGCTCCACGAAGCTAGCGGATAGGCGGCGGCGGGAGGAGGAGAGTGCGGCCACGGACACGAACAACGGAGGAGACGGAGCTCCGTCACCGGCAGCAGCTGCGCCCATGGAAGCGTGATTGAAGTGAGACGCAGCGTTTCAGTGTGAGTGCATTCAAACTTTTGAAATTGAGAGGGAAAGCGTAGAATAAGCCATGGTGATGGTACAAGACAAAGTATTGAAACGGTGAATGAGGACAAGATAGAAATTACAACCCTCAAATCCCTTTCACGCGATTCATCACACCTTTTCTGTACGTTATTTTCCTTTTGTTTGTATTTTTTTTTTTTTTTTCAAAATAGGAAGAAAATATTTTAAATATTAAAATATTAACGGTCAAACATTTTTCAAGAAAATAATCTGTATTTTACTATTGATAGTATCAAAGTTCAAAAAATGGTTAATAAGTTTATTATGCACTGCACAAATATTTTTATTGAATTTATTTATAAAAGGAGTAATGAAAATATTAGGAAATAAAAAGTTAATACAAACAAATTGTAAGGAATTACTCAAGTGTGTAAGAATTGACATTATTTTTTTCTCAATAAGTGCTGTAGTAAATATTTTAGAAAAATCATTAAGCTAAACAAATTAAAATACTTGATGATTTTAAATATTTACAAACACAAGAAAAGCGTTACGCGATGACCAAAAATTCAATTAAAAAAAAAGTTCGAACAATGTTTTATTCCGAAAGGTTGACTGAATTAACACATAAATGACAGTACAAAAATTTTCTTTCTCTTTAATGTATTAACAAAAGCAATGTTTAAAATTAATTTTAATATAAATATATATTTAAAATGTGTTTAACAAACCATATTGATTTTTCAACATTTAGTATTTAATAAAAAATTTACAGTTAATTCATTTAACACAAATGGATTTAAATATTTATCCGAACAAGCCCTTAAATAATTCAATTTCTAAATTCCTCATTCTTTAATAGTCAATATTAGCTACGTTTTTTTTATTATTATTAAATGTAAGAAGCCTATATATGAATTTTGACTAAGTTAATTTTTAAAAATAAAACTCTTCCACAACTTTTTGGAGAATTTAAAATGCAATCATTAAAAAATAAAACCATATATTTTAAATTTAGGTTGCCACTTTATAGGTTTCATAAATATGGTAAAGAAAATATGCGCATTATAAAATTAGCAAACACACTAATATTTATTAAAATTTAAATTATGAAATTTAAAAATATTACTTAAAATCCAAAAATTTACAAGATATTAAAAAATATTGTACCATAAAAGCATAAAACCAAAAAAAGTTTTAAAATCTTAAAATAAAATAATAGATTTAAAATGTTATTAGATTGAAAAACTCACTTAAATCACAATGATATGAATCGCAACATTAAATTATTTTAATTATTGATATAATACATGAAATTTTGCATTACAGATGATTGATATATTTAATAAAACTTCTTCGCCCAAATTTCCTTTTATCCTGTTTCTATCCTCTTTCCTGAACGTAGAGTACTCTGTAATCATCCACAGATAAACCCTAATTTGTTTTCCGTAGCCAAATTGAGAAGATAAATACCAGGTTACTCAATCACCTTGTTAGGGCTTGGATCCGCGCGTATGGAAGCAGGTTTCTCACATCAAAGGCAAAGCAGAAGGAGAAGGGTTCGACTAGGAGTAAGGTTACATCTGTTTTCCTTAAATTTGCTTAATCTGGCATTTTTTTGGGCTTCATTATACTTTTTATGCTTCCTATCCTTCCAGACCGGTGTTAAATAATCGACAAACCGCTTCAATTTCTGTAAATGATGAATTATTTATGTTTTGTTTAGCTTTGTACGATTCTACAGTAGGTAAGATGCATTTTCAGGCTTCAGTTGGATGAATTTTGTTCAGTATGCATTAACTTGTTTAGAATATGAGTATGTTCAATTCCACATTTAACATCTGCAATGCAGAAGGCTACTTAATCATGAATGTGGTGTGAATTGCACGAGAGCCATTCCGTTTATCTAAATTAAGGAATGTGCCTGAAACGTAGAGTGGATGGAAAAGTGGATAGTTGTTTCTATTTTTTCTTTGATATCACAAAGTTAGATTCTGCTTAAGTAGACTTGTTAAAGAGAATTATGTATAAATGTGTACTTAAATAGCTGTATGAAAATGACTTCAATTGTTTTGTATTGTTTGTTTTGACTGTTTTATTGAAATCTTGAGCCCTTCATTTATTTAAAAGAGATTCTGTAACTATATCTAAAATTCCAGTTTTTTACTCCTGGCTAAATTTCTCAACGAAGCATTGCCCTTCCATTTAGGTACCATTTTTGCTGGATCATTGAGACAAACCTTTGCATCTTTCATCCGTGTGACGCATTAGGACATGTGAAACAATTTTTTGGGAAGTGAACTGGAGCTGAGCTCTGAATGTTGCTGCAATAGTTATGGATTCGTCTGCCGTTGTGGGTAGCACAACTTCAGAGCCTCATGATATGGAATTTGAGTCTCATGAAGCTGCATATACATTTTATAAAGAATATGCAAAGTCTGCGGGGTTTGGCACTGCTAAGTTGAGCAGTCGGCGATCTAGGGCATCAAAAGAATTTATTGATGCCAAATTTTCATGTATAAGATATGGTAATAAGCAACAATCTGATGATGCCATTAATCCACGCCCTTCTCCAAAAATCGGTTGTAAAGCAAGCATGCATGTAAAGAGAAGGCAAGATGGTAAATGGTATGTCTACAGCTTTGTGAAGGAGCATAATCACGAGCTTTTACCAGCTCAAGCTCACTTTTTTCGGAGTCACAGGAGTTCTGATTCACTGGGTAACGATGTTCGGATGCGAAGGCGAAAGAATTCAAATGCAGTTTCTAAATTATTTACCGCATATCAAAATGTTGATTGCTTAGAGAACTTTGTGAAACATCAACATGATAAAGGACGGAGTTTGATTCTAGAGGCAGGACATGCTCAATTACTTCTTGAGCTCTTCATGCACATGCAAGAAGAGAATCCAAAATTCTTCTATGCAGTTGATTTGAATGAAGAACATCGACTCAGAAATGTGTTCTGGGTTGATGCTAAGGGCTTGGAAGATTTTGCTTACTTTTCTGATGTTGTGTCTTTTGACACAACATATTTTACTAGCAAATATAAAATACCATTGGTACTTTTCATTGGAGTAAACCATCACATTCAACCGACACTACTTGGTTGTGCATTGATTGCTGATGAAACAATATGTACCTTTGCCTGGTTACTGCAAACATGGCTGATAGCAATGGGGGAACGAACTCCACAAGTGCTTCTCACTGACCAAAACGAGGCTATTAAAACAGCTGTTGCTGCTTTTCTTCCAGGAACACGTCATTGCTTTTGTTTGTGGCATATTTTGGAAAAGATACCAAAACAACTAGAATTTTTAGGGGCATGGCAGGATAGCTTTATGGAAAAATTTAACAAATGTATATACAAATCATGGACAGAGGAGCAATTTGAAAAGAGATGGTGGAAGTTGGTTGACAGCTTTAACCTTAAAGATGTTGAATGGGTTCGATCCTTATATGATGACCGAACTTTTTGGGTGCCAACTTACATGAAAGATATTTCCTTTGCAGGCTTGTCTACAATTTCACGCTCTGAAAGTTTAAATTCATTGCTTGACAAATATATCCATGTTGATTCTTCTTTGAGAGAATTTACAGAACAGTATAGAGTGATTCTTGAAGATAGGCATGAAGAGGAAGCCAAAGCAAATTTTGATGCTTGGCATGAAACACCTGACCTGAAGTCTCCTTCCCCTTTTGAAAAACAAATGTTGTTAGTTTACACACATGAAATTTTCAGAAAATTCCAGGTTGAGGTTTTGGGTGCAGCTGCTTGCCATCTTAAGAAAGAAAATGATGGTGTGACTACTGCTTATTCTGTGAAAGACTTTGAAAATAATCAAAACTATATGGTAGAATGGAATACATCAAGCTCAGATATATGTTGTTCATGTCGTTTGTTTGAATATAAAGGTTATCTCTGTAGACATGCTATTGTTGTTCTTCAAATGTCTGGTGTTTTCAGCATTCCACCAAAGTATATATTGCAAAGATGGACTAATGCTGCTATGAGCAGGCATCCTATTGGTGAAAAATTGGAAGAGATACAATCAAAGGTGCGGCGATTCAATGATTTGTGTAGAAGGGCCATAATATTAGGCGAAGAAGGTTCTTTGTCACAAGAAAGTTACTACATGGCTTTAGGTGCCATCAATGAGGCACTAAAACAATGTGTAAATTTGAACAACCCTGTTGAGATTGGTATGAGACCTGATGCCTCAGGTACCCATGTTGTTTGTAATGTTGATGAAGATTATCAATCTATTATTACATCTAACAATAAGGCCCCTGATCCAAAACTGAATACGGGAAAGAAAGCTGTGAGAACTGGTGTAGCTGGCAGGATTCAAGTAAGTGTTGAAAACAGTGAAGGAAATAAAGGAAAGGTCAGTTATTTGGGTGATTAATGGTTGACCAAGTAGTATTTATTTATTTTTATTAAATGTAACTAGTGTGCTCTATTTTATGCTATAGGTATCTCATGTCGAAGCAGGTAGTGGGAAAGATGGTTTTCAACAAATGGTATGCTATTCCTAACTCTTATGATTGCCACCATACATCTCTAGTTTCATTTTGTTGTACTTTTCATGAATATATTCTGTGAGTTCATCATATTTCATGAATATACAATTTTTTTGAGACTGAACTCTTGACTGCATTTATTTTGGTATATGCGTAGAACAGAATATGGTATCCTCAAGCAATGAAAAATTTAAAATAAATTTGAGAAAATGAAAATTAAAGAAACAAGGATGCTCGGAGGGAAGTGGTGCAATCAATCCACTTTTACATATTGAATAAGACATCAACATACCCTCAAAACACTCCATTAGCCACGCACTGGATGAAGCTAGTTTAAAAAAAAAAAAATACTATTCAAGAGTACAGATATAGGGGGCAGGGGAGGAATGTGTGCAGTTCTGTGGCGACAATAATGCCGTCATAGAGGCTGGTTTGATTGAATTTTTTATTATGCTAGTATGTGATTTGGGGACTATCTGACTGTCCGTCTTGACCTGTGGGATAATTCAGCTTGATCTGATAATAAATGACAAATGCATGTTGAGAGATTGTGTTCAGAAGGGGACGAAAATAAGAGCAGTCTGAGTTTAGATTTTTTACCCATTGGATTGTAAATTATGCAGATTATAGCTTTTTGCATTTTTTGTACTAAAGGAACCGATTGGTGTAAGTAATCATGCATCTGCAGATTCAATGTTGTATGTTGTGTTAATGCCAACAAGCATTCAATGTCTGTATTCTTGATGAAATCATTTTATAAACTGTCATTCAAGCATTAGTGAAAGAATGGGTATGGGATGGTTTTAAAATTTTAATATCTTTATTTGGGTGTTACAGGAGCTGACTGATCCGAGATCACAAGGTGTCATGCCAATCCAGTTTCACAATGTGGTACCTGCTCTGTTCCATAATGTTTCGGCACCATTTCACGCTGCACCTTCAACTCATATGCACGAGAATCGTTAGTTTTATAAAAAATTACTTTTAAATGGATCTGGAGACCATGCATAGAGCTGTAGATAAGAACTGGCACTTTTCGAAGGCACCTTTCTATTTATGGTATTTGTGTTGCACAGAGGCCAGGTTGCAATTGAATGTGAGAGTTAGTGCTGACTTGACTATCATTTTATTCTAAAGGTAGGCTCAACATCAATGGTCAATGTAGGAGGGAAGCTTTTTCTTTCTTTTCTTTTTTTGAGTTGGTAGGTTTAACTTGACGCATTGGATTTGTTATTCTAATATTATCATAGAAGTTAAAATCAAGTAAAAGAATATACTTCCTTCACTATTTCTGATGAAAAGAGTAATATATCAAATTAATCTTTAAAATTACAAATATTGATCAATAAAATTCTTAAATTTATGAACATTGACATTTTAGTCTTCATTTTTATAATTTTAAAGATTAAAACAATCATTGGCAATGTTAAGAATTAAAATAATCGAAATGTCTACCTGAACCATAGTTTTCCCCCATAATTAAAATAATAATCAAATGGTGGCACCTGCCTATATCTTAAGTTTAAACGATGATGGACTTACGAATCTACAGAATAGTTCTATTAGTCAATGCATTTTAGTTAAAATTTATACGTAAATGCTTGTATGATAAATACTGTAATGATGAGATAAAGAATGAACAGAAAGGTTGAGAGGAAAAGAAAACGGAAGTTAGATGGAAGACAAAGTAGATGTATGGTAAATATCTTACTATTCTACTCTCTCCCACAGGAAAAATAAGATTGTTTTTGTGCCAAGTCAAACTATTTCCCAGGAATCTTTGTATGACCAATCATCTAAGTGAAGATCCTTATGCACATGGAGACACATGCAGCCTATTGACAAATAATCTTACCGTAAGAAGTGGCAGGATCATGGGTTATAAATCGTTTAATCAAACTAAATTCAAACTGGGTTAGAGCCTCGTGTATCTTTCGTAACCTATTTATATCAAATTAAGAATGGGAAAGAGTTTGCGAGCCACCTAACTGTCAGGTTTTGTGGGAAATCTTAGTAGAAACAAACAAATAAAGAAAACTTGTTTATTTAATTCTGTTTCTTCTTTTTAATGCAATTGTTCCTGATTCTCATAACTCGGCATAAAATCTTGCGGATAAGGTTTTCTGGACATTACTGGCTGGTCGGATTTTTCCTCCTCAATGCAAAACCAGAAAGCTAAAATAATTGAAAATCTCGCACATGCACGATCTATATTTTAAACGAGTTATTGCATTCATTTTTGGCTTTCTTGATTTGACAGATAAAAATATACAACTTTCCTTCTCCCAATCTGATATAAGAAAACAGAACTGCAGCACAAATTGACATCATCATCATCATCATCATCATCATTTGGTGACAGAAAGAAAAAATGATATGATGGGATTGTCCTTATCAGTACGACCCATATGCAAGTGGTTCTTTTTTCAGAGTGTGACCACAGACGATAACTGAATTAAATAACTAGGATGACACCTTTTTAATTTGTTCACATATTACCTCGCGGCAAATTAGGTTAAATGAAGTGCATTAATTATGGAAGTAAACCTCCTTCTTCTAAGTCCAAAATAAGATAGGAAGACAAAGATTTAGGTACCTGTGGGGTCAGATTGCATTGTACTAATAGTAATGGTAATACCTGTCGACAGGTGGAACATGACAGCATCCTAATTTCATTTACCTAGGAGAAAAAAAAAACCCAAGCATGTTCATGAACCTCCTTTCCCGTTACACGTGTTGTTGATTTGACAACTAAATTTCGAGTAATGTAGAATAAAATTTGAGAAATGTATTTTAGCGGCATTTAATTATACAATCCAATTCTAAAAACTTGAACATAAACTTTCCGTTTCTAGATGTCCACTCTAATTAAGGACTTCACTTAAATGAACTTGCCATAATTGGAAAGAAAAATCATATACAACACCAAAAAAATACTACCAAGTTATACCATGCACAATTTGATTCTGCAAAAAAAACCCTGTAATTACTACTTGTAATTTCACAATAAATGAGAAAAAATGAGTTTGAAGTTAGAAGGTCCCAATAGAACTGTGAATGATATGAGTGTATAGAATAGAACCCTGGCAGTCTCATAATTTATCCACTCCATGTGCATGCTTCAACCCTAATCTCCATCTGTCACACCATTTCCTTCTACCCACAAACTTATCCCTCTCTCCCATGTTCACCTGTTCCTCCTATTATTTCTTAAAATTATTATTATTTTTTAAAATTGACCAGATCACAGTCCAAGTCTCCAAGTTATAAGGGGCAAACTCGTCACTCGAAAGAAAACTGGAATCAACAGTATAAATAACATTGTCAGAATCCCAAACTCCCATGCAAGTAGCCACACAAACACACCCTTCACACCATTTTATTAACTTCACACAGAGACCGTGTTTTCACGGCATCATAGCATATAGTAGAGTGCAAACAGCGAATAAATAAATAAGTATTCACGTAACCAACTTCCACCGCAACCACAATGGGTGGTGTTAGGTTTATGACGGTGCTAGTGGCGTTATTCATGACACTGAGCTCCGGCGTGTGGTCGTGTCCTCCGTCGGACAGGGCGGCGCTCCTGGAATTCAAGGCGGCGCTCCACGAACCCTACCTTGGAATTTTCAACTCGTGGACCGGCGCTGACTGCTGCCACAACTGGTACGGCGTGAGCTGCGACCAGGAGACCCGCCGCGTCGCGGACATTAACCTCCGCGGCGAGTCGGAGGAGCCGATCTTCGAACGAGCACACCGGACCGGGTACATGACCGGCTACATCTCTCCGGCGATATGCAAGCTCGCGCGTCTCTCCAGCATCACCATCGCCGACTGGAAGGGAATCACCGGAGAGATCCCGCGCTGCATCACAACGCTACCGTTCCTCCGCATCGTCGACCTCATAGGAAACCGCATCTCCGGCAGCATCCCCGCCGACATCGGCAGGCTCCACCGTCTCACGGTGCTCAACTTCGCCGATAACCTCATCTCCGGCACGATCCCAGCGTCGCTGGCGAACCTCACGAGTCTCATGCACTTGGATCTCCGTAACAACCTCCTCTCCGGGCCCATTCCAAGGAAGTTCGGTTCTCTCCAAATGCTGAGCCGGGCCTTGCTCAGTGGAAACCGCCTTAGTGGGCCCATTCCAGGCTCGGTTTCGCTCATTTACCGTCTGGCTGATCTGGATCTCTCCCGGAACCAACTTTCTGGGCCCATTCCGGCCTCACTTGGTAAAATGGCGGTGTTATCAACGCTTAATTTGGACTTGAATAAACTTTCTGGGCCCATTCCTGTGACCCTGTTTAGTTCGGGTCTTAGTGACCTAAACTTGAGCCGAAACGCGTTGGAGGGTAACATACCCGACGCGTTTGGTGCAAGGTCTTATTTCACTGCTCTCGATTTGTCCTATAATAATCTGAAAGGGCCCATACCCAAATCCATATCCTCTGCTTCGTTTATTGGACACTTGGATTTGAGTCACAACCACCTCTGCGGCAAGATTCCCGTTGGATCTCCGTTCGATCATCTCGAAGCGTCGTCGTTTCTGTACAACGATTGTCTCTGCGGTCAGCCACTCAAACCTTGTTACTAATCTTCCCTGCAACAATATTGTACAATTTATTAATTACTTAATAATTAATAATTAATAACTTACTCTCCCAAAATATATATTTGTAATTTGCAATAGGTAATTAGAATTGTGTGTGCGTGCTTTACTTAACTCATCCATCATCATCTATTTGTTCTGTTTGTTATCGTGAGCTTCTGATGATATATGAATGAACAAAACAAAATGTAGCTCCAAAGTTTTACGTCATTCATTCTATCCTTCGCTTTCATTCCACTCATGATAAAAATGTAAGAGACCGTGTTTCATATTTTGGATATGTAAAAAAATCATGACATTTAACAAAATATAATTAATGGAAATGTTGAAAGTAATAGAAAATAAATAAATAAGAGAAAGCAAAAATAATAGATGCGATTAAATATTTATAAAAAAAAATCACTTTTTATATAACAAATAGTTTTTAATTTATGGCTGTCTCTTATGAGGAGATCCCATGAATGAAAAGTTATGTCAAACTCTACGTCGCTTTCAGGTTGAATTCTTACTTTAGAGTTGTGATGGGTAAATTGGCCTTCAATCATTTGCTTGTTGCCTTAACACTTCACACACTTCTACCCTCAATCATTGAAAATTTTAAAAAATATTTTCCACTCTTACTAATCATTTTAAGATAATCATTAAAGCTTTGTAGTAAAATTTTTCCACTGAACATAATACTTAAGAATAATTTGTTTTCTTAACCATCAATAAAAAACCATGTTTATGAATTCTCTAATCATTATTCTTAATATAAATGATAAAACATTATTTACAACACAATTAATTAATTAATTCAACAGTTTATGGATTTAACACTATTCAATTTATTAATTTATTTCAGATATACTATCAAGAAAGAATTAAGTTAGAATTTTATTTTGAAATATTTTGTGAAAACGATTATTAAAGGAACATAAACAGTGCTTTTTTTATTCAATCAAGTAGATTAGTGATCTATTAAACTTTTGTTACTCCCACTCTTTATATATACATTTTACTATGTAAATATAAATAACTTAGATTTTTTACTCGCGTGAAACATACGGTTTATGTACATATTATTTTGATTTTTATTTAGAGAGTAATTTTTTTTATCTTCCCTACAAAAATTTTATTTGAGCCATTGAGGTATAGTAAATATTAAACGTGGGACCTTTATCAGTTTACCCTTTCAGTTTTACTTTACTTCAATTATTTTTGTCATTTTTCCCTTTAAAATAATTGTTCTTATTAATCTGTCATTTTAAATATATAATATTATATTGATGCTTATCTTCTCAAATATATTTTTGTTTCCACATGACTTTTAAATATTTAGTACTCTTATTCTAAAAAAATGATAATGAATGAATATACAAATTAAGAAAGGAAAAAAAGTTGTTTAATATATACAAAAAATTAAAATTTAATATTTTTTAGTTTTTTTTTAAATATAAACCAGCCCATTTTTCAGAAGAAAGATGGAAATACAATCAAAGACAATAATTAATTTTATTTTTAAATGTGAAATAAAAAAGTGATACACATATAACATTTCATACAATGATTTCTACAATATTATTTTTGTGTTTAACTTTTCATCTCTACGACACAAAATAAATATAAGCAGAAAAAAAAAACAAATAAAAGAGATGTTATTGTATGATTTGATATATGAATAACAAATTACATACAAAAATTCATCAAATACAACTGTTCAAAACAAAAGAACAAAGAAAAGTGAAAGTACTGCCATATTTTTTTTAAAGGAAAGTAGTAATCCTATCTTGAAACATTGATTATCAACTAAAATTTAATGTGAGTGTGAGCTTTATAAATCTAGAGTTATTAACTAAGAAGAATAGTTGCAGAATATTTCATTAATATAAAGTTATTAGTAGTAGTTGGGAAGAATATTTGTTGAAAGTTCCTAGTCTTATTTAAAATATATATATATATATATATATATATATATATATATATATATATATATATATATATATATATATATATATATATATATATATATATATATAAAACAGTGAATGATAATTAATAATGGTGGATTGGGTGTAGGGACAGAATGAGTGGCTAAGAGCGAGAGAGGCGAGACAGCACACGTGGTGATGAGATAATGACTAAGATCGTAGCTGGATGGAGCATTGAATTTGAAGGAGACTCTGAATCTGAAAGTGAAACCACCATCGATCATGTTTTTCTTAGAAAAGTATATCAATTTTTTTATATACAATTATCTAATCATCTTTTTATAATAATAGTAATAATAATAATAATAATAATTTTTATTATAAAAAGTCGTAAAGTGATTAAATATGAAAAATAAACTATAAATAACTTAACCTTTGTATGTTTTTCTCTTCTTCTCTTCTTTCTGCTACCATTTTGCTATTTTTCTTCATTCTTATTAGAATCCACACAATATTATAAGTACAATGGAGATTCATTGAGTCACATTAGATTACTTAATTAAATTTATTTATGTGAAATTATAAAAAAAATATAATCATAAGTTAAAATTATGTTTTTATAAATTAAAATTTGATTTTCAGATTGTTTTTTTGAGTTAAATCATTTGAATTAAGAATTATTATTATTATTATTTAAAAAACACTATTTTATTCTACTAAATTTAATGAATAAGACATACAAATAATTTAATATCATTACAAATACTTGTAGTAAAGATGAAATGAACAGAAGATTAACAATTCCAATCACATAAATAAAAAAGTGGTGGTATAAGTACTTCAATTGCTTTCCGTGTTAAACTGGTGAGCCATGAAAAGGAGATAACTTTAAATCACAAGTACATAACAATCTTTTTCATGTTGAAATGGTGAGACATGAAAAGGAAATATTTTTAAATATATATATATATATATATATTAGGATGATCTTTTATGTGAGTTTTAATGCAACTTTAACATAATATTTAAGAAAAAAGTTTATATTTGTTAATTTTAATTATTTTTCTTAAACTAAATACTCTAAATTTTACACTATTTTATTCATTTCTTAATCATGATTCATGACACGTTTTTTAAAGAACAAGTTTATGTCAGAGTTTCCAAACAACATTAAAACTGATAATACCTCATACCTTAATCGTAATAATGTAATCCAAAAGGATAGGAAACCAACTTTTTTTCTAACCTAATTTTAGAATCTTTCTAAGATTAGAAATTTGAAAAAGATAGTGAGAGAATTTATTTATTTTAAATATCTTTTTTTATTATTAAAAAAAGGAAGAATATAGTTTTTTTGTTCTCTTTTTCTCTATGCAATTAAAATTGGGCGAGTACCCTTTTTTTTTTTTGTTTTTTATGTTTTGAAGCACGACAATACCATAATATGAACGAATCTAAATCGTACTGGATAAAATAATAATGTAATCATATTGTTAAAGGATTCGAAAATTTCAACATAAAATTAACGATTCATGTCTTATCAGTGGTTTCCTTTTTGTTTTCATTCAACTTGTACTCTTTGAAACGTGTTTTCAGTGTCTCATATTGTGCCACTTGGCGCAACCTGAAATCCAAATTATACGAAATTCAAGAGCAACAAACTGTTGATATTTATTGACATTCTATAAAAAAACTGATGAAAGGTTGATATTTTATACTTATTAATGAGAGTTTTAAAAAACTAATGAAATATTTAATAAATGAAAAAAAAATGTTAAAATTACGGTAGAATTATATTAAAAATCACTGTTGATGAAATGTGGTAATAACACTTGCTTATTTGTAATTCATGAGATGAGAGTAGAGTAAATAAATGCATTAATAAAATCATCTCAAAGTTGAATCCTCGTATCTTTTTGGGTAGCAAAGGCCTAAATGAAACCAGCTAAACTCGTCCACTTCATGCATCTTTATCAAAACCTTAGACAGATCACAGAATTGTAATGCAGTATATGCAATGTAAATTAAACACATTCTACCAATATTACAAAAAAAAAAAAAAAGTAACAGTTTGAATGTCCAATATGTTATTTTTTTACAGAGACTGTACAATATTTTACAAATTTCTTAATAATAATAATATCTAAAAACCTTATACCCATTCTATGAGTAGCATAACCTTATTTATGTCCATAACTATCTGGTAAACATAACAGATGAAGCTTACACTGTTTTATTTCAACTCCTATATAGCCTTAAACCTTATATCAACCTTTAATGTTGAAATAAGCCGTATAAGACTCGTCTCTGAAGGCCAATAACGGCTCCAGAAGAAAATTCTTGTTTAACCCTTTGGCCACGAAGCTGATAGGATTGTATTTGCTTATTCCTCTTTTGGCAATAAAACTTGCTGATTGTTTAAATGTACGATCAGCAGAAGTCCTGCAACTGAGTTTCACTCCACTACCTGAATGCAAACCACTATGCACAAAGCAACCATTATGGCTTTTGGATTCCAAAGATATGGTTTCCTTTCGTCCATCCAACCCTGGGACCACAAGAAAAATACAAGAGGGTCCACCATAGGAAGAGCCTATTACGGTAAGAGGATGTTCCATTCCTTGGTGAATCAGTCGCATTCCCGGATGATCATATGGTTCTAGCATTACTGTTTTACCAATAGCATCTGTCAATGTGGTAAACTCAGTCGAAAATTTTCCGGGGATAACTCTAAAAGTAGCATGAAGGGCCAAATCAGTTCCAGGCACAGGTAATTTTTTCATTGCTAATGGTTCGTTTGACTTTGTCAAAACATAAGTTGAGTTAGCAAAGGTTTGGGAAAAATAGAATAACTGACTGTTGTAGCTGGCTGGAATTGGAGTAATCCAGTCTTCTAAAGATGCATTTGGTGCAACTTTGATGTCCCAATCACCAGTGGTGTGACCAGCAAGAAGATAAGGACCATAAAGAATTGCTTGAACAGAGGCATATTGAGACCTGTCATCTGTATTTGATTCAAAATACTATCTCAGGAATGTGAAATACATGATTATTTTTTCCATTATATTTTAAATACACACCGTGACAGAAGAGTAATGGTAATTAACATTTAACACACATGGAATAATATATATCTAGTGAAGTTACCTTTTATGGCTTCGGTTCTGAGGATCATGGGAAATTGAAGGCTTAACTTGTCACCAGCATTCCATTTTCTGGTGATAGACAAAAAGTTTCCTACGTTTCCAGTAAGTTAGAAGCGTTACTTTTTTCTTACTATGTATCTGAAAACTAGGGTGAAATCTCAACTTTTTGGTTCTAAATAGAAATTCGCACCTGGGGTTGGTAGAGATAAAGACTCATTATTCAATATACCCTTTGCACCATCCTTATGCGTCCAAGTTGGTAGTCTGAAGTTAAGTGTAGACAAAGCACCATTTTTCTGCACAAGTAGATACGTTTTAGAAGACTAAGACAGGGATTTTACACCTGGTAGCTTGTTGGTTCCAAAACACTAGGTAGGTTACCTTTTTCCAAAACTAAAAGCATTAGTTGAGAAAGGGTTAGGACAAAACAGACATAATAAAGCCAGATTGACTATTATAGTGTTTACTGTAAAAGGTATCCAAGAAGAATGTTTGGCGACAAGAGATGCAGAACACAATGTAACAAGCACCTTAGCTGGAGAAAATGTAAATGACACTCGTAGGAAAGGATCCCATGAAACAGCCGGAACAACTGTCTGATTAACAATAATTTGCCCAGACTTCCAATTAAATAAGCTTGATATGTACTGGATGATGTAAAGAGTAGGATTTTTCCCTCCTTCAAAATAGATAGAATCTCCCAGCTTTGAGAATGATTCAATTCCTAATAAAAAGGGAAAGAAATTTCAGACGTAAAGAGTATGGAGAAGTATAGAACTGATATGGTGTAGTTTAGTTTGAAACTTTGATGCAAGTTGTGAAGTATATGATGAACATAAGCCCACCTGTTCCATAGCAGCACCAGAAACTAGCAAACTTCGTTCCCCAACCAAGGTCAGTTTTAGCCTTGGAAACCCCGCGACCTTGTGGAAGCATATATATCATCACTCCAGGTTCTGTTCCTCTTTGAATGCTTAATACACCATTTGTTAAGGCACGCTCATAATAATCTGCATACGATACCTTTTTGGTCCATCTAAACAAGTGGCGTGAAACCTGAAAATTTGTTTTCCTTGTACTTAAGAGGACAGTATAAAAACTTTAACAAAATACATTAAGCTTTATTTACGAATATTGAAATGTTAGATGTGCACACTCACATATAAACACAAATCCACGAATACATACTAATGTAATGCATCATGTGATAATAAATCTATCATTCTGTATACTATTTTCAGCTTCCCGAGTATTCCATGATGATTGATGAAGATTGGCTGTACCTTCAACATATTGTAAGTTGTGCATGATTCCTCATTGTTGGTTGATTCTAGGGTGTCTCCAATTCTCTTTGGATCACCCCTATGCAGAAAAATCAAAGTAAAGCAATTTATTTAGAAAATAGTAGTAACTATAAAATCTCTGAATTCATATTGACAAGAAGAAACAGAATTATTTCTTTTATAGATACTGTTGTTCAATAGATAATATAAGTGCATATGAAAAATAACTGAAACTGAAATGCTGGCATCTTGATACCAAAATTCGTTGACTGACGTCCCTCCAGTTGCATAAGTATGAGAAGAGTTAACAAGATCCATAAAGAATGTTCCTATTTCCTAAAACCAAAAACCAAGAACCAGTACTGGAATTAAAAATAATAATAATATTAACAAATTTCAGTACCAGTAATTTACAACATATTTCTAGCAATTCACCTTATAGAGTGGATCACCGGTGACTTCATACCTCATTTGAGATCCAACAACTACTGGGATATGTGTGTTAGCATGAAACCCAGCTATATCATTAGCCTACATCATAGAATGTTAGAATTCTCACGCTTCGTAAAAGATTACATACAATATCTAAACTAGAAATAAATGTCAGAAGTTCAAAATAAAAATACTTAACTGTTTCATTATGATGTTCCCAATATTATAGATGTTAGTCACATTAGAGGAAAGAACTTTCGGGGTAAAAAAATTGTTGTCATTGCACGATCTGTTGCTCAAAGCTAAACTTGAATACGACAGTGATAAATACTTGTAAACTTACATACTATTTTCTTACTTATAACTTTGTTTTAATAACATATTATGATAATCTAATATTAATTAGGAGTAGGTTTAATCTTTTATCTCCTTAAGCATATATTTTCTTATTGTAAAAGAAGAGGAAGAATTAAAGATATTGGATGAAACTGAACAACGACATTTGTGACTATATGAACTTGGTGACAATTCTATCATAATGAAAAAAATATTATCACTACCTTCATTGCAAGCAACCCTAAAAAGCATGGCTTGTCAAAAAGGTGAGCTAACAGAAGATGCCTTTTATCTCCCTGCATTGACAAGACATGTAAGTTTACAGCATAACTAGGTACCATGAGCAAGAAGCTAACACTTAATCAAAACAAACTGAAACAAAGAAAGAATTCAAAATAGACGTGTGATATAAGAACGAGCTGTCAATTTTGCATTAAAAAGCTTATCTGTTATGTTAATGCCATACTTACTTCAAATATGTCTAGGAGTCAATAAAAGTAATTCTAAAGAAACGAAATGGACCAATTAACATACCGTTATGCTGTATAGTTTGTAAAGGACATCATTCATGCCTCCAGTCTCTTCATTCAGTGACTTATAGTGTCTACTTATACTAAACTTTGTTATAACATTCTGCACTCGGTTGTAAAAGTAATCTACCATCCATTTCACCATATTTAGAGCTTGAGGATTTTTAGCTATAGAATGTTGATCCAGAAGGCCAACCAAGATCTGCCAAAATACATTTTGGACAAGAAAATAAAAAGAAAAAATTAATTAAATGTTTCCATATGTTAAAATTAGTTTTGGATAAGTTAAATGAAAGAATATGTAATTCATTTTAGTTATCTTCTTAATTTATCCAAGTATGTCTAAGTTGAAATGCCATAATATTAAGGCTGAATGTAATCAAATTATCAGTCACTTTGTTATTGTACCTTGTGGATGGTGTAATAGGGAGCCCAAACATGCTTAATAGCTTCAAATCGATCAAAAAATTCAGATGGAAAGGCAGATAGATATCCTGTACCAATTTTCTCCTGACAAAGGGACAGATTGGCAACAAGAGCTGACATTTTCTTCTTCAGGCTATCATTATGTGTGCTAGCCCACATTAAAGCTGATGCACTCAAATAGTGCCCTTGAAAATGTCACAAACAAGCAATTTTAGTTAACCATGAAAAGTGAGTCACAAAGGCTTGAAGTTGCAGCCATGAGTCAGCTACTTACAAGTAAATACTTTAATATCTTTTTTAATCTTGAATGAAAAAAAAAAATGATTATAGAGTTAAGTTCAAGCAGTGGTAACATCAGTAATAGTCTTATGCTGGGTTATTAAGCTATCAATCGTTTTTCATAGCCTTTTTTTTTATTCCCTTGCAGTTAAGAAATCTTCATAAAGAAATGGAAGGAGCTGGGAATGAAAACAGAACCCCAATATAAGTTAGATTTCGTAACTTAAAATCCAGACGATCAAATTCAATGAGTATGACTTGGTTGAGAAACACACTGAGTTTGTGAAGCAAGATTTGATTTTGATTCTAACATAACACATATTCAGGAAAGACTGGGGAGTTTTATGTATATCCAAGTCTCAAACCAAACATTAATTTCATAGCTCAAATACGTAATCCAAGACCACCACATATCCATGGTTCTGACCAATTTCTACTCGATGCAAACTTCAATTTTTCAATTTAAGACAAACCATTAATAACACGTAACTATTATGGTAATGGAGACTATGATTATCTCAGACTAGCTAACGATTTCACTACAGCCAGGATACCTTAGAGTCAATAAGTCAAAAATTGTAAATATGATGATAAAAGAACAAGATGATGAATGAAGTAAACTAACCAACAAAATGACCCCGAAGCTCTACTTTTGGATCTTCCCACCCTCCATATGGTTTTCCAGGAGTTGGAAGACCAGCTGTCTTCCTAAAGCTCCAGAGTAACCTGTCCACATCCAACATCAACAGATACTCTAAGTTTGTCTGTTGTGCCCGAGCATGGACCGAACCCTCATGCAATCTCACATCATGCAGAGACACTTGTTTGAGAAAATCTTGGCGTTGGTGGGGTGGCTTCAACACACCCACTTTCTCAATTCTCCTCAAAATCACACCCCAATCATGTTGGTCTTCCTCTTTCAACAACTTCCTTGGTAGCAAATCAGCCCAAAGGTGGTCATGGTCATCCTTTGGAGCAAAATTATAATGTGACATTATGTTCCAAGTTTCATTTGTGGATGTTAATAACTGGTAACGGTAAGTATGTGATTGACCAATACTGTTTGTGCACTCTTTACCCTCAGCGCAACCCCACAGCACAATTGCAACAAAAGCAAATAGAAAAGCCATCAAGCTCCTGCGAAATTCAGATTAAACTGAACCTTAAACTCGGCCAAAATGTGGGAACTAATTAAAAACATGAAGCATAGCATAGTTAGCATTACCCTGCAGACAACATCAGTTTTGGTGGAACTTACACACAAGGTAAGTAGGGCACACGTGAATTAAGAACTTGAATGAACTGAGTAAAGGTGTGACAAACATTCACTCATGGGACAAACGTCAACACTTAGAGCAACACAGAGACATGTCAATGTTCGAAGTACTTCTAAGGATAATCAAAAGTGCTACCAAATTGAATTTACTTTTTAAATTTAGAATGCTGAAAACATATATCAAACATGGTCGAAGTACTCCCATTTCAAATAAAATCATGCCGTGAAAATAAAGGTTAGGATATGCAATCGTATAGAACAATTCCAAATCGTAAATAAAAACAATATAGTATTGCTAGAAACTACTAACTGGAAAATAAGAGCAGAAAGGGCATGAGTAATTTCTGGTCAAAATTTATAACTTCTTTGTTTGTTTTGCCAGTATATTTTTCGTAAGAAGCAGTCTTAATTGAATTGTGATTGGATGTTAAACATGGTCATCTGTGTCAAAGGAGATTCATTCGAAAACTTGTAATATAAAACATAAGGTTCCAGAATTTTGATCAAAACCGTTAATTATTTGAAAAATAAATAAATTAGAAGCTTTGCGTTAAATCTTTGTAAACAAGATAATCCTTTGACGTGAAGGGGTAAAGTGACGTTACCTTTGGCTTGCAAGTTTCATTGTTGGATGATAAAACTAGTAATGACGGAAACGGAAACTTTGTTGTGTTGTGTGTGCCCTTTCTATCTGCAGCACAAAGGCACGGCAAGAAGTAGCAACAAACGCGAACTGAAAAGTCATTCTAGCGATTGCCGATGCCTTTATGGATAGGGTGGTGAATATTAATAGCAGTCATTTATCTATGGTCAACTAAATATTTTTCTTATAAATATTTATTTAGATATTTTTAAAAAAAGTAAACTTATTAACGTGGACTCAAAATAAATATATTTAAATAAAAAATAACTAGTTTTAAAAAATGTATTTTAAAAAAACATAGGAAAATTATCATAAATAACTCCTAATCCATTAAAATATTTTTTTAAGAGTAAAATGAATCAGAACTTTAAAATAGAGCGGTAATCAACATCAATGATGATATTATAACAAATATTAAATATTTTCATTTTTTAATAAAATATTAGTGTTCATCGTGTACCATGAGCATAATTTTACTCTAATTATATAAAATCTCTTAATATTTGGAGACTATGTTTCAGTAATGTTATTGATAAAATTACAAAATATAATTGAAAACAATAAATCAAGAAGAACGGGGATATTAGTGTCTACCATAAACCAAAAATATAGTCTTACTCCATTTATATATAGTCGCTTAGTCTTTGTTTGGAGATTATGTTTCGGTACTATTATTGAAAAATTACAAATATAATTAAAAGAATAAATCAAGAAGTAGAGAAAGTGTTAAATGAAATAAGAATAGTGAAAAAATAATTGAAATTATCAAAAGTTAAGGATTGAGATTGATAGAATTAAATCAACAATGAAATGTGAACTTAAAATCATAAATTAGAATATGTAAATCAAGGATATAAGTTGCAAAGATATTAGAAAAGGCTCGAAGACATGTATCATCGAAAAGAGATTGAGCTAAACAAACGAAAAATTAAGTTGAAATTGAAACTACATAGTGTGATCAGTTGAACATCAAAAATCAAAAGAGTTAAAAATGTCAAATCTAAAGTTCAAATAAAAAGGAACAATACATCAAGAGATATGTAAAAAACAGTTATTATCATATTATGTGATATGCGTGCCTGTAGAATAATCATTCATGGATTTTTATTTATATTTTGATGTATTTTATTTGACTTAATTTTAATTTATTTCTTATTTTTCTTGTATATTTAAGTATTTTAACGATTATATGGAAAAATATAAATAAGGTGAAAAAAATGTCAAATATGTGATTGTCAAATTGTAAAAAAAACTTACATTTTAAAAAATGAACACGGAAGAAACATTTTCAATAAAATTATTTATAATTTGAATCATCATCTACGTCAGTTCATGTTTTTATCGTAAATGATTAAATTTATGTTTATACATTTTACTTTCTTTTACATATTTATCTTTTGTCACATATTTATTTTTAACAATTTACTCTTATTCTACCTTTACTATTTTTGTATTTTATTTTAAATATTACAAATTATATTAAACATCCAAAATGTATACGAATGGTATTTGATAAAGAATAACATTATATTGTAATTAATTGAATGATTGATGTTAATTGCGTATAAATTCAAAAATTAATGTTTGATAAGAAAAAAAAAGAATTTACATGATGTTCAAATTATACATAATATATTTTGAGTATATGTTTATTTAATCAAATAACAAATCATTTACATTAAAAATAATACACACAGCTCTCATATTATTTAAAAATTAAAATTAAGAATAATTTATATATATATATATATATATATATATATTTATTAACTCACATAAATACATTTTTAAGCATTGATAATATCATTATAATAAATATAAAATCATAAATTTCCGTAATATTACGAAAACATTCTCAATCCTATACATAATATTGGAAGTCCATGATAAAAATACCTATTTTTCAAAAATTTCTAAATAGACATATATATGGTTCCGAAATTTTGAAGTATTTAAAAAATAAGGTTGATTTTTAATATTGTTTTGAATTAGACTCTTGAACGAGTTTAGTCCAATAAGTTCAATCGGAATATTTAGACGGGTGGATCATCAAAAACAGCTTTTCAATTTAGCAGCCAAAAATAAAAGTCTGTAATAAAAACCGTAACAAAACTAGTGATCATGAATATAAACAATGTCGTATCATCCGTCCAATATATTATTATTTTGATGGATATATTAATTTAAAATGTTATTAAATACTTAAAAATGTACCTATTTATAAAACAAAGAGAATAAACATAAAACTTTATCCTACATGAAAATATGATTCATTTCCTATATGTGACTTTATTTATCCACTAAATTTTGTCATTTATTATTTTTCATAAATTTAAGGTTAGACTCTTGATATTTTTCCCAAGACAAAATTTAATCCTTAGAGTAATAATGTCCACTCCAGATAGAGACTTAGAAGTGATAATAAGTTTTACGGATAAAATGAATTCTTATCAGATATTATAAATTAAAAAAGCAAAATTCACAACTAACTAGTTAAGAATTCAGCAAATTAAATCAACTCAGTTCAACATCAAATTGTTATTAATATTTATAAATTATTCTAATGATGAGTGGTATATGATTAAAGATGCAGATTAAAATAGTTTATCTATATTTTTTATAAAAATTATGATAGACGAAAAATTTAAAATAAAAATATCAGAAATATAAAAATTCATCATAATAATATTATTATAATTATATAAAAATTGATTATAATAATATTATTATAATAAATATAAAACTGAAATATCTTATAAAATTTGGAAGGTATGCTGCACCGTTAGTTAGAACGGTTGACGGATACGCGAAGTTTATTTATAAATTAGTTAATAATAATAAATAAATAAATAAACACGGAGAGATTAGAGTGCAAGCAAGACATATACACAATCCATCATATGTTAAAAAATCAAATTTTAACACAAAAATTGTTACATTATTATATTTTTCACTATAAAAATGTTAAAGACAATATTATTGATTTTTTTTAATTAGATTATATTACAATTTTATTTTTAAAAGATATTTCGGTATTTTATATATATATTATTTTTAATTTTAATAACTTATATATATATATTTAAATTATTTTTAAAAATATGAAATTCTTTTAATACATTTAAATAAGTCCCCCAATAACAAAAATTAAAGATAAAAATAATCTAATATATATATTTCTACAAATATTTACAATGTTGTAACTTTAAATTTATAAAGGTAACAGATAATTTCACGCATAATAATAATAATAATATTATTATTATTATTATTATTTATTTATTACTTAATTAAGCTGTGTTAGCACCTGAAGTGCCTCACTAATAGCCACGTAGACTTACAAGTGTCTCTGAACCCTAAATATATGGACCCATAACAAGGCCTTTTTGAAGGACGAGATGTTTAGTGCTAAGGATATATATTTGGGCCCAAATAAGAACCACTGGCGCTGATTCGACCGATGAGTTATCAAGACATGAACCACACTATTCATAATAATTTTCTGTTAAAAAAATCTTTATTTTTCTCGTAACTTCTGATAAAATAAAATCCATACTAAATGGTGCAGAGAGAGCTAGGAAAGATATCACAGAGACGGAATAAAAGTGTTTAAAACATATATTCACTTTCCTACTACTTTTCAATCCAAAGTTCAAGGTCTTCCTAGATATAATTATACTAACAGCTTTCGGCAACTTCTCCCTTAAATTGTGTAATCTTATTATATATATATTATGGTACGATTACAAACTTTACCATTGTACAAACGAAGACATAAGAGTGATGTCAATTAAGGACAACACAATGCAATAGAAGACTTAGAAGGTGTGAGAAGAAGACCAAGTCATGCATGCATAGTTGAGGGGGCCACCTGAACCATATTTTATGAGTAACCATTTCTTGCAAATAACCATTTCTTGCAAATGCTGGTTGCTATCCAAAGACACACCCAATCGTTAGATGTGCGGTTACCTTTTTAATGGTCGTGGTTTTAGTTATTTTAAATTTAATAAATATTTAATATATTTATTTATATATTTATAATTTTATTTTTTTAGTTTTGTAATTATCACTTAATTTATAATTATTTTCTTCCAAACTTAATAATCATTTAATATATTTAAGTATATATTTAAATTTTATTTTTTCATTCTTTTATCATTTTTCTCTTTTTATATTTTGTATTAATAATATATTATTTGACCCCAAAATCAATAATAAAAACGTTCATATAAAATACTCTTAATTATACATATATTTATATATAAATTAATAATAAACAAATTTAAATACATAAAATTAAATAATTGTTTACATTCAATACGATCATATATTTTATATCATTTAAGAATTAAAATTAAAAAATAATTTAAATATATTTTCTTTTGTTGATCCAAAAACCCTTTTTAAAAATAAAAGAGTGACGGTCCGTCAGAAATACATTTATACACTCTTGCATATATCCGCCAAAAGCAGTGCAGTGAACAAAGAACAAAACTACCTTAAAATTGACCGAGTGAGAGTGGTAGAAGACAAAAGGGTACCTAGGTTAAAGAAGTAACAGGTCTATTTCATAACATTAACCAACTTTGTACCTTACATGAAGCCAAAAAATGGCCGACAGAAGGAACACTACTTCACGTTGGTGCTATCTACTAGGGGAACTATTCCTGATACAGTCTGTTTTCAACACACCACCACGTTCTCCACACTTGAGTCCAACGTTGTTTAATGTTTACTTTGTTTTGAGTTTCGTAGTTAACTTTTTCTGTGTTAGATAAAAATGGTAAGAAATAATTGAAAAAGATATGAAAAGGTTTGAGGGGTGAGGCAATTATCTGCACCATACATTTGGACATTATATTTGATGTGACAATATGATATACACCAGCTTGCACTTCTATTTCTGCATAGTTTTTAGACAGAAAACCGTAAAATAAGAGAATTGCAGGGTGAGAGGAGAACAAGGTCGAGCACGTGTTGAAGAATTATAACTTGAATAGTTCATTATGTGTAATGACTTTACTTGGTCAGAAATAGCCACTCTTCACGGGATAAACAGTGTTATTAATTATCCTCCTCATGATTTCTCTTTGAATAACATGGTTCTTGCAACTTTTAATCACAGTAGTGATTGGTCCTCCCCTGTAAAAAAAAAAAATGAGATTACTAACGAACAAAATCAGTCTACAAATAAAAAAAAATTATTCGTAAAAAATTATGGGTCGGTCAAAAATTATTTATTGATAATTAATTACTAATTTATCGACTAATTTATCAATGAATATTCTAATTTATTAATGAATATTTGTTGATAATTAATTATTAATTTATCGATGATTTTATTGATAAATATATTAATCGATAATTAATTATTAATTTATCGATAGATATATATGTGAGTAAGATAAATTTTCACAAATATTTTATATCAATAATTTTTATTAGTAATAATTAATTTTCTATCGGTTATGTATTTATTGATAAAAATTCCTCGAAAATAAGTAATTTTTTTTTAGTATGCAAGAGATGTTTTTAGAAAAGAAAACCCGCAAACCTTATTATAGATTGTACTGAATATAATTAATTGTAAATTAAATGCTAAATTTGGACTATTGTGACATAATATAACTTTGCATACACGACCTAATAAAACAAAAAAGAAAAAATAAAAAAGAAAAAATAAAAAAGAAAAAATTGTATGGCAATATTATTCGAAGAATTTTTGTAGGATACCAATAATACAAACCATTACTACATAGAATATTTGAGAGAAAAAATCAGTTTATTTTTATAAAGCATATATTTATTCGAAGAATTTTTCTTTAGAAAAGAAAGAAGAATATGATGCCTGTATTTTTCGAAGAATTAAATATATGCCAATCTTTCCTCCACCCTACATTTTTTAATTGTACTTGATACATTTCTAATGTTTTTGTACCGTTTGTTAATATTATTAATCAACAATTTTCTTCAAGAAAAATATATTCTTAGATACCGTTCAAGAGGATACATTAGGAGGGTGGAGAAGAAGGAAAAAAAAAAGAAGAAGAAGAAAGTAATTAGTATAATATGATATAATAAATAAGAAAAATCAATTATGTATAGGGTGAAATATTGATCTTTATGAATATGAGTCAAATGATGGATAATATTAAATAACCCAGTAGTTTCATTAAAAAAAATCATACATGGGAAACACATAAAACGGATTAATCATATAAACAATCGTATTGTACAATTGTATATGTAGTTTCTAACTATACATAACCATATGATACCAGTAAATTCTTCACGTTAAACCGTTATTCATTCTAACACCCCCACACGTGCGTCAGAATTCCCTTTAGGAAATATTATACTGAAACTCAAACGACGGTGACGGTAACGGCGAAGGGGGCAAAGACGGCGGAGATTTCAAGCTCTGAAAGTATCCCCTGATGTCGACTCCATCGGCGAAAGGCGTTGTCCCGTCGTCTCTTGACGGAATAAACGGCGGCCGCATAACCTCCGTTAGTAGGTCCCACTTAACCCCTATGAAGAACTCGTGCTCCTTGATCTCGTTAGCGCCACGAACATAACCCAAACGTTTGGTGGGGTCCTTTTCGAGCAACCGTGAGATGAGGTCCGTCAACGCCGTTTTCTTCCCGACAAACTCGGGCGTCTTCAACAACGCGTTGCGAAACGTTTCCTTGCGATTCTTCCCCTTGAACGGTGTCGTTCCGTAGAGCATCTCGTGGGCGAGGACGCCGAGGGCCCACCAGTCGACGGCGAAGCCGTGCCCCTCGCCTCGGAGGACCTCCGGCGCGATGTACTCCTCGGTGCCCACGAACGAGTTCGAGCGCTCAAAGCTCGGCGCGGCGCGGCGAGCTGCGGGGGTGACTCGGGCGGACTTGGGGGCCTTGGTGAGAGGGCCCCAGCGGAAGTTGCGGCGGGGCTTGCGCGGAGCTGTGTCGGGAATGTGAGAGTTGGAAGGAGAGGTGGTGGTTTTGGTGGGAGAGAGGGTTCGGGAGAGGTCGAAGTCGGTGAGGGTGACGTGGCCGGATTCTTGGATGAGGACGTTTTCGGGTTTGAGGTCGCGGTAGGCGATGTCCATGGAGTGAAGGTGGTGGAGGGCGCAGAGGATCTCGGCGAGGTAGAAGCGGATGACGGCGGGGGAGAAGACGTGATCGGTTTGGCGGTAGCGGAGGAGGTTGAGGTCGCCGCCGGGGCAGTAGGGGACGGCCCAGCCCATTAAGTTGTTAGACTCAAAGGAGCCCAATAGGGTGGGGAGGAAGGGGTGGGACAAGCGAGAGAGAACGCTGATTTCCCAGTGACCACGGCGAGAAGCGTCGTGCAGGGACGATGATTTGTCGACGACTTTGACTGCCACGTGGCAGGAGTTGTGTTGCACAAGAAACACAGTGCCCATGGCTCCTTTGCCTAACACTTTCACTGCCTTCACGTTGTCCAGGTCAAGTTCCTCTGCCATTTTCGATAGATAAACGTAGTTTGTGTTTGTTGGATCCTTCCTTGCTGCTATTCGCCTTTTATAACGTTGTTCTACTGTTGTATGCGGATTTCCTTTTGTTTTTTCTGTGCACACACACTGTTTCCTGTTCCATGTTAATGTTTTTGGTTTTATTCTTAAAGTGGTTGTGCCTCTAAGATCATATCTTGTAGTGGGTGAAGGAATATGCTTACAGTGACAATGTTAGTAAAACCAGACCATAAATAGTGATTTAACTCCTAAGAATAATGCTTTAATAAAAAAAAAAAATTAGAAGGGTGAAATTTGCATAACATAAACTCATGTAAAGCATGTAAATAGAATATAAGCCACATAGTCGATTATCAGCTATGAATAGAACGAGACTTCGTGCTTCAAATTTTAAAAATTGTTACGTAGGTTGAGAAAGAATTATATTTCACCTTAACAAACAGTATTAAACAAAAAAGACATAAATGAAGTTGCCGTACGGTAGTCACATGGAACTCCCATATTCTAAGGAGAACGTGAATGCAATTGCTTCATGTTGGAACCTTGTCACCTTCCCATTTACCAATCCATTCTCTAATTGGATTTCTTTCTTTAATTAATGGAACAGGACATTTCACTCACCCTTCTTCATGCTCCTTTGAATGATTCAATACCAGTATCTCAATAAATCTTTCAACTATACCATTTGCCCTGTGTATAGCACTCATCAAATTGACCCTGTTTTGTGGTTTTAGGCTTCATTGGTAATCAATCACACATGATATCCATTAATCAAGCTCATCAAATGGTTATCTTGGAATCCTAATTTGCAGCATCATTATCAGAAAACTTTTAAAGGACGAATATTTTAATCATCAATCCCGTTGTTAATGTTGGGATATCTTGAACTACCACCACAGGAATTAAAGAGGATTGGAGTTTCACATGTTCAATGTTAATGTTTCTTGGTCAGGATGTGATTTATTGTACGGCAAGACACTGCACGAATGCGATGTTTTATATATGACAGTACCCAAAGAAAATGATTAAATAATGTGGAGGAGCCTTGGTTCTGTTGATGATGAATTAGGTGGATGATGGTGAATTTGTGATGGCTTCATTTGCAAAAGTGTAGGCTTTGTGGCAACATAAAAGATGTTGAGATGTTAAAAATGGCATTAAATTATAACCAAGTCTATGGTTGAAACAGATGAAGAGTAGACAAGTGGAGGACAAAATGATTATGCTTTGTTTTAAATTGAATTGGCAACATACTTTTGATTTTGCAAAGTCTTCTACATGAAACTGTGAACTTGAGGAGAAAGATATTTTAGCCTGGGGAAACCACACGTATGAAACAAGTCACAAAAGCATCAAATTTCTTTGTGTTTCACTCATGACGACTTACACAGTAACGTGGATTCGTGATTTGGGTAGAAGTTTGGTGATCTTCCCACGGATCAAGTCCTTAAACAACATGACCCACCAACTACAACAAAATTGTATAAAGGAGAAAAGTTAAATGCTTCAACCTTGCTGGTTGGTGATTTTAGTTGCTTATTTCTACTTTTGTATAACATATGAGCAAATCTAGACTAAATAAGTCCACTTTTATACAAATCAGCATTTTAAATGATATTGATGTATATAGTTATGAATTAAGAAAAGCTTTTTTCTTTTTTCATCTCATACTTTCTTCATTTTTCACATTGTCTTTAACGTAAATAAATTATAGACTCACTTTTTTGAAAGCATTTTAGAATAAACTTTTCAAATTATTTAAAATTGACATTTCTAGAAGTTTTATAGAAATATTTTGAAATCAGTTTTTTAGAAATATTTCGAAAAGTTCTCAAAAAAAGTCAATCTATAATACTTAACAAGGCTTTTCTCGGACCGTAAACAATACTTTTGGACCCAGGCCCAGCCCAGTGAACGAAACCTCTGGGTCTTGCTGAACATGTAAGAACTTTTACCAAAACACCAAATCTGTGAGCAAAGATACCGATGGCCAACTATCCATAATTTTTATAATAAAATGATTTTTATTTTTTTACTTTTTTTAATCCATATATTATTGATACAAAATTATCCTATATTATCAATCAATTCTAAATAAATATATTAATACTTTTAAAATACTTATTTTAAAATAGATAAATTTAATATAAAGGATATTCCGTGTCTTGTCAACCATAGTCAACCGTGTAATTTTTTAATACACTTGATTCTTTTAACTATTCAAGTTCCGTACCGATTTTTTTAATAGGGATTTTTTAAATTTTATTTATGTATTTATTTAATATTATTATTTAAAAAGTGATTTTTCAAAAGTAAACTCTACCTATTTTTTGAATTAGAGAAAATTACTTATTTAAAAAATAATAATTTTAAACAAACTAGAGTATTGAATTTTTGAAACAAGTGATTATTTTGTTTATTATAAAATAGTCATGAGCGTTTTTTCAACTCTGCATTTTTTTTCCTACACGTCCAATTAAACGGCAAAAGTAAATATTATTTTAACATAAAATAAAAATATATATACGGCGTTGTTCGTTTATGGGTAAGGGTTGAGTGGGTATGTTACCATCACCTGCTTCGGGTTCTGGAAATTAATTCATAAGAATCGTTCGTTTAATTAGGTCATTCAATCCAAGAGAACCCTAACGCTAAGTTCACCGAAGTGTTGAGGCATGGATTCTCAGGTTGCTGTAGCTCTTGCTCTTTCACTTGTTGGTGGTGTCAGTACTTCTATCGGTACATTTCTCTGCACTTTCACTTACCTTAATTACTCCTTGTGACATGCTTTTTCAATTTCTATCGGTGAACCAGTGAACTCTACTGGAGTGCAAATTGTTATTTCAATTGCTTATTTATTGTGTTATTGTCGCAAACATGTTCAGACTGTTTTTCACATTTTCAGAATACTAATTGTTATTTCAATCGGTTACTTAGTACTTATTTATTTTAGTAGAGCTCCTGCTCTTGATGAAAGCTTATAATCGGTTTGTGTAATTGTTACTGGACTATAAATTGTTCTTTGTTGTGACATAGGTGCACTTTTTGTTATTGTTAATCAAGCTCCCAATTTGAAGATGCTTGGGCTATTACAGGTGCTTTTAGTTGGTCATGACTTTTTTTTTTTTTTTTTAATTTATGAGAATGTATTGATTGATTTAGAATCATTATGCTCCTCTCTTTTTGAATTCCATTTGTTGGTTTGCGTACTTAAGTATGCTTTCTGAAATTATTTCACTGCATGAAGGGTTTTGCTGCTGGTTTGATGCTTAGCATATCGTTCTTTGATTTGGCTCATAATGCTTTGAACTCATTGGGCTTCCTGAAAGGCAACCTTTGGGTAAGATGTGCTCTTCTGCTATCATCATATAGTTGCAATAATTTTTTCTTTCGTATCATCTTCTCTCATATTAGTTCTGAGCAAATGTTCCATCTTCTCATTCATGTAGTTTTTTGCTGGGGTAATATTCTTTGCTGTTGTTGCCAGTTTTATCCCAGAGCCAACTATTACTCCCACTTCTGATATGAAGGGCAGAAAGGTATTAATGAACTTGTTCTTACAAATAACTGCTACCTATGTATTGTTGTTTTTGCAAAGTGGCATTGGAGCTGCTATGTATGATATCTACATAGATATGAATTTTTGATAGATGTGATGACATGCTTGAAATTAGAAAAACGGGGATGGAGGAGACAAGGATACTATGAAAAAGCATCGCCGGCAAGTTTTATTCAGTGGAATTGTTACAGCCGTAGGTATGATTGTGATATGAACGCATTGTTTGGGTAAACCTACCACTTTGCTTATAATGCAGTTCTCTGTGTTGTGAAACAAAAATTACGGAAATATTAGAGAAATATGAAAATTAATTTTCTTTTGAATTTCTTGGAGTTTGATATTCAGGAGTAAAATGTTCCTTGTTGATCGAAGACTCGAGCAACTTCAATTCTCACTTTTCTTTTTCCTTGTTTTCACTGTTTCATTGAGTTCATTTGTTACTTTTTTTGTGTATTTCCTAGGCATAAGTTTGCACAATTTTCCAGAAGGAATGGCAGTGTTCCTTGGATCCATGAAGGTATAGGACTTTATTGATGTCACGTGCATATGAATCTGCAACATTATCATTAATCGTTGAAGCATTACTTATGTTATATCCTCCCTAATGTACTAGTTAATGCCACATAAACTTGATGTTTGTGATATGCTTTTCCAATAGGGCCTCCGTGTTGGCATCAACTTAGCATTAGCGATTGCTCTTCACAACATCCCAGAGGTATAAGCTTTCATCTTGTGATGAAACCTGTTTACGCTAGATACATTTAAATTAATAATGTACACTTAGCTTCAGCCATTGCTCTGCACAATATCCCAGAGGTATAAGTTTTTTTCTTGTGATGAAACCTGTTTACTACAGATACATTTAAATTAATAATGAAGTAAAACTACTATTCCTTATAGTCCTTGATGCTTTCTTGTCTTTATATTTTATTTTTTATTGTTCAATATTTTAATTTTAACATTTTTTACCATCCTCATTATATTAAAAGAAAAAAACACATTTTAAAATGCTCTATAGGTCTTTTTGTAATTTTAATTATGTTTTGTTTCCAGGGTGTTGCTGTTGCACTTCCTGTTTATTTTGCGACACAAAGGTAATAAAGATTTAAAGGGCTCTTGTTGGTTTTAGTATTTGTAATACTTACATTTGACAAATTAGAGTAGCTATTAAAGCATAAAGTGTTTATGTTCAATTGCTATTCTGGATGAAACATGCACATTTAGTGAATCATATATATAAAAAGGGACAAATAGTGGGAAATATGTTCAGTGGCTGAGTAGTTGATTTTGGAATTGTTATCTCAATAATTTTACTGACGTATATGGTTAATATTTTATGGTTATCTCAATAGTGGGAATTATATGCTTATTTATTTATGACCAGTAGTGGTTGTCGTGTGTGATAGTGAAGATGACTATTTTGTGAAGTAAACCTTTAATTTTGTGGCGATAATGCTATTGATTTACTGTGGAAGATTTTCTTTCTTCACTTTTGCTACAACAGAAAAAGATATTAACATACGGAAAAAAGCTTGAGGGTGTTTTTGAATTTGAATGCTAATACCTCTCTATATATAAATCAAGATAAGTTCATATAAAAATCTAGTTACGGGTTTTAAGGATGTGTACGTTTGCAAATCTTGACATACTTGATATCCTTCTTTTGTTATATAATAACTGTTGAAATAAGTGGTTAATCTCAAATCTTGATTTTTATTGTTATTTTAAATGAAATTGTGCAAATAACTATGTAAAATTGAATTATAACTTTTTTTCTGGATGTATCCTAGCAAATGGCAGGCATTCAAATTAGCATCACTTTCTGGCTTCGCTGAGCCCCTGGGAGTTATAATTGTAGGTATATCATCTGATATATGTTGCTTTGCACAATAGAGTTTGATTTTTTTTTAAGAAGCTGAATGCTACAATTATAGTAATGTGGTATTATAACAATGATGAAGCTTGGCATGGTTAAACATTAGGGTCAGGTAAGGTATGCGTTACCCAGTTCCAAGTGTTCGACCTTACCCGTTGAATTTCCATCTGTACTCTAGAGATTATGTACATTCATTACTTTTTGACACTCAAGATTTCTTAGACATATTTGAATTGTGTAGTCAAATTAATTGTGATGATTTCTTCTCTCACTGTAGCCTATCTGTTCCCTAGCAGCTTAAGTCCTGAGATTCTGGAAGGTTTACTTGGATCAGGTTTGCAATGATACAATATCTAGATGTCACGATGGGATTTTTAGAAATATGTTATTATCTAGATTTATTCTATGATTATTAATTACAGTTGGTGGAGTCATGGCTTTTTTGACCCTTCATGAAATGTTACCATTGGCTTTTGATTATGCGGGACAAAAGCAATCTGTTAAGGCTGTCTTTTTGGGGATGGCTTTCATGTCTGCAAGGTCAGAATCTCATTCGTAATATTATTTGCTTCCTAGGGAAGATATATGATGCATTTAATAATTTAAGTGTCCCCTAACAAATCTGTATATAAATTGAGTAAATTAAAGTGCATATTAACCAGAAACTTGTAATAGGGAATATTGTCTCCTGCAACTAGAGGAAACAAGAGTGTTCTTGTGAATGTGCATACAATCGTAGCTCTTTATTATCTTCCTTTCTAAAATTTTAATGTTACCAGATTGGGTGCGACACGTCAAAACATGATTTGTAGACCTTTAATTTCTCTTCATCACTTTTTTGCTGGTGAGTTCTCATCTCATTAATATTGCTGGACGTGCAGCCTATATTTCCTAAGTATCAGCTTACCGGAGGACTTGAGCTTGTAGGTGGGAACAACTCTTCTCTCTTCTGAATGTCATGAATTCAAGTCTCATTGTAACGTGTATCCTAATTTTATCACTCGTCGCAGCCAAGTTCCTTCAGAAGGGGTCTCAGAGAGTGTCCAAGGTCACAATTCATCTGTTTAGGATAGCAATCAATCAGACATCAGTGTAGACGGATGCATTCCACCTATGATTGTGGATTGCCCTATAGACTAATGTAAATAAAAAGGAATAAGAGTATGTTGCATTCAATTCTTTAACATACCCACCTTGTATGCTGTATAATCAACGAATATTGGTCATTAAATTGCACAATTTGTTGATACTGTGTTGCGTTAATAACTTCAGCCTTAGGGTATAAGACTCAATCACAGAACATAATGTTCACGACCAATCAATAAATATTATTTTGATACCAAGCATTTAATTAATCAAATTTAAAATAGAGTAATTCTAAAAAGTTAAAGTATTATACATGTACATTTTTTTTAAGAGTGAGAATTTAGAATATGATATTTGTTTTTTTATTTTTATAATTTTTTTCTAATATAATGATCTAGTAATTTATGAATATAAATCTAACTTATATTCTTAAATAATTGGATTTTTTTTTTTAATATTAAGAGTCAACAAAACATATTGAATTGAATCAACAATGATTTGTTGGCCAGTGAAATCTAGCGGACAAAAACACCCTTCAAAACATTGTATATCCTCAAAAACTTCATAAATGCGCAAGTATATTAGTTTTTATGAAATGGGTATGACATTTAGTTTATATTTTATGCTGAATATCGTTATAAAAACCCAATCTCCATCTTGGAGCAAATATTATTGAAGTGAGTTGGATCTTTTTAACAAAGTTTGTTTTTTCAATGGAGTCAAATAATAAATATTGATTAATTCACAATATTTATTGCTTAACAAATGTAACATATGTTTTATTTAGACATTATTATAAGCTAATTAATTGAAGTTAATGATTTTTTAATTAATGTTAGTAAGGTATTTTATTAAAGTTAAAATTAATCAGGATTACTTTTTGGTTGCTGTTTTAAAGAATATTTTTGTCTATAATCCTGTGATATATATTAGTTAATGTTAGTTGACGATTTTTTTTTGTTATTATCATCAGTGTGTTTTTTTAGTGATGTCAATCATGATTTTATTCGTTGATATCAACTGAGTTATTTTTAATTAATGTGAGTATATGAGATATTTTTTTTCTGACAACTTTACTTTTTAACCAACTTTATTAATTATTTTTTTAATAAACATTGACAAACGACTTTTCAGCTGATAATAACTAGTTTTTTTTTATTGACACTGGTGATACTATTTATCAACTGATATGACTTGGTATAATTTTACTCAATATTAATATAGATTAAACTTGGTTAACATTGTCGAGATTATCTATCTTTTTATCTCAAAGTTATTTCTGAACTCATTTTAAGAGATCTTAACATATTTATTTGTGAGTTGAACCATTAGTATACAAGCCTAAACGGACAACACAATTAAGTTATGTTGTTTAAGAAGCTTTGTTAAGTCATTATGCAATGTAAAAATAGTGTAACTACAGGAGTGAGTTTTCTTGGACCGAAAACACTACTCGGATCCAGGCCCAGCCCAATGAACGAACCTCTAGGTCTTGCTGAACGATGTAATAGAACTTTGACCATAACACGAAATCTGTGAGCGGCAATACCAATGGCCACTACGATTCCTACAGAACTTCCTATTAGCGCAACTTCACACTCCTTTTAATCTTTCTATCACCGCGCTCTCAATTCCTGCGCCATTTTTCATTTCCTCATTCGGTAAGCTCCCAATTTTTCTCATATCTATCATCACTTAGCTGTCGATTCATTCTCTGAATTGTTCATTTCTTTCATAGCTATAGCTATGTTTCTTTACGATCTGCCTCTCAATTACTGTATTGTCTGTAACTAAGTTCGATATTTGCTATTATTCAACAGTGGTTTTTGATTCTTGAACTGTTAATTTGATATCTTTGATTTTATTGGCATCTGAATTGAAAAAAGCTTGGTGTATTGATTAATTATCCATTTCCCCTGTCAGATTGCTCTGGTAGAGTGAAATCCCCCATTTATTCGCAGCTAAACCCTAATTCAGAATTTTGGTGTGGTGTATGTTGACTTAATTGAGTGAAGAGATAGCATAATGGTAAAAGCATATAGACAGGAACACGTCTACAAGCACCCTTGGGAACGTGTAACTTGTGCATCTTGGCGCAAGTTTGCTGATCCTGAGAACAAACGCATATTATCCCATATTCTTGATGTTGACACATTGAACCATAGTATTGACCCTTCATCAGGGAAGCTTTACACAACTCGTGCCATCACGATCCATTGTCCTGGACCGTGGTTTGTTCGCAGAATTGTTGGTCAGGATATTTGTCACTGTGTGGAATCCACTGTTGTGGATGCACAGTCGCGCTCCATGCAACTAACCTCCCGGAATATCAGCCTCCGGAAGTTCATAGAAGTGGAAGAGAAGATCCGGTATGATCCACATCCGGATAACCCAACCTGTTGGACGGTTTGCCAGCAGGAGACTAGTATCAGGATTAAGCCATTGTCGGCTCTGGCATCCATGGCTGAAAAGGTGGAGCAGCGATGTGCTGAAAGGTTTCTTCAGAATAGTGTCAAGGGTAGAGAGGTAATGGAGAGGATATGTAAATATCTTGAAGCAGAATCTAGTGGTCTGGCCTTGTGATTCCATCTTCTCATTTCAGTTGGTTTCTGTAGATTAACTTATTGTATTTGTAAAATAACTTAGGATATATCGCAACATAAAAGGCAGGGAAGATGGTGAAGCTTGTGTGTCTTCCCGTGACTATAAGAACTAAGAAGACTATTTTAGATCTTCTCCAAATTTTGATCTGTCTGATAATTTTTTTAATTGTTACATAACTTAAAAGGATCATCATCCCTTCAGGGTGAGTTCGGGACCTTACTCTGTTGTTCTTTGTTTGTCACCTTTCCTTATCATCACAAACTTTTGTTTTAATATATCTTGAGATAGAAGTGATTATCCATATATTTTCTTTCGGGCATGCCTAAGTGATGACTGGGTTAATATTTTTTTCTTATGCTTTTTATCACATGATAGTTTATTATCCTTGTGCCATCGAGGTTTTGTTTTTCAATGTGAACATGAAGTTGTAGTTAATTACCAAGTAAAATATGGAAGACGAAAATGTTACGTACACAACCGTAATTGATAGAACTGTTATAATCTATTGACTTTTTTACTTTTATTGTAACTTTTACCTTGTTGGTTTTGGTTTGTTTTTAATGGTGAAATTATCTTATCATTTTGGTTTGGCTTGTTGTTGCGATCCTTTCCCAATTTCGAGTTTGGGCGTACTGAAACAACGTTTTAAGCATTTGTTCTTTTGTTTAACTCACTTATAATTGAACTAATTTGTGCATGAACAACTTGTAAGGATACCATCATAATTGAATTTATTTGTGCATAAACAAACTGTAAGGATACCATCGTTTGCGTAAATATTTACTCTCTTGGAAGTTTATATACACGGCCCTATTAACTAACTCACAATTATTAAAGAAATTAGCTAATTTAGATATTATTTTAAAATTTTAATGTACTTAAATATGAAACTTGGTATATGTATAAAATTAACTTATTCTATCTAACTTAAATATTTAATATATAAGAATTCTGAAATGTTTTAGCCAAATAAGATATTTAAAAAGTAAAGAAAAAAATTAATTGAAAGTAATTCAAATTTTATATCTTCTACAAAACACACCATAAGATTATTGACATTTGGTTTTCTACAGGCATTTTGACCAAAGTAATTGCAATATATTTAACAAAAAAAAAATGTATAGCAAGTGCAGTGGGTAGCTGAGTTGAGTCTGTTAGAAACTCTCCGTTCCTTACTAAGTATTCGCTCAACTTCATCAGGCTGTTCTTCTGCTCAAAATCTAAATCAGAATTTTTGTGTGGTGTCTCTTGACTTGAGTGAAGAGACAGCATAATGGTGAAGGCAAAGTAACACGTCTACAAGTAATTAGGTTTTCTTTTACCAAGGTTATTATCTTTGAGAGTATCTTATTTACTTATCATTCGATCCTTCAAAGTTGACATGTTATTTCATTCTCCTTACCTAGTCCATTATTTATTTATTTATTTATTTTTCAACTTACTTTTGGTTCCATGTTTATCTTGCTTGGCAGAAAGCTATGTCCTTGTTCATGGAGGAGTTTTTTCTTGTTTTCAAATCCTTCTCAAAATTTGATAGCTCCATCTAGTTCTAGTGAGGTTTTACATTAATTATGTACATTTATTATTATTTTGATACACAAGATTTATTAAATATGTTATGAATTGTGTCCTAAAACTAATTTTCTATTCTCTCACATTAACCTATGTATTCTCTAGCAGCTTAAGTACTAAGATTCTGGAAGCTTTGCCCGGATCAGTTTGCAATATACAACATCTAGATATGACGATGAGATTTTTAGAATTTCTGTTATTATCCAGATTTATTCTACGATGTTTAATTAGTGAAGTTATGACTTTTTTATCCTTCATGAGATGTTGCCTTGGCTTTTGATTATGCGGGGCAGAACAATCTGTTAAGCCTGTCTTTTTGGAGATGGCTTCAAGAGCTGAGGATATATATATTTTATTTTATTTTCATTATTGCTACCTTGGGAAGATATTTAATACATTTAGGTGTTCACTATCAAGTCTCTATATATATTAAATTGAGTAAATTAATATGCATATTAACTAATGTTCTCTCCTGCAACGAGAGGAAACATTGTGATTATAATTATCAATGTTACCAGATTCGGTACAAGTACGTAAAAACATTATTTGTAGACCTTTAGTATCTGTCTATCACTTTTTTTTGCTGGTGAGTTCTCATCTCGTTAATATTGCTGGATGTGCAGCTTGTATTTTCTCAGTATCAGGTTACTTAGGACTTGAACATGCAGGTGGGAACAACATCTTCACTTTTCTGAATGTCATGAATTCAAGTCTCATTCTGATGTGTGTCTTGATTCCATCGTCACAGCAAAGTTCCTTCAGAATGTGTCTCAGAGAGTTTCCAAGGACAATAATGCAGAGTGTTCATCTGTTTAGGATGCATTCCAGCTATGATTGTGGATTCTCCTGTAGACTAATATACAATAAATAAGAGTATGCCTTGTTCAATTCTTTAACCAGCCCATTATTGTGTCATCAACGAAGATTGGACTTTATATTGCACCAATTTATTCATACAGTCTTGTTTTAATATATTTCAGCCTTGGGCTATAACACACTCACATAACATATATATACTATTATCTAAAAATAATCACATTATTAATAATCGGATGAAACCAAAAAGTAATTTCTCTATTGCAAAATTATAAAAGAGATCAAACCATTTCATCAAATTAAGTATGATTATATATATATATATATATATATATATATATATATATATATATATATATATTATCTTCCATATCAAGAATATTAATGAACTCTATTATTCAAATGCTATTTTTTAATTTTAGAATATATTTTGTAGTTCAACTCTTATCTTATAACTGAAATAAAAAAATTAATAGATATGTTTCGTTCAAAATGAGCATAGATTAAAATTATGAACTTAGAATAAAAAAAAAAATGTGTTGATTCAATCTATTTTATCATTGTAAGTTCATTCTATTCTATCCGAACCAACATATAAGATCATATATATTTTTATTATGATTATGAGAATGAATCATTCACCTATATCTAAATAGATATTATATTTATATAAATATATGTATTCATTCTATTTTTAATTAAAAATATGCCCATGTTTTTCATATATATCTCATTGTTTAAAACCCTATTAGATTTATTATTCAACAAATTTAAAGCATTATATCCAAAATAAATAAATAAAAATTAACAAAGCATGTGAACTGAAACAACTCTATGTTTGTTGGATAGTGAAGTCTATTAAAAAAATAATAATTCTCCTCACGACAAGCTTGAATTGAGTGAGACTGACAGACAGTGGTAAATTCTATTATATGTGCATATTTTCTATGGTTGAAAACACAACAAAATTATATATATAGTTATATTTGATAACATATATATACTCTAATATAAAGAGAGTTTAGAAACATATCCAGATTATCCTTTTCTTTTATATTATCGACAATCTTAAAACTACCGTAAATGACTCATTATGACAACAAACATTATGCAATATTTTTTTGTCTTATGATAATTATGTGTTGTTGCATTCATTATAGGGAATTAAAACCAACTTAATACTAGCAGTTAAAAAAATGATGGTTATTCATTAGAAATATAGAAATATACAATTCTGTTTAAAAAAGATAAGAAATCAATTTAGATATATTTTTTTTTAACTTTTTAATTGCTTTGTTGTTACATGAGTACTTAGGGAGAATGTTTTTCTTAATATATCTAAACATTTCAGAACTTTAGGTGATTTTTTTTTTTAAGTATAAATGTATCCAATCAAACAAGCTTTAGAAAGTTACAAATATTAGATTATTATATATCTCTTACTCTTGCAAATATGAAGTTGGTATTTTACTATACCTATTGCAAGGAAAGATCATTAACTTGGATATTAATTTCCTTGTCTAATAATATCACCACCGTGATCATTTGCATCTAAATTCATCTTAATATATAAAAATAATTATTTCTGATATCAAGAATAAAGGTTGCACTCTTGTTCCTATAATATATGTTTTGTAATAAAAAAATAAATCCTAAAACAAGGGTAATAATGTTAACATGTCAGTGTAATATTAATAACCTTTTTTTTATTATTTATATGTACTATTTGCATTGAAACAACCCTCTCTAATGAAACGTCATTTTCGTCTTAAATATTTCATTTTGTGTATAGGGCAACTGTTTATTATTGTTAATTAGTTTTCTACTATATATTAATTAGTTTTTTTCTACTATATATTAATTAGTTTTCTTTTCACCCTAATGACCCCAATAACTTAACCATAATAATTACATATAACATGTAAAAAAAAAACACTTAATAGAAATCTCTTGCCCAATATATATTAATTTTTTTTAGGGGAAACACTTGGGGTTTGTTTGGAATAGAATGCAAGAAAGAAAGTTGATTTGATAAAGAACAGAAGAAGCTGTTAAGGTCTACAAGGTTCCATCACATCATTCTTTGTTAATCTGACAGATTTGTGGTCATTGGGGATGTTGTGACAGATTGACATTACACTGGACACCATGGATGGATACAAACAAGAAAAGAATCACATAATTAGTTATCATTTTCAGCACCCTTTTTCACTGTTCTTCTGTTAAGTCTATATATTATTTCGTAAACTGAAAAATGGCCAAATAGAGATCATAGTGTAGCCTGCTGCGAACACTCTTCATCTTCAAGTTCAACTGAAAAAGATAACAAACAACAAGAGAAAAAGAAAAAGAGAAAAAAAGAGAGCAAAAGGGTGTGCCGGAGAGAAGGAAGGTGGAGTCTTGTTCTTGTTGGTTGGGTTAATGAGGGAAATAGAGTGAAGTGTGATAGGTAGCTACACTTCATAACCTGGTTATGTTGTACTTTGACATGACATCTCAAATATATTATTATCATTGCATTTATAGCTGCTACTTATTCTTTTTAAGTATTTATTGGTTTCGATTCATTTGATTAATTCGAGAATTTGAAATTAAATTAGTTCAAAAGTTTAATTTAATTAAACCTAATTTCAATGAAATCAATAGTGTTATAATATTGATATTTATTTGGGTATTAAATTTGTGATTTATAAATGCAACGAACCTGAACCAAATTAATGATGTGTTTTTTTATATGAATTATATACACATGAATTTTTATTATATAATTATATAATTTTATATTATTAATTTGAGAATTACAATACAAAGATATTTATTTCTCTTAATGATAGGATTATGTATTATTTCTATTTCTCAAAATCGAATTTGTGTATTTGTATAAAACTAATCTATTTTTCTTGTAAAGTTGGTTTGGTTTAAATTTTAAAATTCTTTCAGAAAAATTCAAACCAATAAAAATTGATTGGTTCAAATTTTATTTACTCCCTGATTCGATTTAAACCACCCGCCAACATCCCTAACCTTTCTTATGTTAACATGCATATATAGACTTAAGTTCTTTGTAATTTAAGAGTTGCTCATATTTTTTTAAAATTAAAATTAGAATTTCATTAGAGTAATTTATGAAAGGGTTGCTCGCACTTTTTTAAGAGCTGCACTTATTTACTTTTCATATATCATTCATTTAAAATATTTATCAATTGATTTTATCTTATGAAGATATATTTGTATAGAAAAGTTATTTTTTGACCTCAATTTTTAGGTTATATGAGACTTTAATGCTTTATTTGGATGAGATGATAGAAAGTAAAAGAGTAAAAAAATTAAAAATAAAAAAGTCTACAGTGTGATTATTTGAATTAGGAGAAGAAATATTAAAATAATAAAAAATGAGATAAATTTATTTATTATTTTTTAACTATTTATTATTATTATTATTATAAAATATATTAATAATTTTTCTTAAATATAATTGATTGCATAATGTAAATATTATAAAATATAATCAATTACGTGTATATATATATAATGGAAAAGAAGGACAATTTGATATGCACACATTTTGTATATTGAAATTCATAATTTTTCATATTTCTTAGTTGTCCATTTTTTCTGAGTTGAAAACAAATAAAGTATAAGTATACCAAAATAATATCAATAAAAATAGTTATTAAGTTTATTCATTATAATGTTATAAAGGTGTTTTAAAACAGAAAAAAGAAGAGAGAAAAGCATATTTTTGTTGAGAAGCTAATGATTTTGATGGAAATGATTATGGTGAGTGTAAACATAGTATTTGATCTGTCGATCATGGTGGACGTAGCAAAAGGGAAATAGCACCATCATACCACTCATAAAGCTGATCAATCACAGGCTCAAAAGCTTCCCCCAACTGCATTTCCACTTGTTTATATATTTATATTATTATAAATATACCTACTCATCATTTTTCTCTATTCTTTCTCAGAAAACACAAAGTTTACCTTGTAACATGTTTCTGTTAATTTTGACACACAACCTATAATTTTGTTTTAGGTGCAATATTTTTAATATTGTTTTGTTAGAACTGAAAATGTATATAATAAAGGAGAGAATATTATTGTAAAATTATAATCTTGACTGAAAATGTATCACTAAAATCACATAACATGTTAGTTTGTTCAAATTTAAACATGCACGTGAGCCAGCACAAGGTGGCATTTATCTCCCTTTCAAATTACATGAATATTCTTATGGTATTTGATATCATTTGAAAATCCTAAAGAACAACATTGAAATCTTGGAATTAACATTAAATTTTAACATGGTCATGTTTCCAAGAGAGAAAGAAAGGAGGGAGAAACCAAAACCAAAATGAGGAAAAGAAGTTAATTACCACCTCAATTTCATTATGCAAAATCAAGAAACAAAGAAATCGAAAAAAGAGAAAAGGAATAGGGAAGTGGAGAAGGAGAAGTGGTTAGTGATGGTAGTCATAGTCAACAATTTAATCAGTTGAAAAACATGAGAATCCTCAATTGTCACACATCAACAATGACTTGAAACTAAAGATTCATTGACATTTTCGTGGTCAATTTCAGAGCCAGGTTCATCGTCTTGATCAAGAGAGTCGAGTCCATAAGCTTTATGGCCACTCCCAAAGGCCTTGATATGATCTTTAAGAGATCTTTTGTGCTTGAAATCAGACCCACAAGAACAATACCATAGCTTCCCACAGTTCTTCTCATGAGTCCTCCAATCACCCCTCACAGCAAATGCTTTGCAACATTTTCTACACATGAAGGGCTTGATTCCATGCTTTCTCTTGTAATGAGTTTGGAGGGTCCTGAAGTCTTTGAGTGGCTTTGCTCTTGGATGGTCAATGTTGTTCTTGCATCCAGGTGCACAACAGTAGCAAGGGAGTCTAAGCATTGCTGTTGGTTGAGTTCCCCTCAGAGATTCTGGTCCCTTTCTGTATTGAGATCCATGCCCCCACATATGCATCTGTAGGTTAATTTTGGAAGCAATATAATCATTCAAGAGCAAATAGTTAAATGGTTGAAAAGGGGTGTGATGAATAATGAAAATCACTCACTCACATTCACAAGTAAATATTTGGAACCATCGAAAGAGTCCAAAACCCTCACTGTGAAATTGTATTCCCCACAAACACTATCTTTGTTGCATTGCATGTAATTTTGTTACGATTAAGAATTATTTTCCCAAACCGGCCAAGATTTTGAGTCAGAAAGCCTAAGAGGATAATCAAGGACCCGCGTCTTTTTCTACATGTTTCAATACTTCTTAGTCACCATGGTCTAGGACTAAGGAAAAAGGTGACAATGTAGGGCATCCTAATAAAGTAGTAGCTCGGAAGCCCAACAAGGGAATATTTGACAGCTATTTTTGTTTATGTTTGTTGAGATGAAAATAAAAACTCACTCCATGCGTGTTGTACTGGAGTTGTGAAAACTTAATTTATTGATGTTGTTTCACTTTATGTCACCTCAAGTTGGTGTTAATATTGTTCTATCTATCATATTAGCTTAAGATTTACTAAGCCCTAGATATCAATAGTTACTCCCTGCCGTTTTCTATTTAACACCAATCAACACCTTGCAGGTCCACAACGCTATACCCTTAAATAATACTCATCTTTCATTGGAGTGGGATTTTTCCATTTTCATCTCTTCGACTTCAAAAGGGGTATGGTAAAACAGTTAAGATTAGCTTAAGATAAGAATAAAGGACATGCAATAGTTCTTACAAAAACCCTAAATTACACAATACACACACAATAGGAGTATAATACACAGGATATTTTTACAAATGGACATTTTTCTTTCCAGCAATTTTCCAACAAAAGTAAGATCTGGGAAAGTAGGTGGTAGGATTAGGAGTAAAAAAAAAAAAAAAGGTAATTAAAAGAAAGAAAGTCATTCTTTTTCTTTCTTTCTATCAACCCTTCTTGAATTAAGGCTTCCATCATTTAAAATACCTGCATGTTGTTGTATCTGTTGAACGTCTTGAAACAAAGGGGGCATGAGAACTGTGTTGGACCGATCAGAATTTGAGCAGGGGTAGGGATCCAATACTGACCCTTGTTAATTCTAGGAGGAGAATACTCACGAGCAACCGTGGCTTTTTCTTTATCTGAGTATGTGTTTGAAGTTAAATCAGGTGAAGTGGTACTGCTTGGAAGCCCTAAGTGCAAAGCCACCGTCACAGTTTCATCATCCAAGGAGATATTATTAGAAGATATGCTTAGTTCTCTCTCTTTCTCTCTGTTGACTTTCATGGCACTAAAGGAAGATTCAAGATCTTCACCTCTTGCAGGGCTTAGGTTAAGGAGAGGAAGTGCTTCTTTGGGGGGAGAAGATTGATGATGAGTAAAAGAGATGGCAGTGGTGAAGTTATCATAAGTAGAGGGAAGATAGAATGGAGGGTTGGAGCATGGTGACGAAGAAGAGGAGAAAAGGAATGGAGAATTGAGGTCAAACCAAGCATTGAAATCATTGGAGCAGTAGGGGTGAGTCATGATGAGAGGTGAGAAAATATGTTCGCGTAGAAAGGATTAGGTTATTATTATAGACACAAGATATATAAAGGGTAGTAGTAGGAGTAGGAGTAGGAGTAGAAGAATTGGAGTGGAGGGAGAGGTAGATAAATAAAGGTAAGCAAAAGATAAGTTTGAGACTTCAGAAATTATAACCATAATGGAAGAGTGAGGATGAAGAAGAGTTAAAAAGACGTGTAGAAATCCAATGTTGGTAAAGCAGACCCAATAAAGTAAAGAAGGGGAGACAAGAAATCACTTGCGAAGTGTGACATAACAACGGGCAAAATAAATATACAAAAGGGGTAGAGAGAGTGAGAAAAAGTCAGGTCCTAGATGATGAGATTATCTTGGGACTTGAAAGAACGATTGCAATAACAGTGTACAAAAAAAGTTTGCACAGAGTTTTTATTAAAAACTCTTTTGTATATAAATTAATATGGTCACAACTCTACCTACCATCCATCCATGGTAGGGAATAAGACCAAATCCAAACTCAGTCAACGAAGTTGAACCTCCAAGACTATTTCTTCTCTCAGTCCCCATTTCACAGCATAGTTTGCAGATCCATCTTTAATACCCTTCTTCTGTCTTATGCTTTTTAATTAAGATTGTACTAATCAGCAGGTATATATATGGAACTTATAACATGTTAATGATATTTGTGACTGTGGAATTAATAGTTAATTAACAAGTTGTTAAGTTGAATTGTTCCAAGGGAAATAAGAGTTGAATGGTGTTTATTTGACAGAAGTCTTCGTTGTGATCATCTTGGGAAACAAATAGTTTGGAGATGAAGCAGCAAGTGCTTTGGGATGCAGGTTCTGGTCGGGTTTGGCTCATCTTAGGAGCAGAGAGACTCAGTCCGTGTCTCCGCTACTGCTATTTCATCTGTTACATGCAAACATTCACTGTTGGATCTACCCTCTCTTTCTCTTCTGCTCACATGTTTTCTTCAGTGCCTCATTTTTTGCACAAGGGAAGAACCACCACCAACAACATTAACATTTTGTTTGGGGTCACACAAACACTCAGACATCAACACTGTTAATGGTTAACTGCTATCACTGACCACCACCCTTTGCCACCCACATGATCAACACCCTTTTTCTGCACTTTTTTTTTTTTTTTTTATCAACTTTGTTTATGTCTATTATAAAATATACTAGATGGCCATTGTGTAACTTATTGTATACATTTTTTTTATCAACAAAATAAATATATATGTAACTCTTATCATTTCAAAAATTATGATGATACTTTTATCCGTAATTAAAACAAAATAAAAATTATACATCACTTTCTATTAATAACCACAATGTCAAATTCATTTTTTTTTAAATCAAACATATGTAGAGAACATTAGATTTTTTTTAGTTGGTCTTCAAGGATATATATATATATATATATATATATATATATATATATATATATATATATATATATATATATATATATATATATATATTTCTATACATATTTTTTTGGTTAGATACTCTTACAAAATATTAATTTGCAACTAACGTAAAAATGAGAAAGAAATCAAATTGATCATGGACAAAAAGAAAAATTCATTAAACAAAAAGAGAAAACAACATATTTTTTTAAAAATACAAAAATACAACTAGTTAAATAATCCTAAAGAAAAAAAAATTCTTTCTAGATTTATGCCAAAGAATATTTTAGTACAAAATTGTAATACTATTTTTCTGTGGAACGCTCTCTTTTTTTTTTTCTCACAATCTCTTATTTTTTAGATATTCATAGCTTTGTAAACTAATTTATTCTTCATATAAATAATATCTCTATTTTCCTTTAACGTATAATTTTGTAAAAAAATAGAAGTGATTTTTAAAGATGCACCAAACCTCTCTGTACAACAGAATTTTGAATCTGTAAATTGTATATATATTAAATTTGTTTGAAAACCCATAACTTTTTACAACATAAGTAGTGGTGAAGTATATAAAATATTGATATTTAATAAATATTTATGAAAGTGAAGCAAATCAAAACCATGTTACATCCTTCACTCATCAATGCATACAAAGTTATAATAATTTTGGAGCATGGACAGGTATGTGTCTGATTATTAAACATACAAAAACAGTATGCAAGCATAATATGAATGGTGTGAAGAAAATGACAATTTTACCCACCTAATTTTTGAAGCCTCTTATTTGTAACTTTATTTTGATGAATGGAGTAGTTTATAGTTCTTTACATAAAGTAACAAAATTTTTTAATCACAAAGTAAAGTTGACGTACCGAGTAGAAATCGTTACATTCTGAAGTGTACAGGAATCACAGAGTGAATTTAAGCACATATAACTTTACCAGTAAAAAGTTCAGCAAAAAGAAAGATGAGAAATGATGAGAATGTAAGTCAATAAGAACTATGTTAAAATTTAAAAGGGCAAATTTTGGTTTCAGAGGTTAAGAGGATTGACATCTCTTTAATATATGTATCCATTTAAGGAAGAAAATAAAAGATGTGACTGGCTAGGCCTAGGAATGAATGGTTCAATTTTTTCCCTTAAAAGAATGTTTGTTTTTCTACTTTTTTTCAAGTTAATCTATGTGGAACTCTTTTTTATATTCTATGGTTAGCTTTTAGCAATGATGTCTCCCTCTTTCAGTTACCCCCTCTAGTTACTTTGCTTTAACAAGTTTGGTCCTTTCTCTTTCTCTCTCTCTCTCTCTAAATTCATGATTGTTGTTGGTTTTTGATGTTTGAAAGTTTTTTTTTTTTTTTAATCTCCATGGATCTTCTCTCTAGAGTGAGTAAAGGATGTAGTACTAATGTGGTAATTGATCTGATGGCTGCAGCACATACTTTGATGAGCTCCAATAATACAGCATAGATAGCCAGTCCAAGATGATGAGGAAGTAGCTAGGAGTACTAGAGCCTTAAAATTGGTCTGACATATAAGCAAATAATTACCCTTAAAAAGAACATTACTATTGCTTCTAGATTACAAACCAAAATGAAGGAAAATATTTTAACATTTTTTTAAAAATTTATAATTAACTTTAATCTATATAAGAATTTTTTAAATTACATTTTTAAGGGTATAATTGTTTTTCTGCTTTAAAGGTCTCAAGTTCATTCCAAAAACACAATTTGTTGCTTCAATAAATGAAGTCAACCATCATAACCAAACACATTCTACAAAAATTTGTGAATCAACTTTCTAGATGAGAGGGAAAAAAACACAATATTCACATTATTATTATTTTTCTTTTCTATTGTTTAGATGTATTTTTTTTTCATCTTTTTACTATTTTCTAAATATATATTTAGTAAAAAAATAATACTACATTATAAACTATGACAAAAAAATCTTCTTTTTATATGTAATATATATGAGGTTTATAGAGGGAGAAAAAAATAATAATGAAGAAGCATATGCTTAATGATGAGTGAGTTATTTAGGAGTTGTAGAAAATTTAATTTTTTTCTCTAATTTAACACTTCTTTCATTGTTTTTCATAGATTTAATATTTGACAAATTTTATTTTGTCTATAAAAATATTATCATGTCAATATTTCCCATTTTTAATTTGGTCAGATTAGGATTTCATATTTTGGAAATTAAAAGTTGACAACAATTTTAGATGCCATAATATGTCATTCACATTTTTTGGTGCATACCCCAGAGGAGTAATTTGTAGGGTTATTGTGTCATATCATGAAGGAGAGTGTCTGGATGTAATTGTATCTTCTTTTGTGAATTGAGTTAATAGAAATGGATATTATGAGGTATATGCATGAGATATGGGTAGGTCATATCAACGACAAAGAGTGAGTGTATGTTTGGCATATACCAGTTAATGATGCAGAGAAAGTTGTAGTACAAGCTTGAGTTTTGTGAATAATGCATGATGGATAACGACAATGTGGGGCATGTCACTATCATTGTTCTTGTCTACAAAAAAATTATTTTTGGGCTTATGTTATCCACCTCAGAAGAGTTTGAGCTTCACTCTCATGGTGACTACCCCAGCTTTCTAGATTTTAAGGTATGTTGTTCTTTAACTTTTGAGTTAGGGGAAGAGTGAGTTTAGCCCAAAAATGAAATTAAAAAGAAATTTCTTTTGGATGTTAACTTTTTCTATCATTGCTTAAAGTAATGAAAATATACCCTTTTTTTTAATTAGTGTCAACTAATATTAATGTTTTGGATGCTAGTTTTAAATGACTCAAAGTAATATAATTCAGTTGAGGATATTTATATTTATGTATGCTAATATTAATGTCAACTAATATTTTCCTATTTTGGTTCAAAAAACAGAGTGAGACCAGAGTTTTCGTCAATACATTGAAAAAGGCATTGCTTTTTACTTTCATTTTGAGGTGAGTTTTGTAAAAGGGTTCGTTGGTAGACTTTCATGGCGCCTTTGGTTTGCTGTAGTCTACCCTATGTTTTTAATTTTATTTAATTGAGTATTTCTTGTGGGATATATTCTTAAACATATATTTGTATTGAACCCTTCTTATTGAAGTATAATATTTGGCCAATCTTATTTTAATTTTTATGAGTTTTAATCATATTTCCCCCCGAAAAAGGTAGTTTCATTCATGCTTTTGTAAATTCCTGTGACATTAAATCAATATATAGTAAAAGGCGAATCTAATATTTTTCTATCTTATACTACTCTATATACTGTATATTTTTATTTTTATTTAAATAAACGAACTTGGATTTATCTATGGCTTTAATTCCCATAAAATTTTTTAGATTCACTTTCATAGTCAAAAAATTAGTTAGTAGAATGTAACCGAGGTAAATTACTAGAGTTATTGTTGTACAAAGAGTAATTGATAATTGTGTGATCATGTGAGTTTTTACACGTAATACTTGTTTCAAATTTAGAACATCTAAATTAATAACTATCAAGGAATCAAAATTAACTTGTAATAGTGGGTTAATCTTTGAGAGGAAGATTAGGAGGATTCTAACCTAGCTATTGTTAATTTATTATTTTCAACTTATTAAACATTTCCATGTCATGTCTATTATCTCTATGTTTTGTTATTCGTTTATGTGTATACTCTCTCTCTCTCTCATCCTATATATCGTTTGTGGTGCATAATAATTTAGCTAATAAGATGAACCAAAAATAAAATTATGAAGCTAATGTTGTTTGTGTAAGAATGATGGATAGGTGGTCGTGTTTTGAATTCGGTAGAGTCAGATTATTAAAACAAAATTTAAGGAGTTTGGGAATGTGCCTCTAACGTAACACTCGAACTAATTCTAACTAATATACATTCGTTATAAATTATTAAAGGAAAAAACAAAAGGAAATTATTTAATACAAAAACTCATAACTTACAAGACGTGTTATTAAATGAAAAAAAGTAACATAATTAAATAATTATCTGAAATAAAATTTATAATATAAAAGTTAGAACGAAATATTTTATATAAAAGGACTGATAAAGCTCTCCACACGACACCAAATCTGGCTAGAGTAAAATTTTTTAACTAATGCCTTTTACTATGAGTGTCACTTTCTTGGGCTTACCTCATTGTCGGCTGATACAACATTTTCCAGGTCATTCACATTGTCTTTTGTTTGTCGGTGTTTTGTTATTAATCCATATCCTTCTATTTCCCAACATGTTCATTCTTCGTCCCATCTCATATCTGCTAACTCTAAACTCAATCAATACATATTTTATTAACGGTTTTGTTAAACACTGTTTCGTTAAAGTACAATATTTTTATAAAAAAAGTCTATAAATACCATAATTCACGGTAAAAAAACTAATTTTTACCATCAAAGTAGTGGCTAACAAATCAACACTATTTAATTAATAATTTATCCCAGCCACATCATAATTTGAGATCGAGAGGAAAATTAATCCAACGTAATATATAATATCAAGGAATAAACTCGCTAAAGTTGGTTTAGGGATGGAAAAGTTGAAGTAATTAGCATGCTTAAATTCAATCCTTGGTACTGTCATTGCACACAAAGGAAAAATATACATAAAGGCGTAGTTAATGTCATTCTTTTCAGTTTCAGCGACAGGATTAAGAAAACCTTGTAAATATTTATTTTCTCAATACTCTATACCATTGGTTGCTTGAACAAGTACGGTCGTCTCTAGTTCATGAACACTGGATTAAAATAAACAGTAGGGACATGTTAGTGTTCTTAAAACATCAAGTAAACAAAAATAGCACGATTCAATAATTCTATCTTTATTACTACCCTTTACTTTAATAAAATAACTTTAGATTCTTTAAAAGAAAGTATAAGTTATTTTTTGAAAACTATCCTACCTAAACTTTACGTTCCAATTCATGCATTTTATTCTACCTCTTGCGAATATTCATATATCGTTTCCGAATCATTCCAGAGAATAAGAAATCCCCCTAAAGTTGGCCACCATCAATTAGTAATTCTACAATGCCCATTCACGTGTGCCAAGTGGCAAGACACTGAAAGTCGATGTCTGGACGAGTTTAGCTTGTTTTACCACAACACAAGTAATCTTAAGTAAGATGTTCAAATGGAAGAATAGTGAAGCTAGAAATAGACAAAGCCGAAAACATGAGCCCTATTCGTAGGGGCTCTATTAAAATCAGTGGGTCGTAGTTTCCTAAGTGTTGTCTCTCCCTATCATGTGAAAAAATCCACAGGAGAGATCCATTCCCCTCTCACTGGTAACTACACATTCTGCTAAAAATGAGTAATTTAATCATAATAGCGTAGCTATATGAAACATTTAAGCGGATCGAGGCAGTTGAGTAATTTTTTTTTATCTAAAATGATACACAAGTTTTCCAAATAAGGAAAAGGCCATGCAAGCTACAAAAGGAGGGCGGCGATTATTATATACAACGACCAAGAAGCAGGTAGTAAGAATTGTCTCCCGAAGTTTAGCTTCTATGCCCAACTCCGAAGTGAAACCTCCTGTCTTTCTTGTCGTTAAAGGCATATTCAAGACGCAAAGGACCCAAAGGTGATTCCACACGGATGCCAAACCCATAGCCGTATCCGCTGCCAGGCTTCTCCCTTGCTCCAGCAGGGTCACCTAATAAAAAACCAAAACACCATTCAATATGTGCCTTATTACTGAATAGCATGAACAATATCAGCGTAAATCTAGAGAAACACCAACTGCGACGAAACATTTGAAAATGCATAAACTGTTTTTTTTTTTTTTTTGAGAAATGACATTGTGGATATTAACTCTTAAAGGAGCCAGATCACACGGTAAGCTAAGAAAGCTGTTCTGCTAAGTAAATGACTTCAGTCTTATGATTGTTTGAGTGCGCTTGGTTGTCTCCTTGATCGAGTTATATAACAGCCAACAAGCTTCATAACATACAAGTTTCTCTATTTATTAAGAAAGGTTTGATATCTATGATCTTAATTATTATCATGAAACACTAAAGGAAAAGAGCCAAATTATAAAGAAGAAATCAAATAAACCAAACAAAAACCTACCATGTACAGTTGAACCTGATCCAAGATCGGTTCCATAATCAGAAAATATAACACCTTCAACTGGCCCGTACTGTAAACAGAAACAGTAAGATCAGTGAGTCAAATTTAATCAAAATCAAATGCACGCATTTGTGGGTACAGGAACAAAATCAATAAATTTTTGTATCATCCATTTAGATACATATGCATAACTATTTGCTTGGATGAGATTCTCCATGAGCACAGGGAGAAAAAAAAAAACATAGAAATGAAATATACTTTTTTGTTTGTTAAAATTAAAACCTGACTCGTTTACCTTCTCCAAATTTTATTTTGAGCTTATGCATAAGCTAATTTTAGCTTAAGAAAAAAAATTATTTTATTTTTCCTTCATATTTTTCTCTTCTAAAACTCCTTAGGGAGAAGTCGTCCAATCAGATTCATAATATATTTACAATTAACATTTGGTAAATTTGGTGGGAATAGCTCTTCAGGGTTTGATGTTGAGCAGTTTCTCCTAGTAATCTTTATTGATCACAGCGAATTTTCTCCATGCAGCAGTTACATCTAGTGAGGCCTACAAGTTCAACGATGTTAGATTTTACGTAATTTCCCTTATTCCCAGGCATGTCTGGTTAACTAATCTACTGCTACTTAAATGGAAATCAATTTGCAATGGCAACAATTTAGAATATGACAACAAGATCAGTTCAGAAAAAACGGGAGAAAAAAATCCAATGGCTACAATTTGCAATGTTTAAATGACATTGGTTTGGCAGATGCATAGGAATGAGTTTCTATAGAAATTTTACAGAATACTGTATTTTCTAAATTTTGCTTTTTACCCATAACACCAGAAAATATCATCCTTTCTCTGCTTATATATATGAGAGGAGAGATCTATTTACTCTAAGAGTAAAAGTTTTAGAGACTTATTTTTAATCTTTATCATTATATTTTGATAATCTAACTGTTTAAAATAGTTATTTATCTTAATCTTGTCTTATCAAAGAATGAATGACGAGGATAAAAAATAAATCTTTAACTCTTAAGTGAATCCCCTTTCTCTCTTCTCTCTCTCTCTCTCTCTCTCTCTCTCTATATATATATATATATATATATGTATATATATATATGTATATATATATAAGCACAATCAAATTCGTAAGAATTATTTCAAATATTTTCCAGGCCATCTACTAGTATTCTGAAAACAAGTGATTCCAGTTCCTAGAAATTACACAACTCAGTCCCAGATTTCAGATATAATATCATGAAAATTAGGATAAGCACAGTTCAGCAATAGGTGCACAAAAGATGCTTAACTACATTGAGCAGGAAATAGCGTGATAAATTTGAGTACCATGGGGAAAGAAATTTCTCCAGAGCCAACAACATATGATCGAGCAGAGCCCACACTACCTTCTTCATAGCCTCTCACACTGTTTGTTCCACCAATGGCAAAAGCTTCATAGGGAGGGAAATGGCCCACCACGTGACCACCAGATATACTACCATTTAACCAATTAAAGTAGGTAAACCATAAGATTGTCTGTTTTGCTTTAATTTAAAGAGTAAACAAGGCATTTCTTTTACTTTCAATGACAAGGTTGACTTGATGGTATAAGTATTTCATACCTTAAATGAAGGCGGGCAGGACCTATCTCAACACCCTTCCTAGCACGTGAATTCACCCTAGTGAAGGACAGCCATTCAGGCAAAAGAGGAAGTCCCTTTTCCATGTTAAGGACAAACTGCAAAATGAATCATTGATAAGAAACATAGTATTAAATTTAAACTGAAGGACCTTATTCAATTCAGAGGATACCATAGAAGAGCCATGGTCGCCAGAACCAGTGTATACAGTCTCGAGTTTAGCAAGCAATGTCTCATCATGAGTATTGCCACTATAAATAAAGTTCAACAAAAAGTTAGAAATAACAAAACAAAGTCATGGCAATCATACTGTCAGCATTACTTAAATACAACCTTGCAGTAAGAGGAAGGCTGTAGCAATCCTTAATGATAGGAATACCTTTCTCATCACGGACTCCAGCATGCTGAAATGATACACAAATTTTGAATGGAAAAATATCAGTAGTATAAATAGATAGAGAATCAATATTAACATTTAATTTATGACACAAATAATCTGATTAGTGATTTCATAGTTTAACTAAACTATGCAGGCGTCAAAATATTCAATGAACCACCTGGAAAACAAGTCCTGCTGTTCCACTCCACTTTGGCCTGATTGGGCGACTAAACTCTATACCACCTGTGATGCGGCCAATGGTCAGGCTACCATTACCATCCGCATTACCATGGACAATGGTTCCAGGCGTTCTTGAATTCTAAAGTAAAGTAACTTGAATATCAGAAAATACAGTTTTTAACATTCTATGATCAGTATTTTTCTTAATTAAAGTCATTGTGCTCAGAGAAATAAACCTTCAAAAATTACCTGAATCATTATTGTTCTAGATGTTCGTTTATCATCTCCTTGAATCCAAGGGTCTGTGTAGTTTATACGATAGACCGAATCAATCTGGCCCCTTTCTAAGGAAATATTGAGCTTCTGGTTTTTACCAAAAACATTCCGATGAGAATAGGCAAAGCTGCAGTGGACTCAAACAGAATTGAGTGGATCAGCAAAAAAGAATTGAAAAACTAGTTGCAGTTGGGCCAAAAGTTAAATGCAATACGAAAACATAAATTACAGCAAAAGATAAACAACTTTATTCTGTTGAAAATGGGGAAACATTAGTAAGCATAGAAAAGCCAAGATAAATTATCAAAATAATAACAGCTAAAATTTCAAACCAGCTTTTTCCAGCAACATTTTGTACAGGACAGTGGTGTGCTTATAGAGTTACAGCTACAAGTGGCCTATTCACCACTTGCAAATGTCATAAACACTGTAAAGCACTCAGTATATAGAGCCAGCAGCAGAGGGCCAGAGATAAATAACCCTTTAACTTGGTTCCAATTGCACTAAATTAAAAGCTTGGCTATTAAAGGAGGTAATAGGATATCAAGAGTCAATGAATTAACTTATAACATAGCTTGCACATAAGAGTATAACATAAAGTCACCTTCCAATAAGCCCTCTTAGTGGACCATTTGTAATCCTGCAAAAATAAATACCAAGTCAGATAATCAGATAAAGCAGCAACCAACATAGTCAACGTGGCCCCTATAATATTGGAAAGAAAATCATTCATCTCTCTGATATGTGCATTTATCTTAAATATGGAGCTGTAAAAAATACTGTACGGAGGGGATCTAAAAAAGAAAAATTCAAAGGGATATTTGTCTGTTCAAAATTAAAATTAGAGGAGTTAACAGTAATTACCAGGAATTTCATCAAACCTAAAGGGGCTAAGCATAATGTATCAAGGCTAGAATCACTTACCCACTTGATATCCCACCACCAGCAGAAAACCCTCCACTGGGACGTTCCACCACATTCATCACCAAATCAACCTTCCCTGTGTCTATATCATGCCAGAGAAACAGGATGCAGAAGTTTAGACATGAGAGAATATGCTGGATCTTTTGGTTGAAGACAAATAAAAGTGATTATGTTGAATAGTGACAGAACATTATTTCTGTGTTCATTTTAGACATATTGACCTTATGTGTCATGTCAGGTCATCATTACTTGTAATTGTAAATCAGTCAACTGTCTCTAGGACCGTTGCAACTGACAGATTAGACTTCGGATAGGTTCTTGATCTCTGTACAGTAAATATCAATTGTAAAGTCAAACTCTAAACCTTAAATTAATTTATCTCAGAAAATATCCCAAAATTCTCTGTAATTTCTAGATATTCAACAAGGATTAGTAAGGTATCACATATGACACCTTACTGTCAAATGTTCCACATGAATAACAATTATCAAGAAAAAGATTGGGCCCCTTTCAGAAGATTGCAACTTATTTTAGTCCAATTTAGCTCTAGTTAACTGTATAAAAAGCAGAAAACTTATATTTGTAACTATTGAATATGTTAGATAACCCCTGTTAGAAGTTATAAATAATACGTTAGTAAATAATTAGCTAGTTACATTGATGAGATAGTTAAGTAGGTTAAATTGTCTAAATATGTTATCTTGGCTATAAAAATCAAAGGGGAGGCAAGAGATAGATCCTCTTGTCATTCGTAAGAATGAGGGCCTTTGGCTCTGGAGGTGCAGTCCCTCAAGAACTGCTGACAGTTGAGTGTGTTTGTGTTCTATTTTGTAGATTGGGAGTTCACCCGCATAGTTCTGTAATAATATATGGAGTTTCTGTCATAATAACATCCTGTTTTCATTCTTCATTCCTTTCTTTTTGGCCTTCAATTTTCATTAACTTAAATTTCCTAGTTCCCCCCTAGGTTGGCATAAAACATTCTGCACTTTATTTTGTAACCATTTGTACAAAGTCATTCTTGGTAGGATAGTAAAATGCTGGATAAAAAAACATTTATACTTACATTACAACAAAGCAACGGTAGTTACTGGTTAGAACATAAAACTGACGTTTTAATTTAACAGTTTTTTGCCTTGACAAAATCCCATTTTCAGTATCCATGCATTACCTGCTGGTTGGGGAATAATGCTAACGTCTTCCATGATTCCCATAGTTAATACAGTTTCTACATCTCTCTTTCCCTGAAGCATGCTATAGACCTGAAAATACAATTATAGATAATATTCTCAATAAGAATGTGAATTCAAGGAGGCATTTTTCCCACAAGAATAAAAGATACATCTGAAAGTTTCCCTTTGGTGAAATATGAACTATACCAATGCCCAATTGCCATCAAACAGACCAGAAAATATTGACAACCAAATTTGATAAAATAATGTCACACTCAATGATAGAGTCCTAATCACGGAATTAAGAAACGGAACGTTTCCAACAAATTCCACCAAATAAATAATTAAGAAAGATTGATAAGCAAACAACGTCACCATCAAGAGTAATTGATGAGTTGAGAAAGATTCACCACTTTTAAAGATAAGAATAAAAAGCTTTTCGTAAGGACTTGGAGAAAATTTCTCTCAAAAAGCATAAGCTTCAATTTCTAAAAATGAATATTCTGAGTACAAAAATCAGCCTAATAGGCCCTTTCAATAAACTACTACTAAGCCTAATAGAAACTAATGTCCTAAAAGAGTTTCTAAAAATGAAAACATATACAAAGACCCAATACAAAAATATAAAATTACTATTCTAGCCTCAATCCTCCTTCTTGATCCTTTATCATGTCCCAATCCATCCATTCATAACTCAGCTTTCAAACTTACATAACACAAATATTAAATCCTCTTGCTTTAGCTTGATTCACAGTTTCACACAAAAATAAATTAATATTAATTCCTGATAAAACTTTCAACACTAACTAAAAACTATGAACCGTCATCAGCAGGAGTGACCAGTGCTAGATAAAGGAATTACCTGTCCCTTCTTTGTTGTAATTTGCCTAAGTATTGTTTCAGGCCTAGTCTTCCCTGTAGTAATCTCACCTCTACAGATAGAAAATCAAGTCGGTAAAAACACTCAACATAAATCATAACAAAAGATTGCAGGTATGTTTATCTCTTCATGAGTACTTGTGTTTGTCAATCAAATTTAAAGAAGGTGCTTACGTCTTCCTGTCAAGAAACCGTATGGAAATATTATTGACCTCAGCCTCTGAAACTTGTAATCTAAGAATACCTCCAGAGAGAATCTCAACAGCAGAAACCTTAGGCAATTATCAAAGAAAGAAGAAAATTCCCATTGAAACAGTGGTTAGAGAAAGGCAAGCAAAGTTGAATGGTATAATATTGCAATAGTTATTGCAACATAGGCTACTAAAAACCTGAAACATGGATCCAAATATTGGATTCCCACCCACTAAACACCAAGCAGGAGCAAAATATTAGATTGTGAGTTTGACCAGGAGTTAAGGATAATTTACCATGGCAAAAAGACCACGCTCCATGTACCAGTTATTAATGGAAGATATCGCTTCATCCAATCGTCTCAAATTAATAATCTTCCCTGCAAAACATGACATGCTAATTTGAATACAGTGATGGTCAAACATGAGCAACATGCACACCATATACAACTGCGTCGACATGGAGAATGAAGAAAAAGTTACCATATCCATCTCGCATTGAGTCCTCTAGAAATTTTGCCGGAAGAACATTAGCTCCTTCACATACCAACCCTTGGAATTCTTGATTTGGTTCTACCTTATACCACAAGAAATCACCACTAAGATTACAGAAATTCAATACTGAACCTGCATAAGCAACACTAGAATGCAAAATTCAATTCAAATAACACTAAGATCCTTATAAATGATGAACTCGATTCCAATGCCTAACAGCAATAGTTCAACAGAAGATCATGCCTGAAATACTAATTGGATACCGCCATTCATACTAACTTTGCAAACTTATAGAAGAAACACTAGAATGTGAAATTCTATGTGAATAACATGATAAAATGACCAACTCGATTCCAATGCCTAACAAAAGATAACATGTGAGAAATACTAATCGGATACCATCATGCATACTAACAAACGGTGCTCAATTTTGCAGACTTAAACACACAACACTAGAATGCGCAATTCTATTAAAGAAAAATTCCTATCCAATGCCTAACTAACCGCCATTGTACGACAGAAGAGAACATGCCTGGAAGCTGAAATAGTAATCGTATACTATCACGTGTAATAACATCACAGCACTCAATAGTGCTGCAGACTTAAATACACAACACTAGAATGCGAAATTCTATTCAAAATCATTATAAAACGTGAAGTCGATACCAATGCCAAATTGCCATAATTCAACAGAATAGAACATAGAACATACTTGAAATACTAATCGGATACCGTCTCGCGTATCAACCGCAACCGGCATGCACGACGAAAAATATCCACTGTTGATGATGCGATGTACGTCCTCTTGTACCTCGCGCACTGTGAGAGCCGAGTTAGGTCGACAAGCCTTTAGAGCCTGCACCGCCTCCGCCTCAAGGTCCTTCCTCTCCATTTCCTCTCCGTCTTTGTTTCGAACCAGCACTTCGCTGATTAGCACTCTCTCCTCGTTCTGCCGAGCCTTCTGCTGCGCCTCCTCCGCCAAAGAAAGCGACGCCAAACGCCGAATCGGACATGCTCTCTTCCTGTCGCCGGTCAAGGACAGTGTGGCAGAGCAGAGGAGTGAAGATTTTTGGAGGACGGAGCGAGTCAGCTCCGTGGAGTGAGACGCAAACGAGTTAACGAGTTGCGCAATTGAATTTGTAGCATTGGCGATGTGAGAATGCGCCGTTCGCAGTGGACAGGTTGACCGCTTGGCAGGAAGAGGAATTTTGATGGAAGAGGAGACGACCCGGACGTCGTCGTTGCGAAGCATTGTGCTCCTTCTTTCGTGCAGTCTGAATCCGGAGTGAACGAATGTAGTGTAGTTCTTGCCTTGGTCACGGCTAAAGCTTCCTCTAGCAGTCACATCACAACAGAACCTCCGAAGACGAGAATCTTTCAGGACGGGCGGCCAGTCTGCGTCATTTCATGGGCTGGACTTCAAATTCTAATGCGGCCCACGTTAGCCCTAACTTCCAATTTTTTATCAACTGTTATTCAAGTCTCTTTTACTAAATTAAACATTTTTTATTTTAAAAAATATGCATATAAATAAAATTAATAAATTTTAAATATTTAATAATCAATATATAATTGTATTATAATTAAAGAAGAAGAATAAATATATTTTATTTTAAAATTTATATTTATTTAAATATTGTGATTTCTTTTCTTTTTCGGGTACTAATGAAATAGCTAAAAAGAAGTAATTATATATAGAGAACTGATATTTTGACAACGAAAACCATACAATTCTTCAAACAACTCACTTTTATTAATATAATAATCTATAGACTGATTTAATAAAAATAAAAAAAATAAAATTATTATTATAATATTAAAACAGAGTTGTTTACATGAGTTGTATGGATTTGGTTGTCAAAGTATCATTTTCCTATTTATATATATATATATATATATATATATATATATATATATATATATATATTATTAGTTCAATTCAATTTTAAAATGGTTCACTTTAAATAGGTTAGCTTGCTCACCCTAATGATTTATTTATATGAAGTATTACTCATTGGATTTAGATTAAATGCATTTGAATAGTTTTTGAAGAAAAGTCTGAAAAAGCTAACCTATTGTTTAAAGTTAATTATGTGTTTAACTATTTTTATTAATGATAAGAATTATCAAATGCTAGTTTCATAAGTTAATTAAATACCCTGCTTTCATGCACGAAAGAAAAAATAAAATATATACTATACTAAGTTTGAGATAGACTCAACTAATGGTCGTACATCCCAATTTAAAGAGTTTATCCGTTGTAATATAATGTTTTTGTGATTGTATGATGATATAAAATTTTATTTTACTTAGTGTGTTATTTATTTCAAATTTTGTAATAAGATGAAATATATTATCTACTCTTCAAAAAATATTTATCAAAAGATAAGGTAAAATGATTATTAAACATCGCGTAAAACTAATGAATAATGATTTTTAGGAAATAACTAAAAAATAAGGGAGATTTTATAAATTACATAATCTGCAGCTGGGTAAGAAAGAATTATCCCATCTTAATTAATATTCGAAAAGAAAGAGATTAGAGAAGCTGTGAAGTTGGTTCCCCACTAACAAAACAAAAACAGGGGAAAGCTTCCACTTTCTTGTCTTTTTCTTTTGCTGCTGCTACTGCTGCTTTGCCACTGATTTTGTCACTGATCTTCGTTCACCAACAGGTAAGCTAAAACAAGATCTGTAATCAATATCAGATGTTGTCCTCAACTTTGGTTCTAATCTCAGTGAATATCAGCTTATATTTTTATGTTGGGGTTTCAGATTAGAACTCAAGGGTATTTGTTTTTATCACGACATATCAAGCTTGTCATGATTTTTGCTAGTTAATGCACCCACGTGTTGCCTATATACGGATTCTGAGCTTTATTTTGTTTTTGAGATATTGTGTGAGCAAAATATTTGGCTTTCCAGTTTAGTGGTGTTAGGCTTAGTCAACTGGTTAGAAATGAATACTGTTCTGTGCACGACCCAATTGAGATTTTAGTTTTTGTTCTAGTCTGTTTTTGTGTCAGCGTATTTGAGAATTAGGGTTTGCGTTTGTATTCCAAGAATGAATGGTTCGGGTTTGGGTGGTGGCTTTTTGTCTGGTCCCAGTGAGGGGATTTTGGACTTGGAATCTCCATTTCATAGACACCAGACCCAATTGGGTCATCCATCAATAACTGGTCAACAGCACTTGAATATCATGAGTGGTCTTGAAAGTGATCACCCTATTGGCCTAATTGAAGTGAAAAACTTGAATGCGGCGCTGAATTTTGGAAAAGGAAAGGCAATTGCTCCTTCGAATAGTAATGAGTTGAGTGAGGATGATGAGCCTAGCTATGCAGAAGAAGGGAACTGTGAGAACCAGGATGGTGGGAAGAGCAAAAAGGGGTCTCCTTGGCAGCGAATGAAGTGGACAGATAATGTGGTTAGGCTTCTTATAACAGTAGTGAGTTGTGTGGGTGATGATGGCACTATTGGGGGCGTGGATGGTCATAAAAGGAAGTCTGGGGTTTTACAAAAGAAGGGCAAGTGGAAAACAGTCTCCAAGATAATGATAGGCAAGGGTTGCCATGTGTCGCCACAGCAGTGTGAGGACAAGTTCAATGACTTAAATAAGAGATACAAGAGGTTAAATGACATACTTGGAAGGGGAACTTGTTGTCAAGTGGTTGAGAATCCTGCGCTGATGGATTCAATGCCTAACCTGTCAGCTAAGATGAAGGATGACGTTAGGAAGATCCTGAGCTCAAAACACTTGTTTTATAAGGAGATGTGTGCCTACCATAATGGACAAAGGATACCAAATTGTCATGAACTTGATTTACAGGGTTATTCTATGGAGCATGGGAGGGACTCAACAAGAGATAATAATGGATCTGAGGATGAAGATGAGGATAACAATGATAGTGAGGATGATGAGTTGGATGATGAAATTAATATTAATGCACACGAGGAAGGAGGGAGGAGGCAAGAACACTGTGATAGAAATATATTAAGTGAGGAGGATGGCCATTTTGGCTCACAAACTTATCAAATGGACAAATTTGAGGTTGAAATGGCAAGAGTTTTTCAAGATCCCGCAAAGTCATTACGTGAAAAAAGAGAGTGGATTAAAATCCAGATGTTGCAGCTTCAAGAGCAAAATATCAGCTACCAAGCCCAAACTCTTGAACTTGAGAAACAACGGCTTAAGTGGTTAAGATACTGCAGCAAGAAGGACAGGGAGCTGGAGAGGCTGAGATTGGAGAACAAAAGAATGAAATTAGAAAATGAGCACCGGATATTGAGATTGAAGCAGAAAGAGCTGGAGGCAGATTGCAGTACATCTGAGATATCTTTAGACCCTGCCTCTCTTGGAATCAACCGGCTGCAGGGGAGGGAACATATCAGCTTAGGCAGACAACAGTAGCTCCTCCTCAGAAGGATCAGTCAAAATTACTTAAATGAGGTATAAATGGAAACCCTTTTGTTTAAAATGTTTAATTATTTTCTGTTACAGTTACAGTTACAGTGTTATAAAGTGATCAGCACAATAGGTTACTAGGTAGTAGATATCAAATTGCTTAACATAGGTGAATGATATATTAATTTTGTTCAAGAGCTTCTAACCATATTGTTGAGAAGAGAGTTCACTTGACAACTATACATGTTTTTTACTCTTTATGCAGTGCTGTGGCGTTAGCAACTGAGCTGACATGCGGAAATTCATTTGGACTATGAATGTTTTGCTCAACTAGTGGCGTGCTTTACGTCATTAAATCACTACATATTGGCATGTGGGATTTTGCCTGAATGACAGAATAGGAGGATGTTACTCCAAGGCTCTTAGCTCTTATTGGTCATCAATTCATCATTGATGTGGCTTTAACTTGTTTTGGATAACTTATTTGTAACTGTTACATTTGTATCCACATACCACATGCTTGATTTTTGGCTTTGAAACTGTATATTATACACACAAAAAATAATGGTGCGAACTCGGAGGAGAAGGCTACAAGCATCCCTGGGAGTATGTCACCGATTTGAATTTGTAACTTATTATGGTACAGACTTTTTTGTAATTTTGTTACGTTAAGTAGCTACATGAAGTATGCTTGATTCATTTTTAGCTATGTGTTTTCCAAGGCAACTTCGTGAAAACTTTCAAGTAGTCTTTGAAAGTTGTTTGGTCAACCTTTTTTTTTTTTTAGTTGTCACCAACGCTGCTGTATTGTTATTTGTTCCTTCCTTTTTTTTTTAATTGTCTGTTTCCTGTTTAGTATCTAGGTGTCGGACCGGTCAACAGGTTGGCGTGTTTGGCTTTCATTACTTCAGAAGAAATAGTGATTTTTTTAAAGGTTTCTTTAAACAGATTTTAACCATATAAAATAATCTGATACGCGTAATGGGTGTTTGGTTTCACCTACAACTATTAAAGGGAACAAACAGAACCTATCATTTTATGCTTCTGTGTCAAATATGCCAATACTATTATGCCAGAGCCTGTACTTTTCTTGTGTTTGAGACACTGATTACAGTTTTTTTTATGTTAAACCTTGATTGAACCTAGAAATTTACTACTTCTAGAGTATGTGAACTCATTGCCTTCTAACATATATTAATGTCGAAATCATTTACGTCAGTTTATGAATCTTGATGCTAAATCAGAACCAGTGTTTTATTTGACAGGCTTGGTCTATTTCTGCATTCCTTTCTTTGTTAACTAGTCTTTTTTTTATTAATCTTGGGGGATTTTAAGGGGATATGTTTACATGGTGAAACAAATAGGCTTTCTAATTTATTGAAAAAAAAAAATATTCCAACGTTAGAAATTTCCATGAAACTTTCAGTTCCAGATTTCAAGAAATAGAAGTTCATTTTGCAGCAATAACTATTCCAATATAAAATGCGAAGTCAACTTGTTGCTCCAAAACCGTAAGATTTGTGCCTACCATGCCATAGAGCCGTAGGATTTGTACCTACCATGCTATAGAGCCGTAGGATTTGTGCCTACCATGCTATAGAGCCGTAGGATTTGTGCCTACCATGCTATAGAGCCGTAAGGTTTGCAGTTTCATACTCACTAAGAAGAAAATATATTATAACGGTTCAGGTCTCCCCAAGTTCATGAGCCTCGAAGTTTTCATTCAAACGCTTCTTTCTTAACGTCTTAACCTTGTTTTCATTCACGAACTCGAGATCAACGATAATCAATCTCTGTCAGTGTTTGGTTTGGCTTTTGTTTATTTATCTCTTTATAATCTTGTTCGTCTTGATTAACAAGTTTTCTGTGACTTGTTTTGTCATTTCAATTCTTGGGTTATGGCTTAAGCTGGTTGGTTTATCTATGTTGATCCATTTATGTTTATGGAAGACACTCTGTTTACCTGATTCACCGTGTGTAGACTTAGACTTGAAATGTGTTTCTATCTGCATAAAAAATTTGACGTCTAAGTTTCATCAGACTTGGACTAGATATGGATGAATTTCTTTGCCAAAGTAGTTCTCCATTGATCAAATATGGCAAGGTAATTAAAGCGGACAATGCAGAGTTGTTATATTACCAACTATCTCATTCGAGACTTAGTCCAATCTAAACTATATATTGTATTGGAAAGCCAGCGTGGTGATCTTGGAAGTTACCTTTATTTTTTGTCCGAGGTTTAGTATGTTTAAGAACGATCAAACTGGAATTTTATTTCAACGCTTCATTTTTACATCACGGGGTATTACACTTTTATCTCTTCTATGTACTTGAAACTTGAAAAGTATTTCACATGATGACAGTTTTTGTTACTATGACTTTTAAACAAATCTTATTTCTGTTTAAGTAATAGTATAATCGGTGTTATATAAAACAATGCAAATTTTTTTGTTACAATGACATATATGACACAACTTTTCTCTCATATATTGAAAGTTAGTTAAAAGGTTGTTGAGCCAGGTAAATATGACATAACTTTGTCCCTCGTATATAGATAGGTAGTGCGAAGACTCTTGGTTTTGTTATAAAGTTGCTAGGTACGGGATCGATAGTAGTTTTTAGTAATTGGGATGGTTGTTATAACTAAGATAGACAGTGATTTTCTATAGGTATTGCTACAGATATTACCATGTGTTTTGATACCTTTATAAAATTCACATCTATAAACATTTCTTTTCTTGACACACCCAAGTGCATTTTAAAGATAAAACTATCAATAACCAAATGTAATTTGGAATTCAGTGTTACCCTTGAGCTAAAATACATAGGTCTTCATTTCATTTAAGCCCATAAGCTTAACAAAATCTATTCTGTTGCAGTTTATAGCATTTTCAAGTACTCAACTACTCAAGCAATGATGATTGATGAACAACAGTATCCAACGATCGAACAAAAGTTTGCTGGCCAGCTTCACTTGAGATCCAACTCCAACCTTTCCCCACATGTTGGAACTTGGTACGGAGATTTGAAAAGGCTACCTCTGTTTCAGCAAGGATTCTCACTAGAAAAATATTCAAATGCAGGGTTGCAGTTCCCTGTCATGCCTGCATGCAAACCCACAAATTACATGCATTCTGTAGGTTCACCGGTGTTCGTCCCATCGCCTTCGGAGAAAAACTTGGGAAGCTTTGCCACTGATTTTCTCATGGGTGGAGTTTCTGCAGCAGTGTCCAAGACTGCAGCTGCTCCAATTGAGCGAGTAAAGCTTCTCATTCAAAATCAAGATGAGATGATCAAGGTAGGCAGGCTCTCTGAACCTTACAAGGGCATTGGAGATTGCTTCGGCAGAACAATCAAAGACGAGGGGTTTGCTTCATTGTGGAGAGGGAACGCTACCAACGTTATCCGTTACTTCCCAACACAGGTATAATTGTCATTCCCACGTGAAATTTATTGCATGGTTGACGACTATTAAATATAGGCACTTGGGTATTCGATCACTCTTAATTTTAAACCTTCATTCCTTAGGTCATGAATCTTTTTCAGTTATAATTAATTCAACTTTCTCATTTTTTTTTTCTCAATATATCATTTTAAACTCACATTTTTAATACAAATCAAAATTTTATAGGATTGAATTAGACATATTTCCTTGTCTTTTCTAGTTAGACGATATTTCCTGTATTAACATGGAATTTTCTAGTATAGTAGAGAGGCTATCCTAGCCATTCTGCATCTTCATCAACGTATTTTTCGTCTTGACATGGGTTTTTCGTCAATCTGGTCGTGACATCAAATGGATTTTTTCATTGAGTAAGAATTAATAAAACTCGATTATGTATCATGTAAACGTTAGCTTGAACTATGGTGATCTAAGACCATACAATGATTTATCGTCCATTAATCATTAAGCTTGTGACTACAGTCTAATGCTTTTATAGGCCCTGAACTTTGCATTCAAAGACTATTTTAAGAAGCTGTTTAGCTTCAAGAAAGACAGAGATGGATACTGGAAATGGTTTGCAGGGAACGTAGCATCTGGTGCTGCAGCAGGAGCTTCATCTTCGGTGTTTGTATATTCATTGGATTACGCTCGAACCCGCCTTGCCAGTGATGCCAAGGCTGGAAAGAAGGGTGGAGAGAGGCAGTTCAATGGTTTGATCGACGTCTATAGGAAGACTCTTCAATCGGACGGTGTTGCTGGCCTTTACCGTGGATTCAATGTTTCTTGGGTTGGAATCATTGTCTACCGTGGTTTGTACTTTGGCATGTATGATTCTCTGAAACCAGTGATCTTGGTGGGAACTCTGCAGGTAAGGCATTACAATTTTTCTGTGACCCTTTTTTGTCACCTTGGTTGGTTTGTTCAATATTTTGATTTCGCTTTTATGTACTAAATTTTCAGGATAGCTTTTTGGCTAGCTTTGCTTTGGGGTGGCTCGTCACTAATGGTGCAAGCTTTGCCTCTTACCCGTTCGATACCGTTCGCAGAAGAATGATGATGACATCGGGTGAAGCTGTCAAGTACAAAAGCGCTTTGGATGCATTCTTGCAAATTGTGAAGAATGAAGGTTCAAAATCTCTCTTCAAGGGTGCGGGTGCAAACATCCTTCGTGCAGTTGCGGGTGCTGGTGTGCTTGCTGGTTATGACAAACTTCAGTTACTTGTTCTCGGAAAGAAGTATGGTTCTGGTGGGGCTTAATTATGAGAAGTTTGATATGGTAAGACTTTGTGTGGTACGAAAACTGCATTCAAAGTCAACTGTTTTTTACATATACTTTTCAATTCAATATTTGTGGTAAGACTTTGTGTGGTCCGAAAACTGCATTCAAAGTCAACTGTTTTTTACATATACTTTTCAATTCAATATTTGTCCAACAATATTATTAATCAAATAAACGGAATTCGTAATGCATTTGTGTAAAAGTTAAAACCATTCAATATCTGTGTGATACAGAATCTGTATTCAATATCTCTAAAAGTTTTTTTGGTCAAATATATTTCTTTTATCCCATGAATAAGTTTTGGTTCCCATGCTTATTAAAAAGAACTTTTTACTTCTTGGACTTTGTTGTTATAAGGCGTCATATTTGTTAATTATTTATGTATTTAATAAATATTAAGTCGTTCTGTCAAGTAACACCCACTAATATTGTGGTATTATAATAATATATTTTAGATATTTTATATTTGAAACAAAATATTTGATTGTGGTATTGTCTCTTTTTTTCAAATACATTCTTTTCATACAAATGAATTAAATACAAGACTCTGTTTAGGAGAACCAAATCCAGTACCTTTCATATTAATAACTTATTGGTTTGTATTATAACAATAAATCACACATCTAAATTTTTTCCTAATTTTTCAAAACAAATAGCATTTTATCTTTTTTAAATCAATGATACAAATAATAATTTTAAAGTGAAAATCAAATTATTTTACTAGGGTACCATTCTCTATTATTGTACACTACATGAAATTAAAGTACTAAAAATAGGTTAAAAATAATTTTAGTTCCTAGTTTTTTTTTAGTTTACAATTGAAATATTTTATTCTAAAATAGAGATATTTAATCTTTAAATATTTTTAAAATTAATTGTTTTAATCCAAAAATTTAAATTAAGACATTGATAGTCAAATTATTAGTTAGATTTATAATGCAAAAAAATACTAATTAAAATATACAATGTGATTTCAAAAAAAAAAAATTCACATGTGAGTTAATATTAGTACTTTAGACATCAAAGTCTTGATTTAAACTATTGGATTAAAATTCATTCATTTAGAAAAATAAAATGACCAAATATTTATTTTGAAAATAGAGAAACTAAATTTTAGAATTGGAAAAATATAAGGTTTTGGCATGAATCACGCCATTCCCTTTGCACAAAACATAACCAGTCCTATCCGTTGAGGACAAGCAGGGAATCTTTGAATTTAGTTCACTAATCACTTGGCGATGTCTCGTGGTTATTCTTTATTTCTTTATCTTCAGGCTTTTATCAGTGAAGAAAAAGGAGTGTGCTGTGATTGGAATTTGTGAAGATAAAACAATACTTTTCGTGTTTTGCTTCACTTCCACGCCAGGATTTGCTTATTCTCATCAGCTTAATTTTCTCACATGCCTCGCACTATCTTTTCCATGTGTTCCTCTTATGTGTGCATACTTTGTCATCCAAAGAAGATGAACTGGCATTCATGAACCATATATACTATAAAATTAATATTATTTAATGGAAAATCTTCACTATATAAATACCCCACCCCTACTATGTGTAAATTTAAAGTGTCAAATATGAAAATCAATGATTTAACAAAAACCATAGTAAACTGTTGGGCTGAGTTAATATATTATGAATAAATAAATATAACGTTAAACAAATACGTAAAATTAATTCAAAAAAGAAAAGAAAAAGAGAAAATAAAACTGAAACGGTTGGAGAAGAGGTGCGATGCAGGTGATCATGATCTATCTAACGGAGTTGGCGTGTTCCCTCAAGAGGTGCGTAAAGGTGGAGAAAGCAGAGTGAAGAGAGGTAGTTACAATTAAAAAGCCAATCATTCGTTCGTTGGTTCGTTCATTCATTTTCGTTCGGCACCAAAAGCGATCTAGGTCTGTTTCTTCATATTCCTTCCATTCAATTCACTTTCTTCATCTTACATTCATGCATGCATTCATTGTTTGTCTTCACTCTTCACCGATCATGATTTTTCTTGTTAATATGCTTCCAGAATCAATGCAACTGCGAGGCGTATGTTGTAATTTTCTTCTTCCGTCCAACTAAGCCAGGTACTCGTTGAAGTTTTCGTGTCTTCGAGAGAGATCGAAGATTTCACTCTTCGTCTTACTCGATCTTATTCTCCTCTGCATAACTAACTGCCTTGAGAATTTTTCAGCTCTGTTTTCTTTTCCACTTCATTAGTGCGCTTTCAAGTTCATGATGAAAATGCTTCGTGCAACTTTGTTCTTCCTTTTTAGAATGTGACGAATGCAGAAAAATATGCAACTGGTTTATATACTGATAATGTCGTCTGTAACCAATGATTATTTTATATAAAGTGTATACCTGTTAGGATTTTAATTTTGCTCAGTAATGAAGAAATTAATTTTTTTATTGTATCTTATTTGTTTCTTTATTTTCGTGATCAATAAACATGAGTAGAAATTTACTTATCATTGACTTTCTCAGTTATTGTAATTAGGACAATAGTAGTTCGGGCTTTCCTAACTACATTATCTAGAGAAAGCTATCTCGAAATTCAGATTAACATTTTAGAGTAGCTGAGTGATCTGCTGTTAATTGCTTCATTTTTGTTGACGAACTGAGTAATTGAATGTGAGTTCACTGCGCAGATTACATGTCTGTGAATTCAATCTGAAGATTACTTGTCTGTGAATTCACTATTTTCCGTGAATTCTAACTACAGATTCTCATTTTTCTTTAAATTCACTCTACAGATTACTTGTCTGGCGGATAGAATTCAAGATGAGTTGGGACCCCCACATGGAGGTCCGTTACGACAACATCAGCTATCCCTACAGTACAGCAGGAAGCTTTATTGAATATGTTGAAGGTCTTACATACGAACATGTTAACTTCATTTTTTCTGGTGCCTCACATGCACAGGTAGCTTTACAGATATTATCTAGATTATGTTTGGTTATTGATAGATATTCTGCACCCGTCATATTGTTTCCGCTATGTTGATCTGTTGGGATGACCTAGCTTAGTTTGATATAAAGTGTAGAACTTTTCAAATAATTATCAAATATAGAATGTGGTCTTCTTATAGAGTTTGTATGCAATATTTTTCATGTTCTTTTCCTATGAACGGAACTCTGCTTGAAAGTTGCAAGTAAAAAAGTTTCGACATGTATATATACACAGGAGAGTGCATACCCTTCAGGTTCAACTACAAACTTCTACAAACCTGGGCTATCTGAACCAGCGAGTACCTTATACTGTCAGGATAGTAATGGTTATGAGGTGAATTATCATGAACGATTGATCGATGAGTATAGAAGGCCGTCGGAAAACTCGGCAACAATCAATGAACAGATGGCAACAGTATGTATAGAAAGGGAAGGTGTAAACAATTCCACGCTAGACAGTTCTATTGAATGTATGTTATTGAGTTACATCAGAGGATAATTTTCCTCAAATATATTATCCACCCTAACCCCCTGTTGCAGATCTGTAATTCGGTACCTATGTACAAAATGTATGCTCAAAATTTATACAAATCCATCTCTTTTCTGTCAGGCCCACGAAGGCATCATAATGACTCCAATGATTATGAGGTATTTTTATTAAATTTATGGTGCATTAAATATTTAAATAACTAAATGGCAAATCTTTCATTTCATTGAAGAAGTTGTATCTATGCCTCATCAATTAATTACGATGAGCTAAGCCAATTTTCTTGTTAAACTTTTCAGGACATTTGGGAAGACAACATTGATCCTGACAACATGACCTATGAGGTTGGACTGAAAGTATTAGCCTTCCTTTTGTAGCCCACATATATTTCTCCCTTAAAGTACAACTATCTTATGTTTGGTTTCTTAAAAGTATACAGCCAATATTCTAGATGTATATAATGGTAAGTGTTGCAATGGTTTGATTATCAGCCTATACCTTCAACTTTTTCCTTTGCTTACTCCTGCTCAAGCCAATTCTTATTTTCTTCCTGCATAATGCATTATGTTATATCAACTAGTAACTCTCCAAAACTATAAAAAAAAATGAATGTTCAAAAAGTTGTGTGATTGTAGTTATAATCCAGAAACTTGTTTATTTTATATTATGTTTTAACAATTGCTTAGATTAGTTTAAGAGGAGACGGTTGTGGGATTGATTTGGCAAGTAGGACCTTTTATCACTCCTTACAGATACAAGAAAGGAAATCGCTTTAAAACCTCTATACCATTTTACAAGTTATTCGCTTTAAAAAAGCACGGAAGCATGTGTGATATCGACAACCCTTGCCTTCCCAATTAAAATAGACTAAGAGGGTTTTGGAAGCTATTATGGATTCAAAACCAATGGATGGGTGTGAGACAGTTACCATTGTAACAGACAACTGTAGGGCCGGCCATCCAAGTTAAATTATCACGTTACTGGTTGATAGGGTTATAATTAAGTTGTATGATACGCAGGTTGTTCTGATAAATCACGAGCACTTAGACATTAAAGTCTTCAAATTACTTTCTGTCCTCCTTCATCACAGTACAATACTTTTTCTTAATAATATCTTTTTCATGCTAGTTATAGCAGAAAGTGTTGGGTAGTGTTTTTTTTTATTCTCTATAAATCCCCTGCTACTTGCTAATGATGTGCCACCTGGTGTAAACAGGCTCGGTTGTTGTTACCAATGCGATCTCAATTCCTTGTTACGTGAACATCTCAATTCCTCACGTTGATACCATTTTATTTATCGTAGGAACTACTTGAATTAGGTGAGGCAGTTGGAGTGAACATCTCAATTCCTCACGTTGATACCATTTTATTTATCGTAGGAACTACTTGAATTAGGTGAGGCAGTTGGAATTCAGAGTCGCGGGCTCTCCCAAGAGCAAATCTCATCGATTCCAGTATCAAAGTACAAGTGTGGCCGCTTCTTCTTCTTCTTCTTCAGGAAGAAGTCTCGCGATGAGAGGTAATATTTCTAGGCATTGTTTTAGTTTTCTCAAAAACAAATTGCTTCATGTAAGTTTTTCTGTAAATTTAATCAGAACTATATTCCTTCTTGGCTCTGTTGAACTACGTTGTCTAGCCTGGTTTGAATGTGGTTAAGAAGTATCGGGTGCAGTAGCAGACAAATGAGTTATAAATGGATAGATCAGTAATGAGTTTATTAGATGGTCCAAGATTGCAACAAGCATGTGCATCAGGAGATTTTACAAAAAATCCTTTGGTGTATGGAGCCCATTGCATGCTTGAATTGCAACTAGAGTCCTAGTCTCATCCATTGTTTTCTTGACAGGAGCAGTTATTTGGATATTGACTCCTTAATGTGCTATTCTGACTCGTTTTCTTGTTAAGATGCGTGATTTGTCAGATGGAATATAGAAGAGGGGACAAGAGGATGACTCTACCATGCAAACATGTCTATCATGCTAGCTGTGGGAACAAATGGCTTAGCATCAATAAGGCAAGTTGTTTAGAAATAATATCCTCCGAGTGCGTAGTAGACTCTGAACTTCAGAAACTGTCAAAGCAGTGATGAAATAAAAAATACAAATGTTGAAAATTTTATAACAATACAAGCATTTTAATGAGAAATCATGAGTAAGTAATTCATTTTTCTCACAAGAAATTACTACTTCCTAATTTTTGTGTGTGCAATGTATACTTTTGAGGATTCAAATCAGTTAGTTGATTCCTGTGAATTTATAACAATGAATTCGTGAAATACTTGTAGAGCTCAATTTGGCATCTGCTGAAACACCTATTTTTTTCCTTGTGTTTTCTTCAGGCTTGTCCTATGTGTTACAGGGAGGTGAACGTGGCATCAGCTGAAACATCTTAGAGAGAATAGAAGTAACCTTGCATATGATTCGGTTTTTCCTTGTCTAGATTCTCTTATAATTCATTTTGTTTCAGTTTTGGTTTTGACATAGAAATGGAAGCTGCAGCGAGGATTTGTTTTATTGCAAAGGCCGGATTATGTGCTCTAATTTCACCAATTTAGTATTATTATTCTTTATTATAACGTGAATTAACATCTGTGAGTGCGGAAACCTAAAATAGTGAACATATAATATAATGGTAGACATGCACAGCTAAAATAACTTTTCATACACTTTTTCACTAATATCACCAATAAATTAAATAATATTATTACATTCATGTGCATCCAAAAATTAGAATCAACCATATTATCTATCGGTAGACAATTGTAATACCATATATTTTGAAAAATATAATACAATCTAGAGAAAAATAAATTATTTTTTATATTTTGTATCAAAGTTTCTTATATCTTTTATACAAATATTTTGTTTTCAAATTCTAGAAACGTTATGCCTTTGAAAGTAAAAAAAGAAAAAAAAAAAAATATATATATATATATATATATATATATATATATATATATACTAAAAACAAATGTTTTTTTTAAATGTAAGGATCAAATTTTAAAGAAAAGTGCAGAAACTTTGATTCAGTTAATATTTATTTTTTACTAATGAAATAATAAAAAAAACATTTTAAGACTATTTGGAGAAGTTATTTATAAATATAAATTTACTGTGTTATAGCATATTTTTCAATTTTGCTTTAATAGTTAAAAAAATCATTCTCTTTTATTTTTATTTTTTTAATTCATTTTTTTCTCTAATAGTTTAAACAAATTATTTTTTCTTTTCTTTTATTTTTTTAAGTTGTTTAAGGACGAATTAAACTCTGTATAGATTGGTTAAATGAATAGTCAAAAGAAATATTAAGTTAAAACACAAACTACAGTAAAAATGAATTTATTACTTTGATTTTAACACTTAAATTTGCTTGCATTGCGACCAAATTGAAAAGAAAATAATAACTCCACAATTTTTTATTGCCTGTTAGGTTGCAAATGTAATTTTTATATATAAGTTAAATAAAAGTATCCACATCTTCAACTAAATTGACGTGGTAATTTATTTCGTCATAATTTTATTATGATTCAAACACGTATACTCATTTTAGAATGGTATGCATTTATATTTTTCATTTTATTTATATTTTCCATTTAATTTAACATGAAGGTGTTCTCAAGAAGCAAACTCAAGCTTATGCAAACCTAAATATATCATATTTAGAAAGGAAATATATGTTATTACACCTCTCTCTCTCTCTCCACCTTTTTTTCATTGATTTGATCCAAATGAGGGTGATTCCGAATTATTTCATCTCTCTTCTCTTCAAATTTGTTCTCTCGTCTGTTTTTTTTTTTAATCAAACATATTGTTAAACATAATTTTAGAAATAAAATAAAAATTTTTAATCGTTTTAATTATTTATGGTCGTTTTTGCATTAAATTGTAGTTTATATGTTTTGTTACGTTTTGCTTTAATTCGATTTTACTCGTAGATGCTCGATACATTATTTTAGTATTATTTTGTTACTCAATCGACGATTTTTTGAGTTGATAGTATTACTTGATAGAAAAATGTTCTATCACTATTTTTTAATATGGTATCAAAGTTTTTCATTTGAAAAGATTTATTATACACTCTGACTATCTTTTGGAATATTATCTTTCTTGTTTTGTTTGAATATTATGAAAAAACTAACTGATTAATCAAATACTGATTCAATGTCTGTAACATATTCTCTCCAGTTCTTGATGTAGAAAACTATAATTCTTAAAGTAGATATATGCTCTTTACATTAAGCACAAAAAATAAAATTGAATTCGTTAATGGTTCAACACCTAAACCTGTAACATAGATTATTCATTCTATTTCTTTGACTATTATATTATGAATAGCCAATGCTGAAGAGATATGAAATAATCTAAGGTCTTGATATTTTCAAGGTAATCTATTCTGAATTTTTTATCTTCAATTTGAAGTTTCTTTTATCAAATAGAGTTATCTCTATATTAATGAATTTTTCACTAAACTCAGAATTATTTGGGATGAACTTGAAATTTTTTTGCCTGATCTCACCTATACTTGTTTATCGAAATGTTCTTGCATTGTTCTTTCTATAATTCAACAACGTAAAAGAGAAGATCAAACTATGTAATTCTTGAGAGACTTACATGAACAGTATAACAATGTCAAATCCAATGTTCTTCTCATGGATCCTATACCTCTTCTATTTTCTCATGTTAATCAACAAGTAAGACAAATTATTGGAAGTAATATTATGAATCTTGATCATAAGATAAAAAATATTCATATCTACATTTTCCTATAATATAATCTTTGTATCGAAATTCATGCTTGATCAAAATTACAAACTATCTTTTTATCATAATTCTTGTATTATACAAGATGCAAGGAGCAACAAGAGAATTTGTATAGTTGTTGTTTAAGATAGTATGTATACTCTTAAAAAATAATCATTATGTCAGTGCTAATACTAAAACCAATAATAACGATTGTGACATTGACCTCTGACATATTATATTAGGTCATATATCAAATGAAAGAATGAACTTAATAAAAAAATATTACTCTTATATATACAGTGATAAAAATCTAGTTTGAGAAACGTGTCACATTGCTAAACAGAAGAAACTTCTTTTTCTTAATAGTCATTCTTATGCTAATGAATGCTTTGATTTGATTCATATTGATATATGGGAACCATGTTCTTACACTTCCATGCATGGACATCAATATTTTCTTATTATTGTTGATGATCACACATGATTTAGATGAATTTTTCTCATAAAACTTAAATATGATGCACATAGTTAGATTACCAATTCCATTACATATATTGAAAATCAATTTCACAAAACCATGAAGTGTATTAGGACTAATAATGGACCGACATATTACTATAATTACAAAGGAATTATACATCAGACTACATGCGTCGAGACTCTTGAACAAAATAGGATAGCTAAGAGAAAGCATTAACATATCCTTAATGTTACTCGAACACTCCTATCTCAATCAAACTTAACTCAACAATGTTAGTGTTATGTTGTCTTGCTTATTGTTCATCTAATTAATCGCATTCTTTCACCTTATCTTGGTAATATCTTTCCTTTTGAAAAACTTTACACAAAATCATATGATATTTCTGACTTCAGGGTATTTGAATATCTTATTTACATTAGCATTATTACTATTAATAAGAAAAAACCCAATCCAAGAGTTGATCCTAGCATATTTTTTGGGTTTTAAAAGTAACACAAGGATATTTAATTTTTAATCTATAAATACAGGATATAACTGTATCAAGGGATGCAATATTTTATTAAAAATGTTTTCTATATCTTAAAAAATTTAAAGAAAATCACAACATACCCTGAAAGAGAGTTTCAATAAGAAATCAAAATTGAGGACAAAAGAGCTCACACTTGAGATGTTGTAGAAAGTCTTGAACCAATTCGATCAATAGATACAACATAAGAATGTGTCTCGAGTCAATCGATCGATGATACAAAGTCCAGTGATCCTCCCAAAGTTTTGTAACTACCATGTAATTTATGATTTTGGTCCTCCCAAACATAATGAACATTTAATATATTTACTTGTATATTTACAATTTTATCCTTTCAGTCCTTCCTCAGTTTTATAACTCTCATTTAATATATTTAAGTATATATCTACAATTTTATCTTTTCACCATTTTATCTTCTTTCTTCCTTTTATATTTATTAATAATATATTATTTGGTCTCCCTAAGATCAATGATCAAGCTTTTATATTTATTGATAATATATTATTTAGTCTCCTAAGATCAATGGTCAAGATCCGCCATCGACAGAGTCCATTGATAATGCATCCTTGACTCAATCAACTGATACAACACAAGACGCTACATCAATTCAAAATGATAATAATATCTCTAGACACGACCCAAACTCCTACAAGAGGCAATAATGGAGAATTTTTCGCAATTAACGAAAGTCTGACAGAACAATGTTGTGAGAGGGTAGAAGACCTATTTGTTCCTATCTTAAGAAGAATCACTCGCATTAAAAATCTTCCAACTCATCTAAAAGATTACTATATCACAACTTTAAAAGGTTAAAAATATTCTATCAAGAATTTTATTTCCTATAACAAACTGTCATCTATCTTCACTGAGATTATACTTAACATCGACACTATCAAATAGCCTAAAACTTATAAATAAACTTGAAAGCACGAATATTGAAGAAAAGTCATGTCAAAAAAATTTTTCTACTTTAGAAAATAATAATATTTAGTCTTTTACTTCACTTCCTCGTAATAAAATTATCATTGGTGATAAATGAATATATAAAATCAAACATAAAAGTGCAAGCACGAACCCTAAACTTTGTACACATATTTTTTACCCTTCAAATTTGTTTCCTTCTTTAAGACATATATTAAATGGGAATTCAATATAACGCTATAATATCTATTTATTATTGTGATACGATAACAGAGTAAATTTTTAACAAATATGTTTTTCCGAAAAGAAAAAAAGTGAAGTAAAAATTACATACACAAATTAAAATCATTATAAAAATTATTTGAGAATAACAGCTCTAAAATTGTCGCAATGATTGATAGAGAATGGATGGTTTTGATAAAATCATTACATAAAGTTTGTAATTGCCTTTTTATTTTTGTTTATTGACCAATTGGCTTGGGAGATATTTACCCTTTTTGTTGTTTTTTCTTTCAATGACTTTGACTTTTTTTGTAACTCATCGATCTTCTATCAATTTACGTGAGAACGTGGTTTCGTGATTCCAAAAAGAACAATATTTTTATCCCTCCAATCTTGCAACAACATCTCTAAGAGGTAATATCTTATTCATGTTATTTTGTAAATAAAATTATTCTAAATGGTTAAAAATAAACCTTTCACAATCTTCATTTATTTTATAAATAAATTCCTTTATATTTTAATCCTTATACATAAATATATTTAATATACATAAACTAAATTTATTTTTTATTACAACATATAATAACCTGCTCAAATTAAAAATGAAGAAACAAATTCAATTTTAAGAATTTTATTTTAATTTATTAAAATTATAAAACAAAATTAAAATTCTCATCCATTTTTAAGCGTAAAGAGTTAAGGGTGTTATTGGGTTAGCCTGATATGTTTTCTTTGTGATTGAATCACATATAACTCAACCCAATCCTTTATTGATTAAATAACCGGTTTTGTATGTTTAATTAAAGACATTCTATCAAATCAAAATAATTAAATAATATTAATATTATTAATAATAAAACTATAACTATTATTTAATTATTATATTTATTAAATATGATGTTTGAAATATTAAATAATATAGTCTATTTTTTAAAAGAAAATATTATAAAATTTTAAAAAATGTTTTAAAATTAAAAGTCCAATAAAAAAATATTTTAAAAAAATTGTGATCTATTTGATTCAAGTAAATTCAACCCCATCAAGGACACTTTGGATTAAACTAGGTCTAACAAAAAAAATTACAGAAATCTAACCCAATATTCTTTTTATTGGAATAAATGATGAATTTAGTCAAATAATACCCAGCGAAATCCTTTATAAGAATCCAAATGAAGATTCTAATGTTGAATTCTTTAATATTAAGTTTTGTTGTGCATAGAGACAAACTTTTGATTTTTATGAAGAATACTAATAACTCTTAACAACGAATGCTAAGCAATTAAACACAACAAATTCCTTTATACAAAAAGTAATTACTACATTATAAATATCATAATATAATAGATACCATTTTTATGAAAAATAGTTAATTTTTAATTACTTAAATCACTCTTGGGAGAAGTTGCTTCTTTCTAAAATGAAATGGTTATAATTACTTCTTACTATACCAGAAGTTGCATTTTAGAAGATATTATCTATTTTCACGAAATTTATAGGCAGAGAAATAGGGTTCAAGGAGAACCTTTGACGAGGGATGATTATTGAAGGCTTCCCACTAAACTCTCAATAGTATTTCCTTTTCCACAGCTGGCCACACCAACCCGTTGACATTGCCAACCTCAATTATTTTTTAACCCACATTGTATTAGAAATCACCTCCAACGCAACACAATATGATGCAATTCTCTTTTAGCCAATCAAAAAGCAGAGGTTACCTGTACCAATACCATGTCAAACCAATACACGTTCAGTACAATGTCTGTGTATAATAATGCATTCCATAAACTAAATAGCAGGGTATATGTATTCCTGATGAGATGAGTAATATTATAATGAAGTGAATTTAAAACTCCATAAATTGAGGGGGAAATGTCTACTACGAGAGACTAAAAAGGGTCAAGAAGAAAAAAAATAACATTGATTAAAATTTTAATTACGATGTATAACTGTAAAAGGAATTCTCTCCATGACTATTCATCAAATTTGAATCTTAATTTCAAAGCTAGATCACTTAAATATGTGCTATATATTAGATAAACATACCAGCAGCATGTAGTTTCCAATCATATATTATTTCTGACATCGAAACCAAATAGGTATTCCGGTCGAATTCTTCCTGGTTTCACTCAAGAATACAAATTTGTACCTTAACTTGACAAGAAACGAATCTCCAAATGTCCCTGCCTTGGTCTATAGAGTACATGCCTCTGCAGTCTTGAAGTCTAACAACACCGATGATAGCAGAGTAACAACAGTAGCAGCCTTCTCTGATATGTCTAAAACGATATATAGCAAATATAATGCAATCACTAGGGAAAGTGGGTTCTGTCTGCAGAGTTCGCACTAGACCAGCAATGTAATAGAAAATGTAGAATAGAAAATTACAATCGGATAGGGAAACAACTAAAAATGCAACTAAGAACAACCTTCAATCTTAGTTAACGAGGTATGGAAATTAGGAAGGATTAGAAGTTAGATGCTCAATGTTAACTCGGAAAAACAAACATTAGTCAAGTAACAATATTACATCAACAGTTGAACTCTTGAAAACCTAGTCACATTGGGTAACGGATCAAAGGCAAACAAGACAAACTTTGTACACATGATGGTGTACAGTTATTATAACAAGAAAAAATTATAACGTCACATTACCATGGGGACTATTTTAAATATAGTTATTGTTATGACTCGAGAATGTAAGTTTGCCTATTGATAGGGATGTCTGGTAGGTTTTTGTTTTCACCGACACCTTGACATTTGACTTCAATGATGTTTGGTACTTCTGACATGCTCGAATATAATCTGGTTCTCTAAAGTTTAACGGAAATAACCATAGCTGGCTGATTTAACGTACATTTTTAAAATTTGATCTAATTTAACTAGTACTTATGTCCAACCATGTCATTGCCAACCTTCTTCCTTGACTTTGTTGCCAATCCATATCGTAAGAGATATGAATTCACATAATGGAGGCCCGCAACTTCAACTTAAATAATGCTTTGAACAAAGGGTAATGTGCAGCATGTATATATATTTAAATCGTTAATCCAGACTGTCGATGCATTTAACAAATAAATAGTATCATCCGTAACTGAATGCTAACACTATATAAAGGGTTACGATGCATACTTTGCAATGCAAGCATAGAGCATAGGTCATCCAAACAACGACTGTACTGCACACTGACAGAAGATGGGAACTTCAGCAGGGCCGAGGCACTGGCCTCGACTCATCTATGGGTTGGCATTTTGCCTAATTGCTATCAATGTCTCTGGTGATGATTATAACCCTTACTATGCATCCCAGCCAACCTATTACTCTCCACCACAGCATGCAAAACACCCACCCCACCATCACGAATCATCTCCACATTATGTCTATAAGTCACCACCACCTCCCTCTCCTTCACCACCACCTCCATACATCTACCAGTCTCCTCCACCACCATCTCCATCACCACCCCCACCATATGTTTATAAGTCTCCTCCACCTCCATCTCCTTCACCACCCCCTCCATATGTCTACAAATCTCCTCCTCCGCCATCTCCATCACCACCCCCTCCTTATGCCTATAAATCTCCTCCACCTCCGTCCCCATCACCACCCCCTCCTTATGTTTACAAGTCACCTCCACCTCCATCCCCCTCACCTCCTCCACCATATGTTTACAAGTCTCCCCCACCTCCATCTCCTTCACCACCTCCTCCATATGTCTACAAATCCCCTCCTCCATCATCTCCATCACCACCCCCACCTTATGTCTACAAGTCTCCACCACCTCCATCCCCCTCACCACCTCCACCATACATCCATAAGTCTCCACCATATGTGTACAAGTCTCCACCTCCACCTCCACCATCTCCATCACCTCCCCCTCCTTATGTCTACAAGTCTCCCCCACCACCATCTCCATCACCTCCCCCTCCTTATGTCTACAAGTCTCCACCCCTTCCATCCCCCTCACCTCCTCCACCATATGTCTACAAGTCTCCTCCTCCACCATCTCCATCACCTCCCCCTCCTTATGTCTACAACTCTCCACCACCTCCATCCCCCTCACCACCTCCACCATACATCCATAAGTCTCCACCATATGTGTACAAGTCTCCACCTCCACCTCCACCATCTCCATCACCTCCCCCTCCTTATGTCTACAAGTCTCCCCCACCACCATCTCCATCACCTCCCCCTCCTTATGTCTACAAGTCTCCACCCCCTCCATCCCCCTCACCTCCTCCACCATATGTCTACAAGTCTCCTCCTCCACCATCTCCATCACCTCCCCCTCCTTATGTCTACAACTCTCCACCACCTCCATCCCCCTCACCACCTCCACCATACATCCATAAGTCTCCACCATATGTGTACAAGTCTCCACCTCCACCTCCACCATCTCCATCACCTCCCCCTCCTTATGTCTACAAGTCTCCCCCACCACCATCTCCATCACCTCCCCCTCCTTATGTCTACAAGTCTCCACCCCCTCCATCCCCCTCACCTCCTCCACCATATGTCTACAAGTCTCCTCCTCCACCATCTCCATCACCTCCCCCTCCTTATGTCTACAACTCTCCACCACCTCCATCCCCCTCACCACCTCCACCATACATCCATAAGTCTCCACCATATGTGTACAAGTCTCCACCTCCACCATCTCCATCACCTCCCCCTCCCTATGTCTACAAGTCTCCCCCACCACCATCTCCATCACCTCCCCCTCCTTATGTCTACAAGTCTCCTCCTCCACCATCTCCATCACCTCCCCCTCCTTATGTCTACAAGTCTCCACCCCCTCCATCCCCCTCACCTCCTCCACCATATGTCTACAAGTCTCCTCCTCCACCATCTCCATCACCTCCCCCTCCTTATGTATACAAGTCTCCACCACCTCCCTCCCCCTCTCCTCCTCCACCGTATGTCCATAAGTCTCCTTCATATGCCTACAAGTCCCCTCCTCCACCATATCTGTACAAGTCTCCTCCTCCACCATCTCCATCACCGCCCCCTCCTTATGCATACAACTCTCCACCACCTCCATCGCCCTCACCTTCCCCACCGTATGTCCATAAGTCTCCACCATATGTGTACAAGTCCCCTCCTCCACCATCCCCATCACCCCCGCCTCCTTATGTCTACAAGTCTCCACCACCTCCATCCCCCTCACCTCCTCCACCATATGTGTACAAGTCTCCTCCTCCACCCTCTCCATCACCTCCTCCACCATATTTGTACAAGTCCCCTCCTCCACCATCTCCATCACCTCCCCCTCCTTACGTCTACAAGTCCCCACCACCACCATCCCCATCACCACCCCCTCCATATATTTATAAGTCACCTCCCCCACCATCTCATTCACCACCTCCTCCGTATGTTTACAAGTCTCCACCACCACCATCCCCATCACCACCACCTCCTTATGTCTATAAATCTCCACCTCCTCCATCCCACTCGCCTCCTCCACCATATGTCCACAAGTCCCCATATGTCTACAAATCTCCTCCCCCTCCATCTCCTTCACCTCCTCCTCCATATGTGTACAAGTCTCCACCTCCACCTCCTCATTATGTCCACAAGTATCCACCACATCACCTTCCCTATCTCTATAACTCCCCACCGCCTCCTGCAACAGTCTATTAAGCTAATTAAATCAAATTATATTATTTCAATAAATTTATGCAACACATTATTGCGGATACTATTAAGATTGTGTCAATAATGCAGGGTCTACACTGAAGAGTCTTGTTGTGAATGTAGCCCTATCTGTCAGTGTCAATTCAAAAGTTTGTTTTGTTTTAAATTTTATAATATAATATTATATTCAGTAATTCGTTGTTATTAAGTTTTCATTTTGGCATTTCCTTGTTTCTATATGATCTTAAGGAAGTTCATGCCCTGCTCTTTCGATATACTGATTTTCTTTGATATCATAAAATGAACCTAGTACTCTTGTCGTAACATTAGCCGTCTGTCTCTCAATTTACACGTGGAATTTTTTAGAAGAATTGGGTCTTTGAAAGGGTATAATAATTATAAAAGAAAAAGACAAGTTGTCTCCCTCTGACTTTCATGTTGTTTAAATAATGCATCGGTGAAACTCATAAAGAGTTATTGGGAATTGAAATGTCTCTTTCACAGAATCTTCGAAGCATTAATTAATTAGTCAGAAGAAACAACATAATGAACACCGACACAACAGCTTGATTACTCTTGAACTTACGACCTACGGCAAATAACCCAACTGAAATTCGTCCTAATTTATCTATCAATCACACACAACTTAGACAATAGTCAATGACGAAATCATGTTTGAGTACGACATGGGCTAAAGTTTGAATGAGATGAACCGTGCCAAAATGGAAACTCACTATACCACCTCAAAATAGAAATACCCTCGTGGACCTCTAATCTAATGCAACCTAAACTCTATTTGGAAAAGGGAAAACACTAAGGGTGGATATTTGGAAGATAATTAAAACCCTAAGCGATTATATTGAACGGTTAATTAATTAATATGAAGCATGATAGATAGTTGAACATTGTAATTCTGCAAGAGGCACGGGGATTAGAACCTTACAATTTTCGAGAATCCATCAAGTTTTGTGTCTGAGGCTTTGGGTGCCACTCAGAGACAGAAGTGGCCCTTCGATTCTTCAAAACAAATGCTGGTGCAATGCAACATAAATTATGTCATATATATATATATATATATATATATATATATATATATATATATATATATATATATATATATATATATATATATATATATATATATATATATATATATATATATATATATATGCAGAGATAATAAATTAAAGGAGTGCAAGGAGAAGAAGAAACACTGTCGCTTTTAGGTGTGAGACAGTTTGACTCGTTTGGCGGGAGAACCCAATTACAAATCTTTTATCGTTGAAGAGATAAATCAAACTTTGTTATCATTGAAGAGACAAATCAAAGGGGGATGGTGGCGCTTTGATTGCCTTAAATTTATTTCCATTGCATTAACAATTGATTATACCAAGTCATTCACTAGTTATATTATTTATCTTAATGCAGTTTTTTTTTATTAAAAATATTATTAAGTGTAAAGATTAACTTTATTTTTTTGAGAATTAAAAAATGTATTAATAATTAATTAATTATTATCTCAATTAAAAATAGTATTTTGATCAAAAAAATTGGAAACGATTACCAGTAAAAACCTAGTAGGACAAACAAAGTTAGTGTCTATGTTACTAATTATATATTATTTTTTTTGTTAAATATAATTTAATTTTATATATTTTTAATTCTTTTAAATTTATCATTTGTAATTTAATAAGAAAGAATAAAAATGACAATTAATATATTTTACGACATACATGCGTCTCCAACACAAATTTTGTTATGCATGAGAGGACCATGATTCTCTAAATTCTTTATTTAACTTTTTATATATTTATAATTTTAGGTTTTCAGATTATTTTAAGTATTAAATTTAATAACATATGAATTTTGTATTAATTTAAACAAAATATTATATATATATATATATATATATATATATGTATATATAAAATTCTGAAAATAAATAATTAAATATATTAAATTAAAATTACCTTTTTTTTACTTTTCATATTCTTTTAATTTTTTATTCTCTAATTTATTTGTTTATTATGTAATATTTTAGTCTTTCCAAAATTATTGATAAAGTGTATGCCTCTTTTATTAATTGAATATATTATATTTGGCTGATTGTATATTATTTCAAGATATGATGTGTTGTGACCATCTCTCGATAAATGGTACCTCTGTCATTTTCTTTAAATGTTTAATGGCATATAACTAAGATTATCATGTAATTATTAATATAAAAATATTGCTAACAAATTCTTTTTAACAGTCGATAATAGTTATTATTGGTGTATCTAAATGCCCAAAACATGTCAAATTGTAAAATTTTCGGAATAACTTAAAAAAGTAATCTATTTTCAATCATCTTTTAACTTTATCTTTTTCAATGAAAAAAGTAAAGGTATTTTTCAGTCTTAGATAAAGCTGTGAAATTATTTTTCAAGCAAATAAGATAATGGTTAAGTAAACCTCTGTTAATTAATTAAAAAACTATATCTTTGTTTAGTTAACCGATACATACAACGTGTAAGAAAACATTGTATTTATATTTAGAATTTAAAACCGTGTCACAGATTTTTATCTTACATGTTACAAAAATATCCATTCTAAAGTAATCAATAATTAATTTTTTTATTAACTACTCTATAATTGTTAACACTTACACTTTATCTTAAAATTTTATATTTTTTATAGATAAATTATTCTATCAATATATTTACCAAAAAAATAGTTTCTCCTTAAAAATATATCTTCTTATATTTGAATAAATTATTTATCATGATATTAAAATTTTAAAAACAATACAGACAGGGTAGAGATGAGATAGGGCCAGTAAGTTGCCATTGCTTTTATGGTGAATTGCTGCATCATATTCGTAAAGCGGAAGTAGTACATTCTCTATGTTTTTGTGAAACATTCCTGATGAGTATTCACCGTGTTGCAATGATAAGAAATTAACGGTGTCAAAAAAGCAGAGGATCACACACTAAGTTTGGGGCGGAAATCTGAGTTAACAAGCGATGTTGTTAATTCATCTAAACAAGCCATCCGAATTCTCTCAGGAGTTGCTGGACTGTCAAGAGGAAACCAGTCACTACACCCGACTTCAGCTCTTGCAGCTATGATGGCATCCTTGATGGCAAATAACACGGAAGATGCTAGGAAAAATGGAGGCTCACCAACAGCTTTGGAAGAATGGATGGCCTTAACATTTGGATGACCCTACCAATCAAACAGGATAAGTTATCACGTTGATATCTAAAATTTGTGATTATTGTGCTACGTATGTAGGGGAATAGCCAAACAGCCAAGATGTTAATCACTAATAAATGGCCTTATGTTATGTGAAAAACCTTCAACATCTTTATAGAATTGTGATTGTATGACTGATACTATAATTCAAACACTATATAACTAATCGATATTTTAATCTTCGTGGCCATCTAAGAGCGTGCAGACGTGAGAATGAGGTAAAGGAAAGACAAAACAATAGCTAGCAATGTGGTTCTATAAATACCAAAAAGGATTGGACCACACAGCTCTCACGATTATATGCATAAATTCAACATCTTTATATCAGGTTGTGGAATTCTATTCAATTAGCAGAAGAAAGAAGAAGTATCATCATCAATTACAGCATATCAATTACATCATCAATTACAGCATATCATTAAACAAATTTTTTCATTAGTTAAAATAAAATTCTACAAACCAGTTTATGTAAAAAGCTAACGTGAGAGAATTTTAACAAACCAACTTAAGTATATATTATTTTAGCTTATAATTGTGTGTTTGATGGGTGAGAAATAAAAAAAAGGAAGGGATAGATGAAAATAAATTTAACTTTCACTTTCTTTTTCATCTATTTCCACTTATCTTCTCTATTTCCATCCACTTTATTTTTCTCCACAGCACCGAATAGGACCTTGGAGAAATTTATCCAGACTAACTCAATATCTTAGACTCCAACTACAATAATCAAATCCTTTTTCCTCTTCCAAAAAGACAACACAAATGCTTGTGTTATGTACAGCATCAAATTATTAGTTTCATATTTCCCTACTGTAAGTTGGGGCAGCACTTTTTGTTAATTACAAGGATTATCTTTTATTCATTTTTCATCTTTACACCAGCCAATATCTTCTTTATTTTTCATCTCTAAAGTGTGCCACTGGCAACTGTAGCACATTGGAAACATTTCAAGGTGCATCATCCACTTACCTCAAGAAAAGAGCAAGAGAAATTTGTTCAGGGTTCAGGAATATACCTTCAGGAGTGAGACGTTAAATTTGAAGGGAACATCATTTACAGAAGGAATTTTATAAGTTCCAGGTCCAGTTGTGTAAAGGCATCCAGACGGGATCCATTTATGTGCTGCATCTCCCCATTTTAGTTCTTCTAAAGCTAACCAACCCAAACCTTGAACAAAAGCTCCCTCGATCTATGAAAATAAATAGCAAGAACAAAATATGAAATGACCATGAAAAAAATACAGCAATTCAAAAACAGGGAGAAACTTGTAATTCGAAGGAATTTTAGAGTGTTTAATCTTCTACACGTGTAAAGAAGATAACTTTCACAATTTCCCCAAAGTTGTCTTGGTTCAAAGAATCCAGAACCAAACATCCTGCAATAAAGACTTTACGAAAAACAATTTTTGAAAATAATTCTCAGAAAGTGAAACCATTGCATATTAACACTAGGTATTTTATCACAAACAATATATTGTAATTTCTGTGATCAACCAAAAAGTACACACAAGCATATTGTTCTAAAAACACGTTCACAGATATTCAATTTATTTATGAGAGCCAAATTCTATTCACCATTATATAATATCAGGAAACTGACTTGAGATCTTTTCTATAAATTTTTCTAATTTCCATTTAGAGGAACTCCTGTCCTCCCTGCTGTGATACTTCTCCATCCTTATCCTTGTATATTCTGAAATTAATAATAAACAATTAAAGAAAGAAAAAAAGTACCTGTCCAACATCTATTGCTGGATTCAGAGAATAACCTAGATCCAGAAATACGTTTGCCGTTCTGGTGTGAAAATCTCCGGTCAGGGTGTCAATTTCAACCTCGGCAAATGCAGCCCCGTAAGTGAAATATCTAAAAGGTTTTCCTTTAGCCGTCACCCAATCAAAACCAATATCAGGTGTAATATAAAATCCATGGGCAGAAAGGTCTATTCGCTCTGCATAGCAAGCCCTAACTAGCTGAAAAATAATAAAAGCATAATAACAAACATGTTCAGTAGTTTTCAATCTTGTAACGGCAGAGACAATCGCAAGGTCCTTGTAATGAAAAAGACTTGATGGCATAGTCTATGCTTCATATGACCTGTACACTTCAGCGGAATTATAGTAGATATATTTTCTTATGCACTCCTACTATACCTAATGTAATCAATTCTATTTTTATTCATCTTGACACCAATATATAATGTATGAAAATACGTAAGATCTAATAAAATGGCTTTGTTTTTAACTTTTCAGAGATTCTTAAGACTCAATATTTTCTTAATTTCCTCTCACACCTCACAATTCCTCAGCATTTGTATAAAATTTATATTTAATGATGTTTTTTTTCTCCAATTTATGTTTGGATTTTTCTTTTGATTTTTAATTATGACATTTGCAACTTGTTAGTATTTTTCTTTTCCTTATATTGTTATTTGTAATGGGACATTTGTCATACATCAATAAGATTAATAAAAATTTATTGCCTTTTCATCATTCAATTTTTATTTTTTTATTTTGACCCTGCTATTTTCATCTCTGTCATTAGATTGACCCTATTAACTTGATATGTCACCTGAAAAAACATGTGATAATTTTTTTTTTCAAGAACCAAAAGAAAACTCTAAAAATATTTGGGGACCTACAAAGAAAATTCAAAATATTTAAAGGACCACTTAATAAATAACAAAAATTTCAAGGACGAAATACTAAATAATTTTTTTAGGGGCCAAAAGTTAAAAAAAATTATTAGGTACCAGAAGAAAACTCTGGACATACTCAGCAACAAATTAAAACATATTTAAATCTATAATTTATATAAAAATACAGCTTCCATGATATACAACAAACAAATTAAGCTTAGAGTCATTTATTATGAGTAGACCACTTCCTAGACTAAGAAGCAAAGCTAAAAATACAATAGTACCTCAGCAAATGTGCTGAAGTTACGTTGTGAGTTAATAGGTTTCATGGTCGCCATTTTTACTTTTCCAGAAATTTAAAGAGCCTTAATATTTTCTTAATTTCCTGAACCTTCCGACTCGTCAGCATTTGCATAAAATTTAAATAAAAATACAGCTTCCACTTAATACAATAACAAAATTCGCTTATATAGTCATTTTCTGAGTAGATAGGTTCCATGACTACGAAACACAGATTAAAAAAAATCGTGAGTACCTCAGTAAATGAGTCGAATTTACTCTTTGAAGCAATAGGTTCCATGCGTGCCACTATCTGCTCACATGCATCTAAAACGGCTGCTCCATACATATCAGAACTTGCAGAAGCTGCTGTTGGAGAAGCATTAGGGACCTAATTTTGCAGCAAGCATAAGGACATCACAGCAATTTAGCATCAGAAACAATAGTCCTAGATTCAAGAAAGTGTAAGGGAAAGGATAGAAAAGGATAATCCAAATGAACCAGAAAGTATTGGAGGATATTACTGTATTATTCAAAATATTAATAAACAGCAATGTTCCGCACCAGGTCTCTTTCTTATGATTTCTTGCTAGCTTTAGTTGTTCTCCAAAATTACCTAGTTCTATGTAAAAATAATTACGTTGATTTTTTTCTAATTATATTTAGCAAATCAGAGCAACTTTCTAAAACTAACAACTGAAGTTTGGAGTTCTAAACCTTGAATTTGACTTTGTTGATTTCCTTTTGGAACGAGTCCATTAAAAACTCAAAAAAAGTGGTAAGGGAAGGAGAAAAATACGTATTCACCTAGTATTCTAGCAGTAGCATACACTAATTTCCAAGAAGAAAAACAACATAAACGTTTACAAGGAGTAACTTAATACCTTGTCAGTACTAGTATCCGATATAAAAACAGAACTAAGAGGGATATTGAAAGCCGAAGCAGCAATTTGGGCAACTTTTGTATGCAAACCTTGCCCCATTTCTACACCCCCATGTGTAACTAAAACAGTTCCATCCGTATAAACTTGAACCAGAGCACCTGCCTACAGTTATTAGGAAAATATGAAAGTACACCATTATTACTATCTAATAATGCAATCATTTCACAACAAAATAGGGATAAAAAGGAAAAAAATTTTTTGAATTAAAGCACCACAGAAATAGAAACAATAAGCAAGTAATGTAGTTCTTATTGAATTAAGCAGTTCTATGACTAATAGGATTTAATTTTGGGCTGGGCTTTGAAATATATACCTCATCTAGTATAAATAGCCCTTACCATTAACATGCTGTATAGTATTCAGCTATCTTATATACTGCTTTAAATTTTGAAGCGGTTTATGTCCATACTAGATACAATATCCCATGCATTTCCATGGGAAAGAAAAAAAAAATACAGAGAGAATTAAAAAAATTTATGAAGCAACATTCAAGAGGCAGAAAATGCAAGCTGCAGAATAAGCCATGTAGTCCCTGCTTGGACAGATTTATTGCATGTAGAGATAACCTGAACTCTCATTCCCATATCAACTCCTTTCAATCGTAATTCTGTTAAGAAATTTCTCTCTATATACTTTCTCTGACGTAAAAGAGATCTAGGAAAGAATATGATAGGAACCCAAACCCCAAGATACTACCTTGTCTTTACACCCGAAGAACAAGAATAATTAGTGTCCATATTCCACTATAGGCAGCAGCCAGAAGAAGTGGGAGATAATTAAATAAAGAGATTAGGAGTAGTTTGTTATTTTAGAGAAGAGAAAATACGAGAAGACATATGATGAATTCTATGTATTTAAACCACAGTGGAACTATTCAATTAATAGAGAAGATAACCCAATTACATAATATTCAATTTCCGTATTTTAGTAAAATAACATAAATATAGAATCAATCTAATTGATCCTAGTAACATAGGACTCCCCTTAAACTGGAGCATATAAGTCATTTAGACCAAGCTTGCTTGTTACATATGTAATTAATCCAGGACCTCTTCATGACATTATATATATATATATATATATATATATGCTAGTTGATAATGGAAACTGACAAATCAAGTAGATATTTCCCTAGACATGACCTTCTCTGACAAAATGAAAATCAACTTCAATACATTTTGCACTTTTATAGAACATAGGATTTGTGGCAATATCCATGGTGGCTTTATTATCTCATAAGTAATAATTGTGTAACCACCCCCAAACTTTAGTTCCTGAAGCAATTGTTAGAATCATATAAGTTCTTAATTGGCTACAACCATAGCTTGATACTTCGTCTTCGCACTAGACCTGGCTAAAACATATTGCTTCTTTCTTTTCCAAGAAACAAAGTTATCTCTAACAAATATACAAAAATCAAAGGTAGATCTTCTATTAATGGGGGAGTCTACATCAGAACACCCGTGTGTCTTTTGTATGTCTTCATACAAAAGACCCTTTGGAGGGATCACGTTGGGAACATTATTTTATTATCTTTTATTTAAATTAAGAATTAAAAGATTTTATTATTTTTAAGAGAAGAAGAAGAGATGATATTAGGTTATTATTTTGATTTAGGTAATTATGATTGAGATATTATTAATATTTAATATTTTATCATATTTTTACTATATATAGATAGAGTACATGAATAAAAAAAAATCTATGAGATATATTTCATATATCAAAAATACACATACACAAAACCCTAAAAATTTTCATCTCCAAATCTCGATGGCGAAAGTTATGACCTATTAACTATAAGAATGCAATTCTATCTTTAAGAATTGGATTTATGGGAAGCTATGGAAGAGGACTAGATAATTGATCCGCTGCCTGAAAATCCCACCATAGCCCAAATCAAAATTCACAAGGAAAAAAAATGAGGAAGGCAAAAGTAAAATCATATTTATATGCAAGTATTTCACACATGATTCTCATCAGAATCATAACCCTAAAGTCAAATATGAAATACCCACAATGAGAGACATAAACCTTCAACAACCAATCATGTCAACATCATTGCTAGGAAACAAGACTCCAAGAAACAACACTTGCTCGATAAAGAATTACTAGAGATGAATGAAATATTACCGCAGATGCACCTTGAGAAGGAAAAGATCGAAGAGATTTTGAAGGTCAAAGATGAAGCTCTCAAGCAAAAGGACGAAGAGTTTGAAAAACGTGATTGTAAAATTAAGAAGTTGAAGGAGTTTAAACCTACCATGAATTTGTATGTGTTGAAAGACAATAAAACAAAAAAATACGAGAAGAATGGGTGTTTTGAAAATAAAATATCTTCTTCACATTATATCTTGTAGAGAAAAATCAATTGAAGATGAATAAAGCAAATTTCAACATGTTAGGGACTAAATGGAATATTGTCAATGCAAAACGAAGAAGCCTTGTGAGAAGAAATATCATGATGAGAAAAAAGATTGTTTGAAAGTGATTGCAAAGGAAAAAACATGATCTGCAACAACAAGATTGAATGAAGTGATGATTTCAAACAAGAAAGAGAATTATAAGAATTACAAGCAAAAGAGGAGGAAGAAAACAAGAATAGAAAGAAAGAATATCAAATTCAAATAAACAGATATTGAAATAAGGAGGAATGCTGGGAACATTACTTTGTTATTTTTTATTTAAATTAGGTATTAAGAAATTTTATTATATTTTACGAGAAGAAAATGAGAGGATATTAAGTTATTATTTTGATTTAGGTAGTTATGATTGAGATATTATTAATATTTAATATTTTTTCATATTTTTACTCTATATATAGATAAAGTACATAAATAAATAAAAAAATACTCTGCAAAAGTTTCCCTCAATTTGATAGGAGTTTGATGGGATTTATTGAGGTGTTAACTGTCTTGGAATTTAACATTTCCGTTTCTTCCAAAATATTCATAGCATATTTCTTTTGGGATATGATGATCCCAGTCTTACATTGTGCTACATCTCTTCCCTGGAAATATTTTAGTTTGTCAAGATCCTTAGTTGGAAAATGCTGCCTCTATGTTCAGGAGCTTCTTTTCTTTCCTTTATCATATTTTGTAGATATATAATATAGAAAAATGCATTTTCTTATAGTAATTGCTATCAGGATACTAGTGCTTAAAGCAATCATAAACTTGAATCCACACTAATTGATAACTTAAACCTATTTAAAAGATACTGTATAGTGGTCAGCGCTAATAGTGCACCAAATTTTTTTAGTTATACAACTGTTCTGAGAAATCTTGATCACTAATAGTTCAAAATGAAACACAAATTTTAACCAAAAAAATAAATAAATCAAAAAGAACCAAATTAGAAATAAGCACCAGACCTGTCCCTAACAACAGCTACCCAATCTAGTATGACAAAAACTTTCATTACCACAAACAAATAAACAAACTTCACAAGCTTCTCCTTATTTCCTTGAATTTCCGTTGAAAGCTCTTTATTTTTCATTTTTTTAAATTAAAATATCATGACAGATTCAGATTTTACCTGGTTCATAAGCTTTGTTGTAAAGGATATGCCAAATTTATTAGGAACCATAGCAATGCCTCGCTTCCTCCAGCGATTATGCCTATTGAATTGGTCAACTTCTTCACGTGCCTTCACAAAGTCACAAGATGACTTAAGTTCAGTCCACAGTGGGGCTAGTGTGCTGTACTGAACTTTCTGACCATAATGCAGAATGGATCCTTCTCCTTGAAAGTTAATTTCCTAGGAAGAAACATAGTTTAGGAAGATTGACTAGAATATCCAAATCAAGTGGAATGACAGTTAAATCTCAAATGTACAACTTAAAAAGAGAGAAAAATCCAAAATTCTGCATCTTACACGTATCTTTTCTGGGCTCATCCTGAGTTCCACAGCAATCCTTTGAATCCAGTTTTCAGTAATAAGCATGCCTTGAGGTCCACCAAATCCACGGAAAGCAGTGTGGCTAGGGAAATTAGTGAAGCAAACTCTTCCCATTATCCTCATATTTGGTATTTCATACACATTGTCTGAATGAAACATAGCACGTTCAAGGATGGCAAGTGACAGATCCAGTGAGTTTCCACCATTGTTATAAATTTCAAGATCCACTGCAAGCACCTTCCCTTCATTTGTAAATCCAACCTGAATCAAGCAATAACTCTCATTAATTATTCAACAGAATGGAAAAAAAAAAAAAAGAGAGAAAAATGCTGTTATTGAAAGCAATTGGCAACGACAATGGAATGTAATAAATCACAAATTAGCAAGAAGAAAAGTAAGGTATATTATCGCTTTTAGGTAAGACTGTTTTCTACACAATTTAGTTCAAAATCAAGATCTCCTGGGTTATTCATACAAACTTGGGAAATCTAAGACAAGAGTTACTGACTCGCTTTTTTTTTTTTTTCAGGATGTTATGGCCCTATATAGTGAGTCAATAGGTGTAAATCCAAACTTATAGTCATGGACAGAGGCCTTTGGAATCAAATCACTTTTACATAAATAGGAGTAGGACTTTGTATATGTAATGCAACTTCCAATGGACACGAGTTATCACAGTTCTGGAGGTGAAAATTAATGAATCCATCTTAAGAGGAGTTGTACAAATTAGGTATCTTCAATATATCAATATAGCTGCTTATAAAGTGATAGGGAATTATTGTGTGTGATAGTGAATGATAAGGGGCGAAGAACCAAAATGGCAAAGAAAGAAGTGTTGTAGAAATAAAAATGCTGACAAATACAAGTGGGAAAATTAAAAAAAAAAAAAAAAAAAAATTAAACCATGGGTAAGAAATTTGGAGTAGCACTGCTTGAAGAGAAAATTACGCAAACTCATACGAATCTATTTCATATGAAACATAAATATAATATCTGTAAATAACATACCAATTCAATATTTCAACACCATAATTAAACAAAATAGTAAGCAATCTTTCCACAATACTTTAATAACTAAGTTTAGTAGAGCATGACTACTATATATGTTCAAAATACACCAAATAAAGTGATAACAATTAAATAACTAAACAAGGATAAATGTCTTCAAGTTTTTATGTTTCCAATCCTCTAATGTCACCATCTAAAAGTTAACCAAATCTGCTTCAGTCTACTTCAAATCTACCACAAAACAAGCTTTCAAACGAATCTGAGTCTGCGAGTTGATCCTAGAGTTTGATAACTATGACTTAATGCATAAGGAAGAACAAGGGCCAAATGAACATCACAATAAGGAAAGAATAAAGGGAGTTAGACAGTCAATTATGGGCTGACAGCAAACATCAAGAAATTATATCCTCAAGCTCATATTGTGGCACAAACAGAGAATGTAAGTATCACATGTTTATATTTTAGGAGTACAAAAAATTCACAGGATTTAGTTTTACAATAAAAGATTAATGTATAAAGAAAAACACCAGTCAAATGTAAGTAAATAACTATCTATACCTTGTATTTCCCTAGGAAACTATGGCGTTGCCCAGTTATCATCATGTCTACATCTCGGTCCAGAGTGATTTTCACTGGCCGATTTAGTAGATAGGATGGAACTGAAGCTGCAGCAGCAATAAAGGCTGATCTTGTCTCCTTACCCCCAAATCCACCACCAATTCGCTTTGTTTTGCAAACTACCTTCGACATTGGAAGGCCAAGAACATGAGAAACATATTTCTGGTGCTTCTGAGGGGCCTGCAAAAACACAATGTTATTCTCACAATGCAGTTATTTCCTTCAAGGTAAAGTTACGACCAATACCAGCAAGCACTGCTCAACACTATCACAACGCATAACTTCCTTCCATAGATCTAGCCATTTTTAACACAACAGAATAAGAAAGTGAGAATGAAGAAAACAAAACCAGTCCCCCCCCCCCCAAACAAAAAAACAGTGGACTACATTTTTCTACCCTGTTAAAATGAACAGAAAAGAACCATCTGAGAATGTTGATAATCCGCTTTATCTAGTTGTCTATCCTTCTCAGTTCCAATACCATCATAAAATAAAGTTTCAAAGATGTCCTTATGAGCACCATCTCTTAATATGGTCTTTTTTGCTTCAATATTCCATTTTTCTGTCCAAAGAGCTTTAGATAAAAACTGTTGACGTAAAAAAAGCTTTTTTATTCAATTATTTAACTAAAATCTCGGTATACCTCTATCCCATTTTGAGTTATACTGCATATAGAACAGCATGCTATAGTTAAGAAATATTATTATGCCAAAGACCAAGTTTCCAAAATGGAATTAGTTCTATGCTCTCCATTTTACTATTTGTCCATTGCGTGACTCTGCTAACATCATTATATAGATCTGCAGTTCTCAATACTCAATTGTATGAGTACTTAAGTGGTTCAGTCATACATGGCCGAATCTTTCCATAAAGAAATAGATATCATAAAACAAATTGAAGACTTATGACAACTTCAGTTTCCATAAAGTACATATGTATTGTAAAATTTAGGCATTCACTACAAAATTGTATAACTTACTTGAGTAGATGATATCATATGAACTTCATTTCCACCATCCACAGTCCATACCAAACTGCTCTGTGGCTCCAGATAAAAGTGTTCCTGACCTCCCATCTGAACTTCCCCTTCAATTATTCGATCACATAGACCTGATTGAAAACAGTGATCAACATCACCTTTACTCAAACACTTTTCTGTGTTGGGATGAAAACTTTTAGCATTGACAGCATCCTGTATAGAAAGGATGGCTGGAAGCTCCTCATACTTCACATCAACTTTTCTTGCTGCAATCTTTGCATTTTCATGAGTATCGGCGACAACTATGCCTATAACCTGGAAACACGCATGTATATCCAATTCAGTAATAATGGAAAAAGGCTTAAGGCAAGACTAGATATGCCATGAGAATTTATCACTAATGCTTGTAAAGCCCATCCTTCAACTTTGAGATTTGTCAAATGTCTAGAGAAAGTGAAAGACAATCATTAGTGGGAGGCTAAGTGATTATTCCAGAATGATTGGGAATGGGACACCACCATTAATTGGGCAAGTCATCATGATATAAAGCAAGACCTCGAAGTACAATTTATCGCATATTTGTATGATTTGATGATAAGCTAATTTACAGATTCTACCTCGATTCAACATCTAGATGCTATCGATCTATAAATAACTGTGTGTGGAATGAAAAGAAAATTATTGTATGAGGGATGTAAAACATGAAGAATAAAGTGTCAAGTGTGAAGATTGAAGTCAGAATTCCTTTACGTTTAATCTCCACAATATAATAACAAATTAGGTCAAATATTATTTAGTATAATAGATACCTGGCCCACACAAGTGACACGATCTACAGCAAAAAGCTCCTCATCAGCAACAACTGCTCCAATTTTATTATCACCTGGTACGTCTTTGGCAAGAAATAATCTAACAAATCCAGGTGAAGATAGTGTCTCTGAATCATCAATACTAATTATTCGGGCATGAGGTTTTCTACTCAAGACTAAGACAGCATGCAAACCATTTGGAGGCATCGGTGTGTCATCAGCGTATTCTGCTTCTCCTGTAACCTGAGTGCAAGTTATATTAGCCGTGTAGCCAAGCATTCAACAGAAAAGTAAAAAGCATAATTTGCAGAAAAGTACTACATGTGCCAAACCTACTAGAAAGATTGAGAAGACCTAAGGTAAAATGTGAACTATGATATATATATATATATATATATATATATAGAGAGAGAGAGAGAGAGAGAGAGAGAGAGAGAGAGAGAGAGAGAGAGGTACAGGTAACAAAGAACATATCTAGGAATGACTCAAGTAATATGATTAGAATTTGCTTGATAAACTAAAAACAAGGATCCCATACATTTACAACTTAGAAAAGAAGTAGCCAACAAAAAGGAATATTGTATCAAAGCTTATGTTTTTGCGTATAAGAAAGTAAACCCATGTACATTATTGAATTCTCCCAGAAGGCATCAATACCAATCACATGCCATGACAGAGGAATGATAATGGGAAAAACTAGATATAAAGAACATGGAAAGTCGCATTTTGCATATAAACTGAGAGTATACATGTTTCTTCAGAGTATCTCAGGTTTGACATGTGACTTCTTTACAGGGTCACAAAGTAACAAATCCTGCCACGGTTTAAATTCCACTACGATAAGTAATAGGATTTGATCATTCATACTATCATAATTTCAAGTCAAACAGAAAGAGAAGCAGGGAAAAAGATACAACATCTTTTAAATTATTTAGGGACGAACACATAACTGTCAAACTTGGGATATGACTTTGCGAAACAAGTTCAACAAACCTGAAGTCTTGCAGATAGATGAACCTCTGGAGATCCCACTGAAGTCCCACGTTTCAAGATTTCATAGTCCTGCGATCCTGTAATTGATGGGCGGTGGACTGAGTGCACAGCAGATAGATGGGATGATGGTATAACCTCTTTAATGCTATTCATTTGATGAGACACCCACAGAAAAAATTTAAAAAAGAAACTTAGAGTCAAAGATTTCCGGAACTCTATCATTCCGCCAGGAGCATTGTCCTTGAGTAATATATCCGTTTGTAGGATTTTCAATGCATTTTGCAACAGATCTTTATCCCAAATCTTTCCTATTAGAAATTCCTTAGTTTTAGCTGCTGCAAGAGAATATGGAGCCACCCCGCCATAAAAAATTGATGCACCAGCAACCACCCAGTTTTCACTATGTTCCTGAAGATGAACACGAATACCTGCATTTACAATTGCAATATCATCATCCCTTCTGTGAGACTGTTTAAACTCTTTGACAAACTCAAAAGTCTTATTCCAAGGCAGGATTATTGACAACAATATTTCATCACTCGCCAAATTCACTTTCCGATACCCTGGGAGGAAGAAATTTTCTGCCAGGACTGTTCTGATGTTTCCTTTGACGTCAATAATTTGAAATTTTGCTCTAGCTGCCATCCATAGAGGATTCAAGTCTGATATTGGACTGGCAGTACATATATTCCCACCAACTGATGCAGCATTTCTTATCTGCGTTCCAGCAAACCATTTCAACTGCTCAATAAAAGCCTTACAAGACAAAGTTTCATGAGCAGCTCGCTCAGTTACAACCTTTTTCAAAAAATTCATAAGATCAGATAGTCTTACTGCAGCACCTATCTCTATTCCATCATCCTTTGCATTCAAAACATTTAGTTCTGGCACGTGCATTACAGAAATAAGAACCCGATATGGCATTCTCTTTAGCCTCATCTCAATTCCTACCTCAGTATTACCAACTATAAGCTTTGCATTATCATATTTTGCTTTCAAATTCAATACATGTTGAAGCGTTAAAGGTCGATACCACATTAGCCCAGCAAATCCAGTCAAGTTTAATGAGGTTGGTATCCTTAACAACAGTTCAGGAGGAAAAATAAGTTCCTTTTCCGTGTATTTGGTCCCATCAATTTCATTATAGGAAGTAGGATCATATCTATTGTCACTGCCTACACATTTATCATTTACATTGTTTAAATTGCATGAACAGGGTTTTCCTGTTGATGGGCAAATAGACTTGCCCTCTTCAAGGCTCAATGAAGAAACACCAGTGTATAGGTCATTGCTAGTTTTTGCAAAGACCCGAAATGCATCAAGTATGGGTCTGTAACCAGTACACCGACATAAATTTCCTGCAAGGCATTCTTCTATTTGTTCTTCACTGGGTGGTGTTTGACTTGATCTCAATAATGCATACATGGACATGACAAAACCAGGTGTACAAAATCCACATTGTGAACCATGAGTGCGAGCCAGGGATTCCTGAAGAAATAAAAGGGTAAGTTCAAAGTATTGCCAGGTAAATATAAATTTAAAAGGCTCAAATATATTTTTGTCCATGATAATTTACTGCTTTTGGCCAGTAATAATTTTTTTAAACTTATTCATTCAAAATGTTTCAAAACAAATTTAGGGATAAAAATAAAATAAAAAATTATTAGAGACAAAAAAAAAAAAGTTAAAAATCAATAAGAACCAGAAACAAAATTGAACAATATATCAAAAAATATTTAAGCCAAAGCCCGGAGATAAAACATGACACCACAAGAAGCACGACAAAAGAAGATAGTAAGAGCATTTATCACTTGGACAGGGTGTAGTCCACGCTTGCAGCTTCCCAATCCCTCCACTGTAATCACATGCATCCCTTCTACAGAATATAGAGGAGCTAAGCAAGCATTGATAGCATAGTGTCTGAAAGAACATTTTCAATTTTCAAACTAAAAGGGTTAATCTAATGTTAAGAGACAAGAAGGAACCGCTTCACATGATGGAGCATCAAAACATCAAGGCACAACGAGAAAGAGTGAGAGACACTTACGAGCATTTCCTCAATTTTCTATCATAATGAGAAACCATAACTGTGCAAGCTCCGCAACCACCTTCCCCACAGCCTAGTTTAGTCCCAGTCAGACCTATATCTTTTGTTCCAAAAAAAAGTGGAAAAAACCATAATTAGGTTACTTTCATCATGGAGAAAATTTACAAGAACAACCCAAAATTGAGGGACTGTGAAATAATTGAATCATGAAACGTTTTCACTTCGAAAACAATACTAGTTAATATTTTGATCAACAACACGTGTTCCAATTTTCTAGCGACCAATCAACAAATTTTAAAATAAATAAATAAATAAACTCTTCAGTTCATGAATCCAGCTTAAGAAGCTGCTATAATCAAGCATGTCAAGTAAGATAGGGAACATATCAAACAGGTGGGGATAAACTCCAGTGAAGTTATTCCAAGCTGAACATTGATCGCAAATATGAAAATCGTACATGTTCTATAAACGGAAACTGATACCTCTGAGATACTCAAGAAGAGTCAAATGAGCCAAGCCATCAGGTAACACTCTACGAACTCCGTTAACATATAAGATAGCCTCATTCGACACCTTCAGATCTTGTTCTCCCCTTTCCTCCGTTTTCAACGATCCCATGGAAACGGAACGGAACTGAAAACCTTTCTTCTTCCTTCTACTGAAAAATAATCAACTCATGTATTGTTTTTCACAGCACTTAGTTCCACTCCATATTTCTCATCAGAACCAAACAAATAAACAACGATTCAATCTTCTCACTCCTACTCTAAGCAGAGGTGTCTCTAACTAACCTACGAAAGCCGATTACGCAATAATCTAATAAACAAATGAAACTTAGCAGATTAGATAATATAAAATTGAATATGGAAAGAGTTTTGACCCAATACATTTATCTAGTGAATCACGCTCTTTGTGGCTTATCGTTGTTGCGAAGAGAATATGCCATTGTCTTCTGTACGTAGGATTGAATAAACGAAGACTAATTTATTCAAAGTGCGGAGTGTTGAGGTGGAAATCGTACTCATCCATCCACGCTAGAACACTCTGTTGTGTATATCAACTCATCTTTTATCAATCTCAGAAAAATATATTTTTATTAAAATTTTCCACGTGACAGCATATAAAGTGTTACCTTTTTAACAGTATCTTTCTACACCATGATGATTCTATCATAAAATTAAAGTTCTGGTAAGCTTATACTACAAATTACTATGAAATTAATAACGTGTTACGCAAAATAGAATGTAATAATATCGTTACAATTTTTGTAATATTTATTACATATTCTTGGTCGTTAACTACAAATAACGAATTAAAGTATTGCATACTCTTTGAGTTTAGAATCTTCTATATTTATATTAATACCATATTGTTTATATATGTCATTGTTGTGGTAAATGAGGGAGTGAAACCTTGTCCTCTAAATAAACTATTGACAGAAAAATAAATAAAATAAGTTAGTGTATTACACATATTATAAAAACCGTTCAAAATTAATTAATAAAAAAGCAATATATGAATTTTAGTCAATTAAAAATGGTGAACAAAATATAATGACAATAATAGCATAGTGCTACTATGAAAGAGATTTTAGTCTACTCCTAAATGGAAAAGAAATAAATAATCATAAAAAGTATTCAATTTAATTATTTATTGGTGTCAAGGAATCTAGCATATTCAATGAGTCATTATTAAAAAAAATTAACCAAATAATTACTAACCTTCTTGTTATACCTCACATTAATTTCTTATATCAAAACAATCATAATTTTTAATGTCAACAGTTTTTTGTAAGTGAAGTTAATATTATTTATTTTGTATGGACATATTAAAAAATATGACATCATCAACATAAAACATTAAAATAATAAATTTATAAATCTTTATATAATTTAACTTTATTATTTTTATTTAATTTAGAATTTAAGTAATTCAACTTTATTATTTTTATCTAATTTAAAATTTCAATATATTTAAATTCTAATAAATATACATCTTTTTGTGTTTAAGTTTAATTACTCTAGGAGGTATGATATGTTATCTTTAAGGAATTATATGAGTTAATTCATTTCCAATGTTTTTTTTTCTTCCTTCGTTTTAACCTTGTTAATGGAAGGATGAGTTGAATTGGTATATGAAAATACTAGTCTCATGTGAAAGTGAAAAATCTCCTCAAAATTATCCATTACACATTTAGAGAGGAATAATATATATATATATATATATATATATATATATATATATATATATATATAATGTCAATTTATTAAAAAAATGTTTTATAATATAACCACTTTAAAAGCTAAATATTAATATTGATTGATATGACTTAAAATATAAGTATTATCAAAATCAATAATTTTCCCATGAATGATTTGTCATTTGATATGATTATAAAATTCATCATCGACTTGTCTAGAAAATATTGATTACTATAATTTGGTATGATATGCTGACCTGATAATTTGTCGTTATAAAAAAGTGTTGTTGGTATTACACTCTAAATATATAAACCTCATTTACATAATTATTCTTAGCATTGTATACATACTTAAAACTAAGATATGAAAGATCGTTAGATATTTATGATCCTAAACCAAAAATAACAATTTATGAACATAAAATCGGTGTGACAATTAACATATTTAGTTTAATTATTTATAAGATATAGTCATTTGTTTTCATACGAAATAAGCTCTTTCTAGTTAGTGTCGACCGTGATATAACCCAACCTGAATCAAACAAAACAAATGAAAAGTTCTGCTGAACGCATCCCAACTTCTTACCCAAAAAAATTAGACTATAACATAAGTAATCGTAAATATTCAAAACAAAAGAAGAAATGGTAAAAAATATAATACAATAATTTACACGTGTGAGACAAAAACATGTGATGAACATTAACGTTCATCAGCTGAATTGCTCATTGGTGAAGAAGGCTCTGCTTCATGGGGTCTTGTGTGGGTAAAACCAGGGGGGGTTTAGAACGCTCTGATTGAGACGAATGAATGAAGATTTCCATGACAAATATCACCAGGAGCAAGAAAAACACTATAAAGAAGATGCCTTCCCACGAGGAGAGGAGTGAGGTCCAGTGAAAGAATTCATAAAGAAGAGACCCTAGAAGACAAAACCAAAAAACCACAACCTGCATAAACACCAAAATGTGGCAATTTTTTAGAAATTGCGGCACCACTACATGTCTATTATTTTGGTCAATCTTGGTGTAATATAGCTTAATTTTTTTAATTCCCAAGAGAAGAATAATAAATGAAAAGCAGACATAAATGTGTCATCTTGTTTTGCTAGCATCTTACCAAAATAGATATCTTTGGCCGATGAATTTGTTGAAGTTCTTGGTCACTGAAAATTTCTGTAGTTTTATATTTTTCGAGCAAAGCATCCTGGTAGTTTACAAAACAGACAGGGTTTGCACAATTATCATAGATTATAGAAAAGTTTTAATGCAATACAATTATGCATGCAGTTGAGTTAACTAGTACAAAAGTGCTTGTGTTTGTGTGAGACCGTTGTGAAAACTATGAGATCCACAAAAAAAACTAAATTTCAGAAATGTTTGATACCTTGGCAACAAATGCATCTTTGCACCATTGTGCAATGCCATCGTCTGTTTCTGGAAGTTCCACCATTTTGTGACGCTTAATTTGAACCTTCACCTGTATAAAATCGGAGGAACTGCAGTAGTTAATTATGTTATCTGTTAGGAGTATTAATAGGAATAAGCAGAAAACAGCATGTTATACTAGTGCTTAGCAGTTAAACTTTTAGTACCAATAAAAAAAACCGAACAAATCATTTATATTCTTGTGTAATATTGAAGGGTTTGAATGAATAAAAAGAATCATGAAATCGTGGTAGAGAAATTGCAGCAATTGTATCACATAAAAGACAGATATCTAATGAAACAGCTGATTTTGAAGTTATACTGAAATGGAGTGTGTATTTTCTCTCATAAGGTTTTCAATTGGCTTACCGTGCAAGAAATGCCTTTAAATATTCTCAACAAAGTAGGTGAAGTCTCAGTCTTTGGAACTGCATATGTACAATCATAAATGGCTGGAATAAATGTCCGAAGGTTGTCAACTGCTGTGACAAAACCCTGAAGAAAGATTAATTATAAGCGAAAACACAATCAAAATGTGTAATTAGAAACTTATGTTATCAATGTTAACATCAATAATTACCATTTTGGGATTTTCTGCATGAAGATATATAATGGAAATTAAAATTCTAGTATATTGGGATAATTTGGTGGAACTTGGATTATAATATGAGTGGAAAGTTCTACTGGTCTCCTAATGCTCTAATCACCATCTTTGCACCTTAGTACGAGGAATCAAAACATTTCTGGGTATAGGCAACCCTTTTGAAGCAGCAAACTCTTGAGCTTGTAAAAGCTTTGTCTGTGTGAAACGAGTTCCTTCAACAAAAAGGGCCAACCAAAAAGGCAGTGGCATGTGCTCTAGATGCTTAAAACCTGACTGCCACACAAAAGTCAAACATGTATAAATCAAAAAGCTAAGATAAAAATTGCGTATGTACATTAGGAGAAATTATTTAGATATACCTTAAGTGAGATTTCATCTTTTGTCCAGTTTCTTTCTAGAAATATATATTCGGCAAACCACATTGACCAACCTAGAACCTGCAAAGATGCTATGTAATTACTTATGCTCATATTAAGTGGCACCAATTTGTCAACAGGGTAAGCTTTGGAGAATTAATAATGTTTATGTTTTCTTATTCTTCAAACACTGAAGGGTTCTGGAATACTAGTAAGTTCTGGTACATGATCAAGATTGAAAAGTGCTTTGAATCGGATTGGATTACCAAATAGAACTGTCGATCTTATATTATGCATGAACTTACAAGATTTCCTGCTTTATTCCCAAATCACAGTCACTTATTTATTTTCCAGGAAAGTTCCATATCAACTTAATGTTAATGGATTGAGAATTTTCTGCACGGAGCAATTAAAGATAAAAGAAAAAGCCTTGATAGAATTCCTAATTTATAGAGATCAAAGGAAGAAGAATTTACAGAAACTCACAGGAAGATATTTGATTTCTTTCTTCATAATGGCTATAGTGCTACCAAGACAACCAGAGCGCTGTCACAAATAAATCATGTGTTCAAAATATATCAAAAACAAAGATGTAATTTACTTCTAACATGACTATGACATACTTTTGCATTTTTATAAATTAACAAAAATAGGCACCTGAGCCAAGACCCATCCAATAAGCCAATCAATGTCACTTCTGTGGTTGCAGATCACAAGTGCATTTTCTTTGCCTAAAATTTTCCCAGGAGAAAAAGAAAATTTATGAGACTTATAGTACACTTTTTCCAACTACAGAATGTAAACACTTATGACGATCAAATCAATAAAGCAACAAAAAAATATATAAAAAAATTAAACAGTTATTTATAGGAACTTAAGCTATCACCTTACCCATCAATTGAAAAGTTTCTGAATCTGTGTGTAATTCAATCTACAATTAACCCAGATAGTCAACAGATTAGACTGTAGTGTGGATAATGTAACAGTAACACTAATATGCTTTTACATAAATACTCAGAATGTCAGAAGAAAGACACAAATACAGTATCATGATGATAATTGAATTGCCAGAAAATAAAACTATCCAAAAGAACAGCATTTCCCCTAATGCCAGCATTCACAAATTTTAGTTGCAGAAGATCAATGGTGAGTTTCAAGAATTACTTACCAACTACAAGGCAAGCATGAGGGTTAGATTAAATAACAAATATAGACGGAATTAGGATAACAAAGCACCTTGATTCCAGCCCACCAATCAATGAGCCACATGAGCTCCAACCACAGTGATTCTGTGAGCAATTTGTTTAATCTTCTGTAACAATTCTTTGATATTGGACGGAGAAGGACAAAGAAGATAGCCTACAAATGCATACTTGTGATTAGGAGAAACAATTAACCAGTCAAAAGTTCAAATAAAAAACGCGATTTTGTAAACTATAACAAAGGGATAAAAAACCCTAGTTCAAACAAGTAGCGAGACACCTACATTGCATCCTAAATTTATGATTCATAATTTCTGAGTCAGTTTTATTTTGGTAATACTTTCTCTTTGACGGATCAATGCGCATGCAGATTAATTACATTAAATAGCAAAGAGATAACTATCTACATTAAGAGTCAAAGATTATCAAACGAAAAACAAAAAAGAGGAAGAAATTAATATGTTGTAGAATTAATGTTATGTTACCTGAATTATATTTACAATTAGGCCAGAAAGGATGAAAAGAATGCCTAAAGGAAGAATAACAACAGTGGCTGGGAACGCCATGGTTTCTCTGCTACAGGGAAAAAATATATATTAAAGTGCGAGGAAAATAATGTGACGAGATTTAGATTTTCGTTATCGTTGGATATGGGTTAAGGACCGATTAAGTAGCCATAAATATCGTTTGCTTTTGTTTGTCACATAAAATGAGTTGTTTAAACGACGTGAAAGCGTGTGGACGAATAAACTAGGATATTCTATCGTTAAGAGATAAGTGCAAGTTAAAATAAGTATATATAATATATAATAAGTATTTTCTAGAAAAAAAGTATGTTAAAGTATTTTAAGTAATAAAAAAATATTATTTGAATCATGTTAAGGTTGTCCAATGAAAAAGATAAAGGTGATATTTTTGGAGGGTTTCTCAATTTCTTCATAATATTTTAGGTTTATAATTCAATTTTTGACAATAGAATATAGGTTACGAAGTTTATAACTTCGAAAATTCATTACAGCACTTGGTCCAAGATTACCTGAGTCCTATGTCAATCCTATTTCTTTAAGCACATTTCTTAACTAAAATATATTTGAATATAAACTATAACATTTTTAAATCATAATAATGTTATTTGGATACAAAAGAAACCATAAAATTTAATCAAATAAAAAATATTGAAAAATTTAATATCTTACAAATTTTTGTTCTTAAAAAAAATATATTTTCTTACATAATTATACGATGTTTCATAATATTAATACAATACAGACTCTTTAATTAAATCTAACAATACAATGTTAATTTTCCTGACAAATATGTAATAAATAAATTTTTATTTTATTAATAATAATAATGTATGTTAATATGAGAATTAAAATACACGAGTTAACAAATATTATTAACTTAACACTGTTTATATTTATTTAAAATACTGATAAACATATTTTTTTACCATACAATTATATATTTAACAAAAACATAATATATTTATTTAAATGGTTTCCGCGTTATTTTATTTGTGTTTTAAATTTTAAGCGAAAACTCAATACATTGAAAAAAAATTAATTGATATTGTTTAAGCGGTTATAAAACATATTTAATTAAAATTAATATATAATAAAATTTAGAAGGTACCATGATTAGTAGATCTGAAAACACTTTTTTATGGTAAAATAAAACTACTTGTTCTGATTTGTTTAATGCTAATCAAGAGTCTGTTTTAGAGTTATTTAAGTCGTTTTAAGTGTTAAAAATAATAGTTGGAAAAGAAAATAACTATGCTATTTAAAAAAGTTTGATTATTCATTTCATTTTTAGTTAAATTTTTATTTTTCAGTTTGTATACTTAAAATTTGTTAATCTTCATAAATTTACACTTTTAAATTTTATAAGAGATTATATATATAAGTATAAATAATAAAGTATAAAGTTTATATAACTAAAATATATAATTTAAAACTATTTAATTTATAATAAAGGAAATGTGATAAATTATAAAATTTTAATTATAAAAACGCAATCATAATGTTTTATGTCATATTGCATTTTGTAAACAATAAAGTTATAGTAAATTTAAAAGATTGTAATAGAATAATTGAAAAAGAACCCTTATTTGTTATAAATTAAAATTTACATATTTTCTTTTTCATAATCTTTATAAAAGAAACTATTTTGGTCCTGAAAATACAAACAGATAAAAATTTAGAAAAATAACAAAGTCGAGTATCAGAGCGAGTGAGCGGTGTTCTTCGTTCAGTGTTGTCGTTGAGGAGGCAGAGCAGAGGAACGATGGCGGCGGCGACGGCGTCGCAGGGGTACCACCAACCTGCGACAATCGAGGAAGTCCGAACCCTATGGATTGGGGATTTGCAGTACTGGGTGGACGAGGCGTACCTCAGCCACTGCTTCGCCCACACCGGCGAGGTTCTCTCCATCAAAATCATCCGCAACAAGATGACGGGCCAACCCGAGGGTTACGGTTTCGTCGAGTTTGTTTCCCACGCGGCAGCGGAGCGCGTGCTTCAGACCTACAACGGCATGCAAATGCCCGGCACCGAACAGACCTTCAGGCTTAATTGGGCTTCCTTCGGCATCGGCGAGCGCAGGCCTGATGCGGGCCCAGAACATTCCATCTTCGTGGGCGATCTTGCGCCCGACGTAACCGATTATCTTCTCCAAGAAACCTTCCGGGTCCACTACCCCTCCGTTCGCGGGGCCAAGGTCGTCACGGATCCCAACACGGGCCGTTCCAAGGGCTACGGCTTCGTCAAATTCTCCGACGAGAGCGAACGCAACCGCTCCATGACCGAGATGAACGGCGTTTATTGCTCCAGCAGGGCCATGCGCATTAGCGCCGCCACGCCGAAGAAGACCACCGCTGGTTACGCCGCGCCCGCGCCGGGGCCCAAACCGCTGTACCAGATTCCGGCGTACACTGCCCCGGTTCAGGCCCAACAACCGGAGTATGATGTGAATAACACTACCGTAAGTTAGTTATGCAGAAGTATATATATATATATATATATATATATATATATATATATATATATATATATATATATATATATATATATATATATATTATTGTGATTTTCATTGTCCGTGCAATGTTTCTCTTACATGAGTTTTTTTGCAGATTTTTGTTGGAAATTTGGACTTTAATGTGTCTGAGGAGGAATTGAAGCAAAACTTTCTTCAAATTGGGGAAATTGTCTCTGTCAAAATTCAGCCTGGCAAGGGATGTGGCTTTATTCAATTTGGGACTAGGTTTTCTTCTTTTTCCCTAATCTTTTTAAGCATGTTTTAAGAATTTAGCATGTATTTCATGTGGCTTCAATATTTATTTATTTATTCATTGTATTGTATTACACACTGGTTGTTTACCCTTCCTCTATCTTGCGTCTGCTGCAGAGCATCTGCTGAAGAAGCAATTCAGAAGATGCAGGGAAAGATGATAGGCCAACAAGTGGTTAGGATTTCATGGGGTAGAACCCTATCTAGACAGGTGAGTTTACTTTTAGAAATTGCCCCCTTCTATGTATACATATTGTTGTTAATAAAGGGTTCGTTAAAACTTCAGACTGTCATCTATATCTTATTTGGGAGAGTATTTATTTATTTGGAGGATGACAAATAAGTGTTTCATGATGTGTTAGACAATTATTGATATTTGGAATTTAGGTCTATATTTTTTAACATTAGCAACAGCCATTTAAAACCCCCATGGAATAAACCCTAGAGTTCCATTCTAGCTTTTACCTTCAAATCTACCCCTCTTATGTTATTTAATCTTGACCATCATCATTGAATGAAAACATTTTTAGGAGCTACATATAAACGATGATAGCATTTTTAAGAGTTATATTGTTAAATAAGATTATTTTTTAGGAGTTATTCTCACTCTCCTTGACTCACATGCCTTATCTTATACTTATCTAATTGTAGATCTTAAGTGATTAATTTTATTTCTTAATTTTAATATGAAATTTGATTTTGATTTCACAGTCAGTCCAAAATAATTACTTTAAAATCATCAAAAACTACACTCCTTTCAAAAAACAAATCATCGTTAAACTAAAATAAATTTGTGTTTTAAAATATTTATTTATTACAAGTTTTAATTAATGTAATGTAAAATTCAAAAAGTATTTATCTATTATATTTTAGTTATATGAAAACAAATGTTAATCCTGGATTGTCAATTTAATATCTCAACAAGTTAGTCATGTAAGGAGTATTGCATAATTTGAACCTAAATTGTGTAGGACGTAACTGGTGGATGGGGACAACAGATGGATCCAAGTCAATGGAATGGATACTATGGGTATGGGCAGGGTTATGAAGGATATGCGTATGGGTCTGCTCAAGATCCTTCATTGTATGCATATGGTGCATATGCTGGCTATGCGCAATACCCCCAACAGGTAAGCACATAATGTATTGGTTCCTATGCAGAGAAGTATTTTACTGATTGTTTATTTTTAGGTTGAAGGTGGTCAAGACCAATCGGGTATGTCAGTGGGTGGCATGGAACAAAGGGAGGAATTGTATGATCCCTTGGCAATGCCTGATGTTGACAAGTAATTGATCCCCTGAGTAGTGAGTAGTGGGTAGTGTAGATGATCATATTTGCTTCTTGTGTGTTTCTGATCCATGTTTGATTGTGTTGGGCAGGTTAAATGATGCGTACGTCTCAGTACATGGAAATGCCATTTTAGGGCGATCGCTATGGCAAAAATCCCGTTCCTCATCCTTACACCAAACTTAAGATCTATTTCTACAGCCTCGTCACAATGTGCATTTTATGTCAAATTAATCGGCATAGGGTAAAAACTCTTGTTAATACGTACTTTGAGTTCATACCAAATGCGTTTTTTCCTAAAATCAACTTTGCTGGTGTAAACAATGAAAACCTAGAATATACTAGACAAATTCCATTCCATAGCATTAAAACTTTTTCCTTTTAGATTATTATGGGAGTTCAATTTAAAAGGGTAACTCTTTAAAAAAGTATTACTTTTAAGTATTGAATACCTCTTTCAAAAAAATTTGTAATCTTTATTAACAATAATAACAAAACAAAAATTTAGGTGAATGATAGTTTTAATATAGTATTAATTATATATTTAAATAAAACTGTAATTGTTAAATTCACTGTTCTTTTTTTTATTAATTATTTTAAAATATATTTATATTTTATTGGGACAAAAATAGTGTAAAAAATTTTGGAGATATTTTTAATATATTTAATATTTTGATATTCTAGAGACATTGTAAACACATTTGATTCAATTTAAAGTTGTAAATCCGAGTTAATTTGGCTTGTATTCTTGTCATCTTCTCTCTTTGACTCATTCAAGGAAGGCATTAATGTGGAGAGGAAACAATATTAAATCAGACTTAGATCCCAAAATTGTTAATCAACTCTACATACTTTACCATAAAAAATGAAATTTATATTGGTAGTCATAATCTTTCAAGGATTTCGTAAATCTCCTCTTCCTTGTATTTAACTTATTCAAATTGAGCGGATACTTTAAACGGGCACTATAGAGATAACGCATCTATGTCTTTCAAGCAAATATCATACCTGAGTCATCATGACTGGGACAGTTCTTCTGATGAATCTTCAAATGATACCACCCTCTTCCCCTGTCACCTTCTCCTACATCAACACATAATCTAATCTTAGAAATCACAATAATAGTTAACTGGTCAATCTCTGTTTTAATTTTAGAAAACCTTGCTCACCTGTTATCATGATATCACAATCTTAGAAAATCCTTCAACCAAAAATTCATAAACGCTGGATGGTCTTGGGATTGGAGCATATTCTTTACGATAGTAAGGTTTAAATGTTTTTGAATGATATCATATTGTAAGAATTGTATTTCAATCAACCAAAATATTGATTATTATTATTATTACATTATTATCAGAAGAAAATATAAAAAGAATAATTAGTTGTTACTTTATATATATAAAGATTTCAGATATTATTATTCATTTAACATTCTCATTTTACACACATAATTTGGATAATCTTTTATATATTATTAGTATATTAATATAATATAATGGTTATTTGCTTTTAAAAATGGTCTAGTAATCATTATTACTCTATTAAGAAACGTTTAGTTGATTGGAAATAAATCCTCTCTACAACCACACCGCAAACAATAGAAATCCCATGAACACAGAATAAAAATAAAAGAAACATGTGGCAGCATCACCGTTGCAGTTGGTGTCATATCAGATTTTTCTCCCTTGTTTGCTTTCTTTTCCTCGCAGTCCTTTTCAATCATTTTATTTTAAAAATTTATAAGGGTCTTAATTATATTTTTAGTCCTGAAATGTAGAGATATTTTGATTTTAGTTCTTCAAATTAAAAAAATATTTTAAAATAAAAACAATATGATTTTAGTCTCTAATAAGTAAATTTAAAGAATTAAAATAACCTTTTAAAAATTATATTTAGTCATTCAAATTAAATATTATTAAGTAAATCATATTTTATTAAATTGTGAATGATATGTTTTAAACTCACTTCAAATTTTAAGGACTTAAAATATAATTAGACTATTATAGTTTAATATTCTTATAATAAATTTTAGTTTTAACATTTTAATAAAATAGAATATTAAATTATAGATTTAAAAATTAATCAAATAAGATTACTGCAGATTTTATCTATTATAGAAGCGAAACCTATTAAATCATATTTTATAATTTATAGGAAAGTTATGAATAAAGTAATAACAGTGGAAGCGGTTGAATTCGCTTTCTTTAGTGCATCCACATCCTATTCCTCCATATGAAAATTTAGCTTATTATAAATTTTAAAATATTTTAAAAAGTATTTGCATTTACAACTTGTTACAATATCTCAATTAGAAAAATGTGAAACCAACATTATCATTGATTTGGCGGAAAGGATTTGATTGCTTCAATTTAAGAGATAAAATTAAACTTTTTAATATAAAGAAATCAATTGAAAGTAAATAAATAAATAAAAATTAAAAAATACTTATATTTCATTGAACATCAGATATAGCATCAAATGATATATTATTTAAAGTATCAGACAAAAAAAAATCCTTCCAATTATAAAGAATTTAACAATAAATTGTGACCAAAATTGTATTATAATCGTATTCTTTTGTTTAACAGGAGTTCCTCCTGAGTCTGATTAATCTCCTTTAGCACTGAATTGACTCACTCACTAAAGAATAGTAGTGTCAACAAATATTATGACTTCTTGTCCACGTGTCAATCCCAGGAAAGGATGAGAAAGTAGAACTATTCTGTACTTCTCCTTCCTACATGAGATACTTTGACAGCCAAGGTAGATCTTTGCTGTCTCTCAGCGCAAAGGCCACATCATCACTGTCAAATAAAAGGAGCCAACTTAAATGTAGGTCTTAAATAAACTGATAAGAAATTTAGGTCTAAAAAACATTAAAACCTACATATAATATTGGACTATGGCTATACATACACAACTATAGCTCACATCACATGCAAAAGAAACTGCAGGATAATCCCGTCATTTGCTTCTGCCGAATCAGCTAAAGCAATTACGAACTTTAAGAACTAACCTCGGGAAATTAAGCTGCAATTTTTGCAACTTGTGTTTGGCACCTGCTTCACATAAAATAATCCTGCATTCACCTAGCTTACAGCTGCAGAGGAAAAAAAAAGGAATAAAAACACGACACATTTAATAGCACATTATTAGCATGGCCCACTACACTTGGCCCTGCCTGCAGTTCAATATTGTCTTCCTACATCAATGCCATTTCGAGTATAAAGAAGGACGGAAGAAAATATATAACAAGAGAAGTCTTACCCAACTTGCAAGAGAGTATCATATCCAGGAAAAACTTCTGCGTTGCTGACACAGAGGGATGAAACCCTCATTGCCAACTACATAGTAAAGTAAAACCTTACGTAAGGACGACATTACAAATCAACCTTTTATTTCAATTTTCGTGAATATAGATTTGGGGAAGGGGATAGGCAGAGCATAGCATTGGTGAAAGAATAGGACAAGAACTTAAATACAGATTCATTAGTTTTTTCGTGTTCTTTGATCAAAATTGGAGTTTTATTTTGAATTAAGTGAAACTTTACATTTGATTATTATCGAGCATAGCACCCGATGCATCAAATAAACTATATCTAAGTTCTGTCAGAAAGGTTATTGATCAATCAATACCAATCAAATTAGGTTTTAATAAATTGTATTCGTGTAATAAAGCAAATATCAGAATGTAAAACCTACAAGGCACTTACAGTTTATAATTTGTCAAATATGCATGCACAAAAAATACTTGGATGTAATGTTGTTCAGGTGAACTATACAGATGATCTGAATGCAATCGAGAACAAAATAACATGAACTTCAGGAGCTGACCTTTTCAAAAGTGGTTTCGCCCATTCCCGTATTATAAAGCTCGTGTACCATAGCTGTCAGGAAAATTTTGCTTAGTCTGGAACAGCTTTTCATCATCTTCAAAAAGACAATGGGATAAAATGTCAGTATCTTTTCTGGCAGATAGACGAATGTATAAAAGGTGCTTGAGATTGTACTTATTATTTAAGCTCATGCATTTTGGGAGATAATATGCTTACATACAAAGAACAGTGCTAACATTGATTTCCTATTTTACTTATCTACTATGTCCTATAATGACTGGTCCCAAGTATGACGAACAAAAACAGCATTTGTATTGTTCCATTCATAACTGTAACCCACTATCATATAAAAACAGAAAAAGTTCGTCGTTCATGTTATAATGCGCAATTTAAGAAATAAACCATGTTTGCTATTTGTCAAGGTACATGTCCACGTTACACTAGCAACATTGTATTAAATGTAATTTAATCACAGCTCGCTTATACGTCTCAAGACTTCGTTCAATGATTATACCCTACGGTATCACCTCCATTCCCTAAAATATTGGTACTTCAAGCATCAAGAATAGCAGATTTCAACTCACTTGAATATGAGGTGCTTGGAACATTTCTTGAATGGCTGCTTCAACATCCACCATTCCAACAAGACCCTTTCCTAATCAAAGCATATGCAAATGAATAAGTGGGCAGAAGCACTGCGGCAAAAGTCAAAGTAAGGAGTTCATCCATACGGTTTATGTTATGACCGTAGTTTTGAGTTAATAACAAATAATTCAAATACTTCATTATAGAAGACAGAAGATGGAACAATGTCAGATTTGTAAATCAATATCAAGGCTGCACACCTAGCAACAGCAGAATAACAAGTCCGGAATAATATTGGGTTCACGTCATTTTCATAGTTTCATGGTAATATCAAGCACCAGTATACATGTAATTTCCGAGTAGAGACCAGACGAAACTCTTTCATTGTTATGCCTATAATAAAAGATGGAGGGGTTGTTATGTAAAGCATAGTATGAACAATAAGATTATACACCAATCATCCATATGCTATGCATTACACGGTCATATGCTATCTATATCGCATATGGATCAATTATCAATGTGATTAAGATTTATGGTGTATAGTATATGCCTGGACCAAACAAAGAGCAAGCATTTAAGTAAATCTCAAACTGTTAATAATATTTCCCACCTGCAATCGTAATTTGCAAATACAAGTAATTGACTTAATAAAGAGATCTTTCTTGACACTGTAGACAATGCGAAAAAATAACATAAAGAAGAAAAGATACCATTTCACACACAATACAAACTTCAATTAACAAAATTCATAAGGCAGGAAACATTTCGTACCCACCCGTTTCTACTGTGATGAAATAATGATATGTAAAATTTATATAAGACATGCTCAAATACCTGGAGTAACAAAATCAGGATTAGAAATTAACTTCTTCATTCGATAATCTGCAATTTCAGCTGCACGTCGGCATATCTCCAAAGCACGACGTGCATCTCCTGAGATTGCTGCAACCTGAATAATCAAACACCATATTGGATGTTAATAAACGAGCTAATACACAAAAACAAGTGTCCACTGTTTACAAATGATCAGAGGAAATCAATCTTCACAATGTGATAAAGACTAACCTTTCTTGAAGCAAATTCTACTGCTTGCTTTTCAAATACATCAATTCCCTTGAGGCGACTTGAAATGATTTCTTGAAGCTGATGATAATTATATGGGCCAAAGCAAAGCCTCTGAATTCCCATTCGGCTTGATATTCGAGGAAGTAACTTCTCTGGAAGATCCATGGTATTTGCTATCCCTGAATTCATTACATTAGTACTGAAGAATAAATTTTTGCAATCCAAAAAGGCATCAAGTTGTTAAAATCATAAGGATTCTTGTTTTCCCACTTTTTAAATTACTTCTGCAGACTAGAAGGTCAAAATACTTAAGAAACAATCCGAAAGAGCATTATCTTACCTATGACAATTAGTTTGGAATGTGGCTTAGTAGGCCAGTCAAGAATATTATACAGAACCTGTGAAAAAAGGAATGTTCAGAACAATGTGATTACATATCTTAAATAATGCTACCCAATGGCATGGCAAGTTTCCTGTTGTAGGATTTGTAGATTACCGATTGGTTTCTGGTTACTAGAAGATCAAGTTCATCAATAAGCAAAATACATGGCCGATCAGCCTCATCTCCGGTTCTCTTTCCTTCTACAAATCTCTCATTTAGCAAGTGGAGAGCCTTTTTCCAGCTGACCCTATGTCCATTCAGTGCCTCGTATATGACCTTAAATAATATCAAAACTATAAGAAAATAACCAAGAAATAAGTATGTTATACTAACTAGGCAAAAATTACTATATACTTCACGAACTTACCCTATAAATATTATCTGGTGATGCCAACTTCAGACCATTAATCTCCACAAAAGTGTATGGTTTGATGTTTCCTGCATCAACTTCAGACTTCAAACTCCTCATTACTGATAGTACACTCATTGTCTGCAGTTAAACATGGATAAAAAGATTAAGCAGTAATTGTTTCATGATTGCTAGGTTAATGCCTCATTGTGTAGTAGACTCGAGAAACAATATAGAAGATCAAACGAGGATACCTTGCCAGTTCCCGGAACACCGTGAATGTAGAGGCAACCCCCAAGACATTGATCGTCAGAAATAGCACCTTTGATGAATGTAGTTATCTCTTCCATTTCTCTAAATAAAATCATGTTTTGATTATTAACTTGAAAAAGTGATATAAAATATTTAAATCATGTTCAGACTTCAACATACTTATTTCTACATGGTAGAGATTTAGGCAGGGACGCTAACAACAGTGTAGCCTTTGCTCTCTCAAGATCAGTATGTTTGTGAGACCTTACATGCTGTGGAATTCTTTTTGTGCCTATCTTCTGTAGTCCAAAGAACCGTCCCTTGTGTAGATTCTGTATCATTTACACATTTATTTTCTGTGGGAAATCATAAATGCTAAAAAGGAAAATTATTACGATATGCACAATATTATCCATACTGCAGCTAAGTGATGGCCTTTCGATGGCTGGCATTTTCCATCCTTAATATTTTCTCCTTCATATCCAAAATCTTCATCTGTATCAGGGTCTGATTCCTTGTCAACATTCCAGTCTTCATCACTGTCAGTTTCTTCACCATTCTACCATACAAAAATAAACTCATCAATACTGGAACTATTAATTGGTGAACTACTTTCTTTAGGGAGAAGCATCTTGCACATATTCTGACATGATTACCTCTCTTTCATTGTCAATATCAGCAAGACGTTTGAAACTATGCCAATTGATGTCATATTCATATTCACATAAGAAAACATCATCTCCCATATTGTTCGCTTTAGCATATTCTTTGGGGATCATGACATAGCAATGTCTAAGGACAGATTCCATCTGCAGTAAATATGGGAGCAATAATATATAAAGTAAAGGAGGATTAGTATCTTATAAATTATGCCTGACCTGAGGCTATAGAAATTCCAAAAATAGCTATGAGAGCATAGAAAAGCATGCTAGATTCAATTTATCGAATATTGAGCTTGACAGATAGGAAGCTCAACTAGAAAACCTTCAGGTAAATTAGCATTTTACTATCCTTATGCAACAACAAAAACAGCTAACAACCGGTACCTCAATGTCAGCAAAGTCATTAGTTCGGTATAACTCCCTTCTCAGGTTATGTGGTTGCCTCCCAACAGAAGTCTCTTCCGGAATTGTATACCACCGCACCCGACACCAGTAGTTGTCATCCACCTCTTTCCATATGCTACTCACATGCCAATTGACACAAACATGATTAGTATTCAACAAAAGAAAATACAGTGCAAGTACTCATTCCACCGAAAAAGACATGGCATACCTTTCAATATGAGCAGCCCACAAATCACTGGAAAGAAGCTTCTCCCTCATAGTTCTAACCACTTTCTTACCCGCAGGAGGCTTTGGAAGCTGAACCTCCTTACCCATCCTCCGAGCCTCACAGAACCCACATATCCAATCCCCTTCAGGAACATCCTTTAACGGAGGCCTCAAGCATTTCAAATGAAACCCATTCAAACAATCGTCACACTCAATCATGACTTCCTCGTTTGTCAAAAAACACATCTTACACTCCTCAAATTCGGGATCTTCATTATCAGAGGCAGCATCTTCTCTCCTCTTAACGTAGACATTATTCCCCACCTCAAACTCTCCCCCATCGAAGATCACCTTTTTGTAATAAACGCGCCTCGCAGGCAATTTTGAACTCTGTTTCCGATTCTCCAATTTCCCTCTTTTAGCTCTGGTAACAACACTCCCTTCACCTTCCCTCTTTCTCTTTGAGGTCTTCTCCAACGAAGCTGGCGTCACCGGAGCAAACGCAGCTTCACTGGAGCCCTTCCTATTCTTCTTCTTGTTCGAGGCATCGACAACTGAACCGTTCTTTTTAGCTAAATTTTGCCAAGTAGCGACTTTGACTTCGCAAGAATCCTCCTTGACATAATCGATGGATCGTCGAGTCCTCCGCTTCGAAGTTGTGAGGGAGACTTCACGAGTTGCGTGGGGAGATTGGGGAGTATCGAAATGGAGGGACTTGGCGCGAGCGGATCTGCGAAGATGTAGGGTTTGCGGAGTGTTGGGGTTTACAGCTGGCGATGATTTAGAATTGGATTGCGATCGCAGTTTAGATGTGGAGGGAGTTTGAAAGGATTTGGAAGGAGTTGCAGCCATTGAAGAGTGGAAGATTCAGAAAGAATGGAGCTAGCTAGGGTTTGGTGAACGAAAGAGTGAGCAACAATGGTGCTTACTATACAACTATGAAAAATGGCGCCAAATATTCCCTCTCCTTTCATGCCTTTGAACATTTTTATAGGCTTTTGCTTTCAGCACCTCATAACTTTGACCTGCACCCCCTAATTCAAAAGTACTATATTACCCTTTAACATGCATTCTATAACTTTGAAAAGTACCATATTACCCTTTAACATGCATTCTATAACTTTGAAAAGTACCATATTACCCTTCTGTTTTGTTTTAATTTGAAGCCCCAAATTTTGGTTCATGAAGCTATTTATGAATATCCAATGTTCGAAACTTTTTAAAAAATTAAGGATTAAGATTTATTTTTTATCTACTATACTTACTTGAATCCAAAATTTTGTTCAAGATCCAGTTTATCCTATAATTTATTTTGGATAAATTAAGTTTTTCTTTTTCTTTTTCTATTGGTCCAACCAGTGTTTAATGGCAGTACCAACTTAGAAGTGTATTTATGGTAGCCATTGGGTTCTTTCATCCAACATCATATGATGTGTCTGGCCAGAATATATTCATACTCGACGGGTCTTATTCCCTTCAGTCCTACTACAACAAATAGGACAAGTAGATAAGCAGAACGTCAGAAACTTAACGCCAAAGCTATTCATGTGTAACCTAATAGCAGCAGATGAGTGAATACCCATAAATGCCTTTTACATTATATTTCTAACATTCATAATCGCATTTCATTTCACTCTAATTTTCGTTTCTTTTTGTTAAAAATTAAGTGTAATTTGATGTCAAAATGAAATATACAATCCAATTTCTTAAGATTTTGTGTGAAAGTGGACATCAGCATTATTTTATTTTGTGTATTTTAGTTACTCGATTCTATTATTTTAAAAATATAAAGACATTTATTTTTTTTAGAGTGTTCTGATATATAATATCTTGAGTACGTATTAGATGTATTATTCATTTTTAAATTTTAGTTCATCACAATTTTTTAAAAAAGAATTATTTTTTACCCATAGACAATGTGAAAATTATAAGCATATCATATCAATGTTTTTTTATTTATTTTAATTTTTTGGTTATTTGGTTTTTATCTCCAGTAAGACAAATGAGATAATAACATAGTGGACCTAATACGTGTGGTATGATAGAATGTACTATATAGTATTCATTTTGTATTATATTACTGTTAGGAGTAGTTTGGCATAACTATACGTGTGGTTCCACACATTTTGTGTTTCATTTCATCTCTTAATTTAATGATATTTACCTATCCACACAATTTTTATTCAAACTTTTTTTACTGCTTGTTTTATTGTCTTTCCAATATAAAACAACAAAAGTAGAATCAAAGATCCTTCATCCAAACCTTGCTTTACCAAAGTGTAACTTGACATAGTAACACATGCAGAACCGAATATAATACACTTATTTAAGCATAACAAACTTAGAATTCACACCTAGTAGGAATAACCATCCTTATTAGGGTCTCACTGGATATTGACAAGTGAATGAACACAATGCACATGGATTACAAGACTAAAATAGTGACCGTTTTGACTTCTTTAAGCCAAGCAGAACCAGAAGCATTCCAAGATAGTCCAAATTGTAAGACACCTCAAGTAGTTGGAGCTTGTTGAGAGTCCATGGAGGAAACCTGTACCAAAAATCAGTCAAGTAACTTCTTCTGGCCACAGCTTTATGGTGACTGAAAGCGTCAAAGGAGAACTTCCCATGGTACTTGCCAAACCCACATTCACCAATTCCTCCAAATGGCAGGGAATCCGCTATGTACTGCACAACAATACATTTTTCAATCACAATTAGCCAATGCATGTTCTTATGATTATTAAGCTTAAAAAATAGGATAATGCACCCTGACATGATTTATCTTTTCCAAAAAAACAAGTTTCATCCTTTTCTATTGTGGTTCCTAATAAACTTTGATATCGTCGTAGAATTTGGACTGTGTTAACCAAAAATCTAACTCAACATTGCTTAAATATTTTATTTTAACGTAGCATTAGCTGATGTTAGATGTCCTTTAACCATAATATTGGAACAAATTGTTCATGGTCAGAAAGAACATCCAACACCATTGAAGATCTTGAGCGCACACAATACCCAAAGTGATATTAGTGTAAATCAAATCCTAAATCACTTGGTCAAGAGATGCAAGTCGTTATCATTTTTGTCAACCTGGTTTAGAATTTTAAACAATGACTCAATTTTATTAAATAAAGATAATACCTGCAGAATTGCATCGTTGAATATAAGACTTCCGGATGATGTTTCAGATAACAATCTTCTTTGGAGAACTTGATTTTTCGTGAAGGCATAAATTGCTAAAGGTTTAGGCCTTGAGCTTATGAACTCAACACTTTCTTCTATTTTCTCCAGCTGCAAAAGCCCGGAAAATACAAATGAAACTCACTTGCCACATTCCTGGACTATTTATTAATCTGAAAGGAACGGTAAAAAAAAATGCATCATACAGTGATAATTGGAAGCACTGGCCCAAAGATTTCCTCAGCCATGATTGCTGAATCAAGTGGTGGATCCAGTAATATTGTCGGTTCAATAAATCTGCACAAAATTTGGTGGGTGAAAATGATGTGAAAGAAAAGTGGTCTATCCCATTGTCGGAAATGGGAAGTGAACTTCACAGTATTACATACTACACATGGAAAAATATAGAAGAAGCAAGCAACTACGAAATTACTACTCACAAGTCATTTTCGTTCATTGAACCACCATAAACCACCGACTCTTTGACCCTTGGATCAGTGAGAAGATTCTTCAGTCTCATGAAATGTTTGGTATTAACTATTCTTGCAATAGTATTGGACTCTTTGGGATTTTCTCCAAACATTTTCTTAATCCAAGCCTTCATTAATGCCACCTAAAGAAAGAAAAAAACAATTAGACATGCTTCAAAATTTAAGCAACAAAGGTCGAAAATTCTTTCAAGCTTCTTACCAATGTAGAACTGAAACTCTTCTCTACAAGGACATAATCGATTGCTATGCATGCTTGTCCTGCACAAGACCCGAATTTAGCCACCAACAGTCGCTTCACAGTCACCTTGTGTTTCAACAAAAAACTTAGTAAGATTTTTTTTGTTTTACATATAATCAACTTAATTAAGCAACCACAAGTATAAAATAAACATTTTTTATGCCATGTAATCTTTGACATGATTGAATGAGTATCCACCTCTCTGTCCCAAGAAGATGCAAGAGAATCAACCAGTGCTGGGCATTTTCCACCCAACTCCAAAGTCACTGGAGTAAGATGCACAGCTGCAGCAGACATGACAATCCTTCCCACCTTTGCACTTCCTAGCATTGGATCAAATCATGTTAAAAAAAAAATCATCAAAGATGATTGGTTATGACCAAGAGTTAATAAACAAAAAGATAATGATTGAGAAAGGTTTACTAACCTGTGAAGAAAATCTTGTCCCATCTTTGCTGTAATAGTAGCTCCCCCACTTCTGGTCCACCTTGGACGACCTTAATGGCCTTACTGTCCAAGTAAGTTGGGAGGACAGTGGCTAAGAGAGAAGAGCAAGAAGGGGACATCTCTGAAGGCTTTAGAACTACGGTGTTTCCAGCAGCTACTGCTCCTATTAGTGGCTCCAAGGATAGTCCTGTTTTATAAAACCATAACATAACAAACATAACTTAGTTGATCATAAAACCAACTTTTACAGAACCTTGTGAACTTCAACTTTCATTCTGAATCACTCACCAAAGGGGAAGTTCCATGATGAGATTATGAGAACAAGACCAAGTGGCTCAGGAACTATCTCAGCACTTGAAAGCAGTGCTATTATTGGCAGTTTAGCCTGTGACAAACATCAAACTTTAGTTATGGAATGAAAGTTCTTGTGCATAAGGTATATGTGATAATGTGAACCTCACCTCTTCTCCCGCCATCCATTTTTTCAAATGCTTTTGGGCGAAGTTTAAGGTCTTTATTAAGGTTCCTACCTGCAAGTAATCATCATGGAATAACTAAGAAACGAAATTAAAAGAGGTGTACAATTTGCTAAGAATAGCAAAAGTCCCACTTAACAAGACTAGTAAGATTCATAGTTCTGATTCACATCAAACCACAGACCTCATCTCTGAAAGACTCGACGTAATGCTTTCCCAAATCATGCTTGAGGGCTCTCAAGATTTCTTCCTCTTTTTCAACTAGAAAATTTCGCAACCCTTTAAGCTGTGATTCTCTCCATGATGCTTCCTTTGTTATTCCACTCCCGTAGTATTTCCTCACGTTCTCAAGATCTCTCCCCAAAGATCCCACAGAATACTCCATGTCATGAATAAAGATTTTGATGTATCTTTACTTCTCTGCAACTTGTATATATAATCCCCACCACCTACTTGGTTAGCAACAGTTAATTATCACATGAAACTTTCTATGGTTAACATTAATTTGGAAATGTTTATAATTATGCTCTTCAATATGTTTCCAGATTGATAGAAATAAATAGAACATTGAAAAACTAATATTGTATCTACCACTTTGAATTTAGGAAAATAAAATAAATATAAGATAACATCACAAGATTTGTAAATCAAATAAATAAATAAACAATTCACCAAATTCAGGAGGAGAAACTATTTCATGATTTGAGACTTAACCTTCATTAATAATGCTGTCATACTCAACAGTTCCAGACTGATGCGATTAAAACTGATTGTACCAACTTTTAAGTCAATAACACGTTCCTTTTAAATGTACGTTTGACAGTGAAAAAACAAATTAAGTAAGAAATTATAAATTTAATTTAATAATTTTTAACATATTTACTTATGAGTATTTTTATATTTTTTATTAAAAACTATTATTTATACGCTTTATTACTCTAAGTGATGTTATATTTTTGTCTTTTATGTTCATTTTCATTTTTTACTAGTCAAATAGCTACCACCATAGTCTTTTATAATGTAAAATAAGGGAATCTTCAATGTTTTTTAATAATTAAAAAAAAATCTGACAATCTATTGAAAAAAAAATCAAAGTGTATGTATATTTTTAAAACACAATTACTTAACATCTAAATTCCTTCTTTGGATTCAATCAATTATGTTATAAACTTTCAACTTTTAAATTATGATTTTTAATTAGTTTATAATCTTATTTTCTTAAATATAAATATGGATAAAACAATAAAGCTATTAATGCAACTGCCAACCATAAATGTTTATGATTACTCAAATTTAGTAACGATTTTGACATTAATGTGTTTACATTAGTAATGAAATAGTGTTAGATGCCAATTTTAAATAAATATTTATATAAAAAATTGAAAATACCAAAAAATCATAAATCAATGAAAATTATTTATTTATTATTTTTTTAAAAATAATTTAAATTTAAAATTAGAAACCAAACCACCCATTTATTATATATGAATATTATATTTTTAAAATAACTTTTAATCAATTAATATGAATAAATTATATTGTTAGGAAGTTGTTTTATAGTTCGATGTTATTTTAATTATAATATATTTATAATATTAAATAAATTATAATAATTTTAATTATAATATTATGTAATTTATTTATAAATAAACTAAAATTATAAATATAATAATAATCATATAAAAATTTGTAATATATTTATTTATTTGAGAATTTTTATTATAAATATGTAATTCTATATAAAAATAAAAATCATAAAATCAATTTAAATCAAATAACGAATATTAATTTGATTTTATTTAAATTTTATATCAAATTAAAATTACAAAAAAATTATATTTAATTTAGATAATTATTTGATGAAAAAATGGAACTCGAATAGTCAAGTTGCTGTCTTAAACTGTTATTTATAGCATTGATCGTACTATGTTTTATATATTATTTATAATAATTTATAAGATAAAAAAATATTTTTACAAACATTTTTTTCATTAATAAATATAAAACAGAAAACACATATCAAACATAATTTTAAATTTATTTATATTAGTTTTTAATTACTATTGTACTCTATCTCCTTTTTCTTCAGTTAAAAAAAATACATGTCATACATAATAAAAAAAATTATAAATTAAGTTAACAAAATTAAGATTAATCTAAATACATTTGTATAAAAATAACATGATGATAATGTCTATATTTGTGCCAGTAAAAAATAAATAAAAATATAAAATTAAAATTAATAAACATTTTATTTAAAAACAAGAATATCCAATTTAATGTAGATTCATGAGCGTAAAAAAAATAACAGTAAAAATTAAATATTTGTATTCTAATGAACAAATAAGGGACAAATAAAAAAAAGGATTATCTTATGCAAAATGTTTGAAAAAAAAAATTATATATTTAGTACTTGTATTAACGTTGTATATGGAAGGTACCAACTGTATTGGAATGGTTCAGATATTTTGTGTAAAATATAAAAACATAAATGGGTATTTTTTTTTTCTAAATGAGGTTCAAATTTGTCAACTCACTTATATACTTAAATTTAGTTAAATTAAAACAATAATTGATTTTTTTATAATTTATTTTAAAGTTATTGAAAAATATACATAATAATTCTTTATATGTAAAGAATTTGATAAAGTGGAGAATGGCAGGGTTAAGCAATAGAATTGGGAAAGGTTTTGGTTATTAAATTAGTATCATTGTGGTTGCATTTATTATTGTGTCAACTTTTCACCAAACATTTGATTTTATTTGAACAGAGACATTTATATGAATTAGATTGTTGAACCCATTCACACCTAACCAAATTAAATGAATGGTTAATGGTCAATTTGAAGTCAGAAAGGGATTAACCACTCATTCTATTAATTATTCACATTACTCATTTTCATTTTTATATAAAAATATAATATTTACCTTTACAATAAAAGAAAATACAAAAAAATATAAGGATAAAAAAAATAAAAAAATTAAAAATTATTTATATAACTTAAAAAAATAAATTTACATAATTTTTTTTCTTTTAATTTGTTATTGTTATCATATGAATTTGCCGAGGGCATCAAATTAATGCTAATGGTCCAAGGAGCTATTAGAGAATGAACAGTTACTATCAAAGTTATATAAAATATTAAATGAAATATATTTTGACAAATTGGTAAGAATAATTTTGCTTTTCAATAAATAATTATATTTTCAGGTTGGGAGAGGGTCCAAAAGAGTCATGTCAGGTGCGGAAAGAAAAAAAATAAGTTTAAGCAAAACTCAAGAAAATTTGTCCTAAATTAAGAAGATGTAAAAAGAAATTAATATTTACAGAGATAAAAAGTCAAACTAAAACTTATTAAAAAACACTCATTCATCTGTTTTACCCTTAATTCACTGTGTATATAGATAAAATGTTTAAAGAAAATAATTCACTGTGGTGTTGAAAATTATAAAATTGATTATTAATCTCTTAATTTCTTAATATTATATTATTATTAAGATCTCATGTCGTTGTTTTGTGATAATAAATTAAAATATTTGTATTATGTTTTTTTCTAATCCATTCTATTAATGTTAATAAAGGTTTTAACATGAATACTTAATTCGTCTTTAATCTTTAATGAAATTTGTTTTTATTTTCTTTACCATTTTTTACTTATTTAATAAAAATTCTCATAATTTAATCTGAATTAGAATTTGTTACTCATCGTCGTTTTTTCTTATAAAGATGTTGAGGGTTAAAATAATTAATGATAGATAAATACTTTTAAAAAATAACAAATATGAGATAGCTAGTATTTTATATATATATATATATATATATATATATATATATATATATATCAAAATTAACAACAAATAGAAAGAGAATAAGAAAGAAGAAATGAGATGCATGGATAAAATAAACAAAATAGATCCATTGTATATATTAATAACAATAACAAATGCATATATAATTATTAATTATATTATATATATATAACATATATATTATAAATATAATTATTATTATAAAATTATTATTTCAAATAATATTTATATTTTATTTATTAAATAAATCATTTTCATAAATAATATATTTAAAAAATAAATTATTTAAATAGAATTTTTTTAAAATTTATTTACCTAATTAAATACGTGTATTGTTTATAAATAAAATTTAACAAAGAGAAATAAATTCATTTCATGTAATATGGTTATTTTTTTATTTATTTTTTTATGTTTGTCGTTTTTGTTTTTTTTCTCTCTCTTATTTTATCTTATTTTTTTTAATTAAAAATAGAAAATAGAAAATTGATAAAGGAAATCTTTTATTATTATTAAAAAATAAAAATATTAAAATATCTAAAAATATTATAATTTAATATATTATATTTAAAAAATATTATATGTGGAAGAGAGAAGAAAGGTAAGATACAAAAGACAAAAATAAAAATAAAGAGTGAAAAAGAAAAGAAAAAAATAAAAAAAATTACATATAAACAATAAACAAAAATATTGGAATAAATAAATTGAGAGATAATCTGTTTGAATAATTTTTCTTTTAAAATATATTATTCATTCTTGATAAAATAATAATTATATATATAATTGTTGATTATTTTATATAATTTATTTAATAAATAATCATTAAAATTAAAAATAATATAAAAAATATTAATATATATTTTTTCAACTTGTAATGTAAATGTAATTAAAATAAATAACTTGTTTATCTATTTCATAGTGGTAATTGGATGGAACGGTTAAATGATATTATTATTATAATAAACTTATTTTTATTTTTCCAGTTAAGAATACTATTTTGTTATATAAAACATTTGATAGGAACCTTCATGACAGGTATCCATCATCATATATGATGATAATTGCGATCGATGGATATCCCTCACTTTAATCGTTTATTGCCCAGTGCCACAAAAACCAATTTAAATGTTTTCATATGCGACAAAAACACCGTTGGATTTTTAAATCTAAGTTTCAATGACTGGTTATGATTGAGGTCTCTTTTTGTCACGGAATTATTGGTGGGAAAATATGACTTGTTTTTCTATATTTTTATTTTTTTAATTAAGTGCGTGTTTGGATACCAGAGCTCAAAAGAAATTATACTTTTAAAATAGCACAATTTTTTAATTTTATTTTAAGAAATATATAAAATAAAATAAAAAACATGAAAAAAAGTCATATTACAAAATGTACTTTTTTTTGCTTAATTTAGGAATAACATTAAAAATTTAGTTTTATAGAACAAAATAAAAATTATATTTTTTTCTGATTTGTGGAAACCAAAATATGAGGTATAAATAAAACGGATGAAGAATTAAATATGCGACATTCGGCTTTAGTAGCTAGGGTTGGGAAGGATAGGTAAGGTTGTTTGTAGGACCTGTCTTATCTAACTAAACTCATGATTGCTTAGTTAACACAGAACAGTGTAGAGAAAGCATAGAAAAAAAAAAAAAAAAAGCCCAAGCCCTTTTTGAACTTTCCTTTCTTTTTGTTGTTGTTTGGATTAGAAGTGAAATAAAAGAAAAAAAAAAAAGAACAAACTGTTAAAAGTTAAATAAAACTTTTTGTAATAATTTGTTCAAGAAAAAAATTATTTTTTATATAAAGAAGTTACTAAATCTATCCATTTTCATTTTCTCTTTTGTAAGATTTGTTGAATTTTTTTAATCAACTAGTTTTAACTAATAATATCCATAAATAGAATTTTATAACATTTTTACCCATCATAAATTATCTACAATTTTTCTAATTTAATCTTAAATTTCATTTTACATTTGATTTTTTTATTAATTTTTTTCTAATTTTCTCTCGCATTAATTATATATATATATATATATATATATATATATATATATATATAAATAAATTGTCCATACAGTTTTAGTCACAACAGTTCTTTACAATTTTTTATGCAGTTCAACATGACAATACAAGTTGTGAATTAATGCAAATAAAATAATAATTTGGGTATTGTACTAAGTTAGGGTAAACAAAAAAGACATTTTTAAAACAAATTGGCCTAAGTATTTGTTTATGAAATAGGTAATTTTCTATAATATAAAATGACAAATTTGAGTAGTTAATTTTGGGTCTTTAACCTACCTTCTAGAGGCTATATAGTATTATCATAATTGTGATTAATCATAATATTATTTGAAGTCAAAGTAATATAATGTGTTAGTAACGGTGGACCAATGATAATATTTCTCTTCATTTATTATGTAACTTTATGAACCAAAAAAAAAAATTTTAAAAACTTTATATATTGTACCTACGCCCAATCAAATCCACCAATGCCACATTTCTACAAGTACATGATTTGATGGTCGAATATAGCATTCTTTCGTCCCTGTGCTTTCCCATTTGGTCCCTCTAAAGGGGTGCCACTTTATTAAATTGAACCAATTTTTAACTTTTCCTTTGTACGATATTCATACTTTTTATCATAAAAAGAACAATCATGATAATTTTTATCACGATGAATATGTAAATATCATAATCTTGTTTTATTCAAATTTATTATTCCTTTACTGTTGAAGGAATAAGTTTATTTCATTTGATACGTGTCGAGAATGTGCGGGTATGTTATAATAATGCGTTAGAATCCATTTCTATTTTAAGGGTTATCGTTTTTGGAGTTCTTAATCTACAGCATTTTATTCTTAAAATATATTTTTAATTAAGAAAAAATTGGATATAAATTATTATATAATATATAATTTTAAAATATTATATATAAATTATTTTTAATCTCAATTCCTAAACATAATATATAATGTCTATGTATATCAGAATAATTATTTTTAAACTTTATCTATTAGTAAATTTTGTTAGATAAATTTAGTTCATTATTTTTCTTAGTAGATTTATTAAAAAACTTTACTCTTAACATATATTTTTTAATTATGTTATTTTGATTGATTTTTGCATATAAAAATTTTTAGTATTGAAATTTGTAGTTAAAATAATATCATACTTTCTCCGACTTGTGATTTGATGAATATTTCTTGCATTTTTTCCTCCAAAATTATTCTAAGAGCTAGAATCACATTATTATTTTTTTTCATTTTTAATAGAATGCAAAACATTACTTAAAGATCCAAAACTAATTTCGTTCAAAACTTGGTCATAATATCATTTCATGGTTCTTCGTTCCAATTAGAAATTGAAACCCTAAACTTACCACTTTAACCATTACAAAGCCTCAATTACTATATATCAGATTTGCCAGAAGTGTTTCTCAAACTAGGGTAAAGTAGGCCAGTATAGCCTACATCCTAGATGAGAAATGCTTTAACTTCGTAGATTTTGGTCTCCCCTATACATGTTTGTGTTTGCAACTTGTAATTCTGCACAAATTCTCAGTCCTTGCATTAAAAGATGGTCTGAGAAGTCAATATTCTGTTGCACCATTTCTTTCTTTCTTTTTCTCACATGGTTCACCTTTGTTTGGAAAACAATGTGCTTGACAAAAACAGAGAAAGCTTAAAGTGCTCCACTTCCTTCAATCACAATTTAATAATATACCCCTTTTGATTACTATTTAAGAAAGTGATCAGTTACTGCTAAATCCCATTTGCTATACATGTATATGTATATAATCATGCATACATGTTAATCCATTTTGGTTGGTAATCCATAACCGTACTGGACTAAACTATCAATTTCATAAATAAATGACTAATAATAACCCTATTTTTTAGGCTAGTGACAGTATCATGCAGTTCTATTCATGTAGTTGGATTGCTCAATAAAGCTCCAAAGTTTTTGTTACTTAACTTTCAGGGAAAAGAATGACAGTATATATAGAATAATACATGGATATTCACACATAGATTCATCTGTTTCACCTTTTATTTTTATATGGTTGCAACATAAGCATGTGGATCTTATGCTAAAAACTAAATGAACATATATAATACACATATGCAGTGGAGGCAGTATTCATTATTGGCTAGCTCTCATCCATTATTTGTTGCATATATATCTTCAACTACACGTGTGGGGAGAGAAAGGAGATTATGTGAAGTAGAAGCAAATTACTTGGCTTGGTTATAAAACAAACTCGTATATACATTTAACATATATTTTGTTTGGCCCCTTATGATTCATGTGTGTGATGATAACCTTGTGAGTGAAGAAAAAATAGAAAAGAAAAAGACAAGGCCATGGAGTCAAAGACAAGACGACCACCTATCTGTCTCAAACCCTTAGGTCCCTCTCCAAACCGTTTTCTACTAGACTCGTCAACCAACCCCCCCCCCTCTCTCTCTATCTCTATCTCTTTTTTCTCAGACTCTTCCCTATTTTGCAAGCAAACCCCATAACCACATCACCATCATCATCATGGTCATGATTAATTGCCTCCCCATGAAGCTTCTTTCTAATCTTTCTAGCTTTATAAACCCTTCCCTGGTGTAGATATGAAAGTAGTTGGGAGAGGAAATTTCCCTTAAGAGGAACGTGTTGTTTGGGTCCTGATCAGACAAAACAATGAGGAAGCCAGAACTGTGTAGTGGTAAAAACAACAACAGCAAGTTTAGAAAGGGGTTGTGGTCACCAGAAGAAGATGAGAAGCTGATGAACTACATGCTAAACAATGGACAAGGATGTTGGAGCGATGTGGCAAGAAATGCTGGCCTCCAACGGTGTGGCAAAAGTTGTCGGCTGAGATGGATCAATTACTTGAGGCCTGATCTTAAGAGAGGTGCATTCTCACCCCAAGAAGAGGAACTCATCATCCACTTCCATTCCTTTCTTGGAAACAGGTCCATCTATCATTTCCATTCCATCACCCATGTATAATAGTATTAGTATATATAACTTTATCCATCTTTATTAATAACAACAATTTCAGATCCATGCGTCATCAACAACTGATAAATCTATAGCAACTAGTGCACATATATCATCACATATATAATGCTTTTCAAGGTTTTATTTCTTTAAATAACTCAGCCACCACATGCATTGCATAGTACACCCTACAAAGATCCATCATGTTTATCTTTAAAGCTAAGCCATTAATTCTAAATCGCAGAATAATTCTAAAACGACACTACTCTTGGAGGGTTTTGTATGTAGATTAACATACAAGAGAATAAAGCTTTTCTAAGACATCTTCAGTTAATTTTTTTCATTGCGAAAACCGAGTTCTAGAGCAATGGTAATTAGTAGTACGAATTTACATGAATTCAAAATAGCCAATCAAGTTGTTGTCTGAAAATTTAGATAAGGGGGAGAAGAAAAGCCACACCTTCAATAGATTTATGACACATCAGATTCGTGAGCTTTCGTATAATTAGGGTTTTCAATATTTCATACTTCTAATGAAAAGAAAAAAAAACATCTTTAAGGCATGGTTTAGCTTAAAACAGTTAAGTTTAACAATAAAAAGCAGAGTAATAATATGTTTAACTTTCACCATTACGCTCTATCAGCTTTAACAATTATTACTGCTCTTTATTCCATCACATATTATACTTAATTTTTTGTTTTCTTTTTCACTATTTGTTTATTAGATATTAACGTCCACCAATTTTTCCATGATTAAAGAGTAATACGCATTTATAAATTACTTTGTCTTGTATTTTTTTTTTTTTTTCATTCCATTTCCTTTATATATCTCTCCTGTTATTTTCCTATGCTTATGGTCATATTACTTCTGACTTTCTTTTCTTCTTCATTTCTTGTTTTATTCATTCTTTATACACCCGAAATGCAAATTACATTGTAGGCTTATGAGACTAATATTTAATCAGAATATATCCTCGTTTGCAAAGGATGGAGAAAATTTAGGAAGGTCGAACAAGTTTTTATCTGTAAAAATCTAGATTTCTTTAGTCCAACACATATTTTGAAGTTCAAATAACAACAGCATTATTATACACACATGCGCAAAGCAAGAACTTCGAGTTGAAGGCACTCCATTTCTTTAGTTTCCCTGAGAAGCATTCCTTTCTAGTAATATATAATATATAAAACATGTAGACATCAATTTAAGGTTAATATTTTGCTGCATATGTGAATTCATTGACCTGATATTTTAGTATGTTTCACTTTTGAAGATGGTCTCAAATAGCGGCGCGTTTGCCTGGGAGAACCGACAATGAGATAAAAAACTTTTGGAATTCAACGATAAAGAAAAGACTCAAGAACATGTCGTCCACGACCACAACCTCAACCTCACCAAATGCTAGCGAGACCTCATCTGAGCCATGTAAAGACCTCAACATGGGAGGGTTTATGACTACACAACATCATCAACATGCAAACTTTGTGCCTGTTTTTAGTTCATCCCCATCACAGTCAATGCAAGCCACAGTTTTCGATACTATGATTTTGCCTATGTTGGATCATGGACTAAACATGCCACACGCTGGAGGAGGGTACTTCGAAGGCCCAGGGCCATGCTTTTCTCAAAGTGAAGTTGACAACAGAATTTCTTATTTAGAAAACGGAGTGTTTGGGAGTGTAAATATTGGCGTAGAGGGGGATATGTTTGTTCCTCCCCTTGAGAATGTAAACACCAGTTTCCATGATCATAACCTGAGTAGCACGTGCAAGAGAGAAATTAACAGCAGTTACTTTGATGACATAAATAGTATCCTCAACAACTGCAACATTGACATAACTACTGAGAATAAGGGTGGGGTGGAGAACTTGTTTCAGCAAGAGTTAGCCACGGGAGAATGGGGCTTTGAGGAGATGATGAAAGATGTTTCCTCCTTTCCGTTTGTTGATTTTTCATTCTGATTTTGAACTTTCTGGGGATTCCATATTGCAAAGTCGAATCTCTAGAACCCTGTATGAACCTTATATGTTTTTTTTTTTTTTGCCCTGATACCGATTTCACAAGTTAACAAACAGGTATAGGTCTCAAATAAAAGTCCAACATAGATGTATACTCCTGGTATCAATTGGTGATCGTGTAATTAGTCTTGCAGGTTATAATTAGTTTCTGTAATATAAATTTTTTAGATCATCACTCCCTTTGCTGGAAACCTGTGTAAATCTACCACACTTGTAAAAGGAGATGTGAATAGATTGTTATACATTTTTTTTCTTGTTCAAGTTTTTGCTGATATAATATAGTACTCACTGTTAGATCTGAATGATGAGATGAACAAATCAATACTGTTTCCAGCGACAGGTTTGTATAGGTACTGATACATGGAAGCTCTCTTTCTCATTTCCCATTTTCCAAATTGAATGTCAAAAAGTTGATGTAGTAATGATTGATTCTGCTCTTAAAATCTTTGAAGCAATCAGATTTGCTTTCATGATTGCTTATGTATACTTTGGAAAGATTAATAATCATCAAAGTAACTCCACTAGGTAGAAAATCAGGGTTATTGGGCATCAATTTGTTGAGTTCATCATACTATGAAAGTTATAGTTAAGCTAAATGGTTTAATTTTAAGTCTAATTATAACTTCAGCTTTGATTTCAAGCCTTGAAAGAGGACCATAAATTATTATGTTATTGACTTTCGAAGCTAACACTGACAATAGCCAACAGCAAAAGCACAACGGATTTCTTTCTTTTAAGGATGAACACAGATTGAAGTTTGTCTAGTTTAGACATATTATAATATATTTACAAGCATATTATGAACACCTAAAAGATATTATTACAAAACAAGTTTTCATGTCAACAGTACCTTAAATATCTTAAATCAAACCTTTATAAGATATACAAGTTAGATTAATGCCACCAAAACTCTATCCGAAGCCTACTTTCACTCCCTAGTTATGCATTATGTCAAAAATAAATTAAATCGATAAGTTTTATAAATTTTTTTTAGTTTTAAAATTAATTTTAAAAATAAGTTGAAAGAAATTATTTAATAACTTTAGTACAAAAGTTATTTTAGACCATAGAAGATAATATAATTGATGAAAATGAATGAAAGTTAAAAATAATTTTTGATAGTAATGAAAATAAATAATATAATATAACTATTAATAAAAATAAGTGGATATTTTTAATGAAAAAAAGTACTTTGATTTAAAAACGAAATTAAAATATTATTTTTTATTTATAAATATCTCAATCTTATATCTATTATAATAATATAATTAGAGTCATACAATAATTTAAAATAAACAATAATTTAACAGTAATAATTGTATAACTAATAAAAGATTAGATTGGGATGTTTTTATTCTTATGAAACAAAATTTTAATTTAAAAAAAAATCTATTAGCAAGTAAGTTAAAAACTAAAAGTTAAAAAATATTTTTTTAAACAATAATAAATAAGCTCATAATTTTTAAGGGAAAAAAAACAATATAAATAATAATACACTATTTGTCTACTATTTTAAGATAATGGTGGGTAAGTAGTAGTTGGAGTTAATAAACAAAAAAATAAAAATAAAAAATTGAGCCGTGGTGAAAGAAAGAACTAACTAGGAATTCATTGTTGATGTGGGCCACAACATAGGTTAGAGCCCAGCCCATTTGTAATGATAAAAATATAAAATGTAAAATTAAATCTCATGGTCGTGTCACGTGCGAGAGACGCACACTCGAAGACCATGCTAATGATTGACACATGGATAGAACTGAATTGTGTAGATGCTTCGTTCCCCTGAATAATAATTGAGTAAAATCAGAATATTCAGGGGTTAGAGAGTGCATTAAAAAAAATTATCAAATAAAATAATTTCAAGAAAAATGTGAACAATAATTGTGATGTATTTGAAACGTCTTTCCCATCTTTATCTTTTCGAGTTACAACAATATGTTAACGTTATGTCTTCGTCGCTAAAATTAAACATATTAACAAAATTTAAATTTTATTGTTTTTAAAGTACGGGGATTTTATTAAAGAGCCATATTTTCACATTCACCTATAAAAATATATTTATTAGAAAATCCTATTTATTATTATTATTATTATATTAATAAAGTGATTGAATTAAAATAAAATTAATTAAAAAATATATTAATAAATCAAATTGTTGAACAAATCATTTTCCTTTATTAAAACAACTCGACCTAAAAATTAAATAAATTCGATTAATTATAGGATAAAATACAATTAATCTAAAATGAAATAAAACTTATCAAACTCAAAATTACGCAATTCAATGATACAACAATTAAAAAAAAACTGATCTTTTTTTATTCAATCAGTCAGTTTTTATATGGTAGATAAGATTCAATAATAATAATGATTCTTTTTGTTTGATATTTTTTTAAGTAGTGCTTACTTATTATTATGTTTTGTAAACATATATTTTTTTAATAGAAATAAGAAACATTTTTCAAAAATAATTTAAAACTATTTATCATAAAGAAAAATATGAAACATGATAATTAAAAAAATTATTTTAAAAAACATGAAAAATTGATATAAAAATCACTTAAAATATATTTTTTAAAATTTTTCAAATAAACCAAAATATGTAACTCGTTATAATAAAGTTGGGTTTTTTAAAATCTGAATCAAAGTAATGCTAAGAAATAAACTTTCCTTTTTATTATTTAATTCCGGATCATCATATGAACCCGTGATAAAAAAAAAAATATATGCACAATTTTTTTAACAACTTGATGAAAAAAAAAAAAAAGTTTCGTGGATATTAGAAAATCCACTAGTTGAGTGAAAAAGTGAGAATACAGTGTTTTTCTCCGTATTCAAAAGATTGAAGCTGACAAGGGTTTGGTCTTGGTGGAGTATTACTCACCAAGCATTATGCAGTTCATGCTGATTATGAACCCTAATAACTCAATCAGTGATTGGGTTTTCTGAAAAAGAAACACGAGTTTTTGTTTGTTTAATAATCACTTTATGACATGTCTTTTGTAATATAGAAGAATATACAATAAGGGTGGTTGATTTTTATATAAAAAAATTATTATTTTAAGATAAGTCTCATAATTATATTTTCTTAAACACAAATAAATGGTTTAAAAAAATTATATTTAATTTTTAATTTATTTTAAATATTTTATTGTGAAACTTATAGGAAAATAATATATGTCATTCTTTTAAAATTTGTACAAGTAAGTCCTAAGTTCATTATTATATGCATAAGTTACGTGATTGTGCTGCTTAAAAAGAATCAGTTTCAAGATTTCTTGATAATGTTTTTTAGTTCATCATGAATAAAATTTACTTTTACTGTAACCATTAAAACAAGATAAAAGTTGATCATGATATTATAAAAATTATAGTAAATATCCATGCATCACTCTTCTAATCTATCCATAAACTTTTTTTAATCCAATTTTGTTTTTCAATTTACATTTATATTTTTTAGAAATAGTAATATTATAAAAAGTTTAATGTTCATAAATTGACAATGTAAACTATTTTTAAATCACAATTACTGTTATTGTGACTTTTAAAATAATTATTATAAAATTTAACGAATTCAATGATAATTATGTAAATTTATGACATTTTTTTAATTATAAAAATAAAATGAAATATTTATTATGTTTTATTTGATTTTTTTAACGCTATTTAAATTTTTTGTGGTAGTACAATATTGATATTTTAATTTTGTATACGATAAAAATAAATATAAAATCTCTCTCTATATATATAAAGATATAATGTTACATACTTATAAATATTTAATTTACAAGAATTTTGACATATATGCATAATTATAGAAATAATATCATATAAAATTCAAGGTTTGGATTTATAAAAATTGTATTCAAGAAAATTAGTGAATAGAATAATTGTCCAAAATTTTCACTGCAATTTTTTACTAACCGTGCGTAGTAAAATACAGAAGATAAAAGCAAACATGGTTTTCATTTTTTAACTCAAACATGTCTTTTAAAAAGTTAGAAGGAATTTATTTAACAATTTTAACAATAAAAGCTTTTGATAAAAATAAATATAAATATTTTGAGATAGCTAAGATTGGAAGAAGAAAAAATAACCAAAAAAAAAGGTTTTAAAGCAATTAAAAGTTTTTCAAATATAAATAAAAATTTCAGGCTATTTAGAAGAAAAAGTGATAAGAGGTATTATCAAGCCTCATCAATTCCATGGCTACTAAAATGAAAGGAAAGTGAAAGGAAATTTCCCTTTTTGGAATTTCAATGGCCTTGCCTTGTCCCCTGGTCAATTCCACTTTATTCAAAAACACAAATTATATTTTTAAAAATGTATAGAAAAAAAATAAAAATAAAAACATAGAAGACTAAAAATTAATAATATATAAAAGCACGACCTTTGTTCCTAATTACTATGTGGTTGTTGAAGGCTTTGATGTTTCGATCAAATCAGGTAAAGTATTGACCAAATTTCTTCCTCCATGGAGCGAAATTCCAGTATTGACCTCAAGAATATTTGGGTTTCAGCTTCTAAATTTATGAGTTGCATTTAGGTTTAGGGGTTATACTGGAATTTTCGAGATGGTTCTTGATTGATAATAATAACAATGGGCCTAGGTTTTTAGGTTCCAAATTCTGATTCTTAGTTATCATGCCTCAAATGACGTATCGAATTAGCATAACTTTATATGGAAGACGAAAATAGAATCTTTTATTTTACACGAAGACTAAAATATCTATTAGCTTTATATTTTATTAATGAATGATAATTATTTTTCTAAACTGGTTCATTATTTTCTTTTAGTGACATCTTTCTCTTAATTATCTTATTTTATTTGTAAAACTCAAATTAAGATATTTTATTAATGAAAAATACATCTTTAACACTTTTTTTCTAAAATATTTGTATTAATTAAACTTATTAAAATTAAATAAACTTTTAATAACAACAAAAATATAACTATTTGTGAAGGACACGTGGCAATGTGGTTAAGCATGCAGTGGTACGTTGAGACTTTTGAGGTCAATGAACCGTTCTCTGGATTATAGTAGTGCCACATGTTTTAACGATACATGCTACACAAGAGGTGGAACTGGAATGATCATTGAACCAAGCCCACATGATGTTTCGGTTCAATTTTTTCTCCACCACCATGTTTGTTTCTACTTCCGACGTTTCCTGTGCTGTTCTCTCAGTGTTTCATTAGCATTCTCGCATGCATATTTTGTGATACGCAACATGCAATGCTGTGCTAATTCTGTTGTTGTTTGCTTCAAGGTACCGGTGTTTTATTTCAAGGCTAGTATTTAACCTTTAAACGCCTTAATGTGGCGTTTAAACCTTTAATTTCGTGTAACTGTTGAACCTCAAGCAAGTGAATCATGTTTTTGGGTACTAGAAAAATCTGGTTTGCAGTTTATTTGTAACTGGTTGGTTTGACTCTCTCTCAAAGCCCAAATTTCCAAGTTTGAATTTTAAGCTCACGATTCACGAAACCGGATTTAGGTGGTAAACGTTTCCTGTTTTGAAGGGGAACGCACTTGTCATTTTCATTTGGGTAACTCTTTTGTTAACTTTTTGTGTGTTTTAGTGCTTTTTTTCATTCTTTATTGTAGTTAGTGGTTTTGCTCATTGTGAGTGAGAAGGACTGTTCTACAAAAGAGGGGGAGAATATAAAAGGGCATCTCCTTTACCAACTTTTTATCACTGTGGAGTCTATCCCAATTCCATTATGATTTGACTTGATTGGTTGGTGTGTATTTAGCCACATAAATACCGAGATATTATGCAGTCTTTACTTAAGGACTTATGAATTCTTTGAAGTGTTAATGATCAAGCAAAAAGGTTAACGCAGGCCTGATCTTGGAGCTCCTTCAGTATCTCTTCAGTTATGATGTATCACTAGCCTCAATAAGTGGTCTTGCTGGTTTGGTTTCTCAAACAACACAGTCAATTTGGCTTCTCAGAGATGGCTGAGAAAGCGACTATGTATTCATTAGGGGATTGGAGGAGAATACCAATCTGCTCTTTCTTCAAGGATGCTAGGTATGATATGTTTATGATGTTATAGTATATATAATAATACAATAGCATTTCTGTAGTAATGGTACATATCTATCTGAAGATCACAAGTTCTAACTTCAAAGGCCAAATGGATAGTGTTGTTCATTAAACAGAAACTGCGTATTTTATATCTTCTTTTCTGAAATTTCCATCTGTTGTACGTATTTTAATGATGTTAATTTCACGGGGTGGTTGACAATTCTAGTTTCATCTCCATGCTGAGCTGTTATGATGAACGCTTGATTTTCTTCTCATTGCAGGCTGGTTTTTAAAGCAGACAGTCTTGGTCGGGAAATTTTGTCAATTGCATTGCCTGCAGCAATGGCTTTGACAGCTGATCCTATTGCTTCACTGATTGACACAGCATTTATTGGCCAAATAGGTATGTTCTGTTATTAGGTTATTAAGCTTATTACACATCTTTTATCTGAAACCATTGGTGGGTAATATTGTTTAAATCTGTAACACTCGAAGTTTTCTGTATCTATGGGCCCAAGTCCCTATGATCAGGACTACTATGCTTACATGTATTTGCCGCCTTACGCATATATTGGTCCGTTCAGGTCCAGTAGAGCTTGCTGCTGTAGGAGTTTCAATAGCTCTCTTCAATCAAGTATCAAGGATTGCAATATTCCCACTTGTCAGTGTCACAACCTCTTTTGTGGCCGAGGAAGATACCCTTAGTGGAGCAGGCCCTCAAATAGAGGAGGGTAAATGTTTAGAAGCATCTCGACCTATGGATGCTGAAACCAAAGAGCTATTACCACAGAAAGGTACCATACCATTCTGCCATTCTTTTGTAATAGGTTTCGTTTCTGGCAAGCTTTCTTGGCTGCTGCTCAATCTGTACGAAGACCAATAAAAGGTTTTGTGCATTTCCAACATAGATCCTTCCATTTTCTTGGTCAGTTACAGGTGGAAATGTTCAAAGAACAGATTTTGTTGGTGAAAGTTTTAATATAGTTAAAGTGGAACATAAGAGAAGGCATATCCCTTCGGCTTCATCGGCATTATTTATTGGTGGTGTCCTTGGCCTCATCCAGGCAATATTTCTTATATCTGCAGCAAAACCTTTATTAAACTTCATGGGAGTAACTTCTGTAAGTACTGTGTTTTTCAGGACTTTTACTTTTAGGACTACAGCACTTTGGTGTTTATTTTAACTTGTTCCTTTAGTGGTTTGATCTTATACGAGCATGGGATGATTGCCGAGTAATATGAACTATTTATGCAGAACTCTCCTATGCTACACCCGGCACACCAGTATCTGACTTTGAGGTCTCTCGGTGCTCCTGCCGTTCTTCTTTCCTTAGCAATGCAAGGAATCTTCCGAGGATTTAAAGACACAAAAACACCTTTATATGCTACTGGTATGCCTTGACAAACTTCAAATATCACGATTAAGTGCCACAATCACAATGTCAGGCTATTATCTGATTCTAATTTCTCTTTCCTTGATTTATCCAGTGGCAGGAGATGTAACTAACATAGCTTTGGATCCTATATTCATGTTCGTATTTCGCTTAGGTGTCAGTGGTGCAGCCATTGCCCACGTTATATCTCAGTATGTTTTATTACACTGTAATTCAAATGCTCTAATTATACCATTTATAAAAGTATGGAAGACTCTCCAATGTACTTTTAAGCAGAGCTATCTTGTAAGTTGCATCGTATTTTCCTTCTGCTTTTTTTTATTCTAATTATCCTTTATTTTCAAATTCACTGTGTAGGTACCTAATTTCAGCTATACTCATGTGGAGATTGTTGGAACAAGTTGACATTATTCCTCCGAGCATAAAGCATCTGCAATTAGACCGTTTTCTTAAAAATGGTAGAGTCTATTTTGCTGTGCTAAATGATCTAAAAAAAAAAAGAACTGTAGTAGGATGAAGAATCCATGCTACTTTCCTGTATTAAGATTAAACCATAATGAAGATTATACTAAGGATGTAATATCTCTTTTCGTGGCAATGATAAATAAACAGTACCGTATTTCATCATAAATTTCGAGAATCAAAATTTTCTCATAAATTTCAATGGTATAGGTTCACTAACACTTCAGCATTGAGACTTCACACCGTTTTATTTTATTGTTGTCAACCAGGTTTTTTATTATTAATGAGAGTCATCGCTGTAACATTCTGTGTGACACTGGCTGCATCATTAGCTGCAAGACAAGGATCAACATCCATGGCTGCATTTCAAGTCTGTCTGCAGGTTTGGTTGGCAGTGTCTCTTCTTGCCGATGGTCTGGCCGTTGCTGGGCAGGTAAGAAATATTAATTACTTTGTCGAACAGATGTCTTGTTATGTTACTTCATGATGGTCTCATGCCAAAACCTTGGATAAAATATCAACGAATAATGTTTTCTTGTATGAGAAAAATAAAGGTTATGGATAATATTTTGATTGCTTGAATTGCACACTTTCCTGTGAAAAATTGTAAAGTGAGTAAGTTGGAAAGAGATTGGTTTGCTATGAAATGAACTGTAGAAGCTATAATTATCACATGTTTTAATGGCTAATTGAATCTTCAAAGTGGAAACATTAAATGCTTATAAAAGTCCTATTTCTTGGTAAAATGCCATTTACCATCCTGAAACAAAGTACAAGACAAATAGTATTTTCTTTTAATCAGTGTTCTTCTATTAGTTTTGTAGCTTCCTAAACATCATGTTGGTTTCAGGCAATTCTTGCAGGTGCATTTGCTAACAAGGACTTTGACAGGGCATCAGCAACCGCAGCCCGAGTTCTGCAGGTGCTTTAGAATGTTAAATGAAATACCAATCCTTTCATAAGACATTATTGTTAATTTGACACACGATTATACTACAGATGGGTTTGGTTCTAGGATTGGGCCTTGCATTTATTCTTGGAACTGGATTGCACTTTGGTGCTAAAATATTTACAAAAGATGCTAATGTCCTCCACCTCATTCAAATTGGGATTCCGGTAATTAATCATTTTCAAATTGGAATGGATATTGTTAATGTATCTTTCCAACCCCCAGGAAGACTCATTCATGTTCACTTTTTTACCAGTTTGTGGCAGTCACTCAACCCTTGAATTCTTTAGCATTTGTATTTGATGGTGTCAACTTTGGAGCGTCCGATTTTGCATATTCAGCCTTTTCCATGGTGGGTATTTTCTTCCATGTTTTAATGTTGTATGATATCAAGATAAATAACATATTTTCTGCAATAAATCTTAAGGGCCTTCCTTTATTGTGGTAACTCTCAGGTTGTGGTGGCAATTCTAAGCATCATTTGTCTGCTTATTTTGTCATCCGCTGGTGGTTTCATTGGAATTTGGGTTGCTCTGACCATCTATATGGGTCTTAGGGCATTTGCCGGCTTCTTGAGGTAATAATGATTTTCAAGGGTTACAATTCCTAATGTTTTTATTCTATTGACTAATGAATGAAATATGTTGATTCAGGATTGGAACAGGATCAGGACCTTGGGAGTTCCTAAGGAGCTCATAACTGCATATGGCATGCACTAAAGTTTTTGCTTCATAAGCCTATATGTATAGGTTCAGTAGTGGATGATAATTGCATTGACGTGAGAAAAGATTTCCCTAGGTTTCTAAGTCGCTTTTGCACTTCTCCCTGCTTGATTGTGCTTGGGGCACTGGTTGAAAAATCGACCTCTGCCTCATAATATGTAAAGAAGTTTTAAATGTACTAATAGTCTCATATATATAGAATCAAGCTTATGTTTGCAACAAATACAACGTGAAAATGAAAGATAGGAAACAATCACTGGTCCTGAAAAAATCACTGCTGTGCAACTGTAACTAGTCGAAAATCAAACTGAGTTTTCTGCTAAAATGTTAATCAGTACATACTTTTTACTGATGCGATAATGTAAAGAAGTTCAACCCCGTTGTATGATTGAACACGCAGTTACGAACTTGTATTTAAATTCTCAATTGAGTTGAACTTTTCTTGGAGTTTTGTTACAACTTCCAATTATTTTCATTACTCCCCGTAATTTTTCTGTCTGCAGAGTGACGCCTATGGAAAAAATTAGAAAACAATAAATAAATAATCAGAATTTTTAAGACGTTTTCATATAATAGTTTCCAACAAGTGACTTGAGAACCTTGATATCAGAATCATATCAACGAGTTTTTTTCATTTTGGAAACAATGTGCTATTACTATATCCATTTGAATTTATCAGATATTTTGATGATAAGAGTGGAGGAGAAAATATTGTAAGTACATTGTTCAAAATCAGATAGAAAGGAAACATTCCAAGTTTCGAACTGCATAATGTCGCAATACGATTGCAAAAATATGCAATTAGAAAAACAACAAACTTAAGAAAAACAACAAACTTAATTGAAAAAAAATAATTTTATTATTCACCATTAACAACCTCAAAAGTTCATCATCAATCCCTTAAAAAAATTAACCTCCAAATAGTCAAAAACAAAAATAAAGACCTAGCAAATTATTAAATTTTCGCTTCCTTGGAAGCAACTATTGATACGGTTGATGTAGCTAACTGGTTGCTAACAGCAAAAGGAAACACAACCGTACTCTTGGATGACATTGGATTCTTGGCTTACATCGGAGGCTTCCCAGAACCAAGCAGCTGACCAATTAGATTAGTCACCTAACGAACACAAGAAAACAGCTTAGACAATAAGATAATCACTATATTCAACATTGAAATCAGAACTTCCATGATCCACATGTACTTAATTTGCCTTGCCTTGTGCAAAATTATCAAGACTGTCTAAACCAGAATTTTATAAGAGGAGCACACATTTATCCAAGTACTAAAACCCGACTAAGATTTCATCCTATCTGAGAAACTAAAGCATAATATTGAATTTGATGAGGAAAAAAATTACCACTAGACAACTCAGAAAGTGGCAGTGATACATCCAAATGTAAACTTAGTAAAACAACTTACATGCCAGTATTTTGAGACACAGCGGTCAATGCAACTATTTTCACCCATATTTAGCTCGGACTCCTTGTACCTGGAACAGAGTGATAAACAGATTATCATAACATTCGCAAAGAGCCATCATCAAAATAATGTAACAGTTGTTAACTCTCTTTGAGAAATCAGAAACAAATCTCCAAATTGACTGGATGACATTTGAAGGGCGTCAAACACAATTAGAAAGAGTTTCCCTACCTATTGTCAACACACTTATTGAAACAGGTGTGGGTCATCCTGAACATTGAAAACAACAAAAGGTTAGACAAATGAATTATTATGCCCAACAAATCTTCTCGAAAAAATGTAGTCCGATTCTACAGTATACTCGGTAACAACAGTAACAACTATCAAGGCAAGCAAGAGGAGGGAAGCCTACTTGTTGAATAATTCGACTCTATATTCCATCTCCTTTTCAGCTATTCCGAATATCTGTGTTCCATTACACGTAAATTATTGAAACACATTCAAACACACAGACAAAATAAAACTTGTAATCATAATGGGAGTTTCAAAATAACACCATCCATCAGTCACTAGATTAGTTTCCCAAAATACGAGGAAGAAAAAAATGAATACCTACCTGTTCTTTATCTAAATGAGCAGCAGGTGAGATGTTGGCAGCCATTGTACCCTAAAAAATTAGAAGACAAATTCAGATAATGGAAATCAAAGAGTCCAGGAAAACATAAATTTTTCTGAATATTCTGAACAAAAAGGGATGAACTATCTAACTCACGAGCACTACTGTAGGTGTTGATGGTAAACTGCTAATAAACCACATGCATTATGATTCACTCAGATATATATTGAAGTTTGATAAAAGATATTCAAGTTTTACTTAGTAGCATTTATTTATATATTATTCAACGATTCTCCATATTTATATCCTTCTTTTATCATCTTCCTAATCGTTTTGTATAAATAATTATTGCTCAGGCAGGTGGATGCAACACCAATAAGAAAATGAAGGACATCACGGTGTAGATTTTCATCATTTCTAATTGCTATTTGCAACAATTAACAAACAAAATGTCAAATTTTCCTAATCAAATTAAGTCATCATCTTAACACGGTATACCTATCAAGTCCAAAAATTTTCGATTTTTGTAATCAACTAAATCGTTGAACCTATAACCATCTAAACTTAGCTCTTCTTTTCCAATTATACAACTGAAAAATACGAAACGACATCCCTAGTTTAGTTTAAAGCAGAAGAAAAGAGTGTGATAAAGAAACGTACAATGTAAAATCACAAACGCGGAGCTGTTGAATTGTTGAATCGTTCAGAGGAAGCGCGAAGCAAGCGAGAATCAAATGGCGGCACTTGAGATCGAGGGAAACTAGGTTTCAGCACATAAATTTCATAAAGGAGCCCGACCGAGATGTTAAGTACGCATAATTTTAAATTTATTTACCCAAATAACAAATTTTCTCACGTTATATTTGGAATATTTACTCTTCCTCTTCCTTCTTTCATTTGGGTAAAACTTTTACTCGCATTTAATAAAATAAAAACTTTTCTACAGGAATAAAAAAAATCACTTCTATAAGAATAAAATTACTCGGAAACTTCTAAAACTAAATTTATTATTAATTTGTTATAAGAATCAAAATTACATATTAATGATATTATGATATAAAAAGCAAATTTAAACATTATTTAAATTTGAGATACTTAAATCAGATTATAAACGGATTATTTACAGATGGAGACTAACAGATTTTAAACTTCTCAGTGTTATTTTTCATTCTATTGAATTATTTTGTATTATATCACTCTTATTTTATTTAATTCACATTTTTTTATTTTATTGTTTTTTTTTTACCATATCCTTAGTTCTGGTGAATATATTTCTAAATATTTTATAGTAATTGACATTTGACATGTAGGTGTTGGTATTGTTTTGTTATTTTTATGGATTTCAATAAAAAAGTTTAAAAGAGGAAAAAAAGAAGAGAGAGAATATTATTACGTAGAAACTTAAGATAAGACGTGTTTTAGATTTTTCCACTTCCCTATTTCTCTAAAATTTTTTATCCATTTATTGGGATTGAATATACAGATATAATTTATAACAGATCACAGTTAAACTAAATCTCCTTAATTTTCTCGGATTACTACCTTCTTAGTTTCTTCAAATATTTAAAAAAAATCTTAAATTTTGTAGTTGTTTACTAATATTATATTATAAATTTTACATTTTTTCAATTATTAATATGAAGCAAAAATGAGTTCGAATACTTTGATTTGGGTATTTTTAAGTTTTCATACATTATATAATATTAGACACATTTTTCAAGAAAATAAGTCAAAATATGGGCTCGTAAGCGGAAGATCCCAGTGTCTAATAAAAATGGTAGAATAATTTTTTATATTATCACTTTAGAAAATTGTGTAGTATATGGAAGTGTGAATTTTGTTTGATTGAATGCGAAAATAACATTGCTCCCATGTGAAAGGTGAGGGTGACATATAAGAGTGGTTGACACAGCAAGATGTATAGATATCTATCAGGAAAGGAAATCAAGAAAAGAAGCGAAGTGATACCCGTTGCTCACTACACACTAATGATATATCATTTCCGAGATTCATCTGTTTTCCTTTTCTAATGAGATCATTAACATTAAAATCACGTAATAAAATATCATCCTTAACCATTCGTTGAAGAGGTTAAAGAAATATCAATCACAGGGTCCGGTAATAACAATTCCTCAAGAACATAAATTTTTGAGGGCATAGGTCCAAGAAATGCAAAATAACTTGTGTAGCAGAGGATCTTTTTCCAGTTTTTAGTCCCTCTGCGGAAATTAGGTTTAGTAGCATAGTATTACTTGAAATGGCACATTGGGTGTGATCATTTAACCATTAATGATAAGCCATTAAATACACAATTTATTTGGCGGTCAGCCAAATAATAATAGAGATAATGAATATGCATAAATTATCGGAAGGTAAGATACAATTTACTCTACTATTCACACTTCGATTAATTCATGTTTCAAAAGGATGATTTAAGATCCTGACTTTAATATGTAGCAGATATGAGTAACACACTCGCTGGTTACCCACACTATGCATAAAGACAGCAGCAGACACGATTTCATGTTAATTTTAGACTCTACCAACTGGAGAGAGGGGAGGATAAGCAACGTAAGTTGCAGGAATATCCTCCAATTTGCCGAAAGCTTTTAGTTCATCTGTTTGCACCAACAGAGTTTCCCTCGGATTTTTTCCTTCGACATAGTTTCTTGATCCAAGTTCATATGAGATCAAGCCATCCACTAACGTTATGCAGATGGAGAATGCTTGCAAAAGTGAGAATGAAGAATCAAAAGCTACCGAGTATAACCCAGGCTTGAAGGGAGAAAAACTGAAAGCAGGCTGGTTTTCTTGGTCCTGGTCATTCCCCTGTAGTTAACATTAATGGTTATTAAAGTTACACTTTTAATCAATTATCCACAGGCTATTATAGTTAACAAGATTAATAAACAAAAAACTTAGAAAAATAACCAACTTAAACAGTACCTGGAGGAAAAGCTCAAAGGGATGCGGGAAACAAGCTTTCGAAATTCTTGATTTTCTACATATTTGACTTTCATTTGCCAGTATCTTAAGTTTACAAGCCATATCCCAACCACCACAGTCACATGATCCACCCGTTCTCCAGCGCTCAATCAGTGATGAAGGTCCACCATTACTTGGAAGACTATGAACCCCAGTTGGGAGCACAACTGTTACATGTAGATCTTGAGTGTCGTTCTGGCTACTACTCTGGTGTGCATAATTGATAAAATCAACAACATTGGATGATCTGACAACAATAGCAGCAAGCTCATCCTTTGGTTCATAGTCATTGACCTGAGAATCTCCCTGCTTTAGCTTTACAGAAAATAAAACAAACTCTTTATTAGCAGTGGCGTCCACACAATTCTGGCTAGGTGAATCATAATGGTGTGAACCAGAAACTTTCATCTGGGCGACAGCATGGTGAATATAATCAGCACCTTTACTTTTGCTTGGTTGATTCATCCAACTTCCGCTCTTCTTTTTACCCTCTCTAAAGGTAAAAAAGGTATAAATACGATCACATTCGTCTTTCTTTGAGACAGCCAAGTTTTTCACAGTGGCTGCAAGAATGTTGCTATTATTGTCAACAGCAAATGTGAAAAGGGGCTGACCATTCTTCACAGCAATTCTTAGAAGAGCTTGAAACGTTGATGGCACATTATTTTTGTTCTTCGATAAATCAACCGTATTCATTGTGGAACAACCAACCCTCTGGTCCCCGACCACTTCAGTTTTCTCCATAGAAAATTTCCTATTATCTGACCTACAATTCTTATTTGTTGAGACTGAATCTTTATGAGACAACTCCATTGATCGATGGCCATTTGGTGTCTTTGGTTTCAGCAATGGATCCAGTAATCGCCTTAAAGGGCTACTGGACCTGCTTTTGGCAGCATCACCAGATTTATCATGGCCCGAATTTTTCGAGCTAGCATAATTTCTTATGCATTCTGAACTAGATTTAAGTGCTGCTATGGAGCTCTGATGTGGCACATGTGCAACCTCTTTACAGCCAGAACCTTTACCTGTAAAGCCAATGCTGAAGCTAAATCGCCGAAAAGGTGAAGAACTTCTTAATTTCTCTGTAGTTACTTTCTGATCTATTCCCTTGAGAGACCCATTTGCAGAAGACGATGCACCATTCTCTTCTTTCTTTTCCTCGGCCTTTCTAGATCTGCAAGGACTTATTCCTGTTCTGACCGATATGGGTGCTGATAAATTGGAAACCGGAATTTTAATACCTTCTGGATCTAGAGAACTGGATACTGATCGTTTCGGATGAGAATGGCTTCCAGTAATTTCATCCTGCAGAGGACAGGAGTAGGAAATACTGGAATTTGGATATCTACAAGGAAGTTCCTTAGCTTTTTTTGAAAATCTTGTTTGCGTAGGACTTCCTAGCTTTTGACCCAAGGAATTTCGAATATCAGGAACTTTCTGATGATTATTCTGGGGGATGTCTCTAGGCAAAATGAGAACAATCGATTTGCTTTTTCCAAGCATAACTTGCTCATCAGCATCAATATTTGGTTGTCTGAAATTCTCCACTTTCTTCTCTGGACTATCATCTGGAGCACTTGTTTCAAGCTTAGTTCGTGATGCTGCCTCACACATTCCACCATTTGGAAAGATATCACTTTCCTTAATAATAAGTGGATTTGGTTTTCTCCTTTCACATCCTTTAGGTATACTAGCAGGATGGTTCTGGGAAAGATGGTCACCAACTCGAGCATACTCGCTGTGTGTGTTAACATTAATGCAGCCACCTTTAAGATTCTGACTACTTACAAAACTTCCTCCAGAGGATTTGACAGATACAGAGTAGTCTTTCACTGGATTTGTCATGAAGTGAGATTGCAATGACGGACGAGATATTCTTTGATGAGAAGGGGAACAATAAAGACTTTTGCTAGAATTACCAGATAATCCCTCTGTTGAAACAGAAGATGAAGTATTACAAGTAGATGTCGAGCTCCGGCTAGTTAAGGGTACATGTTTATGGCTGCACTGCCATTGTTGTAGACTGGCCCAATCAAGCACCCCAACATTCAAAACTTTTTCAGGAATTTTTTCTCCTTTCTCCAGGTAACCTGGTAAATTTGACATGTACTTAACCAGCTCATCTTCCTCACTTATCCTTCTGTAAGCTGTTTGCTTTTGCTGATTGTTGTAAGGTTTTAAAGAGTTGGCGTCTTCCTCATTCTTGGTAATTTGGTGATGAAAATCAGCATATGACAAAGTTTTATCCTGTTTCAACCTGTCATTAATTTTTGTATTCATGCTGATGGATGTTTTCCACAATTTCACTCTGACCTGGCATCAGCTGAATAAACTGTCTGCGTTGCAGATTTGAAAACAATGTACCAACTTTTTATTGTCCAAAAAGAGTGCAGTTGGAAAATACTACTGCTTGTTTTACAGCTGCACAACTGAATTACAATCACAAATCAAACTTCTAGAAACAAAGATTTCATACTAAAATGAAAAATCACTACTGAGCATAAACAAATTTGTAACCACCAACGTTAGCTTTTACGACAACAATATTTTTATTCCCTCTTTTTAATAACCATGCAACCAAATGCAAAACCAATATGCAAAAATCACAATGGCAGACCCAACTACCAAACTCCATTAAAGATAAAGCTACCAAAAACTAAACCTGCCATGACTATAATTTGATTCACAGCAGCAACAACTGAGAAAACCCAAACAGGTTAACTCAAAAAAAAAAAAAAAAAAAACAGTAGACAGTAAGATTAAATAACTGATAAGATTGATAATCTTACTTTGAAAAAAGTATGATTATACTTTAAGAAAAGAGGTCCCTTACAAAATCTCCCCTCCTTTTATAGACCACCCGGTTCAGTTCAGATAGAAAGTAACGGTAAAAGGTTGCAGCTGCATAATTGAATGTGATGACTTAAAGTCCATATAGTTCAAGAGCCCAAGATAGAAAAACCAGGGAAGTTGTACAACAGACTGAATAATATATGAAACTGAGACAACACATCGCGTTGGTTAACGAGTTAATGAAAATCTTAGACTTCGATATAAAATCAAACAAGCGAGTAGTGTAGGGGCAAAACCGAAATCAGAAAAAGCGGAAGCTAAACAACAAGATTAAGTGGTCCATGCAACCCCATTTTCAAAATCCAAAAGATAAGGTATCATGCAACAAAGACGACCAGTGTCAAAATCCTACCCGAAATTAAACAAAACGGTCCAACATTCCATTATTGTTCCACGCATTTTCATTCGAATTTCAAACACTAGGGCCTCATTTGGGATTTGGTAAATCGGTCACCACCACGAAAAGGAAACAAAAACAAAAAGGGGAACATAACAACTTTATTTGAATAAACCACTTTCACTTTTATTTCCAAGCAGCATTATCGCCAGGACCGCACGATTGCTGCAAAACACTAAAAACGTCGAAACTCAAAACCCTCGGTTACGTTACGCACGTGCATTCACGAGATTAGAATAATTAACAACTAAAAAGAATGAAAAAAGCGAAACTCCAATTCAAAGCATACCGGAGAAACGATGGGTGAGGAAGAAGCAGAAAATGCAGGGAAACGGAGGGTGGTATAGCTTGGAGAAGAAGAAAGGAGTGTCGGTGACGTCGAAACGACGTCGCAGCGGAGAATGAAAACGCAAGGCGAACAACCCAAAAACGCGAGAAAAAACACGTCGTCCTCGAAAAATGCAATCACAAACTCCAATGCTGAGAAGAAAAGATGAAGAGAGAGAGTAAGAGCGATGGGTTCGATTCCATACCTCACTTTCTCGCTTGTATGCATCTATCTGTGTGCGGTTCGCGCAGTGATGATGGATAGTCAAAAAGGGTTGAGTTGAGTAGAGTAGATAGTGATGCAGGTGGGGCCCATGTGGTTTTTCCATCGCACGGCTGAGAGAGGGAGGGAAGATCGGACGGTGACGGTAGGATACATAGAATAGATGGAGGGCATATTCCGGGTCCCACGTGTGATTGTTGTTAAAAGTGAAGTATGAGTTGGTGGGCTTGGAGGGGCCCACATTGGATTGGGCTCGTGCTGGGCTATGTGGAGGATGGCAAAAGAAGTGAAATTAGGGATTGTCGTTTTGTGCCGTGTTTGGTGAGATCAATCAATCATGTTGCAATAGCTGAAACAATGTTTATTGGGGTTCGCTTTTATCCTTTTCCTTGTCATTTCAGCTCCATCGCCAAAGGTGGATTCCACTTTCCGCGTTAAGCCACTTCAACTCCATTGTTAAGGATTTTAATCTTTTCGTATTCACTTTTTCTTTTTCGCCTCCTTTTAAGATAAAGAATCTAAAACAGCTTCTTCTTCTTCTTTTACTGAAACTGGTATGAAAAATTACTGTATGATTCATTGATAATATTTTCGAGTCTATTTTTGAAGTAAACTTATGTGTATTTTTTAGTCTAAAAAATAAATACAAATTAGATCATTGTCGTGGTACTTATAAATAAAAATAAATATTTTATTATAAATATTACGTTACTTAACAATAAAAATATTTACTTAAAAATTATCTATATAAATTATTCTAACTAAATTTTAATTTTAAACGATTCTTACTAAAAATTATTTTCTAACGTATCTTTTGAGATCAAATATATAATAATTATTGATAAAAAAATCAAAATCATCAATTCAAATATAAATTATAAAACTTTAAGAGATTCCTCGTCTCCCAAACAAAATCCGTCACAGCCGTAATGATAATAAGACGACGATTAATATGTCAGAGTATTTAAAAAAAAAAAACTTCAGAGCACATGAATTATTCAATCACATAGATAAAATTATTCTTTGGTCAGGATCCGATCTTAACTTTGTGATCCTGATCATGTTCTTAACTCTGAAGCTATTAGCCCAGGACACAGGAAAAGTTACTATGTTTGAAAAAAAAAAATGAGACTGTGATGTTTTATTTTTAAATTTTTGGATATGAATATGAATGTGATCACAATATCAAATTCATTACATATTCAAATTCCTCTCCAGAATACCTAATACTCTGAATTATGAACCTAAATTTTCTTGAAGCACAATCCAAACATAACAGTTTAGAAACACAAAAGCGGAGCATCATTAGGACACACGAAACAATGAAAATGCAATTACAATGTCTTGATTCCAATTATTATCACCACATTGTGGAAATGATTAATGGTGAAATTACAAATGGAAAGATAGTGTATAATTATTATATAGATCTATCAGTGGATTTTTTTTTCCTCCCTTATATGTTTAAAATATATTTGTAAACTAATAAAATTATTCATTAAAATTATAATGATGTTGTTCAAGATGTAATTTTTAAACTTGAAAATATATAAATTAAAATATATTTATTTTTATTTTATATTTATCATAATACATAAGTTTTATTAAATTGAAGTACTTATACGAGGGAGGATTTTGAATAATTGCAGATATCTCTCTGATAATCAATTTATATAGTTTTGAAGTTAAAAAAAAAAAAATTCAATAAGTTGGGCTGAGAATACCCGAGGCTCTTTAATGTTGGGCCGGTTATTTCTCAACGAGACCCACTAAACTTTGATATTAATTGGGCTGGAAGTCCATTGTACATTCATTGCATATATATTTGCTATTAATTTTTTGTAAAATAAAAAATCAAACATACTAACAAAAGCTTAACATACAATTCATCATTTAAAGAAAAACTTTCCTATCATTTGTTTTATGGACTCATCCTACTTCAGCATACTATTTAAAATAGTTAAGTTTTTAACTGTCAATGAAATTTTGCTTCAAACTTCTGCATCAAGGTGTGTGTCTTTTTCATTGTTAACATTCTCAAACGATGAGAATATTTCATGATATTCCAATTGTGATTGTAAAACCCTTATTTGAATATATGAATTTTACAATACCCTTTTTTCAGAGCAATTTATACACTAGACACACTCACTCAGATTGTGTTGTGTCAATGTCGAGAAAACTCTTAACCTATAGAATCATGGTTTATCACATTCTTCTAAAACAGACCACAAAACGCACACTCAATGCAATTGTCTTCTGCAAAACCAATGAGAAAACAAAATAAAACACTACTAACAGAAAATTTGAAATGATTTTGATATACTCTTATTCCACTCTTCGTCTTTTTGTTGGTGAGATAGTCATCTCTTCAGGACTGGATTCATAGTCAATGTTGCTAACACTACTACTAGTCGAAGATGAAGATGCTTCACCATTCCCTGCTTCATCTGCAGAAGGTTCATTCCCCTCCTCATCAGTATCAATTCCAACCACATCAACGAACTCATCCTCAGTGTCAATGTGGGCAGAATTCACACCATTAGGTCCTTCAACATTATTGTTGTCATGCATTGAAAATCCATTACCATAATGATTAGAGTCAGTGCGTTTATGGTTCGTACTACTATCTACCTCAACATTATTTTGGTTGTACATACTCGTTCTACTACTAGAATGATCACTAATATCTATGTCATGATCTTCCTTATCTTCATTTTCTGAAGTAAGTGAACCAGCAGAAACGTCTTGTGCACCTATATGATAATTAGTACAACACTAAATCAATCTCACTTCAACAGAAAATTAGCAAAGTCATCGTGAATGCACTGTTTCTGAAACAACAAAGCACACATGCAAGAAAAAGTCTTATATTGGCTAGAGAACAAAAATCATCAAGTTGGAGTGCATGCATATAAGACATTACAGAAGAGTTGATTTAAGTTATTACCAAGTCATAATGATAAAAATGAAAAGATCAGGACCACTTTGACTTGAAAAATATGCTAGTTACATTCATTTTTAATTACAAAACATTACGGAAGCATGCCCTTTCGTTCATAATTTATCAAGAAAACGTTATAAATGAGAAGGAAGCCACAATTAATAGGATATTACTGAACTAGACTACAAGAAAATTTACGAACCCAACAAGAAGTGTCGATAAACAATTACAAAGAGCCTTTAAAGCTTACCATTACAATTGGTACAGTCCTCGTGTTCATCTTTACCAATCTGCGAAAAAACTATGCAAATATCAATCATTACAAATATTGAAGATCGAAAAGGTTCATGAAATAGATTATATTGATATTTTTTTCACGAATTATAAAAGAAAATGACTCTCCCCAAGAAACGAACGTACGCTGCCAAAGAATGCATGCAAGATAGTCCAGCTTCTTTTTAACATAGAAATCTCGAAAGATAAGATTACAAATTTCATTTTACTTTTCTTTCCTCAATTATTTATTAACAATAACACAAATTAAATTGAGCAAAAACGAAAAGTAACTTACTGAATGTTCTTTGCGGTGACCATAAAGATTGACATGATCAAGATCTCAAAAACTGAACTAAAACTGAAGAGAAGTGAAAAACTTACATTGGATGGGAATCCACTCATTTTTCTAGAAAGAGTTTACAGAGAGATCAGACTAAACTAGAGATGATAAACGTGGACAAGGAAGGAGTATATATTCAAAATCTTTAACGAGGTAAACTAGAAAGTTTCTATTTTTAAGTATAGTTGAATCTCTTAAATATTATTCTTCCTATTAAATAGTGTTTTCAGTAATAAACTACACAGAAGTATCTCTGATGTTTTTAATAATTAGCAGTTTATCTTCTAAACAATATATTTTATTAATATTTAGGGACTATTTTTGAATTTCTTTTAATACTTGAAGCATTATGTAGAATGATTTATAATATTTGAGAGATTATTAATAAAATTAGTTTAAGAATGATTTATAAAAGAAAATGATAAATAATAGTTTATTATTTCTTTCGAGGAAAGGATGAGGGTATGTACATACTGAGATGTGTTTTCTTTCCTTTTTTTCTTTTATCTTTTCTTATATTTGTTTTACAAAATAATTTTTTTTTAAATAAACAAATTTGAAGTCATGGATGTTGTGTTTTTACTAAAAGAATAATTTGTAATATTTTCGTGTTAAAACTCTTGCTGTAAAACGAAAAGCTTGATAAATTGAATTCCAGAATTTTATCAGAATTAGAAAATGGCTGTAAAAAAGTCTTTTAAGTTAAAAAAAAATAAATCAGATCGTTCATAGAAAAAGTATTAACATCAATAGAGTTATTGAAACTCAGATTTTGATGAAATATAAATTTGATTCTTATTATGTGGATAAAACTTGATGGTTAATTTATGAACAAATCAATGATAATTGTGATAATAAATGACATGAAAAAAGTTGATTGAAAAGAGTATGGGGTTACAGTGGCATAATGACATTAGCTACTCCCAGTATAACCCGTGAGAAAGTTACAAATATTGGAGACGTAGAAGTTTGACGAAATGAATGGATATGGAATCACACACATCACAATCCATATACATATGCATCAAAGGTAACTGTTTCAGTTTCATAGGTCACCAATTCTAGGATAAGGAATCACATTCCACTACATTCAATTTGTGCTCATAAACAACCATTAATTTATTAATGAAAATGATTGTTATACATATTTTTGCTTTTGGGGTTAGAGGAAGATAAGAAAATTTCAGGGTCATTTATTGATTATTAACTCATCAGCACTTCATTTGTAGGATATTTTATGGATTATTGAATATTTTGGATTTTTTTTTCACAATCAATCCTTCAAGATTAAACTCTGAACCATTTAACTATGACTGATTCATTAAGCTTTATGCAGAAAGTTTATCAGAATCTATTTGCAGTTGATTACACGATGCTGGAATCTTTGTTTGGTTGTGATCCTCTTTCCGCGTTGATTAGTCAAAGAAATAGAAATAAAAAAAGCGAAAGAAAAGTTTGTCTTTTTAGGTAGACGTGTTTTGCATATTCTGGAATCTAGAACTCAATTGATTCCTGACTAAGAAAGTGGGGACTATCTACTTGTAACATAACATCACATTTATTGGAAAGTTATTAAAATTAATATATATGTACATATATAATTATTGAATAATAAATGTTTAGGTATATTAAGAGTCCCATATAATTTAAAATTTAATATAAAAATGCTTTATATACCTTCTTCTTTCTTAATTTTAAAATTTTTTTAAAAATAAAACTGTCATCAAATATAAAAATTGACTTTTTTTATATTATCATAAAACTACAACACTACAATACATTCTTAAACAGAATATTAGATAAAATCAAGTGTTGAGAATATTATTAAATATACACATTTAAATAAACCATTCAACAAATAATTTTTATTTATTTTTTAGGTTTACTTGACTCAGTTTAGACAATTTATATGTGGCGGAAGAAATAAGAAGTTAAATAGAGGAAGCAAATAAGGCGATATAAGGTGAACAAATTACAAAGGATTTTAAAAGACATCCTCTGTTATGATTCAGATTGAAGACTCGAGAATCTAGCTCTGTTTGCATACAAAGGGACCGAGCTAGATTTTATTTCTGGTTTTTCATATTCTGTCACGACAATGCAAACTTTTACCCAGGACAAATCAAGGGAGAAGCAAAATACAAAACAAGACATTATTATTAAATGCGTATAATGACCCCTATTCGTCGTACTCTGCTGCCTGCAAGATTCCATTTCCCTCTGTCGTGCGGGATTTTCTTTTCTGGTTTATTCTTCTTCACTTAATTTCACACCTATCTTTGGTTCTTTCAGTTTTGAGAAAAACTGCCAAAAGAGAATTGTTTATTGTTTTTATTATTATAATGTGTAGAAAGAGGAGTAGTAGGAAATGAGGTGCTTCTGCATTCTTCAATACGGCCACTCTTGAGGCAGAACCGTATCAGTGTGGATACTAGCCTCTGCTTCCTGTGACTGGCGATTTTGAATTGAATACATGCCATCCCTGTTACTTACAAGCACATCTGCAAATTTTACCCATATTATACAAAATAAGATTCAACCCAACAAATTGCACAGGACATGATGATACAAATATTATTTTCATAGTCAATAAATGGGACAACTACAACTTGCAAGTAGTGAGAATGGAATGGACTTTTGGGAACTGTTCTGGCTTCTAAATTAAAAATTGTACGACATAATGACTTCCCATGAATGAGGAATTATAGAGCGGTCCGCCACCATTATAATTTTAACTAATATAATTGATTATTGTTATTGCTTCTAATAGGTAAATGTAAAATACTAGTACCATGTAGGAAATTTTAAAAATGCCAGCCAAGCAATGCAAATGAAATTGAACATTTGATAATTAATAGTAGTAGTATTAGGTTAGAAGGAAGGATGCAATAAATATTGGGCGTTGTTGGAAGAAAGTAGATAAAATGAAAGTTGTTGAATTGAATACCATGCAGAGGATGGAAGGCACCAGCTTTGGGTCCAGACGTGGCAGCCATTTGGTCGAAGTGTAGTTGCAAAGCCTGGACAACTCTGGCTGGTATAAGAACTGTAGAGCAACCTTTACCTGTCGCATTGGACATAATATAATATCATTTTTTATGTCAGACGTGTGCAACGAATCCAAGTTGGTAAATGGCATTAAAGTTTTATCACGGATTTGTCAACATGAAGAAATAAGAATCCCCAAATTTGGTCACCAACTCTCTTAACTGATTTTGAAGTAAATAAAAATAAAATACTCGCATAAATTTAGTAAAAGCACAAGATAGTGCCTGAATATTATAAATTCAAATTGTTAGTTTTTTTAGTGGGTACGTTAATTTCTAAAAAAAATAAATTAATATTTGAATTAAAAATCTATAAATTTTTTCTTTTAACAAAACATCATTATTATGTGTATTTTTCTATCTTTCACATTCAATTAGATTTTTACATATTGACAATTTGTTTTCTCTAAGTTGCTCTATGCCGTTATCACAAGTGCCTTCAAATCACTCCAAAAAATGTCGAAATTTATAAGGCTTAATTTTCTTTTTGTTTAATAAAAAAAGGGTGTATTGTATTTTCTTGGCTTTGACAAGAGGAAATAAAATCACAGATCCCCATGGATGGAGCAGGTACAGCATGTGATAATAGATTACACAAGATTCCAATTCAAATCCCATAAAAAAGAATAATGATCAGCATCAACCAGGGTTCACAAGCAAAGAGGGAGGTTGAAGACTAAACCTAATGGGAATTTTTTATTTAATCATATTATTATTATTCTTGGGGATCGAGACCAGACAGTGCATTCATAAAATTTTGAAACAGGAGAAGGAAAACGAAAAATCATATTATAGTTGCGAAATAATCCAAGACATAACATATCGAACAGTGTTAAAGTGATTGCCAGTGGGATAGTTCCCTTTCCATTTCAGAATTTCACGGGAAAGAAACATAACTGCAAAAAAATAGTGCCACAGAAACAAATTCTTAAAATTACTATGGTTCATGAATGGAAGTTATGTAAGTTCACCTTGCTTATTAGTTGATTCGGACGGGGTAGAGGCTCCACCACGTGGCAAGAAAACCCCGGTCCCACCTCTAGAACCAGGTCCATCAAGAAACAGGGCCCGCATGCCAGCACCGCCTTGCTGCTGTGGGCGGGACCGTGGCGGACGGGCCCTCCGTACGTTTCCTTTCTTGGGCTCGTGGGTCTGCCCTTGGTTTTTCCGACGCTGTGCGGGTTTCGGTTTGGCAGAGTGAACCACCTGCTCTTGCTTCACCCCAGACAACTATTAACACATTCCACATCAACAACAAAAGAAAAAAAGTTTAATTAATCAACTGAAAACTTTCCATTAAATCTAAAATAGTACTTATTTATTTATCAGTAAATAGGAACTCTTATCTTACTTACTTCAACGGCTCGAATCTGTTCCTGAACAAGAGACTGGTGAGAATAAAGTCCAATATTGAAGCTCTGAAGTTTCCCAAACATGTCGTAGCAACTCGTCCAAGAATTCTCTTGAGGTGTAGCAGGCGGTGATGGTTCCCGCGAAGAACCATCTGCACTCCCCTGCATCGAGTCTCGTGGCTTCACCAAAAACGAAACACAATTTTTTTTTATAATTTAAAAATAAAAGTATTATTATGAATTAAATGGAGGTGGGTTAAATAAAACAGTACCGAATCCAGATGGTGAGAATGAATGGATGAGGAATCGAGAGTGAGGTCATCTGGAAGCAAGAAGCGAGCCATGCGGTGAGTTAACTCGTTGATGGAGAGCTCGGCGAGGGCGTCGCTGTCTTGGCGGTGGGAGGGAGAGAGAAGGAGGTGGCGGTCGGGGAGAAAGTGAGGAGGAGGAGGAGGAGGAGTGTGGAGGTGAAGAGCCATGATGAAGAGGAGTGGGGTTTTGGAAGATGAAGAGTGAGAATAAGAGAAAGAGGTTTAAATGAAAGCCCAAAGAGCGAGGTGGGCCCAGTGGCTGTTGGGGGTGGGATGGAGCATTTTGATGCGCAGAGTTCGGTTTTAGTAGTTGGACTATACGCTGTCATTTACCTATCTACACATTTTACCTGCCATTTGTTGGACTCAGTATAAGGTTACACCCAAAACATGCGAACTACTCCAACACTCCCTTTCTTATTCTTCTTATTATTAATTCTTTTCTTCTTTTGAATACATTATTAATTTTTGTGTGAGAGTAAAAACATAAATATTACTACTCTCTCTCCAAAATATATGATGTGGGAGTAAACTAAATAAACATGGACAAGTATAAAAACATTATGTGGGAACTTTTTTATCTTAAGTATATATGAAGTATTAAAGAGAAATATATATATATATATATATATATATATATATATATATATATATATATATATATATATACTCTCGCCACTTGTTAATATCCAAACCTCTATTATGGTGCTTCAGAATCCATTCACAAGTTTGGTTTTATGTGCTAATCAGAAACCCAAATGAATGTGTGTTTCCTCTGTTACTCTGTAATAATGTGACACAGGTAAGCTATTAATGAGCTCTAATAATATGTGTCTATTTTTATTAGTTAGCTACTAAATTTGGTATTCATTCACCTTAAAGTCAAAGACCAATCAATGATTTTACAAATTAAAAACAGGCCTTGAATCAGTGATCAAGGAGGGATAAAGGGTATTGCAAAACAATCCATACAGACATTTCCCTGCATTTAAACTAATTGTATTCTGTAGAATGTTCTTAAACAAAATCTTTCTTATGTCAACACTCCAAGCAACAAACATAGACCATCACAATTCTTCAAAATTATGCAGAAAAAATACACAGTAAACCTAAGATTATATATATATATATATATATATATATATATATATATATATATCTGAAAATTTCTGCATAACAACAAGAATATCAGAATGACATCATATTGACATAGTTTCATAACTACTGGTGAGGAAAATCACAGATGATTTAGGGATTAGTATATGGCAGCAATAGGGGTTGTAGAAATGATATCATCAGGGTAGGTAAATTTAGAGTGTAAGATGGGTTAGTTTGGAGGATGAACATTAGGATAGGCCATAGACCTTTAGTCACACACCAACTACTCCCAGTCATTGATAAGTTGTGTTGACCAGCCTCAAGTCTATTATGTTCATAGAAATGTTTCGCACGGGTTTTTATTAGTCCAATAGACTCTACTCATGAATCACACACACATGCCAAAAATATAAGTTGTAAGCTATTTTTTATACTTTTTATTTTCGTTAGGTTTATGTTGACATATTAGATTTTAGTTGGCCTAATATTTGAGTTGTGACTTTAATTTGACTACAGTATATAATTTTATTTTATTGGATTTTAAAATGATGGGATTGTAAAACTTGTGTAGAAATTCACGTGAGTTAATACTAATGTTTGAGAATCTTAGGTATGGCTTCTTCTTCCTAGTATTGCATAACTTTGTTGGGTCTTTAGTAGTGAAAATAAAAGATTAATTCATAGTGTAATGTTTAATGTTGAATGCATATGAATTATGCAAGTTGTGTTAACTTGAGATTGATATGAATAAGATTTGATCACTTGTTTCTTCTCACAACCAATAATAAAAAGATGTTCCATTTCTCACATGTCATATGAGTTGTGTTAACTTGAGATTGATACGAAGCATTCAGTTTCTCTAAGGTTTGTTTTGGAGAAATTTCTTCACAATAATTTGTACGAGAGAAAAAAAAAGTAAAAATAATTATTTTATAAATTAAAATTAGTTTAAAGACAAATTAAAAAAATAAAATTTAAAAATGTTTAATCTTATTAAGTTCAAGTGGACATACAATTGGTTCTTAATATGAAGTAATTATTATGTTATATTACATCACACGTAATCGTATGATAATATATGAATTTATTTATTTACTTAATGTTTAAAAATATTTTATTTAAAATTTAATGATAAAAATCCGTCACACAGACTTAAATATTTATTTTGTATACGTTAGATGAAATAAATAAGGCACAAAATTTCAAATAAGTTATTAAATTTTTATATCTTTTCATTTTGAACGAATCTACATTAACTAAGCTATCACGTAGCTTAAATAACAAGTTATGACAAAACCGAGGTTGTATCGGAGCAACTTGACATAAAATATGTGTCAAAACTATCGATGACATTGATAGTTATAAGTATGCTTTTAAAAAAGCCTTGATTATATTGTATTATATAATTTTTTTCAACAACTAAAAATATATTCATTACATTGGAAATAAAAAAATATGTAATTTTTTTATAATAAAAACATTCAATTAAATATGTTGTTTTATTTTGATTCATAAAATTATTTGTTTATATCATATAAAAATGAAGAAATACACTAATCAAATAAAAGTCCAATTCATATAAATATTAACACTATTTTTATCTCAAAATTTTAAAATATTAGATTATGAATCATATTTCTAACGTCTTTATACGATTTATATGATGTTCATACAATTTTTTCATACGACTTAGAGTCGTACCTGTGATTCCTAAGATAAACTTGTCATTGATAAGGAACAAACTGAAAACTGGTTTGTTGATGCTACTTTTTCATAAACCAACATTGCCGTTCAAGCAAGCCTAATTATATTGTTGAGTAGCTAAATTATCAAAAGTCACCATGTGATGGGTTTCTTCATTTCTACTTTCTTGTCCCCTATGCTCGTGCTTAAAACTAATCATGCAAAATGATGACTCATTCTCATCTAATAATTAACCTTCCTTTCCTCAAATCAAATGTCCATGGCAAAGGATCGAAGTTCTACTTTCAGTCTTCAATATTTCTGTTACATTCTCATCGTTCTTTCCATATGCTCTATCATCTTATCTCTCTCTTGGAGTCATTGTTGCAGCCAGTGCCATTCACCATACCAAGTAATAGTACAAAAGCAAAACCAACCAATCAACCTCTTTTCTTACCCCTTTGCATGGAACCAACTTATGTTGTCAGAGCCACCTTCTAAATTTCTTAAGATTGCACTTTTTGTCAGGAAATGGCCGCACAAATCTCATGCAGGTGGCCTTGAACGCCACGCTCTTACACTCCACCTTGCCCTTGCCAAAAGAGGCCATGATCTTCACATATTCACCACTTCAGGAGACTCCTTTTTCTCCAACTATTCGAATAACAACTTACACTTTCACTTCTCCAAACCAACACCAGCTGGTTACCTTGACCAAGCTTCAGTTTGGGAGCAATTTCAAGCACAAAACTCATCTAGTAAACCTTTTGACGTTGTTCACACTGAGAGTGTTGGATTAAGGTACACAAGATCTCGATATGTTGCTAATTTGGCTGTCACTTGGCATGGGATTGCATACGAGACCTTTCATTCTGACATCATTCAAGAACTGCTTAGAACCCCCCAGGAACCTCAGACAAAGGCTCTGACTGAAAGAGCTGTGAAGGTTGTTGAAGAGGTCAAGTTCTTCCCAAATTATGCTCATCATGTTGCCACTAGTGATCATGCAGGTGATATCCTAAAGAGGGTCTACATGATTCCAGAAGAAAGGGTCCACATTATTCTCAATGGCGTGGACCAACAGGTGTTCAGGCCAGATGTTTCAAAGGGGAATGAATTCAAGAAGAGGCATGGAATTCCGGATTCAAAGTCACTAGTGATAGGACTGGCTGGGAGGTTAGTGAAGGACAAGGGGCACCCTTTGATGTTTGAAGCTTTGAAGCAGATAATTGCAGAAAATAGCACTTTCCAAGAGAGTAGTATGGTTGTGGTTGCAGGAGATGGTCCCTGGGGTGCAAGATACAGAGATCTTGGGGCAAATATATTGGTTTTGGGACCCTTGGAACAAGCTGAGTTGGCCTCTTTTTATAATGCTATTGACATTTTTGTAAACCCCACTTTGAGAGCACAAGGTTTGGACCACACTTTGCTAGAAGCCATGCTAACTGGGAAGCCAGTAATAGCCACTAGGCTTGCAAGCATTGTAGGGTCTGTCATTGCTAATAATGAAATGGGTTACACATTTTCACCAACGGTGAGTGCTCTAAAGAAGGCCATATATGAAATGTGGGTTAGTGGAAGAGATGTTCTAGACAAGAAAGGTCAGGTTGCCATGCAAAGAGGTTTGCAATTGTTCACTGCCACAAAGATGGTGGCTGCTTATGAGAGACTTTTTCTTTGCATATCAAGTGCAAATCATGAGGACCATTTCTGTGAATACCAACCATCAGATAATTAAATTTGTATCAAAATAGAGGGAAAAATTGGAGGAAAAACAAAAGGATAAGCTTGTTGTTTAGTGCTCAGTGTTTTAGTGAAGTCAAACAAAATAATCATTGACTACAAAGCTACCACCGTCCTCGCACATGCTGACATGATTTCTTAATTCTTAAGACAGTTCATAGTTAAGCCTAGGCGACAAGCTCTACCTTAGGCCACAAGTAATGCTGCTACTTGCACGGTACCCTATCTAAGCGCATAACCACAATTTGTGAAACACCACGATATCATTGCATCTAAAATCTGACTCCAACTTTTTACAATCTAGTTCAGTTATGATGTCATCAGGAGGGTCCACATTAACAAATTATGTATTTACATAACGAATGTCAAGGTTTTCTCATTTCTGTTTAAAAATCTTCAAATTTATGGATCGGGCAAAACCACGTTTATTAATTTTTTGCAAAATTCCGATTGATGAATGTGATCGAAATATATTTTTTGTTACTTGGTAAATTCGTTGCAGCTATCAGGCCCAAGAGATTATTCGACGAGGAAAATATAAAATCCACTCAGAAAGTATTTTAAAAAGCGTGTAAAAATATATACTCTTAAATTGTGAAAAAAATCGAACCTAGCTTGGGTTCAATGAGACTGAATTTATTCTAGGTCACAACCCAAGACGCTTAGATAATTGACCCAGAGAGAGACTATTACCAAGATTTAAAGATGGATTTTTTTTGGGATCAAGCACACAATTCGAGTAAAATTATTTGTATGGCACACTGTTTGAATTATTTACGTAAATAACACGGTTTTGTAATATTTATTAAATATAAAAATTAAATATATATATATATATATATATATATATATATTTATATAAAATAAATATATAAAAATTATATATATATATATATGTATATTTTAAAATTTATTTATATAATTATATGAAATAAATATAAATATATTTTTTATATAACATAAAAATAATTTATATAATTATATTATTAATATATTTTTATGAATATAGTAAATATAAATATATTTAATATATGATCCCTAAAGTCAAAATTAATGGATAAAGATTTTTTGTGTGACCTAAAGTGTGACAATAGGAATATTTCTTTGGGGTCCTTCTTTACTGGATATTCATTTCAGTCTTATATAAATCCATATTTATTAAATTTATTTAAATATTAAATCTATAATCTTATAATTTATTTGTATTTTTTTAATTTTTTACATGAAAGTCATTATTAAATAAATTATTATTCATATAATGTCTTATATAAATTTATTTATTATTTATTATTCCTATAAATTATCATTTTATCAATGTTTTTTCATAAACTAATATATATTAAATAAAATTTAAATATTATATATATATATTAAATATATCTATAAAAATATATTAAACATATAATTATATAAATATATTTATATCATATAATTATATAAATAACTATTTAAACTATATATATATATAAATATTATATTATCATATATATATATATATATATATATATATATATATAAAAGTATATATAAATACATTAAACCTAGAATCATACAATATATTTTTATTATATATAAAAGTATATATTTATATTTATTATATATTATATTTAATAAAGTGATAAAAGTATATATAAATACATTAAACATAAAATCATACAATATATTTTTATTATATATAAAAGTATATATTTATATTTATTATATATTATATTTAATAAAGTGATAATATATATATATATATATATATATATTCTATTTAATCAAGTTATAATGTATATAACAAAATATAAATATGTATTTATCATATTTATAAAAATATATATAAATATATTAAAGTATAATAAAATTATTTATATATTTTTATGAAAAAAATATTATTTTTACTTACTAAAATTATTTTATATTAAAAATATATTTAAATAATATATAATTTTTTTATGTAAAAATGTTAAGTAGAAAGATATAAATATATATTTTTTAAATTTTATTATATTTATAAAAATATAAATATATATTTAAATATTATATATATATATATATTAAATATATTTATATTTACTATATTTATAAAAATATATTAATAATATAATTATATAAATATATTTTTATATTATATAAAAAATATATTTATATTTATTTCATATAATTTTGTAAATAAAAAAAATATTTATATATTTATTTTATATATATGTATATATTTTTTTAATTTTTATATTTAATAAATATTATTATATTTTAAAAATTTTATTAATTTTAAGGTTGGAATTTGGTGTTTTGCGAGCCAAATTCCAACCATCTAATAAAATCGTGCGTACATGATTCGAACAGTGTGTACAGGTAATTTTTCTCCAATTGTGCGCTTATCCGAATAAAAATCTTTAAAGATGCATAGATACAACTAAATTTAATAAAATAATATTTAATAAAATTAAAAAATTATAATTATAATTAAATAAATTATAATAAAAATTATATATAAAATATATCAAAATAATAATAATTAAAAGAAGATAACAAACAATAAAACAACTATCATTTAAAATTAATATTAATAATATGAAATAAAAAATGTCTTTTAAATATTTTATAAAAAAATCATATTAAATAAATTTTAATCTTACATTTTGTTTTTTATTATAATTTATTCTACTTAAAAATTTAGTCAATTTTTTTAATTTTCCTGATTTTGTATTAATTAAAATTTAACTATTTAAAAATAATGAATCAATTTTATAGATCAATTTGATTAAACTGTTAATCCGACTTCAATTGAACCGATCGATAAAATTTTAGAAGACTGCCTATTTGTGGTCACACAATGATGTCTTGTTTACTGTTTTACTAAAAAGATCCAAGTGGCGAATATATTCCTTTAATTATGATGCAGTTGCGTTTTTTAAAATTCATGTTTGTCATATTTTTACTTTGTCATTATAACTACAAAATATCTTCATTTTGAACCATAACAGAAAATGAGGAGTTGAGGGATGATTCCGAGTATATAACGAATAATAATGCTCGGAGTTAAGAACATAATATAAGATAAGATTCATTTCATTTTCAACGATAACTCACCTTTGCCTCACAAACACAAATAAAGTAGCATATTCATCAGAACAGAAGATTGTTGAGCGAATTTCCTTTCCTTGTTTGGATAACATTGTCTACGTAGTTGTAATTGACATTAAAAGAGCATTTTGATGAGATGTTAATGTTCCCATAGAATTAGCATTTTTTTATGAAGTTCTTTATACAGCAACGTCAACCGACGGCATCTTAGAGCCACTCGTAAATCAAAGTCATGCAAACTGAGTCTAACAATCACTAAATTATATAAATTACATGTATACTTAGTTCCAGCAACGACACAGTTCCCAATGGCAATAATAATACGCTCATTTCCCTTTGAAAGCCCAACTAAATAATAATTCCATCTGCATGATGAAACAATTAAGTAGCAAAAACAGAAAAGATCAAAATGTGACAAGAAAGACTGCTATAGTTTGTTAGACTCCGCGAGAATAATAAAGGCTTACAGTGAGGACGACGAACTATCACCATTGGGATGTCAAAATGCTCATGTATGGAGGTAATTGGCCGCCATCATTAGCTCCAGAGTTAATTCAGGTTCAATGGGAAATTCCGTTTCCTTCCCACTAGTAAGAGCAACATATCAAGTCAATAATACTATTTCGATTGAAATTAACACAATATAAAATGAGATTTCAGATCAAAGTTTTCCAAAGGAACATATATCGACACATAAAAATTAACAATCATATTCTCATCCCACCACAGCAATCGACTGAAATCTTACTAAATGAGATGACAACCAATTAAATTAGTAAAACTGTTTAATAATAATTTAAATTTATGTAAAAATAAAAATAATGCATGATTAATTTAAAATATTAATAAACGATACCGCACTATACTATAGTTCAACAATCAAAGCCACTGTTTCACCCTTAGATAAATTATAGACCTAATGTGTGATTTTAGTCCTTCAATAACTTTTGCAAAAACTTTTTACTCAGATGCGTGATTTTAGTCATTTAATATCTGTAGTCTCCCATAATGTGTGATTTCGGTCCTTCAATAACTTTTTACTCATATGTAGTCCAATTTTTAGTTGTTACAATCACATTAATTTTTCTTTTCGTAAAACACTCAGAATGTGTATAGTACAAAGGTCATCCTCCCCAGGGACTTCTTTGCAGCAAGTATTGAAACTATTTAAAAATTTATTGAATGTGAGTAAGAAATATGCAGCTATACTACACAGAAAATGGGAACTCAGAGATGAGCCAAGATTGATATGGTGAGCATGATCGAAGAATGTAACATAATAAAAGAATTATGTACATTGAAAGCTCTGTAAAAGGCCTAGATAATATGACGGCGAGACACAGAGACCTGACCCCAGGACACATCAAATCAAGTAAAACCATATCTCAGACGGGAGCACTAAATTCCACAAAAGTTCGTGCTCCACAATATAGAAAACTTGAATCCAAGTATAGAAAAAAAAAACACATCTAGTCTTTAACATCAAAGAAAAATCCAGGATCACTTGTAGAATTAAATAATTCAACAAACTAACCACAGTTCCTTCGTATACCAGTTCTGAATGATCCAACTTATCGCGCTTACAAAAAATGACATCACAATGATTTGCAGAAATAAAAGATTAAATGGAGTGTGTACTCTTTATCCACATAATAACTACCAAAACGGTCATTGAAATGCTAAATATTAGATCTTCATATCACAATTTACATGACCTCATCAAGGAGATGTTACTACCCTGCATTTCAGTACGCAGGCAATTCTTCTTCACCGAGAAGCAACTGCCAAAATTTTTTATCCATAAAGTCAACAACCATGGATCTATTTTGAAGTGAATTGGTAGTAAGTAGAACTTTAGCAGACCCATTCTAGTGCATTTCAACGTAAAAGGTTACTCGCTCATTCAAGCCTATCATGATTTGTGAATAACTGAACATACACCAAAGGCTTTGTATACACCAAAATTCAAATTCAATTACACCAACAAATGCCAAGTAAAAATCGAAAAAACATTGTATATGGGCAATGATTCAATAGCGAAGGGAGAGAAAGGAAAACCTGGCGAATTGGAGATGCCAATAAAAATACTGGCAAATCTTCTCGAGAATGGTGGTGCTGATCTCAGGAAAGGTGACTTCGCCGTGCTCCCTCTCAGCGAAACTTCCTGTAAACGAAATCATAACGATGTGTAAATTGAAATTTGGAACCCTAATTGCAGTGAAAAGGGGGAATCTGATATAATATAATAGCGAACCTGGAGAAGTAAGCATGTTATGTATGGTCTGAGAAACCATTGCAGCTTCTTTGTCGACCACAAATTCGAAGCCCTCCGCACTGATCAACTTCACTGTGTCTTCCTTCTTCATCTTCTGATTTTCTCGTTCCTTCTCCTTGCGTTTATCTAACGAATCGATTATCGTCGGAACGAAAAAGTTTGCATTTTTCAAACTTATGTTGGTAGGAAGGGCTTGGATCCATGCCTTTTTAGACAGGCCTGCTTTTTGGACCTAATTACTCATTAAAGCCCAACTTTAATATTGACTTATTTCTTTTATTTTTAAAATAATTTTAGAAATGATTTTTAAAATTAAATTAGTAAAATATTATTTAAAATTGAAAAAATATTTTTAATTATGATAAAAATAATTATTAATAAAAATGTGAATTAAAAATAATATTTTTAATTACGATAATTTTATTATTAGTAAAATATATTTTTTAAAATTTTAAAAAATAAAAATAATTTAAAAAAACGGTTTTAACAAAATAATTATTAAACCAACCTTCAGAATATATTCTAAAAAATTAAGATATATTCATCAATGACTAAAAAATTAATCTATTAAAACATTTATATTCCAATAGTTAAAAAATATCTCATCCACAAACTTAACTTAAAATGACATTAATTCATTAAATTTTTTTCTTAATTTTGTCATTTTCATCATGAGTGTAATGAATTACTACAAACACAATGATTATTTTATAAAATTTTAGATAAAAAAAAGTAAAATTATATAATATGTCTGAGCCCGGGTTCGAACCGGGGACCTCTAGTGTGTGAGACTAGCGTGATAACCAACTACACCACCCAGACCCATTTGTTAACCTATCAACATATAATTTATTTATTTATTTAATGTATTAGAGACCGTAGAATTATAAAATTACACGGCGTCTCGGCGGAGAGGGGAATTCGCAGACGAGGAACATTCCGTTCCCATTCCATCTGTAACAATGGAGGCGCGTCATGCATCTCTTGGTCGACGAACGGTACAATCCAAACAACCTTTCTCAATTGCCTTCAGTTTTCTTTTCATTTTTTTTTTCTTAATTTTCTTCTGGATTCTATCGTTGTTCATTTATCATCGTTTTTTTTTTGTTGAATCGAATGGTTGATCGCATCCACAGTTGGAAGAAATTCGCCAAAAGAGAGCCGCTGAGAGATTGAGCAAAACATCTTCGGGACCAGATCTCTCCAAGGTTCCCAGCACCTCCGGTCAGATTTTTCCTCCAACATAATGAATCTCTTGTATATTTATTATTATTCTTATTATTGTTATTATTTCATATCTATGTGCGGTTTTTCTTTTCTGCAATTCGAAACTAATTTTACTTTCCTTCAGAGCTTGCGGGAATGAACAGGGCCGAGAGCGGAAATAGGTTCTCTGAGGTAACATCTTTTTTGTATTATTAATCATGTCATTCATTCTATTGTCTATGGAACAACGATTAATATGAATCTATTTCGAACAAATTTTTGAGCGGCGCAAGTTTTTTGAATTGCAACTGCGTTGATTTTGCGCGTATACTTTTTTCGCAGACAGATGTTAGTGCTCTATTGTCTCAACTGAAAGGTTTGCAAAACAAGAACATGGAGTTGGAGGAAGAAAACAGGAGAATAACATCAAAGGTGAAGATTCAATCTGGATACAAACGCGCTGTTTATTTATTTACAAATCTACCAATAAAACGAACAACCTAGACTGATTGTACTTTTGTTTATTATTGCAGCTTCAAACGATGGAAATTGATAATGGTGCAATGCACAAGCAGTTGAATGATCTGGTAAACAAAAAGAAGTGATAATGAATTCTTTTAGTTTGAGTTACAATTTTGGTAGTGAAGAATAATATGTTAACTCTCGAACGCATAACCCAGAATTATCATTAATATTGTTAATTTAGTTCTAATTATTACAGCACTTCATATATGGAGATTGGGATTGGAATAGTTTTAAAATTTATATACCTTAATTTTAAAGCCCACTTCAATTCATGCAGGAGCAAAATACAGTGCCATCTTTAAGGAAAGCGCTGAAGGATGTTGCAATGGAGAAAGATGCTGCAGTTGTTGCTCGGGTAATTATGTTAAAAAAATTTATTCCTGCCTCCTGGACTGATTTCACTTTGTTTTCAATCTTCCACAATCTGTGTTAAATCTTGCATATTAGTGCAGGAGGACCTTTCAGCACAGCTACGTACCCTGAAGAAACGTCTTAAGGAAGCAGAAGATGAGCAATATCGTGTATGGGAATTGATTTTACTAAAACACAATATGTGGTGAAGGACCATTTCTTTATTTTTTCTGATTTCTTATTGTCTATATTGGTATAGGCCGAGGAAGATGCAGCCTCATTAAGAGCTGAATTGAACTTAATTCAGCAACAATCAATGACTAATACTGTTAGCACAATTTCACCATTTGATAATCCACCAGATCATTTTCAAATTCAAATATTTCAAAAGGAGCTAGATGATTTAAAACTGGAACTGCAGGTGGTGTTAAGATTATGCCATTGGATTTTGGAATCTGTTCTTTAATTTCTTTTTCTATTTAATCTCTGATGGTAATTAAAATTTACAGCGAGAGTCACTGTTGAGGCACCAGGAGCAGGAACAATTAGCAAAAGAGCAAGCCCGTATTGCCTTATTGATGTCTGAAAATCAGGAGTTGGAAGAGAAACTTAAGTCCGTATCTATAGAGGCTCCAGGTTTTGCTAATGAAAACTTTTGTATAATCAGTTGCACTTCTTTGATGCTTTATGCTTTCCTAGTGTTCTTAATCTTAATTGCATATGCTTGAGTTCAAGCACTTCAAAAGTGCAGAAAAGATTGGTGAAAGCATTCTTTCTTTTTACCTATTTGTTGATTATTACTATCCTCATGTTTCCTTACGAAATACAATGATCTTCTATAACTTCTTTCTGGCTTATTGAGTGGCTATTTTTGTGGCAAGGATGTCTATGGACTCTATTCAATACCAATTCACATGCATTTGACTTGATACATTATCTTGTTGAATTGGTGTACTCAAACATGACACTGACCGTGATATGTATATTTTGCAGAAGTCTCAGATACAGCTGCTCACAAAGCATTTTCTTTGGTGAGAAAAGCTTCTTTATCATGAATTATTCAGTGAATTTTTAATTTTTGGTATCTGTTAGCTAATCAAATTATTGGCAAGATATTTAAGTTACTATTTCATTCAAACCATTGGCCATTTATCAGCAAGATTACTAGTGTCTGTGTTTTCTGCTGTCTAGTTTAGGTTGTGCATGATTTAGAGGGTGGAAGATAAGGACGGGAGTGATGAAGTTAGATAGAAGGATTTGAATTTTTTACTTGTATCATCGTGGGGAAGTTGGAAATCACTTTCATTTTTTCTAAGTATAAAAGTAATGGCCAAAATTTGTGTTTAAGATTGTACATGAGCTGCACTCTTTTTTCAACCTTCCCGTATTTTCAATATACTAAGCAACTGTGAAATTATTTTCCTTTGTAATTTCCTACTCTTGTAACTATTTGTCATGGATGTTTTGGCATTGATGACGAATGACCTAAACTGATAACCCTAACCCCATTTGCAAACTAATATATTTATTGCTTAATGGTCATCCAACGTTTTTTCTGATGGCAAATTTGCTTGGTTAAACGTTGCTTGAATTTAATAAATCTCAGGAAGACAAGCAGAAACTTGATAGCCAGTTGCATGATATGGCTTTGGCCATTGAGAGGTTGGAAAGCAGTAGGCAGAAACTTCTAATGGAGGTAAAGTCTCTATATATAAATATTGATGTGTAAATTCTCTTACTAAAAAAATAACACCATTGCTGTGTATATTCCATCTGTGGAGTGATTGTTTTGTCATCTTGTTGGCAGATTGACTCACAATCTACAGAAATAGAGAGGCTTTTTGAGGAAAATTCCAATCTCTCAAATTCATACCAAGAGGCAATTCGAGCAGCAGTGAGATGGGAAAACCAGGTAACAGTCAGCATCAGGGGTTTTGTGTGAATTTAATTTATGCTTACTGGTTTGATTTAATTGTGTAAGGTCTCAGCTGTACGACCATGATTCACTGGACTCGTCTTCAAAAAATTTCAGAGTGAAAAATGGTTCCTATCACTATTTGTTGTTGACATAACATTAGAATGGTCCCAAGCAGGACGTGACTAAATGCCCTGTCATATCACTACTAGATGTTAATATGGACTATTTACAGATTTACTAGGATCGAAGTCAATAAAAAAATTGGTGGACTACAATCAATTAGTCATATTTAGAGATTATAAACATTTTTTTAGTGTTCATTGAGAAGAGTATTATTTTTCCTGCAACATTCAATTTTAGCCTGGATTGGAATGTGGTTAGATAAATTTAGTTCTAGATTGATTCTATCAAATTTTAGTTGTTACATCTGAGCTGTATTGAGTTTTTTATTTTGAAGTTTGCATCATAATTTTATGAACAAGCATGATAGTTCCAGACTGAAGAACTCTTATTACCTGTATTGACGTATGATTCTTCAGGTGATGGAGTGTCTAAAGCAAAATGAAGAGCTTCGTGGGATTCTAGATAATTTGAGAATGGAACAGGCTAGGGGCTTTTTAGACTCTTCTAAAAATGGGGCACATGAGATTGCTTCATTGGCATCAACACAAGAGATGGCATCTATGAAGGTTAGTTACATCATACACATGCATATTTTGATCCTCTTTGTTGTCAGTTCATGTCATTACCTTGTTGGGTCCAAATCCTATGGGTCAAAATGTTCACTTTAAAATTAGTTGCATCTCCAATTTTTCTGATTTTTCTTTTGAGAAATTTTCGAGGGATTTGATTGAGATGTCTATATGATCTCTACACTGACAATTGCTTGGCAGGGCCAACTCGTGAAGGAACAGAGCAGAGCAGAGGCACTATCAGCAGAAGTCATGCAGCTTTCTGCTCAACTCGAACAAGTCAAACAAGCATATGATGGTCTTGCACGCTTGTAATATCCTTTTTCTCTCTGATTTTACCCTGTAACACAAGCCACACATTCATTCTTACATTGTTCATTAATGTGAAAAAATATTGCAGCTATAGGCCAGTGCTGCGCAACATTGAAAGCAATCTCGTAAAAATGAAGCAAGACAACTCGTTGGCTGTACGATGATGGCAATGAGCGGTTTCATGATAACATTCCGGTTGTGATTGTGAAGCGCTTGTTTGAAGATATGAATTTTGCAATGCCCACAGAATTTTTTTAACAATTTCATTTTCCTAGTTTAGTAAAAGTGAAACGAGATGGTTCAGTAACTGTTGGTTTATGGGTCTTGTGCTACTCGGTATTACTCAGCATAAGAAGCCCTTGTTATACACAAACATGAATTTGTAAGACTTGTCATTCTTTATACTAATATTATCTTTATACTAATATTAATTTATATAAAAACAAACACTTCCCGCTTCTTCTTGAGTATGATTTTGATGATAGTTTTCTATAAACCAAATTTTGATGGAAAGAGTTGTATGAATCAATTTTCTGGCAGACTTGCATCCATAACAGACGCATAACAAAATCACTTCTTGTATTTCGATATTGGAGGAATTGCTTACAAGGTATAGATAACCATAAATTACTAAATTGAGAATAAATACAAAAATAAAATTAGAGTCTCGACTTCACTGGTTCTGTTCACTTTTGAAGTTTGAAAAATCTCCAAAATTTTTATAGTAAAAACGGAGGCCAATGCTAGGGTAGCTAGCTTTACAAATGGTCCGTATTAAGCCCTTTGATTTATTTTTGTAACTCTAGACTCATTCATATTTGAATATAATAGCTAAAAATAGAAAAAGAAAACCAGCAATTTTAGTCATTTCCTTGAAAACTTGGGAAGTAATTTATAAAATAAAGTATGACATTAAAACAATAATTTAAGAAATATATCAAATTAGCTTTTAGCAATACCTTTTATTATTTTATTTTACAGTTGAGAAAATAAAAACTCAAATCGATTTGGTCTTCAAACTAATCACTTCTCTGTTTGTCCTTACAAGTTGAAGGTTGGTTTCTTGCATTCATTCTATAAAATTGCTTCACATGTTTTAATTACAAAACAAAATATAGACCTTGTATTCATATTACCAACATGAAACAGAATAAACGTTCATAATCCTCAGTATAGTGAGAGTATGTCAATGTTAACAAAATTCCCAAGCTTCAGAATCATGCATGGCTTATTACAATATTTTTCTACTCAATGGTTCTATTTGACATTTGCAAAAGTACTGAGCAAGGAAAAGAAACCCCACACGTGTACAATCTCTGACCTCAGTGTCTTCATCCTCATTGCTACTAGAGGTAGTTGTTGATTCTGAATTTCAGTTGGGATCCCGGAACTGCTCGCCCATAGTTTCAATCTCAGTAGTTGTTTCATTCTTCATGCTGGTAGAGGGAGATGTTATTGCTTCATTTTTCTGCTCCGCATTCAGTTGGCCACTCAGAACTTCTGCAGCACTAAGTCCTTTCTTCTCTTCCTTATTAGAGCTCTCACCGTCTTCATTGTCGTAGCTATTAGAGGGAGACGTTGGCTCCGAATTCAGTCGGGATCGCAGAATTTCTACAACCATAGCTTCAACCCCTGCAGCGGCTTCAATCTTTCTTCTGCAAGAGGGACATATTTGTTCATTCTTCTGCTCCGCCTTTAGTTGGGCTTTCAGAACTTCGGCAGCAATATATCTTCTGCCAAAGCTAGATAAGTCCTCAGTAGTAGAGGGATAAGCTTCTTCATCGCTCTCCTCTACATTCGAGGAAGATGGAGGTTCACTGTCACTGAAATGATCAAGAGAAGATGGACGTTCACTGTCACTCATTTTCAGAAATTAAATGTATGCTCAACGGATGCGGACAACTGACGGAGGTTTCATGCATGCATGGAGTTACAAACTTTATGTACACATTTGTTTTGATACGGTGAAAGTTGGAATAACTGTTTAGGACAATGTATAAAACAGGAACTGATTTTATTGTTCTTTAATATTTGATTTGTTAAAATGTCATTTTAGTTAAATCATCCAGACAGTTATTCCAACTGCCACCATTGTTATTCCAACCATGCATGCATTTTGTCTCTCTGAGTGTCTATTTTCAGTTAACACAATTAATGCAACTGCCACCTTTTGATGACAGTTATTCCATCTGTGACCGTATTAGAGTGGTTTTTCTCCATGAATTTCATTCTGAAGAAAAATGAGTGAAGAATTTTAAAAACATAACATCTTCCGAGGTCTCCATGTCAGGGAACCTTCTAAACATACGCGACACTTTCTATATTTTAAATTCAAAAGTGTTTATTCCAAGTTCCAACTATCACAGTTAGATGACAATATGATATAGTATTCCAGGGTAAACCTTTAGTATGCATGGAAGAAAAGTCCTTAATATTTAGAAGAATAAACTCACATCTAAGAAAAAAGAATTCGTAAAACTAATTCACTAATAGAGATCTTTCCAACATTCCACATTTTTTTATTTTACAAAACAATAGCAAAAAAAGTTTGATCTTTTAAAGAGTAACAACAATTATGTACTAACAAATTAGACATTTGACCTCTTATAAAAATCAAACAAAAATTTAGTAACAATTGACCTCCCTCTATCCAAACCATATGTATATACATGTAAAATAAACAAACATCACAAATTGAAAGAAAGTGAACATTCAATTTAAAAGTAAGCCCAATTTTAAGAAGCATGTATTCTTAATTGGAAGAGTCTAATTATAAAAGACTTTCATAGAATCACTCATTGTAAAAGGACGTAAAACAAGAAATAACAATTAACCTCTTCCTATCCATTTAATTTATTTTTTAAAGCAACAAATTAATATTTAAAATATTATTTAAAATTAATGGTGAGATTTAGAACTTGACTATGTGCACTTTGTTTAAAATGTAGAGGGTGGGGATACAGTTTTTGAGAAATGGAGAGAGAAGAAGCGGATATTGACACGTGTGGGCGGTGTTTAAATTCGGATGCAAACGTATTTATATTCCTCTCTTTATTCTCTCTTTCTCGTCCGTCACTTCTCTCTCTTCGTCGTTGTTCTGCTCAGCTCTCACTGTTCACCTCACCGCAAACCCTAGCCTACAATTTTCCATGATTCTTCTCTATCGCTTCAACTGAACTTTCCCACAGATCGGTCGTAAAAGGAGTAAAAGGAGACTTATCGGAGACACTTGGGGCTCTAGTAAAACTGCCATTCGTGATGGCGGCTTCCACCACCAGCCAGGTCTACATCGATGTAATCGAGGATGTCATGGTCAAGGTCCGTGACGAGTTCGTCAACAACGGCGGTCCTGGGGAGGAAGTTCTCAAGGAGCTTCAAGCTGTAATTAATTATCATCTCTACCTCTTCTGCTTTTCTTACGTCCAGGATTTGCTTTTTAATTTGAATAAATAATAAATAAATCGGATTAGTTGATGTTTATACATCTATTTCAAACGTGTGTTGATTTAGTTTGGAGGATTGTTTTTCTTTCTCGGCTGGTTCGTTGGTTTAGGGTTTGGATCCGATCGATTGCTTTCTGTTTTTTTTTTTAATTTTATTTCCGGTGTTAAAGATGTTTATCGTTTTCCTTTTGTTTGTAATTTGTTTAGATGTGGGAATCAAAGATGATGCAAGCTGGCGCTGTGCTGGGTCCCATAGAGAGGTCAACTGCCGCTAAGCCAACTCCCGGTGGCCCTATTACTCCGGTTCATGATCTTAACATGCCGTATGAAGGGACCGAGGAGTATGAGACTCCTACTGCTGAAATGCTTTTCCCTCCTGTGAGTTTGATCCACACCGTAGTTACAAGTTCAAGCAGTGGTGTCTCCTTTTTAATGTTCTTTAATGAGTTCAAATTATTGGATAGTTGATATGCACTTTTGAATGTGCAGACACCGTTGCAAACGCCAATTCAAACCCCTTTACCTGGAACTGGGGATAACTCAACGTATAACATTCCTACTGGACCAAGTGACTACCCCTCTTCCGGAAATGATGCAGGAGGAAATGCTGACGGAAAAGGAGGAAGACCTGCTTCGTATATGGTAACGCTCATTTTGCTAGCTAGCCCCATAATATATCATAAAAGTATTCTTCAATTTACCATGTCAAATTACCTGTTTTCGTTTGTTCTTAAGTTATTAACTATGAAGCACCGTTACTTCACGTATACAATTCTTAAATATCAAAATCTATGAAACATCAATATTTTTATTTGTTTTATGTACTATACTTTGGTATACTTCAATATATATATATTGGTTAAATGTCCAATCCAATAAAAATTCTAGAAACATATAAGTATGTGTAATATAGAAACGTGTAAATATTATTTCTTCATAAACCAAAGAAGAAAATTGTTCTTTATGAATTATTTTTAAAAAAGTAATGAGATTGATAGTATTATTCCCGTAAGTTATAGAAAGTATTTTATAATGACAATGATTTATATTTTTTATTTCCACAATGTCTAAAAAAATGTGTTTAAATTTAGATTTCCATGTTTAGTTTTATATTTATTATATAAATTCTTGTACATTTCTAAATACTTGTTGTATATATATTTTTTTTAATATAAATGGATTGTCATATTATACTTGTATCTTATCAATGCATCATAGGTTATCAATCTCACACAGTGACATGCGGCAGCCAATCCTAAGAATACTATATCAGTAGTCACTCATTGCCACCATTTAATATACAAATTGAATAATTCATTTATTTATACTGTATACACATGATTGCTAAACTATTTAAAAATTAATCAAAATCCATGGCATACTATTCACAATTAACAACAATATGTTAAACACAAATAAAAAACAATTGAAGCCAAGGAAACAAAAAAGTTATAAAGACATCATATTTCAATCACAAGTCATCATAAAAAACAAGGCTGGGTATTACGCAGAGAATAACATAGGTTGAGGGTTCAAAGTAGAGAATTGAATGGAGGGTGTTTGTCACCAGATATACCACCAGCGATAGGTGGATGTTAGTCAAATTGTATGGGTGTGCACAGTAGAAATTTGGGAAATCATAATACTCAATCCCAAATGGTAGTGGGGAGTGGCTCGCCTCAAAAGTGCTGTAGCTTCTGTTTTGATGGTTGATACACATTACATAAATTACAAAACTCACATGTTGAATTATACAAAAAAACTAAAATTAAAGAATATTCGTGATGGAATATGGTTGGAGTCATTATTGCAATGGGAAGACAATGCCCGGTTAGAATAATTAAAAAGTTGAAGGGTGGATCTTATAAGAACTAGAGATTAGGGAGCACAAAACAGTGAATAATAGACCTATTATTATGAAATTTGAGAGAGTTGAAAGAAGAAAGGATACGCAATGTTGTATGGTACAGGAGTTGGCTGGAACATCAATGACATTGCAGGTAAATGGCTGGAAAATGGTTTGTAATGTCGAGAGTCTTGCTGAAAAATGATGGGGTCTTCTTGGAGTGATGGATTAGGGTACCTCACTTGTAATTTTGGTTTATCCCACAAAACTGGGTTGACTTGTAAGTTACGAACTACCCATGTCTTACAAAGACTACATTGGCCGTACTTCTGGTTGATGTGAGACCTAAACACTTCCCTTCATGCCCAAAATTGGACATTTGGAGTGTGGACAGCTGCTGTAGCCCAATAACACCCCCTCACTCTTAGGAGTAGACATGTAAAGTGCAGACAAATATGAGTGTCTTAATGATGAATCGAGGACAAGTTATGATACAATTTTAAAATTTTGGCTCTAGGGCTTAACTCAATCTAACAAAAATGACTTGCAAGGTGAAGACTACCCAGGTTTAATAAGTACTCGATGAGCTATTTCTCTAGTTAGTGTGAGATGTAAACACTTCCTAAGAGGATGGGGCATGCAAGATAGGTTGGAATAGGGTTTCTGATTGATTAAATGAAAATGGGGGTGAAATTCTGATATTGTCCCAGTAAAATAGCATCAAATGACACTATTCCATCACGAGGAGAATACTGGCAGAAATGGTTTTGATTTCACACCAAAGTATCCACAATCTGTACTGTTACAACTACTACAAAAACTACTCTGCAACAGGCCACAAAGAAATGGCAGGTGGCTGTGATGCAATATAGCACTGCTATTGTGGTGCTATTGCATGCAGTTGACTACTATGTGGGAAGCAACATCAAAATAGGAGTTTTTTAAAATTCTTAAAGAGGGGATATAAACTTCCCCCTTTAAAAACAACGAAGATGATGCTGTTTTGAGGAAAAAAGTAGGTACTCAAAATGATGGTACTTTTTCGACGCAATTGTGGCTATTATTTAAAATGCACTACTATTCAAACTTTGAGTTGCCCAGGGTTGCTCTTCACTGCTAAAGTGTGGTATTTATCACTATGTTTAAGTTTCTTAAATGCCATTATCAATTTATGAACTGATTTAATCTGTAGCTATTTTTCAGAGGCTATTCTGCATTTAAACTATTCTGTTTTAAATCATTTGCATGGACTTTTTTTATGGTGTACATTAATATTTATCTTTATGAACTACTACAGCAACCTCCTTCTCCTTGGATGAACCCGAGGCCCTCACTTGATGTCAATGTTGGTGAGTGTCATTTAAATGCAGGACAATTTAATAAAATGGCTTTGCAGTAACAACGATGTATATTACTGTAGCCTATGTGGAAGGGCGGGATGAAGCAGACCGGGGAACTTCTAATCAACCTCTGACACAGGTAAGGAACTCAGTTTGGTCTTGTAGAAAAATGCTTTCTCGGTTGTCAAAATTCAAAGAGACCTCATCATAGTCGAATTATTTTGTAAAGCCAGCAGATTGTGTTACTGTTGTTACAAAACACGTTATAGGTATTTTTGTCTAGCATGTCAAACCTAAACTTAATTCCATCACGTTTGGATGTTACTGATGGTTTAAATAATCCAGGACTTCTTCACAATGTCGTCAGGAAAGCGAAAACGCAATGATTTGACTTCTCAACATAATGCAGGTGGATATATACCTCAGCAAGATGGAGCTGGGGATGCTGTACTTGGAGATTTTGAAATTGAGGTATTCTTGTTTTCGTATTTGTCAGCATCATATTATCAGCAGGATGTTTGTACATCGTTTGTAAGTGGTGCTTTAATGGTGTTATCATGTTAGTTATCTAATTTCTTGTCATCATCATTCTTGTTTTCATGGTAAATGACTCTGATTTTTCGATAAAGATAGCATAATGATACAAATAGTTTCTCCCTCTTTTTTTCTGTAAAACTTTTCATGAGATAAAGTTTATTTTGGAAATTAGATATCTTATTCAGTCTTCCAGTTTTGGGGGCATTTATCATGAAATCAATTATTCAGGTCTTCAAGAACATAGATTCTGATTTCCATGTAATTGTCTGATATTCTAGGTTGAGTGAATTTAGTTACCACCGATCCACCTGGGAGCTGCTTAACAATATTCTAGTGTTCACCAACTTTAGAAATCTGATAAACATTGTCCTCTCATTTTTATTTGTCAGAATTGTTTACTATCATCTCAAGTCTCAACATGAAAGTAATAATGGTTAGCAGTATGGATATTTTCCTCAGATAGCATTATTGAAAATTTTGAATTGCTAGTTTCTTGTCCATTCAACTGTTGGACCGAGTATACATTTTTCTGTTGGTTTTCTACTGTGCCTCAGCATGCATGTTATCTGTCAATTAATTCATTGACTCGCTTGGTTGATGGAAAGAATTATTCAGTTACTAAACGCTTGGAGATCAACCTTTCAGGTGAATGGAGGGGACATATCCATTAATTCACATCACACTATTTCCAAAGGGAAAATGCCAGCAGATTTGGAAAGGTTTTCTTTTAGAATTCCTCAACTTGATGGACCAATTCCATATGATGATGATGTGCTTTCTACACCAAATGTGAGTAGTGATATTTGTCCCCTCGCCTTCCTGCAGTCATGATCTTTTGCAACAAATAAAACACATTTGTTCTTTCCCTCCACACCCAGAGATGTATTTACTTTATTTACTTGTTCTGATTTCCTGTTGTCCCTTATAACTTTGGGAAAAGCACATACCACCCCCTTTTAGTCCTTGGTAGATAGACACTAGGGCTTTCTAGTTTTGCAATTAATAACCACATTCAATGTTAAGGTTCAGTAGCCACCTTATTTGTATTTATTGAGTTCTTATTCATAATTTGAGTTAAAAGAAATGGACCATTGGTGATCATTTCAGTATGTTCTGTGTAGTGAGAAAGATCATAGTTTTAAGTACTCCCATTTACATGGGTGTCTGTTTATGAGCTACATCTAGCCTTATTTTACATTGATAAAACCAAATGACTAAAACTGTAATTCCAAGGAACTATACAACACTAAAAGGAATTTAAGGGATATTTTTCTAAAAAAAATTCTTGAAGTGGTTGTATTTTGAATTCAAGATAGATATTGTAATATACTAACATGTATATAATTAGGAACTTGAATTAGTTGCTTATTTAGTAATGGGGATTGATTTTGTTGGTTGCTATATCCAAGCTTAATGCCTACTTATGGTACTTGAAAACCCCAATTGATTGGATGGACTAATATTTATCCAAAAAGAGAAGAAAATTGAACTGTAAAATATCCCTTAACTCTACTGTTACTTATTTTTAGTCCTTTTAATTGCATTATGTTTCGTTTGACACTTTTTCTACCATGTCTTGCGTTCCATCATCTTGGTTTGTTTGGCAGATATACAACTATGGAGAAGTGTTCAGTGAAGACTACAACATTTCTAATACACCAGCTCCTCCTGGTTAGTCGATAATGTAAATGTATTAATTATATTTGAAGATTCTGTTGGCTTATTATTATATATTTTATCCGTTACAGTTGCTGATTCTTTTTCCTCTATTAATCATTAGAAGTGCCAGCTAGTACCCCTGCTCTCGTGGCTGAGAATGAAGTGGGAAATGATTATGATGATGATGATGATGAACCTCCGTTAAATGAAGAAGATGATGATGATTTGGATGACATGGAACAAGGAGAGGATCAAAATACACATCATCTTGTTTTGGCCCAGTTTGATAAGGTAATAACTTCCCTACACTCTATTTGAACTAGATGTGAAGGGATTGTAATATGATGTAGTTAGTGTAGTTCAGGATTGGATTATTAGTGTCTCTAATACAGTCTATCTTGCTAAACATTTAGGTGACTCGTACCAAGAGCAGGTGGAAATGCACCCTAAAGGATGGCATCATGCACATAAATAATAAGGACATTCTCTTCAACAAGGTTTGTCACTGTTGAGGAACAAGTAATGTTATTTTCTATTTTTGCAATTTAATTTATCAAATTCTGTTACATCTCTGCAGGCGACAGGAGAATTTGACTTCTGATTTTGTTGGAGATGGTGCTTTCGTGAAGACTAATTGGGAGATGTCATTGAGTGTTTCTTGATCTTTCTTTGATTATAATTATTAAGTGGAAGATTCACGAAGAGAAAAATCCTTTTACCCCTTCAGGACTGTTGTTTTGATGTTGGCCTCTTGTACATAGAGAATGAGCAATTTTTGGCCTTTACCTGATATTAGAGACTCGGGCATTTCCTTAAGCCCATCATTTGTAGTATGTGGTTCCTTTAGTTCTGTATACTGGGACGTATTGGTTAATATAAGAATCCTTTGTATGATAATATGATAGTTAATTTTGGCTTTTTCGGTCTGTCGGCCTCAACTTTTCAACACTAGAATCGGGGTGCTATTGTATATCTTGCAGGACTCAAGTTCAAGCTATAGACATCTGAAACTTTAGACATTGGTATCTTAAATTCACAAAAACGTTTTCTACAACGTTGTCATGTATATGCTCTTCTGGATCAAAGACCCATATTGGAGCGTAACTGGTTTTCTTTGTATAAGGATGTTGTGTGCTTGTGATAGACGAAGAAGACAGGGAAAAAACCTCCCATAAATATAGTATGTAATATCTGAATTGGTGTAATAGAAAATGATAATTGATCACAATTCAATATATAGATTGATCAACCAATACGTAAACCATTATCGATGAGAATTGAGTGTTTCACGTTGTTTTGGGTTTATTCGTTATTTGCAACGGTACATGTAAAATAAATTATATGGTAAAAGACATTTGTGAATGTTATTGGTAAGACTATTTTATATTATTATTATTATTAGTTAAATTTTATTGAAAACTATAAAATCGTGCGATTTATTAAATAGAAAATGAAACCTGTAAAATTTAAAATTTTCTAATAAAAGTTTCCATCAATTGATCTTGATTAATTAGAAAAATTATATTATGTATTATAGGAAAAAAGTAACAAATTATTTGTTCGTTAACCAATTAATTTATGCATACACCAACATTTTAGTTTGAGATATTTTCAGAAACACATTATTTCATTTATTTGCATAATTAATGAAAATCCCAATATGAAATAGGCGATTTATATTGTTTTATTCCAATGGTTATAATATTCCATTTCCACATACAAAGCACACTCAAAACCTCAAAATATGAGAATTAGAAGTTCCTAAAATAACTGCGAATTAGTTTGTTTTTTCTTTGAGTGCATAAAACAATACCATTCTATAAACAGCATATTGTTATTTTAACTTAATAGTGAAAGCGACAGTAAAAGGACTTCATTGTAGAAATTTATCATCAACCCGATTATTAAATCCAAGGTAAAGAAAATACTTATCCATGTTTTGAAATTATTTTGTGCATTGTTTTCGTTCTCATTTATTCTCCAGAGATACTGTAAGTAGAAAATTCTATTCATTAGAGACCATATATAACCAAACACTGAGCCATAATCAACCAATGTAGCGGTGTTGGAATTGAAATAAAAGTACAGTTTTTTTCTGATGAATCCTTCTATATAAATTAGCAAAAATACACAGTACACACTGCACACATATTTTTGTACACAGTTTATTCCATATATCGAATTTTATACAACATTGGAAATTATTATTCCAGTCTAATTATTGTAGTATATATACATACACAAAATGGCAAAAAAGAAAGCATGTAGTAGATAGTAGTCATATACACAAACAAATGTACGAAGAACATCCTTGGAGGATTTTAATTTGCCTGTAGAATTCTCCCACGGTTCTCATCCTGACCAACTGCAAAATGTACGATGATATCACATCAATATTATGGATTTTCTGTAGTGACAAAATAGCTTGCATGGAAAAAGAAGACGATAGTATCAAACATATATAGAAGAACGGTGAATATGTAATGATAGTGTTTTACCTTGTTGAGTTTGTGATGAAGTGCGTGTAGTAGGACAGTTGACTCCATATTCTTGTGATGAATCCTCATTCCCGAGAAATGAATTTACAGCTCCTCTCACCTTCTCCATCATACCTGCATTACTAGAGGTTCTTTTTGGACCCGTTCCTTCAGATATCATCTGAAGCCGAGAAGCAGTTTTTTCATCATCCCTTGGCTCAGACTTGCCCATTGAATAGTCTTTAGCTGAAGCACTCCTTTGGGTTGTGTTTCTCCCCCTCAGTGAAGAAGCGGATAAGGATGATGATTTTTGCAATGGAGTCATAGTTCTGGCATCATCCACTTGTTCAGATCTGTTCATCGAATAATATTTGGCTGAAGCACACCTTTGTGTAATCTTCCCACTCAGTGAAGCAGATGAAGATGATAAATCTTGCATTGGAGACAAAGTTTTGGCATCATTCTCTAGTTCCGACTTGCTCATCAAATAATCTTTTACTGAAGCACCATTTTGGCTTGAATTCTTCCCACTATGTGAAGCAGATGAGGATAGTGAATTTTGCATCTGGGATGGTGAAACTGATGTATTTCGGGAGGGCATGCTGTTGGTTGTAAGATGATTTTTGGAAACTGCAACTTGATTTTTGGAGGATATTGAATTGGCTGCAAGCGACCCTCCAGCATAGGCAGGCATCTGTTTCTGAGCTAAGGTTTCAGAGGCCATGTTTGGAGTTAGATTTTTTGTTTTTGTTGTTGTATTATCAGGTTGCGTTGTTGAAGTGCACTTGAGATTCATAGTAGCACGTGGCTTTTCTCGATCGTGCTGCCCTTCTAGTCTGACAGTGTTATGCAGAACATGATTCTCAGAGATTACTGGATTTGCTCTTGGATGTTGCCTTGCATTTTCTTTGTATGCGTCAGGTGCTAGCTCAGATTCATACACTGAAATGTAATGTTCACACAAGAGTTATGTTCACACCAAATAAAAATGAGAATGTAGAGAAAAAAGAACAACGAGAAATTGTTATACGATCGATCATATGGTCCATTATTAACACTTTTTAGTGAATTTATGATTGTATGTCATATAAATATTAGTGAGGACTATTTAATCTTAAACCATATAACAATTTGTTGAATGATGTGAATTAATTACTAGGAGCTCCAAGGTATTCAGCGTCGTCTTCTTCTTGCTCGTCATCTTCTAACTTAACACCCCAAGAGGGAGTGACATTCTCGTCCTCCATTCTTCTCTTGCTGAGGCTGCTGCATAATTTCTTGGCCTTTTCCTTCACTTTGTTGAGGACTGATTTCTTCTGATTGAGGCCGTGGTCTTCTTCCTGGTCCTGATGCTTCATCTTGTCAGAGTAAGGAGAGGAAGGGGAATTGGAGGTGGGAGAGTAGGTTGGTGACATCCTAGAACAATCCCCTCCTGAACCTGGAAACACTGGAACTCGGAATATGATTTCAGTAACCAAAGAAAAAATAAAAATGTGTGTGTTTGTGTGGGGGGGGGTAAGCTATATGATGTCTGAGAAGGAGAAAAATAACAAGTATTTGATAGAGTTTATGATATGTGACAGCATGCAATATCATTATATCAACACTCAATGATTTTTCTGTGGCCTACCCTTCACATCCATATCATTAATCAAACGTTATCTGCATTTCTTTCCTTAATTACTAGCACTGACAACTGCATGGCTTATGATTCGATTGTTTCATGGCAGTGACATACCCTTTTGTTAGTAACTTGCTTATAGAACACAATTAAGCTGTGTCTAAAGCCATGGTAAATTGTTGAGTGTTGACAAATTAAGGATTACCTCGGAGGAATTGTTCCACGCTAGCAACATTGGTAGGACTTCTTGTTGTAGTATCAATATGTTTGGGCATTTTCTCTGACTAATTTTCCTTCCCCGTGTTGCAATTTGCCTCAGCTTTTTGAATGACTCTGCTTTTATATGTGTTCTTCTATGGTTAATAAATAATAGGCAGAAATTTAACACACAATGAAGCGTGGAAAATCGATTGATTCCGGGGTTCTTGCAAACCATGGACACATATTTGAGGGCTCATTTTCTACACGTGGAGACTAGCCATTTTTCTTACTACCTGATATAGTAAGTTGACCAGGCCAAGATGAAAATTTTGTTGGTGAAAGAAACACCTTGACTCCTTACTGAAATTGTTAAATTGAGAGAACCTTGTTTGTAAAATATGCTCTTTGGCTACCCTACCATCCTTTTTTATTTTAGAATAGATCTGTTTCTGACAAATAAACTTGCATGATCAAGTTATATTATGTTTTTACCAATTAGAATTAGAGAACCACACGATCCTATGAATTGAACAAATAAGTCACATTTTGAACAACAAACAAAATAGTACATGGTGTGTAAGAGAAAGTGGAAGTATAAGTATCTAAAAATTAAGAAAAAAAATTAACCATAAAAGAAGTTTAAAAGTTGATTTTTTTTTTAAGAAATTTAGTCATTGTATTGTAATGAAATTGAGTAGTTATATAAGCGAATTCAAAACATACATTCATAAATACATCGAAATATACAAAGGGGAAGGAAGAGAAAAGAAAATATAAAAAACCAAACCCATCAAAAACCCTTCTTCCTCACTCCATTTCTCTCTCTTATCCAACCAACAATGTCTTCCTTCGCTGCCTCCAAGAAGCTCAGTACCCCCATTCTGCCCTCTCGCCACAGCAAACCCTCTCGATCTTCTTCCGTCAAATGCAATCTTCAACCGTCCAAACCCAACGATTCAAACCCCTCTTCTCCTCCCCCGCCGCTCTTCAAAGCCATCGCTATCTCCTCCGCCGCCTCAATCCTCCTCCACTGCACCCCTCTCACCCCGTTCCTCTCTAACCCCCTTGCCGGCGGAGGAAATAATGGCGGCGGCGGTGCCGGCGGAGATGGAGGATGGTTTGGTGGAAATGGAGGCGGTGGCGGAGACAACGGAGGGTTCTTTTCTAGAATTTTTGCTGCCGTTGCCGACGAATCTCAGTCTCAGGAATGGGATTCGCACGGGTTGCCCGCCAACATCGTTGTCCAGTTGAACAAAATGAGTGGGTTCAAGAAGTACAAGGTTTCCGAGATCATGTTCTTCGATCGGAACAGGAGAGCGAGAGTGGGCTCCGAGGATTCGTTTTTTGAGATGGTTTCGCTGAGGCCTGGTGGGGTTTACACGAAGGCGCAGCTTCAGAAGGAGTTGGAGACTCTCGCAACTTCTGGCATGTTTGAGAAGGTTGATTTGGAAGGGAAAACGAACCCTGATGGGTCAATTGGGGTTACCATTTCGTTCAGCGAGAGTACGTGGCAGTCTGCGGATTCGTTTCGCTGCATCAATGTGGGGTTGATGCAGCAGACAAAGCCTATTGAGATGGATTCGGATATGACTGATAAGGAGAGATTGGAGTATTATTTGAGTCAGGAGAGGGAGTACAAGAGGAGAATCGAGAGGGCAAGGCCTTGCCTTTTGCCGAGGTATGTGCACGATGAAATTCTTGACATGCTCAAGATACAAGGAATGGTCAGTGCTAGGTTGCTGCAAAGGATTAGGGACCGAGTGCAAAAATGGTACCATGATGAAGGCTATGCCTGTGCTCAGGTGGTTAATTTTGGGAATCTTAACACCAATGAAGTTGTCTGTGAGGTTGTTGAAGGGGATATCACCAAATTGGATATTCAGTTCCAGGATAAGCTTGGTAATGTTGTTGAAGGGAACACACAGGTCCCAGTGATACAAAGAGAGCTTCCTCGGCAGGTATATATAGTTTGGTACAAGTATGTTGTGTTGTATCGGAGTTTTGCTGTCAGTTTGAGTAGGGTTATGAATGTTTGTTATCTGTGCAATTGATGTGTTCAGTGTGATCAGGAGCTAGATTACACAATTGTTTTAGGGTTTAGGATTAAAGGTGGTGGAGATTTTGCATCAAGTAATTATGTTACCAATAATAGTGTATGCATGGGGACAATCCTCACCCTAAAAACCGGTTTTATTAGATTGAGATAGGCCTAAACCAAAATTTTAAGATAGTATATAAAGTCTATCCTAGCTATTGTTGGTGTGGGTATTGAGCTGTATCAAATCAACTGCAAATATCCAATCCTGCAAACTTTGTGCTTGTGATGTTAATCCTCAACGTGCCGGGGTGTTAATAATTTCATATCAACTAGCAATATGGCTAAATTAAAGCATATAAGTGAGGTGTGACCCTCAACACACAAGTTGGTTTTGTAGTTCAGTCAAAATTCAAATTCTAAGAATTACTGTGTTCTGTGATTACCAGTTTGTTCCATGATTATTCTTTCTGCTTGGTGGTGGTGTTTTTTGTGTTCATTGGTTTGTCTTACTAACTTAATGGATGCTTGTGTTGAATTAACAGCTACGCCCAGGTTTCACTTTCAACATTGAAGCAGGGAAGCAAGCTTTAAGAAATGTGAATTCCCTTGCTTTGTTTTCAAATATTGAGGTGAATCCACGGCCTGATGAGAAAAATGAGGGAGGTATAATTGTTGAAATTAAGCTAAAGGAGTTAGAACAGAAATCGGCTGAAGTCAGTACTGAGTGGAGTATTGTCCCAGGACGAGGAGGGCATCCCACCCTGGTATTTATTTCTGTCAAATAAATATCAATTCTCTTTAACAACTGATGAATTTTTTGTACGTCCAATTAATTTTTTTACTTTCTAATCAAATTTGTGTAGGCTTCACTTCAGCCAGGTGGCACTGTTAGTTTTGAACATCGGAATCTGCAAGGACTGAATAGATCTATTAATGGTTCTATAACGACTAGCAACTTCTTAAATCCTCAGGTAGATACCCTTGTGCCAGTCCATTGAGTACCTTCATTTGATTCTGTGAATTCTTGTCTTAGTGATATTGATATTGGTATCACAATATGCCCCTTTTGTTCTGTCTCAGGATGATCTTGCATTTAAGCTAGAGTATGTGCATCCATATTTGGATGGTGTGTATTATGCACGTAACCGAACTCTCCGAGTAAGCTGCTTCAATAGCCGAAAGCTGAGTCCTGTATTCACTGGGGGGCCGGGTGTGGATGAAGTGCCCCCAATTTGGGTTGATCGTACTGGTGTTAAAGCTAATATCACAGAGGTATTTTCACTGGTTATTTTTAATTATAGGGACATTGCGATGGCCATTTGGGCTAGTGGTATTTTTTAATTAACTATTTTGTCTTGTGTCATGCAGAATTTCACACGTCAGAGTAAATTCACATATGGACTTGTAATGGAAGAGATAACAACACGTGATGAAAGTAGTCATATTTGTTCAAATGGTCAAAGAGTATTACCTAGTGGAGGAATTAGTGCTGATGGACCTCCAACCACTCTCAGTGGTACTGGCATTGATCGCATGGCATTTTTACAGGCAAACATCACCCGTGATAACACACGTTTTGTGAATGGAACTGTCGTTGGGGACAGAAATATGTTCCAGGTGATTCTCATTCTACACCTTCCAATTAGTTTTGTGATTTTTGGAAACTTTAAAAAATTACTTTCATATTGGGAATACCACTATAAATTACATCAATTCTTACATCATCAATAACTTTATATAAAATATGATTTGTATTGATCCAACCATTAAATTATAAGTATATATTAACGTGAGTGTCAAAGACGACTTTTTGTCAAAATTAGACAAATTATAAGTAGTCAATATATATATATATATATATATATATATATATATATATATATATATATATATATATATATATATATATATATATATGTATGTATGTATATTATGTCAAATTGATGTATACCAATGGTGTATAAAATAATTTTGGATTAATATTTGATTTTTAGATATGATTTATATTTTTCAATCCAATTGTAGATTTCGAGATAAAACTATCCAATAGAAAGCTATTAAATTAGTTTATCCCTTCCCATTTATATGTGTGTGTGTGTGATGATTCTCTTTGCTTGGGTAAGACCGAGCTTTACTTTGGTGGGTAAAGAACAAGCTAAAAGTTTGAAGACAAAAGGGTGCAATGTGCATCAAGCAGGGTCAGAGCCTATAATTTCTATGCAGGTGCCATAGTCGGTGTAAATGTGTCTGAAAAATTTTTAGATTATATGTTTTCTATTGTACAACTGACTAGGCCTCTACAATTTATTCCCTTTGGCCTTGGAAACACCACACTGACACACGTTCATGGAAACAGAATCTACCAGCGATAACATCCTCGTATATGTAACATAGGTGCAAATTAAATGACTAGTTGCTCTTGTTTACTTCTTCTTTTTTATATAATTGTTTTATATTTTTCAGATTGTTGACTAAATTTAATATTAATTTATTATGTGTCTGGTAGTACTGTTTTTCATTGACCCTTAAGAAAATTTGTCTTGCTAAGAATGAATGAAACCACAGATGGGTTAAGGATGTTCCATGTTTTTTTTAAATGTAATCTATGTTAATTAGTGCAATCCTTATTAGAGGATGATACCAGCCTAGGGTTATCAGGGGGCTGTCTTTTTTCTGCTTTGAAAGCATTTTTTAAACACACTACCAAGCCTTATCACATAATTTGGTGTTGGATAAATCAATGCCATTGAGTTCCATCCGAAATACATTTTCAGCCAAACCTTCTATTGCAAGCCTGCAAAAACTTGCTGTACCTTTGAGGACAAGATATTGGTGTTTTCTGAATTTGAATATGGTATGCCTATGTTTTCTGTAACGCATTTTTAAACATATGCAAACTACAGGTAGATCAAGGCCTTGGCATTGGCAGTCAATTCCCGTTCTTTAATCGACACCAGCTAACTGTCACACGATTTCTCCAATTGATGGCTGTGGAGGAAGGGGCTGGTAAACCACCGCCACCAGTGCTTGTTCTCCATGGCCACTATGGTGGTTGTGTAGGTGATCTCCCCAGCTATGATGCCTTTACTCTTGGGGGTCCTTATTCTGTGAGGGGATACAACATGGGTGAGATTGGAGCGGCCAGAAACATCCTCGAGGTAGGAATGAGAAGACTCGATGCATTTTATGATTCTCGATGTTGATTTTAGTTTAGTTAATTTTGATAATTTATATGCTATCCAGTCCTTGGAGATTATGTTTAACCATCTGATCTGTTTATTTCTGCAGCTTGCAGCTGAGTTACGGATACCGGTTAAAGGTACGCATGTGTATGCGTTTGCAGAACACGGCAACGATCTAGGGAGTTCAAAGGGTGTGAAAGGGAATCCTACGGAAGTTTATAGGCGACTTGGTCATGGATCGTCTTATGGTCTTGGCGTCAAACTTGGTCTAGTGAGAGCAGAATATGCCGTTGATCACAACTCAGGAACTGGTGCATTATTTTTCCGTTTCGGAGAGAGATTCTGAGGTGCAAATTAGTGGCATTAGGATATTGCACAGCCGGCTTTCTTCTATTGGTTAGTGGGGTTTGGAGGTTATAGATACTCAGAAGTTACGTGTACTCGACCAGTGACTTGGTGGTTTTGTTGTTTCCCGTAAAATTGGTAGAGGGTTCTGTGAAAATATTACAATGCTGACATCTGTTATGAATTGGATTTTATTTTTGCGGCTAGTCATCAATGCACAGTCCGTGAGAAAAAAAAATAATCCTTATAATCTCTTAAATAAACTCTAATCTCTATTAAATATGATTGTCAAATTATTTGACGTTAAAATGTTGTCTTTTTGTCTGATGTATTATTATAGGGTTTTTTGGTGTTTTTTTAACTTGTAATCCCAGTTAACTAAGAAAATTTTGATGTTAAATTTGTATTATTTTATAACTATGTTCTGTACATACACAAATCGAGTCCAGTCTCTGAATGGAGTCAGTGATAATGTTTTGTTATAAAAGCCGTATCTAACTTCCAAAACATAAGATAAACGGTAATCCAGAATTCACGAAGTGTATCCTTCACCACTTTTCTCTCAGCTTTGTAAATTATTATTGTTCTAAGAAATACAAAGAGTTTGTCAATGTTGCATGTTCGAGCTCCGTCTAAATCTTTTAGCTTACAAACCAAATGAGTTTAATAATCCCTTTACATTTCTCTCGGTTTCACCTAACCAAATACAACAACCATGACCGAACTTTTAGTAGTTATAATTCCCCTACCCACCCAACTATCAATGAAACTAGAGACATAAGTAAACACAACTGGACAAAGGATGCTCAGCAAGAGGAAAATTAAAACATGGGAAGCCTGGTGTTACGCAGTCAATCTGGTGTTTGAAGATCCCAACGGCCAACAAGAGATATGCCTTCACGTAAACCCCTTGTCTTGTGCCAAGAATGAGAGGCAATGATTTTTGGATTTCGCTCTTCAACCAAATGGAGGAACCTGATCCTTTTATCCTACAAGCCTAATTCCTTTTTCAACTGAGCCAGAGTGGCTTCTATTTCCTCTAAATTATCCTCAACGCTTTTGTTTCCCTTGCTAGCTTCACCTTGAGTACTGCTATTGCTTGGTGTCTCACTCCCAGAAAAGTTGGATGCATTTCCTCCCTCAGGTGTTTTATAATCATCATTTTGATCTGCAATATTCAGCTCTTTCTCAAGGAACTCCACAAACTCTTCTCCTATTTCCTGAAAGGAAAATTTTCAAATATTATGATCCTAATTTAGGTCCTGTTGCCACCTATATATCGAGATGGCTCATGAACACACATTATAATTAAAAAAAAAAAAAAACAGATGAAGATGTAAGCGGGAAGTCTCACCGCCAATTCCTCCCATAGACTCTTTGGCTTTCCTTGTGAAGCAGCGTTTGCTTCCCAGTTTCTGAATTCTTCTTGAAGATCCTTGAAGAAGTCCTCTGTCATAACAAAATCGAACAGGTCTCAAACACCATAAAGAAAGGAATTACAAAATTATGTTGTAATATACTAGAGACCTACATCCCTTTCCCCTTGTTGATAGATTTATATGGGGCAAACAATGCCCAAGAGAACTTGTAATGAATACAGGCCAAACTTGGGGCCAACATGATCCATGATGTCTACCAGAGAGTATATATCTACCTATTGTTATTTGAACATCCCTCATAAAATTACCTGCATCATTAATATGTAGGACCATAAGAAGATTAAACCAAAAAGTAACTAACTAGGTAAAATGATAGGACAAGAAGCACGTAAAAAATATAAGAACCATATATGTTTTCTGTTGATTCCTCGTTTATGATGGTGTCAGGTGTGATCTCTATTTCCATAAACAATGGACCAAAAGGAGACAATTTTGCATATAACACAAGGACCACGCCAACACATTTCCGAAATTGAATGACCAAAAGGAGACAAATCGTTTCTAGGGCTTAGAAGCAAACTTTTGCATATATATAGAAACTAAAAACATGCAATCCTAAAATGTAAAATTTTCGCAAGACAGTTTTAGAGGGAAATTAGTATTAGAATTTTGATTAGTGTTTTGAAAATTATCTCTTAGACAGTTAAAGAGAAAGAATTAGTATCAGATGCAAGAATGAAAAGAAAACATATAGGGCCGTGGGCTTAAATTTTAACTAGCATACATCTTGTATAACAAAAAAATAACAGTAATCTCAGCAGTATCTTGGTTGAATTAAATACAGTCCAGAAAATCAGAACATAATCAATCATGATCCAATATGCATCCTGACAATATTTAACTGCAGAAAATGTAAGAACGGTCTAATGACAAAAACTTTCTCGATATCTTTCAATTGAGCAGTTTCTAAGTCAGATCTCTTTAAGAGCCAAAAGCACTAAGCCACTTTGTCATTGTTATAGAATATTTAAGATATAACAATTTCTTTTTGGATTTGTTTAGGTACTTAGTCTTATGGTTAGATCTTGCACAGATACTACTAGTGATCACTAATCAATCTAATTAATAATATAAATAGGAGTATTAGATTAATGTATCATTCTTAACATTAAATACTATCCATAATATATTTCAGTTTGGTACTTTTAGCTGTCTTTTTTCTTTTCCCTCTTCCATAATTCTAAAGCTATAATCCTTTGATATGGTATCAAAGCGTAATCGTTCAACTTTAGAGGATCTCCCTTCTGCTATTTAGATAAAGAGGAAAAGGATTGCAGATGTGCAAGAGCAATAATAAACATGATGAACGTATTCAGAAGTAAAATTTTGCACATAGATATTCAAACAAGATTGATGTGATTATCAATCTTTACCTAGTCCATAAAATTCTTCTTCAGGTTGTGCATTCCTACTTTGGCTTCCTTGAGAATAATCATAACCTCGACTTCCAGAATCATATTTTTTGCGGGAACTGGAATTTAGCAATGTATTGTATGCATGTTTTATCCTCATAAATTTTTCCTGTGCCTTTTCCTGTGAAAAGAAACTTTAACATAAATAAGTAAGCACTAAAGATTCCAATCTTCCGGAATTCACAATCAGTGTGTGGTTACTAACATACAATCCAAAATAGAATAGTTGCATCATTGAAGGGCTCTCAGCATGGTGCATACAATAAACTTTTACGACTTGTGTCTTTGTGATCATGTTTACATTTTCTTTTCTACTATAATTATTGCCTGGAACTTAAAGTAAAAATGTAAAACAACCAAAAGAACATGAGAAAATTCAAGATTGGAAGACAGTCAACCAATTACAGGTGCAATACTTGAGGGTCATAAATTGTTTTGTCACTATCTGCCATGTGACATTCAGTTTATTAATCATCATAGATCCACGTATTTTTCAGCTTTTCAGAACTAATATGCATGTAAAGGGAATGTGTATGCTTTCCTGTGAAGGATAGTCAACAATCAGGCAATATATTAATGGTGAATCTAGACCAGAAAATGTCCCTTTACAAAATTATGGTAAAACAGGCAATTTCTGATGGCAATAGAGCCATGGACACAAATCACTTAAACAATGTAAGAGCCAAACGAATTATGTGAATCATCTCTTCATTGAAGGACAATAAGCCATATAATCAACATAGTGCCCTGTTTACAAGAAGTTGGGAGTGCCAAACAATAGTAAGTTGATCAAACACCTAAATTTTGTTTGGTACATTTGAAATCTTGCAAAAACTGTAAAGACCATCAATACAGAAAGTAATGAGAACATTGACATGTAACATGTTGCAACGGTCTGGCCCTTTCCATTTTGAGTTAATTTTTCAATTTTGCACAACACAAACAAGTCAAAATTGATGTTACAGTTTTAAAAAACTTCCAGAGACAATGAGAATCAATAACACACAACCTCAATCTATCCCAAGAGAAGTATTCGGCTTGTAAAGAGGAACTCCCCCACCCCGGAAGCTAAACATCAGAGAAAATTCAAAACGATTGACATCATAACAAAAGGTAAAACCCCTAGTTGACAGATAATATAGGAAAAATATTTACTTTTGCACTTAACTTTCGATAATTCAACTCTGACAGCGTAACAAACCAACAATTTTCAAATCTCTTGATGTCTAGTCTGCTTATTAACCTCAACATTTTCAAAACTAACACAGAGAATTCCACATACTGTTGACAGTGCAACAACAATAACAACCGTTAAACAAAGTAATTACCTCTTTATTGACATCGGGATGATACTTAAGAGCAAGTTTCCGGTACGCCCTTTTGATTTCGTCGACTGTTGCCGATGGAGACACACCCAAAACTTCGTACGGAGACTCGCCACGCCTTGCTCTCACAACCATCATTCTATTGCCCCATCTTTCCTTTTTCTGATGCTTCCACTGTGAATGGTGGAAACGACTTGCATAGCTAATTTTACAAGTGGGTATGCCACAAGTTGGTGGAAGAGATCTGAGATGAAGATGAGAATTGGCAAAACAAAGAAAGGTGTTTGCAGTGAGAGGCAGAATTGTTGTTATTGCATTCATCTTATCTCCAAAGCCTTGTTCTTTCATCTCTTCGACTCATTCATTCATAGGATTCTCGATCAACCTCTTCAAACATGAATATCAATCTCTTATGACCCATGTCCGAAACTTTGGATTGAAAGTTCTTTTTACTTACTTAACCCCGACAACATAAAATTAAAACAAAATCGTAAATATTAATTAACTACCTCTGTCTCTCTTAACTTTATCCGCTGATTTAGAAAATCCATAATTTTTTTACGATGAATATTTATAATAAAAGAAAAAACATTATATTATTTTCATATAAAAGTCTACAAGCCATGTTATATAAAGAATAAAATACATAATTGTGTGGAGAAAATAAATACAAAAAATGAACGTATAAAATAAAAATAAAAATATATTATCTAACTTTAGTCTAGGATTTTATTTTCTAAGACAAGATATTTCATATTTTATCTTCAAAAAATTTGATTCTTGCATAGATATCAAATATATTTTATTTTGCCAATAATAAACAAAGGTTTTACTTGTTTGGTTCATTTGAAGATGGGCTTTTTATGTTTTGGGCCTCAATTTAGTATAACCTGCCATATGGCATAGGTATAAAAAAACAACAAAAAATATGCAACCCATAATTTGATGACCCATGCTCCCATTGAGTCACAAAAAAAAATTATCTGACAGAAACCAGATTGGTATTTGATCATCCAAAATCGCGTTGGAGAAGTTCTTTCTCACACGAATAATCAGAAAGTGGTGCCACGTCAGCTAAAGAAAAGTGATTGCAAGCTGAAGCAGTGGTGAGGATTGCAACAATGGCCACCCCATTTGCATCCTCCTCAATCTCATCTTCCCTGCACATTGCAACCTTCATCTCTCCTTCTTCTTCTTCTTCTCTGCACTCATACCTCCCTCTCAGAACAACCACTATTCCATCTCTCTCATCTACTTCCTTCATCACAACCCCACCCAAAAGATTCATCCTTTTTCACAACCCACTCCGACCCCTTCTTCTTGTTCCTCCTCCTGCCGCCGCCGAAGATGTTATCTCCACGGCGGAAAGCACAGTGGATGCTGTGGAGCAATTGTACCCAACCACCGATAAAGGGGTCGCCACTGTCGTTTCCGCTCTTTTCTTTTTGGCTTTCCTTGGCCTATCCGCTATTACTATTGGGGTGAGCAAAATTTGCAAAAAAAAATAATTTTTGTTTCAAGCGAGATAATTATGTTCTGAAAGCGTGTATTGTGTTTGTGTTGCATTGCAGGTAATTTATTTAGCAGTGGTGGATTTCCTGCAGAAGAGAGAGAAGGAGAAGTTTGAGAAAGAAGAAGCCAGTAAAAAGGGGAAGAAGAAGAAGAAGAATAAGAGGGTGGTGGGAAGAGCCAGAGCAGGAGGACCAAGAGGATTTGGGCAAAAGTTTGTTGAAGAGGAAGAAGAGAAGGATGATTAGGATAAGATAGCAAACACCACACATAAAAGAAAAACCATTTCAGGTCATTTTGCTTTGCATTCAAATAATTTTACTATCACCTTTCTAAGTCTTTTAAGTTTGATTTTGAGTTTCCAAAACAGACATGTTTTAACAGCGGATAGCTAGCAGTAATTTAAGTTCTCGGGATCTTTAAGGAAATGTTGGATTGGATTGGCCTTTTCATTTATCAAAATTATGTTCTTATTGGGTTTCTACTTGAATTTAATTTGCTGAAGATAAGTAGTGGGTAGATTTTTAATGCATTGAAATGAACTTTAATTGGTGAAAGAACTAGCTGTCTCTATTGTTCACCACAAGTATTCCTTATTAAACTTTGGTGATCAAAGTTTAAGCAAAACACTGAATATGTGAAAACACTGAAAAAGGTTTGACCAAAACACTGAATATGTGAAAACACTGAACAAGGTTTGATCAAAACACCGAATATGTGAAAACACTGAAGGGTATGTTAAAGGATATTAGGTACAAAATGAGTAACATTAGCACCAAAAAAACCTTCCCTTTATCACAGGGTAACTATGGATGGGTTGATAATGTTACTACTTGATCAAAACAAGTTGCAACAATAAAATTAATTTTATCTTCAATTCAGGGACGCATTCAATACATTTCTGAATTACGTATTTAGCATGCTGTTCTCGCACATGCTCATCACATTGTCATCAGAATATTGAATCATCTTTAATTTTACATATCTGATTAGATTTTTTATCTTTAAAAATATATCGGATGAGTTAAAAAAAAAAAGTTTATATATATATATATTATAGTCGTAGTCGAAGAGAGATACAGATACTGTAACCTTGATTCTATGATAAACACAAATATTTTGTTTAAAAATAAAAATATTTTAATCTTCTATTCACAATAATTCATTATAAAATTTTAATTTCATTGCAGTATATTTTCGTGAATCTAGAAAAGAGGGATAGTTTATCAACTCCTAAATTATATATAATATTTAAATTCATAGAAGATTCTAGAACATCTTTATTTGAAGATGGGAATCTGTGTTCTTTTCCCCTGTGAGATTTGAGATTTGAAACTTCGTAAAAAGTTGAGTTTCCAAAACTCTTTTTGTTTATCAATTTTTTTTTCTAGATGGAACTCGTGGAAATTTTAAAACTTGTTATGCCGGAGCAAATCTTACTATTACAGGACAAATAATAAATTAAAAACAAAGTTTGGATACAAATATCAAACTGCATATACTCGTTTACCATTAAGTTATTATTTTAATTATTTATGGTATTGAATTTTTTGAACAATGAAAGATATATATAAACAAAAATCTTAATTTGACCTTTTTTTTTATCCAACGTTAACATAAATTAAAAAAACACTAAAATTTAAATTTCAAATAAAATTATATATATATATATATATATATATATATTTTATGTACTATATGATATTTAAATTGGTGGGGGTATGTGGTGAGTGACCACAAAGCATGTGATGTTAAAGATTGGCAAACATTTCATAAAGATGTGAGAACTTTACCAAAGTAGGGAAAACCTATTATTTTTCTAATTAAAAATATTGCAGTGTTGATATGAACACATGGTATTGACTTAAATGTTTTTTTTTTTTTTTGGTTGAAATTATCTACAACAAATTTCATACATATAATCATTCTCACCCACCAATATTTTGGTGGAAAAAGTGATTAACTAAAATCCATAATTAGAGAATATATTAATGAATGTGTAAGGTTTTGAAGATGTTATCATCTGAATTAGTCGCGTTTTAAAACTTAAAACAAATATAGAAGAAGCAAGAAACGAGTGTTATTAGGATAAGATTGATGAAAACAAAAACAGTGAAATGGGAATCTAAGAAGGTGGCTATTTAATATTCCGGTCCACCGGTTTAGTCCACTGATTCACCTCTATACAGTAATCTTAATATTATTTCTTATTTTTTTTGAATTATTGAGAATACTTAATTCTATTCACTTGTTCTAAACATTTTAATTATTTCAACAAATTAAAATTCAAAAAAATGTGCATGAATGAAGGTGCATTGTTAAAATCAAGTTCATGATGCAGAAGTGTGGTTTGTCTCGTGGAAAGTAACCATCTAACTAATCATTTCACCTTTCTCACTCTCCGTTAATCTAAAATAATATTTATTTTCCCACAAAAATCATTTTTTTAAATATCATAGAGAATATTAAATAAAATAAATAATCCAACTAATATAATGTGTGAGTAGGGTTTTTTAAGCCTTACCTCAAGTAAATATTAAGTATTTATATGAAATTGTTATCATCCAAACAATTTTGGAGATGAGACTAATTTTGAGACTTGTGGATAATACAGTACATAATATATATAAAAAAATTAATATTTAAAATTACTATTTACCATGTTTATAAATATTATGAGATAAAAGGATTGGGAATTATGTTTGGAGAGTGACAGGCTTAGGGTGGTGCTGATTCAATAATTAATTAATGTAATTTAATTAATTGTAATTGATCATAGTTCAAAGCGTAAATCTCAAGAGGCAGATTTATTAATTAGTTTTTTATTTGTTGAAATTAAAATTAAACTCAATGAATGGAATAAATTAATGAAAAAAATAGAAAATAGAATTTAATTTCCAGCACAGGGAGTGTTGGGGTGGTGTGTAGCCACCAGACCAGACCAGACTAGACGCGTTTACTGAGACTCTTTAAAAGGAGGCTGTGTTTGGCTCGCTACTTTCGTAATTATAATTTCATTTTCTCTCTCTCTCTCGATTTCTCTCAAATCTTTTCCGTTCTAAACGAGAAACAGATATGAGCTCCGACACGACGTCGTATTGGTGCTACAGTTGCACGCGCTTCGTTCACATCCAGGAGCACCACGACGTCCTTTGCCCGCGCTGCCACGGCGGTTTCGTCGAGAAGGTCCAGGCGGGAAACTCGGCCGCCGTCTCGCTGCTAGGCGATGGCGCTTCGAGAAGGCAGGGGTTACGCCGGCGGCGCCGCAACGGCGGGAGTCACCCGCCTTTCAACCCGGTGATCGTGCTCCGGGGACCGGGGGAGGATGAGGAGAGCAGCTTTGAGTTATACTACGACGGCGACGACGGCGCGGGTCTCCGGCCGCTGCCGTCGACGATGTCGGAGTTTTTGCTCGGATCGGGCTTCGATCGGTTGCTGGAGCAGGTTTCGCAGATCGAGATCAACGGCTTCGGGAGGGCGGAGAATCCGCCGGCGTCGAAGGCGGCGATAGAGTCAATGCCAACGGTGCAAATCACCGAGTCTCAGGTCGCGACGGAGACGCACTGCGCAGTGTGCAAAGAGCCCTTCGAGCTCGGCGCGTTGGCGCGTGAGATGCCGTGCAAGCACCTCTACCACTCCGATTGCATCCTCCCGTGGCTCTCGATGCGAAACTCGTGCCCGGTGTGCCGTCATGAATTGCCGTCGGAGCAAGCGCCTTCGGAGAGCAGAGTCCCCGGCCAGATCGAGGAGGAAGCGGTAGGTTTGACCATATGGAGGTTGCCCGGCGGCGGATTCGCCGTCGGGAGGTTCGCCGGCGAGAGCCAATTGCCGGTGGTGTACACGGAGATGGAGAGTGATGGGAATTCGAACGAAGGTTCCAGAAGAATCTCTTTGTCAGTTGGAAGCGGGAGGGTTAGGGAAAGTCGTGGTGGTGGATTAGGCAGAATATTCCGTAGTTGGTTTGGGAGAATCGGGGCTTTGACTAGAAGCCGTAGCCTTTCAACTTCTCTCTTCAATAGAAGAAGAAGTAGTACCACGAGAACCTGGGTTTTGGAAAATTGATTTGGATGGAGTTGTATTTTGAAAGCAAGTTTTCAAATTTCAGTTGAGAATCGAAATTCTTACTGTAAATAGGCATAGAAGTGGTTACCACATAGTTACAAATCTCTTTGCATTAGATCCCATGTTTTCTCCCGAAATGATCACCGAAGGGTACTCAAGAGAAAGATTGTTCTTCCTGCAGAACATGCAATTGGGGAAGAAGCCATCCTTAATTACTTGATTTGTTTAATGTTCATATATTTTCGTGGTATATTCTTTGTAAGCATTGTTTTTAGTTCAAATTCAAACGTTCCCAATTTGAGTGTGGAAGCAAGTCCTATTAATTAATATTAATCTTGCAGTACTCTTAGTGGTCTGAGTTATTCCAAATTCAGCAGAACAAATCTGTGCGTCCATATGCGCCAGCATCATTCATTTTATTCTTGGAGCTAACTTTTTGTTGGAGATGATTATTGGAGTTATGGACATGTTGTCTTGTAGATCATGATGACGATGACACCTTGCATACCCACGCCATTCATGAACCAAGTCCCTTTTTCTGTTTCTTTGTTTTTTCACTCCTTAATCATGGCCCTAGTTGGCAAAAGATAAAAGTTATTTTTCCTTTTTCTTAACTTTAGTCTTTTTTTTTTTTTGTTATATGATATAGCTATGGATTTGCTGTATCAGCTACCTGTGGGGGTAACGGATAATGGTTAACTCCTTCTAACTTGGTAGGGCAGTGTAATCCACAGAGGGTTAATAAGTTACATGCCATTCATGTTTTTTTCAATTTTGTGTGTTTGGATTAGTATTATGGATAGGAATAACCAATTTGGTTTTTTCATGATATGATTCAATTTTATATATTAAAATTGATTTTTTGTGTGTTGTTTACAACTTTTGCAAAATGATTGGGTTAAACATTTTTTTTTACTAATTGTACTCTGGGGAATGAGTCTGACAACTGTCTAGCACTTTAATATGAGTGGTCAATTCTAAATTTTGGCACGCCTAGTTCAGCCTTCAGCCAACTAAAGTTGAAGCTTTCTCTACCACTACACTTTGCCCTTCATTTTGCCCAACAGTATTTTCCCATCTTTGACCGACAAAGCAAAATTAAGCTTTTTTTTTTCTTTTTTTTTGTTTTAAGCTTGACCTGATCATACAACTTAAACAGATTCTGGTCTTTCCCTCTCTCCCAATTAGAGAAGCATTTAGAATGCGAATATTAAGAAGTTATTACACGAACAAAGATCAGTTCAAAGCTTCAAGTCTTCGAGCACTGTTTTGCGCTTTATGAAAGAGAAATGTCCCCTTAGCCATAAACTAGTTAGTTGACTTCTCAATCCCATTTATAATGTGAAATAGAGGATCGTTTATTTTATTTATTTTCAAGACTATAAAAATAAATAGTGAGGGGATTAAGTCAACGTAATTTATTTATTTATTTAAAAGAAATAAACGTGAGGGGATTCATGAAAAGTGTTTGCCACCGAGGAAGAAGAACATTCACAGGAAGGAGCCTTCTAACAAAACTTCATTTATGTGATATATGAGGAGGGTCTTAGGTTAAGATCCGAGCTTCATATAACATATCATGTCTTAATAATTATTTATTTTTCATCAAAGATGATTAAAATTTTAATAAAATGATTAACAATGTATCAACATCAATCAATTTTTTTTAATTATATTAAACAATATTGTATGATTTATTTTTTTTAAGCTTTATTTATTATCTCATACAAATATGTTGATTGTTATGATTAGCTTATAAATCAATTAATCTAACTAGTGATTATCCTCAACCTCCATCAATGCCAAGCAAAATAATGGAGACAGGTTATATTGACTTTACTTTTTGATCGCTAGGTAGATTTAGGATAAGTCAACATGAAATATATATATATATATATATATTGAAATTAAGATAAACATAAACTATTGTCAACTATAGAATTCTATAATATTTTGAGTTGGCACATTAAATGAGATTTTACAAGTATTTTTAATTAGGTTAAGTTATTTAATAAAAAAAAATAATTCTAAATAATATAAAAATTATAGTTATACAATTACATGAGCAACATAAATTTATATAATCATAGATTTGCTTAACATAAAAATTTAAATATTTTTTTATAGTATCGGTTTATATTTTACTTAGATACTTGAATCAAGTCATCAAAATTATAATTTTTAAATTTGAACAATTTAGGATCAAATAATATTAATGTTTCTTTTCAATCTAGTTTGAGTTGATTGCATCCTTGAGAAAAATCAAATTCACGTTATTGTCCTTACTCATTTAAACTTTTATAACCCTCTTGCTTGCAATCTTGAACCTAAGTGTGTAATGATAACATATTCTGAAGAGAGATAAGTGTAACATTTTTATTTAAGTATAAAATGAAAAAAATTATCATAATAATATTTCTTAGTAATTATAATCATAATATTTATAATACACAAATAATACTCATATAATACAATATAAAACTATTTTACACTAAATATTAGAAAAATAATACTTTTTATTATATAATGAGGGTGATCAAGTTTAAACTTTATGAACTTATTAAATTGGTTGCATTAAAATAAAACTCAATCCAACTACGGAATTCAACCCAATCAAGTACTAATAGTTGAGTTGGACGGAGCCAGCTGTCATTGATACGAAAATCTTCTCATAAAATAATGGGATTTAAAAATAAAATAAAATGACCATTAAACTTCTCATCTATAAATTATAATTAAATTTATATAACAAAATTTTAATTTTTTTTAAATCTAATTTATTTATATAAATAATTATTTCCTAAATTTTAAAATATATGATATTTTAGATAATTTGTTTTCTAAATATATTACGTTCATAAATATTAAAATTGTATTAATTTATCTTTTATCATTTATATCCATTTCTTTTAATTATTTTTACTATAGAGAAGAGATAATAAAATATTTAAAAGTACCTTATTTTTAAAGAAAGTATTAAAATGACAAAGATATTAATAAAAAATTAATGTTTATTTTAATTTATTTATTCTAATTTTAAATTTTGTATTATTATTATTATTATTATTATTATTATTATATGCACTAATTAAATTTAATTGCATGCATGCTGACGCCAATGGCTGTGTAGTACAAGTGCTACATGCTCATCCCTAAAAAACTGCAGTACAAGTGCAATACAATTAAGGCAGTACCAAATCATACACTAATACTTCATTTAGTTAATTAATCCATACATTTATGAACACCACAAAAACGATTATAACTCACAATTAAGACAACAGAGTGAACAAAATGAAAACCAAGTCAACGCTCCTTGTTGTGTTCCTCTTGGCCCTGTTCCTCGGTCATGTCACGGGTCACGGAGGAGGTGGTGATTCTCCCGCCGGTGATTCCAACAGCGTAGACTTGCATTCGAAGGGTCTGATCCTCGTCAAAGTATGGTGTTTGATCATCTTCTTTGTGAGCACTTTCGCTGGTGGGGTGTCTCCATACTTCTTGCGATGGAACGAGACTTTTCTTCTTTTGGGGACTCAGTTCGCTGCTGGGGTTTTCTTGGGAACCTCTTTGATGCATTTCTTGGCCGATGCTAATAGCACCTTCCTTGACCTCACCACAAAATCTTACCCTTTTGCCTTCATGCTCGCTGCATCTGGGTACGTTCTCACCATGCTTGGTGACTGCGTTATCGTCTTTGTCACCAGCAATAGCAAGAGGGAGGCCAAAGTGTTGGAACTGGAAGGTGGGACTACACCCCAAGAACATGACCAAGTTACAGATCACAGTGCAGCGCACACAACAAACCCTATGTTGTTGAAGACTTTTTCTGTGGGAGACACCATTCTTCTCATCCTTGCACTGTGTTTCCATTCAGTTTTTGAAGGCATTGCAATTGGAGTTGCAGGTATTCTCTCCCTCGCCTTAACAAGTACTTTCATTTCAAATATTGCGTGTTCTCATGTGATCTTACTTAGTTTCTACATAACACATTAATAAAGATAATGACGATCTAGGTTATACGGGCCTCATGTTGTTCATTTGCATGTATACACAACAGTTTGATAAGGAATTTCTGTGGAAATAACAACTAGGTTCGCAACAAAAGTTGTAGAAAGGTCCTACGGCAAACATTCACATGAAAATCTACAACAACAACATACATAGCATATTAATCAAGCAGTGTCAATTCTATAATTGAAAATAATGATATGTACACTTGTTTAACAAATATGTTATTTCAGGTACTAAAGCGGATGCATGGAAGAACTTATGGACAATATCCTTACACAAGATATTTGCTGCTATCGGAATGGGAATTGCTTTGCTAAGGATGTTACCTAAGAGACCCTTGGTAACAACGGCAGCATATTCTTTCGCCTTTGCCATCTCAAGCCCCATTGGTGTGGGGATTGGCATTGCCATAGACTCCACAACACAAGGACGCACCGCAGATTGGATATTTGCTATATCAATGAGTATTGCTTGTGGGGTCTTCATCTATGTTGCCATCAATCATTTAATATCCAAAGGCTTCATACCGCACCAAGCAACACGTTTCGACACTCCCTGGTTTAGGTTTCTCGCTGTGCTTTCTGGTGTAGCTGTTATTGCAGTTGTCATGATCTGGGACTGACCATCATCATCCTTCAATTCCTGTTTTTCTTTGTTCATTAATCTCGTCCTACGAAATTGTGCGTGTGACAATTACGTTGAATGTGTACCATTATAGTAGTATATATATCTTCGCCAGATTTAAATGTTCATTTACTATTTTGACTCTGAACTTACAATGTTCCTTGTACTATATAGACACGTGAAAGTAATATAGTTCATGTTCCATGTTCAATTATATATCCAGTGCTTTTGATCTGATTTTGTATTGGCTAGCTTTGCATATTTGATTTTATTCTTATTTTCGTTTCTTTCTGTTCAGATTTTCAACCTTTATCTTTCTTTATCCTTACAGTTGATTACTGTCAAGGAAAGCAATGTGTCAAACATAAAATCTAAAAAAGAAAAAAGTAATTTACTAGTTAAAACAAAAGATCACTTCTTTTTATATATCAGTGTAATTTGAGCAGGAGTGTTGAATTAATAAACAAAAAAAGTACACAAATTTAAGAACAAATTACGATGATATCTCCCTATATTTATTATTAGTATTCAATATTGTTTATTTTTTAATAAAAAATCCTTTATTTGTATATAATTTCATTACGTACATATAATGAGAAAAATGACTTTAAAAATTGTGCATTTTAAGCACTTGTTATTTCTAAACAATGTCATAAATAATGGAATTGCACCCAATTCAACAAGCATGCCCTAATTCTGTCTCAGGTTGAAAATTTAAGTTTAACTTAAAAGTCTTATTAGGTAAAAAAAAAATTGAATAATTTATAAATAAGAAAGATCCATAACTTAAGATTTTTATTTAAAGAATATGTTATATTCTCTTATATGATTAACTCATATCTCATTTGTGAGAGAATCTTCCTAGTCTTCTTGAAAATACCAAACAGTGATTACTCATGGTTAGGAAAAAAAAATATTTTGATGAGGTGACGTACCTTTGTGAAAGGGAACCACGTTTAAGAAGAAGATTATTGAGAATAATGGGATAATTGAGTAACTTATAAGTGATAAAGACTCATACTTAATGCCTTAAAGTTTTGAGTTGAATGTGATGTTATATTCTCTTATATGATTGACTCATGTTCCATTTGTGAGAAATGCAAAAATTGAGTAACTTATAAATGATAAAAATTTATAATTTAATACCTTAAAGTCTTGGGTTAAAGAGACTCTGTTGTAAAAATTTTATAACTAGTCATGATAAAGATAAGATTAAATTAGTTTTTACAATTAAAATTATCTAACAATGTTATTTTAAGAGGTAATTGGAAATAAAAAAAATATCAAATACAACAACTATGAATAAATATCAGGACAATTTTTTGTAATATGCATAATGCATGTTTGTTGATTATCGGACAAGCATACCAAAGTTAACTTTAATATAATAGTTTAAAACAGTATTAAATCCACGAGTAACATATTCAATTAAAATTCACAGGTTTAGAACTGATTAAGAACTTGTATGTATAAAAGTGATCTTTTGTTGTTGATGATAAACTGAAACTGCATATAAGTTACAACAAAAATAATATTTTCTATAAAAGAAATTCAGTGAAAAAGATTGTAATTGAATTTTATCTATTTCCCTCAATTGTATTCTGATTAGATAAATTCATAAAACATAACATATAAAATTAATGATATTGATGCAACACACCAAAGTCATTTATATCAATTCCTTAGTTATAAAAGTCATAAGAAAAATCTACCAAAGGTTGATTCAACATAATGATGAAATGTTGAAAAAATTGATATATTGAAATCTATTTCTAGTATCTTAATAGATCAAGTATTTTCATCCAACTCAGCTTTTCAGAAACACTTCCCAACTGAATCTAATAATCAAAATCAAGAAACTATATACAATCAAACACAAAGAACATAATGAAAATAACAACATTAATTAATTAGAAAAGAGGTTACTACATAAAGATATTATCATGATACATCCGAATTCGAATCAATTATATTAAATCCCAAAGGAAGAAGCTAGGCATACATGATAACCATTACATTACAAAGATTTGAGAAGAAAAACAAGAAGTGATTCCCCTGCTTTATGACAATCTCCTTTGACCTGGGCTTTTCTTCTCGTGTATCTCTCGTCTTTTATTTTCAGTTATTTTATTTATATCCAAGGAACCTCGTAGCATTTTAATTCATCCGTTCAACGTTTGTCAATTTATTCAACAGAATGAAGTTTCTTCACCTGAAGGTTTCAATCCGTTTAGTGGATTACTATCCGCTAAATGCTTTTACCCTTTCAAAATAGCTTTCTCTTTGGCACAAATCCGTTCAACAGATTCAAAATCGTTGAACGCTTCTTGTTGTCTTAGATATAATTCTCAATTTCACTCACTGCTTTTAGTCCATTATTATTATCTCCTTATTATCACCTGTATTCTGACAAAAATTTGCATTAATTTGTTTGTTTACTCTACAACACTAAAAAAAATATACAATTAAATATTACTGAAAGTTTTTACTACTTAGAGCATTTCCAAAGAATTACTTAAAAATAAAATTGAATATTTTATTATAGGTCTCACAGTTGAGTTGCTTAAAACTTAGTGAGAGTGATTTTTTTTCCGATTTTAAGCAACATTTTTAATTTTTAAGCAACTCAAATATGGAACCCACAATAAAATATTCATTTTTATTTTTAAACAACTCTTGATACCAACTCCCTTTATAGATGTTCTTATCTCTTTATAATTACATGAAATAAGTGTGATAATTATATAACACTTATCAATATCTTAATTATTTTTTAAAATTTTATATGAAGATCCATTATATATATATATATATATATATATATATATATATATATATAATAAAAATTCAAACTTATTATGTATTTATGTAAGTATTATGTTATTCAAAAGAATATATTTAACCAAAACATTTGTTATGACATTTTATATTTATATATGTTGTATATTATTTTAATTTATATAAATATTATTTTAAAAAATTATTAAATATATTCATATTTATATATAAGTTATATATATATATATATATATATATGCTGCATTGGAGGGATGCTGTGTTGTAGCATTTGTACTACACACAGCGATTAGTAAAACTATTATATTACCCAGTACATATATTTACAAACTGTACACAATTTGAACGTGTGTTTCAAATTTTTGTGAGATTTAAACTTAGAGATTTTACATAAAAATAATAAAACATATACATTTTTTTAATTTCATGTATGTAAAACAGTTTGGTGAATTAAATGATTTTAATTATTTAAATATTTTTTATAACTTTTTTACGGTAAATAAATTAATGTAATTAGTACAGATGCTTACTGCTTAGTTAGGTTGAATTTAATTAATGTAGACAATGCATTCATTTGAACTTAAAACTGGAAAGTGATATGAAAAATTCCATATTTGGCTTGAAAGAAAGAATAAATGCAGGCATTAATCTCGTTGAATCTTACTAGTCAAGAGACATTTTTTTTCCCATCATGCTACCTGTGCAGGCATTTCTACCTACAAAAGTAAGCTACAGATTAGTTGATTGAGAACGATCTGGTTCAACCATTTTCTGCATAGTAGTTTTTATAAGAATGAATCTCATTTAAATAATATTAGTATATGTTGAAGGGGGATACTATTTGATGAAAGAGGTAATCGACTACCTCGATGTTTTGCTGGTACATATGCTCGTTTTGAGATAGATTAAACAAAAGATGACAAAGTTAGAACAAGAAAAAAGCACAGAATGAATGAATTTGTAACTAGTTGAATTCTGGGTTCTTCTCTTCATCTCTTGACAATTGCTACAAGGTATTACATGCATGGGAATATAAATTCAGCTAGCATGAATGTTATGCTATGAAAGCGAAAGACTGGTATAATTGTTTTGTATGCTGTATTATTAGAGATAACGAGACAACCTAATGTATTCCATAGCTAGGTCATATTCTTCTGCTTTCATCACCTCATAAATGAAGAAAAGTTTGGTCAAATGTCCTTCTCCTTAAGTTTGGTCCCACTCATTCAATTAAGTACTGTTTGGCTGAGAAGGGTGCAATCGCCAACCAGGCACTCTCGTTAATAAAAATTGACATTAATTATGAAACTTGAATTTATTTTATAACTTCACGATTAAGTTGACTTAGCGAGATCATGTGGAGACTATCTAATCTTCATAAGTAATCAATTTCAAATTTAAAAAATGTATAGCTGGAGCACATGGGAAAGAAAGTCTTGGGCACGAAATTAATGGGACAAAACGTTTGATAATTACGTTAGGGACATTCCAAACTAACGAAAAGTTGAAGGAGTAGGTGTAGAGTAATTCCATTCCTCTTCTAGTTTCGTTCCGAAACCTAATGAACCAAACTTTCTGTTTATATCAGAAGCAATCTGTAGTGAAGATTCACAAAGTTGGGTTCTGACCAGAAACACATTGCTGCAGAACAAAATGATTAGCCTTATTCCTTCATCAGTGCCATTTTCTGTCGCAACTCTCTTTTTCTCTAGCTTCCTTTGGACCATTCCTGAGGTTGTGCTGTCTGCTACTTCAAACTATGGAGGCGTTACTTGGCATTATCAGTTCGATGTATATAAACATTAACTTTACCTTACACCACACTACACTCGCGTCTGTACATAATTTAAATTTTCTCCTTCCAAATAATATCATTACTGCAACTAATCTTACGCCATGCACCACATAATGCTACTGTCCAAGTCGTGTTTCTCATATCTGCTATATCTGAAATGTTTTTATTATTATTATTATTATTACTTGTGCATGCAGATAAGGCTTAAAAACGTTACTAGGCTGTGCCACACCAAGAGCATGATTACTGTAAATGGGAAGTTCCCGGGACCTCGCGTTAGTGCTAGAGAAGGAGACAGATTAGTGGTTAAGGTGATGAACCATGTTCCAAACAATATCACCATCCATTGGTACGGCTTTTGATTTTCTGAACAAATTAACCTCATGTTGTGCATGCATGCGATGGATATTTTAGTGTTTTTTTTTTCTCTGTATGTGGTATGACAACAAATTTATAGGCACGGAGTGAGACAGCTTAGGAGTGGATGGTCGGATGGACCATCGTACATAACTCAATGTCCCGTACAAAGTGGTCAGAGTTATGTGTACAACTTCAGCTTGGTAGGGCAAAGAGGAACTCTCTTCTGGCATGCACACCACTCGTGGTTAAGGGCTACTCTCTATGGACCCCTCGTCATCCTCCCAAGGCGCAACGAATCTTACCCATTTGCCAAACCCTACAAAGAATTTCCCATCCTCTTTGGTACATCCGCACATGCATCTATAATAATCAAACATTCTAATTCTTTACAAAATCATTTGTTTTTCTTTTATATATATTCGTTAGCTGTATAATAATGTTCCCAAAATGATTGAGTATAGGAGAGTGGTGGAATGTGGATCCGGAGGCTGTGATTGCACAAGCTCTTCACACAGGGGGTGGTCCAAATGTCTCTGATGCCTACACCATTAACGGACATCCTGGGCCCCTCTACAATTGCTCCAATAATGGTACACTATACATACACTGCTTTAATAATTCAAAACTGATTAGTCAAATACACGTTTTCTAAGAAGTATTAGTAATTAATTAATGGAGTTTCGTATGAAATTATGTTTATGCATGGTGGACAGATACATTCAGTCTAAAGGTGAAACCAGGGAAGACATATCTTCTGCGTTTGATCAACGCTGCAGTGAATAATGAACTATTTTTCAGCATAGCAAACCACACCTTGACAGTTGTTGAAGCTGATGCTGCATATGTTAAACCATTCAACTCCAACATCATCGTCATTGGTCCAGGACAAACAACAAACGTGGTGTTGAAGACAAAACCTGAGTACATAGGTTCTACTTTCTTCATGCTAGTGAGACCATTTTTCACTGGTATGGGTACCTTCGACAATTCCACGTTAGCTGGCATTCTAGAATATGACAACGACGCCCCTCTTTCAGAATCAGAGTTGAAAAACCGTACCCTATTTAAACCAACCCTTCCTGCTATCAACGATGCATCCTTTGTTGCGAAATTCGGAAGTAAGTTTCGCAGTTTGAACAGTGCAAAGTACCCTGCGAATGTGCCTCAAAACGTTGACAGGAGTTTCTTCTTCACGATTGGTCTTGGGAGCATTCCCTGTCCGAGAAACCAAACATGTGAAGGACCTAATAAGAGATCTAAATTCGCTGCTTCCATGAACAACATATCTTTCACTCTTCCTTCGGTGGCAATTCTTCAACAACATTTCTCAGGCCAGGATAACAGTGGTGTTTACACAACGGACTTCCCAGTTGTTCCTCTGAGACCTTTTAACTACACGGGAACTCCACCGAATAACACCATGGTGAAGAGTGGAACCAAGGTGGTGGTGATACCCTACAACACCAGAGTGCAGGTTGTGTTGCAGGACACTAGCATTTTGGGAGCAGAGAGTCATCCGTTACATCTTCATGGGTTCAATATGTTCGTGGTTGGTCAAGGTTTCGGGAACTTTGATCCTATCTCAGACCCTCGCAACTTTAATCTGGTCGACCCAGTTGAGAGGAACACCATTGGTGTGCCTTCTGGTGGTTGGGTTGCAATTCGCTTTTCCGCTGACAACCCAGGTGAATTCAGCGATTATACTTTAATGTGGATTATTTTGCATGTTTTCATTCACTTTTTGCCTTTTTTTTTTATTCAACCAACAAGATAAAAAAGAAGTTTTGTAATTTAATTCTATTCAACTGTGAATTATAGGTGTTTGGCTGATGCATTGCCACATTGATGTGCACCTGAGTTGGGGGTTGAGGATGGCTTGGATTGTGAACAACGGAAAACTCTCTCATCAGAAGTTGCCTCCTCCACCGTCTGATCTCCCAAAGTGTTGATTTGATCATTTTGAAAGTTGTAGTGTGTGTTTGGATTAGATAAAATTACTTTATAATTGATTCTAATTGTCTTCTACTATTTTATGTGTAAAACTGAACTATATGTCTTTATTTTCAAAACTTATGTCGTAATTTGCCCTGTATTAAGCTATAAAAAATAGTATATTTTTCAATTTACTGGAAGGACTTATTCTATGACCTTTTTCTTTATAAATGTTTGTTTTCCATAATCAGTTGTCTCAATTACCTAAATCTTGAAAATCATGTTACTTGAAAAAAAAATCACCAAAAAAGGTGTATTCTGTATTCCCACAAAAAAAAAAAAACTTGTATCTGAAAGATGATAGCTAATTTATACTTTTTAAAAAATAAAATTTAGATACAAATTGAATTCTTATTCTAAGATAAGAACATATTTAACAATATGAAAGAGGTTATTGATTGTTGCTTGGTTTGATGTTGGGATGAGTAAATTTGGAACAACCTAACATATGGAAGTAATTCTTTTTAGTTTACATCCAGGTATATTCTTCAATCTTAATTCAATGGAATTTTTCAAGGATTTAAGAACAATTACTCCGGAGGTTAATAATAAGTTTTAGTTCCAAATATGTATAAAATAATATTATGTTTACCGTTGATTAAAAATATGCTTATTATAGCTTTAAAAGTAAAATATTTATGTAAAAACGAAAAACTAATCTTAATAATAACACTATAAAAAAAATTTAGAGACGAAAGTTAGCTATGATAATATTTTGGTCACAGTTAACTAACAGATAATATTCATCTCAATTAGTAACCAAAATAAACAATTCAAATTTAGTTACATTATTTTCTTCAAAATAAAATAAAATAATAATAATAGAATTATTATTATTATTATTATTATTATTATTATTATTATTTTAGTGTATTGTTTCAATAGCTTATTCCGTCGTTATATTTACTAAAAATTATTTTTTAATCTTAACTTTAACTAATAGTAATAAAAAAAGTGTTTAGTGATCAAAATTTTTGTTGTAATTATTGAAAAATATATCACAAGAATTGATCGAAATAATAACTTAATTTTTATGGAGACTATAATTATTAATTTTGGTAGATATAAACACTAAACTATAATTAAAATTATTTTTTTATTCTGCTAATTATAGAGATTAAATTTCACTAATTACATGATTTTATTTAATTTTAACTAAGAACACTCAAAATTTGATTCAGAGATCAAAATTAGTGACGAAACAAGCTATCGGATAACATGTTGCATCTAGTGACGGAAATAGCGACTTAAGATATACTAGTTAACTCTCAACCATGGACTCGCGACCAAATATCATGTTAATTAAGACGGGAACCTTTCCTGCGCTGAATTGCAATGAAAGTTCGAACTAGCAACGAATAAATCCGTCTAAAGGGGACTGAAATATTTTAGCCACCGATTATTTCAGTCTCTAAAAATCATATTTAAGAAAAAATTTGTTTTAAAATTAGTTTTTGTTTTTTTATTTCTATAATTTTATATAAAGAACTTTTTGTTATAATATTATCTTTTTAAAAAAATAAAATCCATTGATTATCTCAAATTTAAATAAATATTGATTATTTTTTCAAAATTCTCTTAAATTAATATATATATATATACATATATTGGAAGAAAATAAATTATCTAGTAAAAATAATTTAATAAGTGAAATATTATATTTTTATCTCAATCTAAATTAAAAAAAAAACCCTTAAATTGTTGGGAGAAAAATAAAAAATGGTGTTACATGAATACTAAGAGTTGAATGGTAACATAACAATAATGATAATTAAATTGATTTTTCTGTTTTTAAAAATGAGAATAACAATTATTTTGATAACTTAAACTGTCTTATTATTTTAAAAAGATTTAAGAAAAAGTGAGTTAAAATCAATAAATTACACAGCACACATTTAGAATTTTTTTTATAAAGAATAACTAACAGTTGGAGAGAAAAATAAAATAAAATAAAATGGAGGTAGAAATTATGTTAAATTATCCACATACATGGAAGAAATTTGTCTTGTCTTGTTGGTGGGTATATGGAATGCCATACCATACATGCCATACCATACCATACATACCCCACCTTCTCCCAATCATTCTATTTCTTTCAATCAATCAAAATATTTAATCACAACAATTCCGTTAATAATTTGGGCCCAATATAAATATCCCAATAAAAAATTTTTGTGGGCTTGGTGATGACCCGGCCCATTTAACATGTAAATTTTAAATACAAAGTGACAAAGAGATAAATAGTGATGTCAACATCAAAAATTGAAGTACAGTGGATGAAACAAAAGAATGTTAAAAAGGAAAATTTTACTAAAGAATCTTTGACCTCTATGAAAAAAAAATCCCCATTTTATTTTGTCATGCACTATTTTTACCCTTGATTATTATTTTAAATAGCAAAAAGATCATGATTTTATGTAATAATGATTTAAATTGATTTACCTTAATTACTAATATAATACTTGATTCATTTACTGTAAGTTATGTTACTAATTTTATTTTAACAATTTTTAAAAATAATAGAATTGTAATCATATTATATAATGTTATAAACATTCAGTTTCTACCACTATAGGATATTATATTATATAGAATACTAAAATATTATGTATAATTTGTTTTATTATATATATAATATTATTAATCTTTTTAATTTTATATTTTATTTGATTTATTAATTTGTTTATATTCCTCATATGTAAAAATCACATAATTTTAAAGCTACAATTTAAAAAAAAAACACAACATAATATTGTTGACAAAATTTAAATTATTAATACAAATGATTCTATAAATGTTATAAAGTTCAAAACTAATAAATTATATAGTTTTATAAAATTAATTACAGTAACAACTGCTAAAATTGTCACTGTGTTATAATTATATTTTGTTAATATTATCTTAATATTTTAAATTTAGATAGCATACTTTAATATATCCTAATTAGCAACGATTTTTTATGGCAGTTTAAAACGTTTAAAAACCGTTGAAAAAGTTCAAAACTATCTGTATTAGTTTTAATAGACAAATATGATGATGTTATATATTGAGAGGTGAAATTGAATTTTAATGATGAAAAAAATGAAATGAATAAAATAAATAGAAGGGGAAAATGATTTAGTTTTAGCTTATACATCAGCTAATGAAAATAGGATTAAAAAAATATATTTCAACAAAAATATTATGTTTGTGGCACCAAAATAAATAAAAAATAAAATAAAATAATGTTTCGTACTCGTTTCAATTTCTAAGGTTGAATCTTGCCACTGACAAAACATAATAAAGTGTAATACATTTATTTTATTTATTATTTATTACATTTTTAATAAAAAGCTTGTTTGACAAGGTGGTGAAAGGTTAAAGCTTGAAACTGAGAGTTTAGGGTCTAATGGATGAAAAACTAAGATGAGTGGAAAGAGAGATTCCAGCTTTACAATCACACTGCCATCAAATTCAAAAACAGGGGAAAGGAAGAATGAAAGAACAAACTAAGGTCTGGTAAGTTGCATACAGGGGAAAACAAGAAGGAATGAGAAAAATGTAACTTTTATTTTCAAATGCAGATCCAAATACTAGCCATTTGAAGCAGTGAAGGATATGCACTGTCTAAAACTAAAATCGTTTCCTTCAGAACATAAAAGAGAAACAGAGACAGAACTTGAGACATAAGACATGATTTAACATACCAAAGTTTGAATTAGCAGTTTATTTTAGATAATGAGAGACAAACAAAATCAAACATTAATCTGGAGTCCAATTGATGTACATATTTCCAGCAATGTGTAAATCTTATAACTCACCTCAGTTAACTCCTAATTACAATCGAATCTATGGTATTCGAAGAGGGCCAAAAAAGGATCCTCATGGATCAAAAATAAAAAAAATTGTGCAAGTTGCAACCATGAAAACCGAGTCCAAGATCTATGCACTTTGCTGTGAGTTTCTTTCATGAATCCCCGTGTTTGTGCCAGCAAACTAACATGGCCACACACCGCCTCATGATGTAAAACCGTGCTTTCTGTTCCTTGGCTATATTGGTGCATTTGCGACCGATGGAAGGGTTCTTCTGTGAGAAGCTCCTAGGAAGATTGTTATTATTGCATTTGGAAGAAGATGAAGAATTCTTCTGGGACAAGCTTCTAAGAAGAGGAGAGTTAGAAGTGGAGCTACTCCTTGAGAATAATGACCTTGTGGAAGAAGAGGCTTGGCTGCTTGAACCTGTGTCCTTCTTTGATGACTTTCTCTTTTCATCCATCACAAGCAGAGGAACTGTGAATGTGATGCTCACTGGCTACCAAGCCTTATCCTTTGTGTGTAAGAAGAAGAGGAAATTAGATTGTGATAAGAGAGAAGAAAGTCACTGTGGGACTGTGTAGGTATAGGTGTATATATGTGAGGGTTCAAAGAGATCATCAGTGCCTGCTAGTAGGTTATGGTCAGCACTTAGTTTATATAGCCTTATACCATACATATCCACTTACATATAAATATACACACATATACATTTACATGTAAAATATATAATACAAGCACAAGAACATTTTATGTTAAGCAACTTCTTTTTTTAATCTACACTTTGTGCCCCATTTTTCACTGTGGTGGGGGCTAAATCATGAAACCCTGTCCATTGAATCGCCTCGGATATGCTATGATTCTCTTTGGAGACACACATCTTGTACGGTTCCAAAATGGGCAGTCACTTATTAAAATCGTCCCCTGTAGACAAAAATGTTAGCTGGTTTTCATGTGGTGGGTTGTGCACCCTTGTGCCTGTTTACTCCTCCACTGTATTTTATTTTATTTTTTTCTCACTAATTTTTATTCACTTTCTTTGATATTTTCCACTGTTTTTGATTTGTTCAAAGAAACAGTTGCGAGCATCCTAAGTTTCAATTTCTATGGAGCCTGCTAAGTTTGTTGAATGCCTGGTTTTTAGAGTGTGCCTAATTTGCTGTTAAAGATGCTTTTCCTTCAGCGGAAAAATGTGCACATGGATGACAGTACTCTGCATCTCCTTGGTAGTCCAAAAATGTGTTTAAATTATAAGCCTTGATGAGTATATTACGAGACTAGTGTCCATCATCCACATCTTATTCGTATGAACGTGACTCTTGTTTCTCAATTGTCACTATTGAAATTATAGTTCTGAATTTAAGTCATGCAATGTATTCCTTTACTGATAATCTTTCTTCCCTTTTTCTTCACAGTTTTAAAACCTCATATGTGGGAAAGGAGTGGCTGATATCCATGGATTCGGTGCTACAGCATCTTTTTCACCCTTTTATCCATCTAATGTGTATAAATTATGAACATATATAGTTTCCTATTTTTGTCTATTTCTTATTCAAAGAAAAATGTTTCACCTAAAAAACCTACTAATCGGTCTTGCCAGAATTGTGACCATCACAGCCACTAGTTTAAACAACACTCATATTATTGTTCTCATCAAGTTATTTATTTATTACAGGGCTGAATTCACAAGCACATGGTATTGCAACTACGTACGTAGCTAAAGCAGTAGTTAGAACAGTGAAACAACGTTTTCGGATTTTAAATTTTTGGATGCTGAAGTTTTGTCTGAATTTAAAATCTTCAACTGGAGTCATGTTAACTTATCATGTGAGGGAGTGATTTGTTATTCATTTTGAATGAATACTTTATTAGATCTCGCCGCTCTTACTACTGCAGTTTACACAGTGCTGTTAAAATATATGCATTTGTTAATTAGTTTAAGGAAAAAGAAAAGGAAGATGAAATTTGAAAAGGAAGGATATGAAACGGCCATGGAGAAGGAATCTAATGATTTGGAAACAAACTTTTTTTTTGAAGATTATTTGACTGGTCAACAAAACTTTGCAATCACATGCATGTAAGTATGATTATCATTGGTAAACAAAATTAGTGTAAAAAGCATATTTTTTGGGTTGAGCATAGGTGGGTCTATTTAGAGTGAATGTGAACCAAGTATTTTGCTTCTTTTTGATGGCACGTACGCATAAAAATGGTGCCTCTGATGTTGTTTTCTGAGTACCCTGTCTCTATGGGTACACCACAAATTCAACGTTGTTGTAAAATTTTGAGGTGCCCAGAAATGAAGTCATTTAATTAATTATTAAATGATAAGGTACAGCACCGCGATGAAGTTATAAAGCGGTTCTAATTAATTACTACTAATTAGTGTTGGTCAAAAGAATATGTTGATGGTCAAACATCATGTCACGTGGGGTGCTGTGGTTGGTGTAAAACACATATAATTCCTGATTTCTTTTAATAAAAGTAAACAAGTTTTTGTTCTTTCAAATATATTACTTGATCATAATTTCTATTCAGTACACATCTTTGAAATCTATCCAACCATAACTTAAATACTAATTTATCTTTTTACAAAATCAGTCATAGAAAAATTCATACTAATGAAACAAGTTTTTATGGCTTTCGTATTTAGTATTATATATGTATGGTCTGATTTCAAAAGAGTGAGTTTATGATCCTTGGATCTAATTATATTTAACAAATAGATATAATTCTTTTTTGTGACATTAATTGAAGCATGATGTGGATCTTTTCATCATCATAAACAATAAAGAAAGATGCTGTTTTAAAATCATTTTAAGGAAATTAAGGTCTTAGTAGACATAGGAGTTTGTTTATGCTCTATAGGGATATTAGCCAGGTGTGAAATATCTGAATCTCAAGATTGAAAATGCAGCAAAAGTAGAATACAATAACCACAGAGTTAACTTGAGATAATGGTATACGTATGGCTCTAGAAACATGAATTCCTCAATTTTTAATGCCAAATTTTTCACATTTTTGATTGAGGTTTTTTGGTTTTCCAAATGGTTTTGCTGGCCATGTCGGCCGGGGAGAATATGAGGAATGGGGAGTCCCACATGCAGACATGTGAGCTGCACAAGGGATGGTCAGGTGGGGGTGGTGCTCATATACATACACATATATATATATATATATATATATATATATATATATATATATATATATATATATATATATATATATATATATATATATATATATATATATATATTCACTCTGTCTGTAACAAACAGTGCCTACTAAACCATTGTGGGTCAAGGTATTAATCTTGTAATTTTCAAGTTGACACCCAAATCATCATGGGCAGAGTGACGTGTAATATACTATTGTTTTATCCTTTTGTTTCTTGTTTTTCTGTTTATTTGTGGCTATGTGTCCCAAGACTAACGAAGATAACATGCAGCGTTAAGGTTGATTGTAAATTAGAGAGGGCGCGCATTAGACAATAATGCAATTTATCTGGGACAGGCAGATTCTGCAGGAACAACTTTTGAATTTCGGAGATGTTCTTTGACCACTCACTGAACAATGACAATAAATGGCATTTTCGGAGATGGTTACGTAAACTAAATTAATTTTGATAATTAGATGCTTTTATATTTTATGTATATGTAAAGATTGCAATAGTGGGGCTCCTCCACTTTCGTCCTTCTTCTTGTAATGATAGAGGTACTTGCAAAGATCTTCCAACATTCAAGTCAATAATCAAACATTTTTATGTTTTCTAAAATCAACATCACTGGAATCAAAATCCATTCTCATTCTTCCAACCAAGAAAATAAACACGCTTCCACTGTGGTTGATTGCCAAACTCTGAAATCCGTAGCCTCAAAATACATCAGATTGAAACCAAATGATTTATGTATTTTCTCGATCACTGTTTCACTCTTTATGACTGTCTCATGTATCATAGTTACTAAGTTAAAACCTCAAAGAAACAATTGACCAGTCTGGACTTAATTGATTGCGGAGTCAGGCTCTTGCATGTGGTTTGTTTTAGGTGTTTTCATCATACCACAACACCTCCTTTTATTAAAGAAGGAAATTAATGCAAATTTCATAAATCTCATTATGATCCCACCCATTCCATGCAGTGCACGCCATGCATATTAATTTACACGTGCATGATGTATTTCCTAAATTGGACATAAATTTATATGCATGCTCAGGTTAAGATCACAATGAAAGTGCCTTCACTAACACAGTGTGTGTATAGAGTATGGTGATCATGATAATTAATATCTACTTTTTTTTTTTTGGAAGGCATGAAATAGTTCAGGTACTATACAATTTCTGTTAAATGGAGAATCTGAAGTTTATAATTGTCATCAAAGCCAATTCTCCAACAACATGGAAGCCACTTTCATCAGATTTACATTTTCTCTACATAATATCAATATTAACATTCTGAATTTCTCTAATCAATCCTTAAAAGAAAAAGTCAAGATGTGACTATTCAATGAATGTAGATATATCCCCAGCTAAGGACTGAACTGACTCATCATCATTTGAAGTGAATGGTAAAGATTAATTATAAAATAAAAGACAATAATAATCATTGATTATTTTGAATATTAAACATATTTGTACTATTTATAGGTGTCAAATCTCCTAAATATAAGAGATGGTTGGGTGAGAGAGAAGGATCGTAGCAGAAGAAAGCAGAACAATGAGTTTCTTAATTGTTGAGCTTCTGGTTACCTAAGCAATCAAAATCTAGCTATATTTGGGCTGTTACTCAATTCCCTTTTGGGCCAAGGGACCAATATGAGGTTTAATATGTATGCTACTCAAATCAAAGCCTCTGTTGCGTCCTTTATTAAGCAGAGAAATCTAATTATTAGATTATGCTCATATGACATAGTTCTAAAGAAAATATTCTTAATATCACAAACGAAACTTTCTATCTACTATCAATAATTCGGAGGTTAAAGAATTTTTATAATACTTTAAGTGAGAAATCTCGCATGAATAAAAATAAAAAAATTGAATAATTTATAAGTAAAAAAGATACATAATTTAATACTTTAAGGTTTTTGGTGGAAAATAATGATATAATTTTTTATATGATTGACTCTTATTTTATTTATGAATGAAAATTTTTCTAATATTTACTAGCTCGAAATAGTTAATATAAAAATAGTTAATATAAAAGTCTCAAATTAATTTGTAACTCTTTTAGACTAGTATCATCTTCATTATTCAGTATCTTCAACTTAAAAAGTGTGAGAGAAAAATCATATTAATATTCTATTTGGATATATAAGTATTTCAGTTGACACTAAGATGAGAAAAAAATAATTAGACTTCTTTCATTATTTACAATTAGCTTTTAGGAAAAGTTAAATGATAAGAACATAAAGGTTTAAGTTAGACATGTAGGGTCTAGCTTGCTTGTACGATTCTTAATACTTAATTTCTTGGTGAAAATTTACTTAGGGTTTTACTTTTACACTTTTCTCCCACACCCTATTTCCAATATTATTATTATATTGGTGTTGATGCACAGAAAGCAATTAGTGTATTCTAATCTTACTCTATTTAATTTATGATATCAACTCTACTAATCATAGTTCTAGCTACATCCTTTCAAAATTAAATATAGCAATTATTTGTCTTCCACTTGAAGAAGCCAACTTGGATGATCATTTTCTAAATTCCCTCCATAAATGTTCTCTTTAGGTGAATTAATTGTAGAGGGATGCAACATCTTTCTGACTCTAAGACCCAAAGAGGGTGTTCCAACAATCATTTAATATTCATCATGGGATGCGTAATATAGGTATAATAGTGTAATCTTTAAAGATTATATATATGGATCAAATAAAGTCTTTTAGTTTGTATCTTTTCTCTTTCTTAAACTAAAGAGACCCAGTTTTCCAACCGACACCTTCGCAATTTTTATGTAACCTTTTCGTACATGGATAATGATAAATTGACAACCTTTAAAAAAAACAACTCGAACTCGTTTGATTAATATAAGAACCATGAAAGATATTTAATAAAAATAAAAAATAGTTAAAATTATTATTATAATATAAAATGGAGTTGTTTACCTGGTTGTTTGTGTGAATATTGGTGTTAAAATATCTTTTTCCTTGATACATAGCATAGCTTTTTTTTTTTTTTTTCTTTTTTATGTATATAGATATATAGATAGAGTAACTTAATTTATGCCTTAAGAAGAACATGTCAAAAGCAAGTTATGCAGAAGCCAAGGAACACAAATATTAGCAACTGAATGTAATATACTAATGCCAGATACCACCCATATTTCTAGAGAAAAAACGCACTAATTGTTCTGACTAAAGGAAAATAGTATATATAAAATATATTTATATAGAGACGACATGACGACACTCATATTCATGATTTTTTTTTTTTTTTCGTTTCTTTATCCAGTAGGTGGACAAGTTGGAAGAATCTATCTTGTTTTACAAACACTAACAAAAACATGCAGAACGAAAGGGCAAACATGAATAACATATGCAATAAAACTGATATATATATATAAGATAAAAAAAACTTCATTCACCTGGATTGATTATTTCCTCACTGCATGCTATTTCTTTGCTCTGAATCGGAAATCCTAGTCATGTATTTGCCGGTGCAGCATCATCAAGATTCCCACTTCATTTTGGGAACATCCATAGGGAGCTAGCCTATACATGTATGTATGAACATGTGCACTTATGAAGTCCTTTGGTGGTGTGAATCTTGATGATGCTGCACCTGCAGATACTGACTGTGTTCTCCACCTCTTTCTCCTAAAGCTTGAAGACATAGCAGTAAAAGTCACCCTGAGATCCAACAAACAAGTATGTGTGTATATGTTACAACAAGAAGTAGTGAACCCAAGGGGGAGATATAGGAGGAATAATAAGCAATTGATAACAAAAATAAGCTCATTAATCTGGCCGCCATGTATGTTGAAATCCTAGACTTGTTTATCCCGGGTGACAAGGCTTTTTAAGCGGCACCGAAAGTTGATTAAAAAAGGCTAATCAAGATTACTATAAGAACATATACATACATACATAGTACATATACATACATATGTGTTGATTCACTTGGGACAGCAGAAACATGAAAGAAACATAACAACAGAAAGGAAGATTTAGTATCAACTATAAATCTAGAGGGTGACCATAGTTTTACAAAGCAGCAGCACAAGTGAAGACATGATTGAAACTTCACCTGAGAGGCTCGAAGATCAGATCTTTGGTTAGTTATCTTTGCAAGTATAGTAGCTATAGCGGAGTATTTATGTTAAGGAATCATGGTGTGACAGAAGTGAATGGGAAAAAAAGAGTGCAGTGGAAAAATTCGCACACATTTCCCAGCAAATAGCTCTTGGTGGGTAGTGTGACATCAGGTCATGAAAGGTCTTGCCAGATTGCAGTAACTTCACGTTTGCATTCATGTTTTTAATCCCTTTATTTTACACATATCTTTTCACGTAGTATCAATTATGTAGATTAAGATATGAACATAAATTATGTAGATTAAATAAAAACTAATATTTTATAATTATACACATTTTGCTTTATTTATTAAACAATCGATTGCTATAATATTTCGACGTTCAAATAACAAAAATTAATATGTTTCTGAGTGAAGTTAAACAAATAAAATAATAATAAAATATGATATTGTTTGTTTTAGTATGAAAGCTTAAAAGAAATCGAAATATATGGAAAATGGGTCAAACTTCATCACAACAAAACACATTTCCATAGCATTCACAACTAAGAATGGAATCTTACGACTTTATGGTAGGTCAAACTCAAATTAGACCTATTGATAAATAAATGGGAGGATGACTTATTTAAAAACTTACATAATTAGTAATATTAATCAATCTTAAGTCAATGTAATTTTTTATTTAGCTTTTATGTCGGAGATAACTAATCAAAACTTTAAAGAAAAAAGTAAAATATTTTATATTAAAAAATTTATTTTCTAATGTAACGATTATGGTTTAAGAAAGTCGTAATTGGGGTGATCTTTCATTTTGTTATTACATAAAGTAAAAAATAATTTAGCTTTTAAAAATCTTTCAATGTTATGCAATGATAATAAGATTTGTGTAAATTTGAATAATCATTTGGATCAAATTTAGTATTTGTTTATTTAATTGCCAACAGAAACGTTCAGTTATTTATTAATTATATATATATATATATATATATATATATATATATATATATTAATCATGATATGATTTTTGGCATCTAGTTTAAATTAAGGACACAATGTGAGGGATGACATAGAAAGCCACACATCATAAAGTTCTTGCTTTTCTCCTTTTCGCCACTCCGTTTAATATTTTAACAAGAGAATAAAATCCATCACAGAATCAAATTATGCTCTTATAAGATAAGAACAAGTATTTTCCCATTAGTTTACACACCCAAAACACAAATAACAAGTAAACATTAGAAGAAATAAAATACATTATTTGGCATCAATTAAACATTTAATAATTTCAATTTTTAATACACATAAATTTATATAACTTAGAAATACCCTCCTTCATTTAGGGAGTAAGAAATCTGTGAGTCATTGTGTCATTATATTATATCCAACAAACTTCAACTCCTACAAGGTAAACACAAGTTTGTGATGCCTACAAATATCGCACATTTCCACAACAATTTTTAGCTATGGTTTCGTAAAGGATAGTATTAGGTACCCATATGACTAAAATCCAATATTTGTTTCCGTTTCTCTGCAAAAAAGAAAGCTACCAACATTTGTTAAATTCTCAAGAAAAATTGAACTGTTTGCAACCCCGAAAGAGAGAGAAAAACACAGAAAAAAGCAACTAGCCGTTTAAGGTTGTGTAAAGCAATCACCTTTTACTAGCTGATATACGATACATCATCACTGGGGAAGTTATACATTCCTCACCAAATAATGCAGTTAAACAAAACAATTTATAGTGTAAATTGCAACGATTAGGTCATGCATGTTTTGTAGAAGCCGAACCATAGGAAACTATGTTATATATATAGCAGCACTAGGTTTTACATTATACAGAAATAAGCCTAAAAAAAGATGATATCTATATCTATTTACAGTAGTGGAGGAGGAAGCAGTGGTGGAAGAAAAGAGGGTTAGTTAAAAGCAGGAGGAGTTGGAGGCACAAGAGAGAAGAGTTGGTCGAGATCAGGAGGGTGGAAGTAGCCATTCTTGGGCGGCTCTCTTTTCCTCCCAAAGGAAAAAGGCTTCTTCTTCGGGGGCGGCGGGGGTGCCAACGCCGTGGGTATGCGGCACTCCCACCGCTTGGGCGTGGAACAACGGCCACTGGTATCACCATTCATGATGAAATTACAAGTAAGTTTGAAAGAGAAAATGGAACAAGTGGACGATGAGTAGTGACTGGTTTCGGCTCTATTTATAATTCATAATTGTTTATCTGAAGAGTGTGTGTGTGAGAGAGAGAGAGAGAGAGAGAGGGGGTAGTTTTGAAAATTGAAAGGTGGAAAATTTATGGAAGGGTGTTCTGGAAGACGCTAGGAGAGAAGAGGAGATAGTTTTGTTGTTGTGGAAGTGACACGTGGCAACAGTCTAGAATACGTGGCGCCAATGAATGATATGATGTGGTGTTTGAGTTGAGGAGCGCGCGCACTCTTTCACTTCACCGCCTCGTCCATTGCATTTTCTTTAAATCACACTAAAAAACTCATTAACCATGACCAACACCTCTTTACATAAATGCATAGCCAGATTATTGATATGTTTGATAAAATAATTTACTTGCTATTCACGTAAAACAATTAATGCCCTTCAAATTACTGAGGAGGTTTCATTTATTATGAATTAATATTAAATTATAAAAACTTATTATAGTTTTTTTTTTTAACAAGAACCACCGACAAATCTGAGAACTGTCCCAAGAATTTCGCTGCTGTTATGATGATGTGCTTGCAGTTAGCAGCTTCACCTTCACGTGGGTTACTGTCGAAAAGTAAAAATAAAATAAAATAAAATCTCTTCATTTCCTTTGTTTTATTATTCAATGGAGAGCAGAGCCGAAAGTTGAAATCTGCAACTTCTTCAATGGTAGTTGCCGCGTGAAAAGAAAGTAAAGGGCAAAGGGTGCACAATGCAGGTTAAAACTTGGAGAGGGAAACGTGTCATCGTGGGAATGGACAACGTGGTACAAGTCAAGATGTTTCCTTCCAACAGCTTTTAAGTTTCTTTCACTTTTCTAGTTTTACACCTTAACCACACAATCACCACTGTTCGCGTCACAGTCTCACAATCGCTTTCGTTTAAAGCCATTCTATTTATTTCTCTTCTCTTCTCTACTGTATCTCTCTCTGCTTTGTTGCTTCTTGTTATGACAGTTTGTAACACAGTAAGTGAATGTGATGGTCCATACAATACCTAGATTTTCTTCATTTCTTAGTTTAGCATTAGTTTAACATGCTGGATGTTTCCTTCATTTGCTTGTAGTTGAGTCTGACAGAGTCTGAAATGGAAAACGGGGATCAGTTCCAGGAGATTTCTCAGGCGAAATACTATTGTCTTTTATTTGGTAAGCCTTTAATATTCATGGTGACTTTTCTACTCTCACATGCTGGCTTCTTTATCTGCCACGGTGATATTGATAACTTGTTTTTGGATGTTTTCAGATCTTGATGATACCCTCTATCCCTTGAGTTCTGGATTGGCTGAACAAGTGACGAAGAACATCCAGGGTAATGAGTTTACCGATTTGAATATGTGATTACGTTAATGTGTGTGGATTTCGCTGAATTTCTTTATCTTTTTTCGATGGGTTGTACAGAGTACATGATTCAAAAGCTTGGGATAATAGAGGATAAAGTTCCTGAGTTGTGCTTTTCCTTATATAAGACTTATGGTACAACCATGGCTGGTCTCAAGGTATAATTAATTGAACTTTCATCATATGTTAAAAGGCATTTTTTATTTGTTTATTTAGATGTGATGGAGAACGAATCAATCTCAATCATTGTTTCTTTCTCTTTCACCAGGCTATTGGCTATGACTTTGACTATGATGACTTTCATGGGTAACTGCCTGTACATAGTTGAGATTTGTTCCATTTTTAAGTTTATGTTTGTAATAGTTAGAAATCTTGTGGAATATAATAAGCACCCAAGACTATTTTGTCTTGACCAGCTTTGTTCATGGGAGACTTCCATATGATATGCTGAAACCTGATCCTGTTCTGAGGGGAATTTTGCTAAGCTTGCCTGTTAGGAAAATTGTGAGTTTCTTTGCTCTTATTTAATGATGAACAAGATAGGACTTTCATAAATATCTCTTCGGCATAATGTTGGTGTCATTTTTTTTTTCCCAAGATTTTTACAAACTCAGACAAGACCCATGCTAGTAGAGTGCTTCACAGGCTTGGATTGGAGGATTGCTTTGAAAGAGTTATAAGCTTTGAGACCCTCAATTCCTCCAATGAAGATGGCAGTGAATATAAACCAAGTTCCACAGGAATATTTGATTTTTATGAGTACATTCACAGGCCTGATTCTGATGTAGTGCTTCCTAGGACCCCGGTTGTATGCAAACCCTTTCAAGATGCATTTGAAAAGGTTTTCAATATGGCAGATATAGACCCTCAAAGAACAGTAAGATCACCAGCCCCCCTGCTCTCCCTAAACCTCATTTGACCATTGTTTTGTGTCTGTTGATCAAAGAATACCAAATATCAGTTTTTAATTATGTGCATTTTTTTACAAACTAAATTGTTTATTTTGTTTTGCTTTTCCAGTTATTCTTTGATGACAGTCTCCGCAATTTACAAACGGGCAACTCCTTGGGCCTCCACACGGTCTTGGTCAGTAACAAAATACTAGTCATAAGAACATTAGTTGTTTTTCTTTCTGGTGGTAATAATTTCACAGAACATTAGTTAGTGTTTGTTCAATGTTTTTAAGTTTGAGTCTTTCACATAGTCAAGTTGAAAGAAATTTCAAGTTATACATTGGTATACACCAAAAAGAAAAAAGAAATACATTGGTGGGAATTTTGACAAATTGACAATTTATGCAAGCACATTTTCTTATATATCACATCACAATTAAAATAATATATGAAGAAATTTGAATTTATATATGAATTCTCCATTGTGTCACGCGTGGATGCAGGTGGGCACTTCTGTTAGAACTACTGGAGTGGATCATGCCCTAGAGAGTATCCATAATATGAAGGAGGCTTTTCCAGAACTGTGGGAAGGCCATGAAAAGCCTGAAAGTGTGGAGTGCTCTAGAAAGGTTTCAATTGAGACATCAGTAGTAGCTTAACTTATACCTCCAAGTTCTGAGAACTTTTGGTGTCTGGTACTGTACTGTGGTATAATGTTTATTGATGTTGTTGGAGAATTTTATATATTTATATATAAATTTCATTCGCCATTTCCTCATGGAAATGTGTAAAGATTATTCAAGGAGGCAAAGGTAGCAAGTTTTGAAAACAGACGAAAACTTCCTGAGGAGCATGCCTAAATCACCAAACGTCAACAAATTACACACAAATATGTCATTATTATCCACAGAGAAATGCTAAGAAAAGACATTATTTTGAACACTTCACACTTTGAATTTTACTAATAATTTTTAAAAATTTGTAGGTTTCTTATTTAAGTCGATGAGCTTTTCTTATATTTCAAAATTTGAATGAATTTCAATCAATAAAAATTTGTTAAGCGTGCATTAAAATACTACTGTTATTGATGTGGAGCTTAATTGGTTGATTAAGATTTTTTATGAAAATAAGAATAAAATTGTTTTTCTTCTTACAATAAAATTAACTTATAAATTTTAGATTTTGACAAAGTTAAATGAAAGAGTTTTATAAAAGTAGAAATGGACAAGTTAGTTTTAACTTCTTTTAAAATTTATAATATTTATGTCAAAGTTTATTCGTAATGGTTGTAGATTTTAAAAGGAATTGCTGTGATTATTACGTTAAAACATGACTAATCTCTATGCATACCCTTACAATTTTCTTAGTGCATTGTTAATATCTCACTGTTTCTGGTATGATAGTGCGTTGTAGATTATGACTGTTTTATACAAATTCCATCTGTAGTAGGGCTTTTCAAATTATATGGGGCATAGTATAATTTGATGAATGATTTGCATCAAGAAAACAAGAGGGAAATAGAATATTAAATACGACCCAGTGGCAGATAAGATTACTGCAAATATGACACTAAAACAACAGCAAAATACATAAAGACAGACTTCAATCATCCTCTCGAAAACCCTACATGATCAGGTAATTGCAATCTTTTGGAGTAATTTATGGTTTCATGAGGTAACATCTAACTAATTACATATACAGCATGCAAAACATATATGTATGTGGAATATGGATTAAGCAAAACCACTGTCGGCTCAATTAATATTCAGATTTTCAAAAGAAAACAATACAAAAATAGCTAACAAAATCAATCTTTCAACGTATGCTTCTTTCCAGTGAAAGGCTTGAATTTTGGCTGCTCTTTTTGGGATTTCTCTTGACTTTTGTTTTCTTGAGAGAACTAAAAGCAAAAAAAATTTGATTAGATGGACTTCTCAAAGGCAAATGCATTTCAAAATCATGTTAAATCATGAATTTTTATGTCATATTTGTCTATCAAGAAAATTGCTACTGCTACCTTAGGTGTTGCTTGAATGCTAGATGTAGTAGCATTTGATCCAGACACAAGATTTCCAGGAGCTATACGCGACGCAGTATTTGTTGGCTCAGAATCAGAATCCTGTCCTTTGTCAGTTTCTTTCTGCTTTAGCTCTGGACGGGATGTTTCTTTAACTTCATGTGCTGAGGCTTTCCCACCCAAACGTCTTCCCAATCCAGAGAATGGAATGAAAGGCTTGAATTTTGGATCTTCTTCACCCAGGGATTTCTCTCGTCTTCTGTTTTCTAAAGAAACCTGAAAATAAAGAAAAATTGGTCAAATGGAATGAAAGGCAAATGCGTCTCAGAATCATGTCAATGAATCATAGAATTTTTACGGCATTTCTTTGTGTCTCCATAAATTGCTACTACTAAAACTACCTTAGATGTTGCTTGACTGCTAGATGTAGTTGCATTTCTCCCAAACACAAGCTTTCCAGAAGCTTTAGAAGACGCAATATTTGCTGGCTTAGAATCAGAATCCTTCATTTCATTATCAGTTTCTTTCTGCTGTAATTCAGGGAGGGATGTTTCTTCAACTGGATGTACCGAGGCTTTACCACCCAAATGTCTTCCAAAACCAGAGAATGGAAAGAAAGGCTTGAATTTTGGATCTTCTTCCTCCTGGGATTGGTCACGACTTTGGTTTTCTCGAGAAACCTAAAAACAAAGAAAAATTGATTAGATGGACTTCTGAAAGGCAAATAGGTCCCAAGATCATGTTAATGAATCATAGATTTTTATGGTATTTCTCTCCCTCCAGAAAATTGCTACTGCCAAGAACTACCTTAGGTGTTGCTTGACTGCTAGATGTAGTTGCATTTGAATCAAACACCAGCTTTCCCGAAGCTCTCTGAGACGCAGTAGTTGTTGGCTTAGAGTCAGAGTCCTTCATTTCTTTGTCATTTTGTTTCTGCTCTAACTCTGGAAGTGATGTTTGTTCAACTGGTTCTACTGAGGCTTTACCATCCAAGCGTCTTGCAAAACCAGAGAATGGATTGAACCGGGCAATCTTTGTTGGTGGTTCATCTTCAACTGAAATGCGAAGAATGTAGTCATAAAGTGCTAATGGATTTTTTTACTTAAGCTGAGCAAATAAAAAAGAGCAACTTTCCACATATGATAAAAAACTGATAACCTTCCGGTCGTTTCCTGTCAACTTTTGCTTGTTTATTAGGTTCTTTATAATCAAGCGGTGGAGCAAAATCGACTTCACAGTCAGTTTCAATTATACTGACTGCATATGAGGGTTGAGTTTCAATAATGTTGATGTAATACTTCTTGTTGTTATATGGAACCATTATAGTGTCGCCAGTTGTTAAGCATGAGTAGCTCCTAAGTGAAGTCTCTAGGCTTCAAATAACCAAGAGAAAGAGAATATTAATTGACACATTGTCAAAGATATATCTAGATACTGTAAAAGAATACTGACATGGCTTTTGGATTGGAGATATCTAAAAAGTCCTTTGTGTGAGGCTGCAGCTTCACATAAGTTCCTTTTGCAAGGTTGGTGTTTTTCACATATACAAGGTCTCCTTCTCGGAGGAGCATATTTTCCATTACCTGACAACAAAAACAGAAGAACATCATAACCTGTACATAAAGGGGCAAAAAATTTATTAAGCAGAAAAGCTATAGAAAATACGATCAACAAAGAGAGTATCACATACCCAGTATGGTAAATATATGATCCCTTCATCAGCTACGAATTCTAGCACCCCACAATGTGTAACTCTTTCAGCAGAAGGATTCTTAAGTTGGAATAACATAGGGTACTCTATGTGCAAAGATGCTGAAAAACAAAACCAGTGAAAATCTTGGTAAATGTTTAGATGAATAAGCCAGTAATATAGCAGGAGGGAAAGAATGACTTACCGAGGCGATCAAGGGCTGAGGGAGGCATGATAACTGAAGGCAACAACAATTCTCATAAGAAAATTTATAGGCACACAGTTATGAAAGTTCAATACATATTTAGAATAAAATAAGTAAAATACAAGCTGTGGTTACATACTTTTATCACCCTTTTCCAGATGTGACTGCACAGAATCAAGAGATGGAAGAATCAGTTTAATATTTTGAATCACACACAGATTTAAACATGTTTTATTTCTAAAGAGTGCTCTACCCAAAATTGAATGCACATGAAAAATGCACCAATGTCACTCATAAGCCGCGATCTATATAGGTCACAGACAATGCTCTTGAGTACTAGATGATTAATACAGGCACAAGTATAAACCTCAAAGGATATGTTGACCATTGTGAATAAAAAAGTTTTAAGATATGTTTGGATGAGAGGAAAGAAAATAAAACGGATAATAGAGAAGAAAAAATGTTGACTTTTTCAAACAAAAACAAAAAGAATATCCTTCGCTTTGTATTCGATTCAAATTTGAAAATTTTCTCTGAGGGGCTAGCAAAATGAAATAACAAGTATTGTAGGCTAAAGGCCAAATCAGTGATCGTACCTTGTCGATGAAGGAGACCGGGTAACAACGATAATACTGTTCAAAGGTTGCACATCGATCACCTCCGTAATACGCCTGCAATTTTTTTAAAATAAAAAATAAGAAAAAGAGGTTAACATACAAACTACAATCAAGAAAATTATCGTCACTTATCTGGCCAAAAAAAAAAATGCTCAACACTTGGACATTTAAGTTCCAAGGCACGTTATTGAAAGCTCAATCAAGGTAATCAGTGACACTGATCACTGATAAAGTTTAATATTAAAAAGAATCAATGTCTCAATTCATTCAAATTTACAATTTGTGTTACTATTGTTGTTGATTGCAGAATTAAGACACAAAAAATAAAAAAGTAGCGGGTCAACGTACCATAATTTCCGAGGACTAGAAGATGACTTGATGTCTGCGTGTGCCTGACCTGAACGTGACGAAGAAATATACAAACACAAACAAATGCCAATAATCACGATCCAGTCACATGAAAAATGTGATGGGATGAGAACTTTTGCATCTTGCGGAACGTTATACGATTACGGAAGATGAATGACGAGAAAGAATACAAGGATACTGCTTTGGGAACTCCGAAAATTACTACACCGTTTACGTGCTTCAGAAGAACACGGTCATGGCATTTTATAGGTTTGGAATGCGAATGTTTTCGCGTTTTCTGTGTGCAATATCTCTCTTTCGTGGGCCGGGCCGTTTATCTCGTGTGTTCGTGGCCCAATACATCATATTTTGTTTTCAAAAGCATATTATTATTGGTCATTTTAGCAGATATTTTTTTAAGTCTTTTAAATTGAGACAATAAAACAAAACAAATTTAACAAATTGGAGGAGCTAGGTTAAAGTTGCGGTGGTGGTGGTGGACTTATAGGAGGAGGAAGAGATAAATTTGAAAGAGGAGGTTGAAGGCGTAATGGCGAGGCGAGAGCTTTCTAGCACGTTGAAGAACTTGAAGGTACCGTTCCTCTTTGTCGTTTTCGTTGAATTTTGATTACTTGTTTGTGAAATTTTACCTTCAATTGTTCCATTCAATATTAGAGTTGAAATTTTAGGGTCTAATGATATTGCTCCTTTTTCTGATTCGAGTTGAGCAGTTCATGCAAAGGGCGGCTCTGAGGGAGGATAAAACCAAGAAAGAAGAAGAGATCAAACCTGATGTCAGTTTTGGTACTTCTACTGCGGTCTCTAGAAAGTGGTATTTTTCTTTCCTATATTCAAATATTTTGTAGGGATTTTAGTTTAACTACACATGGGTATGATTTCTGGGTCTGTTTTATTGTCTTCTTTAACCTGGCCTTTGTTACGAATGACGTATTTTAAAAGAGAAATTGAAATAATGGTGTTGTGAAGTTGAACATTTCTTTCTCTCTTCGTCAGGTCAATTGTTGTTTTATATTATATTTTAGTTTAAACTTGACTGACTTTCTAAGTGTGTGCAGTGTGGTTATAATGGAAGGTGATCCCCATCCTGGAGCGCTAAAAGGTCGAATGTCGTTTCAAAATTTTAATCCTTCTGTTGATGTGAGTTTGAAAATCAAATTTCAATGTTGTTTCTTTATTCCCCTAGTTTATGTAGATGTGCTCTCTCTTTTGATTATTTTTATAATGCCAAAGCCGTACAATTTTAGAAATTAAACGAGGAAGAAGCAAGATTACATCAGCCAGCAGCTGAATCTACCTTGTCTAGGAATCAAAATACAAGCGTCTCTGTCAGGTGGATTTCTTTGCCTAAACTACCATGTGAATATTTTTTTTGGTTTAGTTTAACCTCATAATGTGTCCAAAGGTTTTATGTTTATGTTTTACTATCTAATGTCCCTAATGGCTCAAGCTTTATTAATTGACAACTATTGAAATTATTTCCTCAGATTATCACTCAGTATTTTAATTTGGTTCTGGTTGCCCTCGTTTCAGAGAAGATAATTTTTCAGCAGAAGATCCAGAATGTGTCAACATTGACAAAAAGAGTATGGAGGTTAACGGCAATGTTAAAAGGAAACAATCTGAAGTAGTTAGTGAAGTACAATATCCTAACAAATCACCAAAGAATGATGACGGTGATAAACAATCATTGCCAAGCACTAGTTTGGGGACTTTTAAGAAACCGAACGGAGATAAGCTGGACTGGAACGTTCTTAGACCATCAAGTGTCAAACCAAGTAGATGAGTTTTGTTGATAGCATACACATTATGCTAAGTTTGGTTCTGTTTCTGGCTAGGGCATTTATATCGGTAGTTGTATTCTATTAGTCTGTTTTTCCATCGGTTTAAATACGTTCACAAATTCCTTGTAATATTAAGGATTTAACCTGCTGATTTAGATTGAATACGGGGCTGAAAACAAGCCTCGTGAGTGTTTTTTGTATCATTGTATGTCTTTCACAAATTTGCCGTTAGCTAATAAATATATTGTTATATTAAAATGTAACTTGGTGTACAAGTGAAATTATTAATTCATTTCCTCAAACCCTACAATTTTGAGCTTCTCTCTTTGCCCTTTTCCTTTGATATGAAATTGTATGTTGTGAACATCAATATGGAAATTTCAGTTGCCTTCCAAATGATAATTCAGATATGTTACCTTTGTAAACACTCCTGGAGAAAATAAGGTGACCAGTAAAAGGTTGAAAGTCATGTTGGAATTATTGTTGGCAAAAGGGGATTGGACTCTAGCTGTAAACTTCACAAATCTATTTGAAGGCCTTTTGAAATGGTTCGAGTCATCGATTGCTAAATTAACAAGAATAGCTCGGATTATTTACAACAAATAAGTAAAAAATCCAATGCAGTTTTTAGCATTGAATAGAGGAGCAGATTCTAAAGGCCAACTTCTTTCTGTCAGAAGACAGTGCAAAACAAGGAACATTTGGAAGGTGATGATTATTTGAAAATTCAAATAACTTTTACACAACCCAAAACAATACTACATATCGAATTCTCACTGGAGAGTATTGTTTGCTATGATTTGTTACTACGATTTCCGGACTCGGTCACTGTTAGGGTGTCCTTACTTTTGCTTCTACTGTCTTTACGATCAATAAATAGTAAATTGTGCTTCATCAAAAAAGAAATGACATGCCATAACAGCTAGGAAGTGGAATGAATAGCAATATATATTATATAAAATGCAAACACAAAGAAATTGCAGAGAGTAGTTTATTCCATTTTCTACAACCGACCTAGGAGTTGATTCACTAGTTACAAGACACTTTTTGAACATTGCTTAAGCAGGAGTCCAAGCAGAAATGGCATTCAGAATTCGCCCTTTCCAACCCTGCAAAACCCACTTGCCATCCTCAGCCACTACAAAATCTTTGTGATACTCCCTCTTCACCATTTGTTTCGCATCATTCACCAACTGAGGATCCAAATGGACTTGCTTGAACCCAGCTCTCAGGTTCCTAACCTGCCACTGCTTGTAGGTCTCTGGTCTCTCAACCCTCTCAGCCCCCTCACACGCAATAACATTGATGGCATCCCTTCCAAGCATCCCTTTCTCAAACATCACCCTTTGCGAGTCTTCACGAGGCACATTAGCCTCGAACATATCAAACAGTGATGAGAAGTGGTATAGCGCTTCCCTGAACCGTGTCAGGAAAAAAGGCGCACTATAAGTCCCATTGACCACCCCATGGAAGAAGATGTTTGGATTGATCTTCCTAATCAACTTCAACACAGCTTCTCTTGGACAGTCCACTGCCACAGTTTCATCAGGCAGGTTCTTCAGCCGGTAGAAACAACTAACAACAGTTACTTCATTCCTGTCTATCTTGAGATCTGCAAGTTTTATAGTTTCCCATTTCTGTGCAAGGCAATTGTATTCAAAAGGGACATTGAACTTCTTGCAGTAGTTTTCTAAACGTCGCCCTGTCTCCTCAACCCTTTCCGCAGGCCGAAATCCTGGCCGAGGGAGATCAATTCCTGTTATACGAAGCCTTGGAGGACCACCATGCCTTTCTGACAGTACTTTGATAAGGCAGGGCCACTGAAAACCATAGGAAATACCAAAGTCAATAATATGAACGCTGCTCTCATTTTTCACAAGACTAATGACTGTCTTGGTTGTCAAATAATTTGACATCCTTTGCAAGGGAGAGGATGTAACAAATAGTTTGTAAGCTTTCAACATATCAGCAGCAGTTGCCACTTCTAGTGGCACGTATGATGGGGTTCCAGCAGCCAACCGTATCTCAAGGCCATTGGCAAAGTAATGAGCCAAACGTTGGAGTCCATCCCCATAAGGTGAAGAGTGTTGTCTAATCTGGCTGAGTAAGTCATTTGCATTCCTTTGGTCAAAGCTTGCCACTGCCTGTGCACATTGAGTTAGAAGGGTCCATAAATCTACAGCTGTACCCGCCTTGGTGGACCCTTTCTTTGAACGTGAGCGTGTTGCCTTTCCGTTGGACCCTCCTAAATCAACACCCTGTGATGGTTCAGCAGAAGATCTACTTCTTCCAGTTTGACAAAGCAGCACCTCGTCTAAGATCTCTGGGGACTCTGACTCGTTAGAAAAAACAGCTGAGACCTTGTTGCCTCTTCTTCCATCTTGTTCATGAGAAGCATCATCATCCATCTGATGGCTTCTTTTTTCTCTGGATGCTGGCGACGAAGAACTCTCTTCCACCATCGGCGGCTTTGTATGAGTTTGGAAGATATTCCAAGTTCCATCACGAACCCTAAATGGATCAAGTGCATCATGAAAATAGCCAGCAGCTTGTGACGACCCAAATGGGTCAAGAACTACATCAGGGGAATCAGCTGGATGGGTTTGCAGCCGTAGGAAAGAAGAGTCAAATTCACCCACACCGTTGACCAAGTCAGACTCACATGAATTATCAGTGGTGCAGCTGCCATTGCTCTCAAAACTAGCAGTGCGACCGTAACTTTCATCAGTGTCTATGATGTCGAGGCTTTCGTCACCGAAAGAAGAAGGGTAGCTGTGACGAACAAGGACATCAAGGAAGGATTTTTCAGCCGCCTGGAGTCTCAAACATTCCTGTAACATGCAGGGTTTGTTCTCCAAGTCGTCTTCCTCATCCATGAGGATGTCGCTTATGTATCTGAGGATGGCGTTGGAGTACTTGGTTGTTTCTCCATTTGAGCTTGTTCCAGAAGAAGGAGAAGATGAATCATCAAACTCAATCCCCTCTGTTACTTGGTTCTGATTTGAAAACACCGATAGAGGACCCCCAAAATTTTGCACAAGAGAGTTTGTGGAAAGCATGTTGAACTCCACCGATAAATTAATAGTGATGTATCTGAAGATAGTTTTTAAGAAACTAACAATATCCTACTGGGAATCTAAATGAAACTTAATACAGAAAAGAAACAGGAACAAATTAACAGTGAGAACAATACCCTAGGAACAGTGATGATACAGGATAAGAAATGAATGAATTAGAGTAACAAGATAATTATGGTAGAGAGTGCGTTGAACTTAACTAAAAATAAACCAAGTAGTACCTAGTAAAATCAGACAATCTCCTCCAACAGAACTGTAATGGACACAGTTGAATGATAAGTGGTGTCCACTTTCTTCACTTTCTTAAATAGAATTTATTTGTTTATAGAATGAATGATTCATTATTTTGTAGTGAGGAAGGTTCCAGGAAGGAGTGAAGGACGGTCAAAGCCGCCAAGCCACTTTTGCTACTGTTTTTAATGAAGATATCTCCCTGCGTTGTAAAGATAAAATTAGATTCAAATCACTGTAAAACTAAAATATTTTCAATAAATAATATATATATATCATCCATGTTAACATTTTTCCTTGCTATTCCTTTAAATATATCTCCACCAATGATGCACACCTAAACAAAAAAATTTATATAGGGTAAAGTACAAATTTTAATTTAATATAGAAAAAAAATCGTATATTTAATTTAAGACATAAACAAGATACTTTCATTTGATATGTCAATTTTATTTTGACAAAAGTGTTCATGTGGGGAAAACTTGATCCTCAAGTCATAAACATAGAGAAAAAAACATTTTCTTGACCAAGTACATAAATTTTAATAATATAATATTTTTTTTCAAAGAGGAGAGATAAAAAAAATGAAATACAGTCTATATGATAAAAAAAAAAGAGATAAAATAAATAACTAAACTTGAAAAAAAATATGATTTATTAACTATTATTAATAATATAATTAATAACCTTGCTAACCCTGACTAAATAACATGGTCAAACAAACTCCCTATAATAAAAAAATTTTAAAGTGGACAAAAATTTCTTTATATAGAGAATTAAAATTCACATAATAATAAAATTTGACTTAAATATTGCACTATATATTTTATATTTTACTAATTAAAAAAAACAGTGGTTGGGATGGGCCAGTGGCAATCACTGTCACTCACACGGGAGATAAGTGCAGTGTCTGTCATTTAGTCTCCATTCTATGAATATAAGGTCCAAATTAAAAAAGTAAATAAAAAAATAATTAACTTTTAGTCAAAAGTATACATGGTCAAATGCAACTCAATCCTTGACCTCCAGTCATTCAACAAATCCTATCCCTGCACAAATTTTTTATTGACATAATTTTATATATAAAAGTAAAATTGTGAAATAAAATAGTAATGGGGTAGAATGATACAAATAAAAATAAAATAAAAATTGAATCTTTCAATGTGGATGCAATGTTTTCTTGGTTCCCATGATGTAAATGGACTTGTCTTTAACATACAAGGCAAAGGAAAAAGCATTGTTTGTTTGACAAACAACCATCTAAGAGGATCATTCAAAGAGAACTTTTTCTTTTTCTATGTAATAATCAACATAATCATTCATGATATCTTGTTTATGTTTATGACTTCCCTTTGAAACTTCAACCATGTCTTTTTATGTTTTAATAAAGCTCTAATCCAGATACATTACCCCTACTACAAGTTTCTGTCTTTGACTTTCTCTCTTTTGTGCGTCCTTTTAATTCCATACCAAAATTAATAATCTGAACAAGAAAAATCCACCCAACACTTTACCACTAGTCTTGTACTTTTCCATAGCTAAAGAAATATACCTATATTTTTGTTATACACTTTCTTCTGATAAAAACTCCAAACAAATAGAGAGAGTTTATCTTATGATGATCCAGAACATGGTTTGAAGATTGAAGTTTACTTTTTGCAATGAATCAAATGTACATTGCTTTTAACAAATGAATGGAATCCACATTAATGATTGAATAAAATGATATAACCTAAGATCTGGACAAGGAGTCGATCTTGACTATTAATTTTTATTCTTAAAAAAAGTGGTGGATCTGGACTGGAATGGGACAATGAATTGAAACTAATTAAGGAGTTTCCAACATGGACTGCATCCAACAGCACTGAGTTTAATAATTCAGAAACTATATCAGATCAAATTACTCACACTGTCATGCTTAATAAATCCTTTACTCTCAGAATAAAAGGGTCCTGAATTTTCAAAAGTTTCACAGAAATGCATGCATTGCTTCCATGAGATCAAGATGCGTCGTGTAGCACTAAGAACAGCAAAGTAGTAGTGGAAAGAAAAATATCAACCATAGCAATCATGTGACAGTAGAAAGTGACAATGGCAACTAATCCATCACCACCACCAAAAAGCAAAGCAAAAGCATGAATGTATTTTAAAAGCCATTCACTAGGAATTTATAAAATATCTCTTCAGGACCCGTTCTCTTATAATTTCATAAAACATTATAAAAATGAAGAGAAATGAACCATTTTGAAGGAATGGTGAGCTCACAGAGACACTGTGCTGTCGGCTGATTCATGGGGTGTAGAATAGAAGTAGGGTCCAACATATACATTATGCCAAAATAATGTTATAAATTATTCAAATATTGGTAAAAAAAAAAGTAGATTTTTTTTTCGTTTTTTTAAAGAATCAGAATATGTATAAAGTAGAGAATACAAGAGAATAACAACAAATCGGAGTTGAACCAGAATATGTCTTATTGTCTTTATGAAACACTCGACTGCACCCAAATTAGTTTTTACTTTTCTCTTTACATAAAACAAATTATACATAATTATTTAGTTTTTATAAATGTAAGAGTATATTTTTACACACTATAAATATAAAGATCCTATTTTTCTAATTGTCCTCAAAACATTTTCTATAAATGAACATTACCAACTAAGAAGGTTAAGAGGAAAAGCAGCAAAACAAGGTCATCCTAAATTCCTTGAAATTGAAGGCAAACGACTGTTTCTTGTTCATACTTCTCGAGTTGAAATTGTTTTCAAAATCCCGTCATTTCTGCGTTAAACGTAGTGGCTTCTCTTTCTTTCTTTTTCCCGAACCTCTAGTTTCCGCGTTAAGGTAGAAGTTACTTTATATTCTGATTTTCTCGTTCTGATCCCCCAAATTATTTGGTGACCAAAAAGAGAAGAAAGAATGTGAAGTGTGCAATGTCTACAAGTAGCGTGGTTTCTAGAATGGAACGGACTTAATAATGGGTAAAATGAAGTTAACAGCATCTAAATGAAGTTAAAGCAGCGGTCAATAAAAGTAGGAGCTGAATTTAATCTTTTTAAGAATGTCCAAACTGTGTACAGGTGGTGCAAGTTTAAGCTATTTTAGAAACTGAGATAAGTCAGCATTTGTATCCAAGTATAAGGCTAAATTTAGTAATTGATAGATAGATACGAATTTCCTTTCCAATGGAGACAAGTACAAGCCAGATTTTCATTAAAATCAAATTTCAATAAAAAACAAGAAGGAAAAATTGTCACTGTAGAACTAAATGAAACAGTCATCCATTAAGAAACAATCAAATCAGTAGCTAGTTTATCTCAGGAAACACTATCCTGCAAAAAGCCTTTTATCAACTGAACTTCTGAAGCTCTGAAGTGTCTATATAATACATGACGGTCAGAGAAAGAAAAGAAAAAGAAAAACATCTAAAAGAACATTTTTACAACTAATGTTCTTGTCCTAATCCTTGTAGGATTTGATGCTGGAGGAAATTCTGCCACTATTATACATGGTCACTTGGTGCAAACCTGTGAAGAATATTCCTCAAATTTCACAACAGCTGAAGGTGACCTGAAATCATCCAAAGAACACAATTAGTTTTTCACTGTTGCATCATATATGCTGTTTAAAATCTGGAAACAGCCAATCATTAAAAGCGAAAAGATTAGATATCTGCAAGTGATCCTTAGAATCGTACCCTCAATCCAGAGTAAATTCTGAAACATGAGTTGAGTGACATATTATGCTGGCACCCAACAAGATGAAGCATACAAAATACGACCCTTCCAACCTTGAAGCATCCAGCCGCCATCTTCATCAAAGACAAAATCCTTGTGGTACCATTCCCTTAACTTGCCCCTAAATTTGGCCATTAACTCCTTGTCCAGTGGGAGCTGCCTAAAACCAGCTCTAGTATTCCTAGCCTGCCATTGTTTGTATGTCTCTGGCCTCTCAACCCTCTCAAGAGCTTCACATGCTACAACATTCATGATCTCCCGACCCAAAAATTCCCTCTCAAGCAATAACCTCCATTCATTTTCACGGGATATGAGGGTATCAAACATATCATAAATTGAAGAATAATGGAACAGTGCCTCCCTGAAGCGGGTGACAAAGAAAGGGGCATTATAAGATCCATTGACCACGGAGTGAACAAAGATATGCGGATTCATCTTCCTGATTAAATTCAGAACAGCATTTTTGGGACTGCTCACTTCAATTGATTCATCAAGCAAATTCTTAAACCTTACCAGACAGTTCACAGCAAGCACCTCATTCCTCTCAATCTTAAGGTCTTCAATTTGAATGGTTTCCCAGTTTCTTGATGGTATGGCCTTGTACTCAAAGGGAACATTGAATCGCTTGCAATACATAGCTAGACGGCGACCAGTCTCCTCTATTCTTTCAGATGGGCGAAAGCCGGGTTGGGGATACTCTATTCCTGTGATGCGCAGCTTGGGAGGTCCTCCAACTCTACTTGATAAAAACTTGATAAGAATTGGCCACTGGAAACCGTACAGGATACCAAAGTCAATAATATGAAGAGTTTCTGCATTTTCTGCTGTTTTCATAATCATTTTGTTTGCAAAGAAATGTGCAAACTTTTTGAAAGGACAGGCAGATATGAAAACTTGGTAAGCTTTCAGGTAATCAGTAGTAGTGAAGTTCTTGTAGCTCATATAAAATATTTGTGTTCCAGTTCCAGCACCAACCAAGCGAGCCTCCAAGGCATTGGCTACGTAATGAGCCAA